GATCTAGTTCTTCGAAACTGTCGCAGTCAAGAACCAGATCAAAGGGAGACTCTTTCAAAAGGGACAATTGGGCAAATGTACACGATGACTGCAGTAGCATGCCGGAGTCGTAAGCGGGACACATCAAATGTATACGCTAAGCAGTTGGGGTTATATATGATCTCTAGTGGGACAAAGCGGCGGGTTGTGGATACAGCTGCTGGTCTCGGGCTCACTGATACATACCAAAGTATCAATGAGAATGTTTCGGATATGGCCCTCAAGGCGAAGGCAGGTTGATTTATAACTTAAGTTAGATCTTTTCTTCTAACTTTTCTATTAGAACCGCCTCCCACAGCTGGCCAAAAAGCCAAAGACAGTTCTTGTTTATGATAACTTCAACTTCAAAGATACTGTGCGCGAACAGACAATTGGTTCAACTCATATCATGCGGAATCTGACAACATGCCTGTTGGTTGAGAACCCATATTTGCCTGATGAAGGTTTATCCCAATCAAGTTTCGATCCCACCCAACTTCTCTCCTTCAAAGATATCTGTAAAGCCGATGGTTTAAAGCATGATAAAAAACAGCAGAGTATGGACATTCACTTAGTCTACGAGGCCCTGCAACACGTTCATTCTACAAGCATTGACCTGGTTTTCCAATCACAGCCGTCTACTGTCCCTGCTTACCCAGAGATCAACCGTCTATATGCAGGTGGGAATGCAACAAACATTCATCATCTTCGAGCTGCCCCTTTTGATGAAGGAACAATCCAAGGAACTTACGGAGTTCATGAAGATATTTGGATCCGACAGTTGGGTTTCCAATCCCAGCCACCAAGCGAAGACTTCACAAACCGTCTCTGGTTGGTATTTGGAGATCAGAAAACAGCCCAACATATCCGTACTCTGAAGGAGGCACAGAAGAATGCAATTCTACCTTTTGACAGACGGAGATGGATGTTAGGTCCATCTGGACTATTCCATGTCCTTATGAATCTAATACTAACGATCGTCCGTATCCATTTTGATACGGAGCCTACACTACCGTCGGATACAAAGCCTTCACTACCAACGGATGCGAAGCCTTCGGTGCCATCAGATGCAACGCTTCTATCGGATATCATCTACTGGGATCGAAAAGGATATACTCGAGAATCCCCAAAGTTCTACATGTTTGACCCTCTGCTCAGGCAATCATTTTATGCTCGTGTCTTAATGCTATGGTACCATGTTCTTACGAGACGAGGACATATCCAAAAGGCATTCCTTGAAGATACCAGTCCAAGTTCAAAACTGGATCTAATTATCCAGAACCTAGAGCTAGAAGAACTTATCTCTACAATGAAAGAGGTCTGTACACTGGCATTCTCTCCAGAGGCATGGGACACGACACAATACGGACTTGAATTTCGAAGTCTCTGCCGGCTTGTCCAGTTGATCAGCATCTTCCTTTCTTTGCGTAAAGCAGTCAAGAATAGCGACATCGGCTGGATTGACCGTTTAATCGATCCACTTGCAGTTATCTTCCACGCAACTGGACAGCACAAGTATGGTGATGAAATGCTCCATCTTCGTTGGATATTATCTGAATGCGTTTCAGAGAAGATTCTCCGCGACGCAATACTATCATCTAGTCTTGTGAATTTGCATGGCAAACCAGGCCAGTTTAAGGCTATTGATCTAGCCCTTGAACACGTTAATTGCGCATACAAGATTGATATGAAGTTATTAAAGAATTCAACACATAATGCAGACAAAACCTTTGGTAGAGTCGCATTATTAAGTAATGTCTTCTCTAAGATTCGTGGGGCATGGGAGAACTCATTTGGTTTTACCCAAAGCGATCGACATACAACCAAAGCTGATCAACGGGATATCTTTAGTCGCGCCCTTCAACTATATCTACGCAGTCCTTTGCTCACTATCCAACCTCGCGAAGCTGTTGGTTGGGACGCACCTGATATCTTCCGGATTGGTGCTGAGGTCTTGGAACAAAAGGTCAATTCCTTCAACAATCGGATACCAGTCCGCTCTAGTGTCATCCCCCAGACTGATCCTGAGGACCTTAATGAAGAGACGGATTTGAATCCTCATAACTCTGAGATCTCACCAGTAATTACCTACTCTGAGGCTTGTGAGGATGGGCTTGTTAAAGATCATGACATTCTTTGACTGCGTTATCGCTCACTTCATCTATACCCCTCGAAGCCCTCCATATCGAAATTGCAGTTTAATGGAAGTTATGAAGCATGAATCATCCTCAAATAAATCGTGATATCTGTCGCCTGTGACCTACGTAACTGTCCCCTCCATATACATAACTATTCTAATCCCTCTGTCTCTTAGTAAGGCATATCTTAATCTGTAGGCCTTCCTTTTCTAGAAACGGTCCGGGGGTTGAGGTGTGTCTTAGTATAGTATCTCTACCAATCCTTAGTGTTTTTCAAAGATGATAACATTGCTGGAATTCCCTTATTAAGGGCTACAAGATGATGTATATATTATCATAATTCAATGGGTTCCTACCCACCCTATTTTCTTTGAAGTTGGTACAAATTTGGAAATAAAAGGATACTATTAGTCTGAAAAGGGCTATCCGAAGTTCTCCCAACCAAAACACTTCTAAATCTTCTTGTTCTCTTTACCACGCTTCTCCCATAGATCCCTCCCTTTGGGCGTCAACTGTACATGAGAACGAAGACCAGCTCGTTTAGGTGTATTAGGCCTATCTTGTCTGGTGACCTGTCCTTTCTCCTGGTTTCCAGATACTCCCCTAAGCGGCGTCCGACTTCTCTTGTGTATACCTGAAGAATTGTGAGTAGTTCGTTTGGTCGTTTGGCTGCGCGACCAGATGTTAACAGGTATAGGGGCTCTGATATCGGAGGAGATCGTAGTCTTATTATCTGTACCAGAATCTAACTTAACGCTAGATTGTGATACGAACGATGACTCCCCTCTTACGATAAACGAGCTTCCTAATTCCTGCGACCCTTCCGATATCTCCGGCTGTGACGAAAACGAGGGCCAATGGCGGGGTTTGAACGTTTCCCGATACTCATTAAGCTTCTGAGCAAGTAGCTCGTTATGCATGATAACCCGGAGCCCATCCCTATCGTCTGCTAATTGACGACTGCGGACATATTGAGCAACCTTTTCCTCTTTAGGTAAACTGGGATTAGGTATAATACTCGAGTCTTGAGGATTACTCTCTAAGTTTTGAGCAGTACCCTCTGTAGCCTTTCTGGCCAGGGCCTTGATGTTCCTCTTGCACTTTCGTTCCTCTAGTATCGCGTTATGCTTCGAGCATACCTCTAGAACTATCCGGACAAGGAATGCCAGCAAAGGATCGAGGAGGGTGTTCTGATATTCCCAGTTTTCGATGTCAAAGAGGGCTGACAATGCCTCCTGATCCGGTATAGGTACCGTTGTTGAGTTCTTCACACAGGTATACATAGAAGCAATAGCCCACTGCGCTTCTTGAGGAATGACCACCCCAGCTGGAACTGGAATCATTTGCTGCGCTCGTGGGAAGATCGATTCTACCTGTTCAAGGCACCATACAACCAATAGATTCAGCGCAATACCTGCCTTAGTCTCCCTGCCAGGTTTGGTAGACTTGAGGGGGATATCAGGCATTGGTAGCAACTGGAACAATGCTATATTACACTCCTTCCCATTGTAACAGACCTTCTTGTCTGCTCGAATGGGGATAGTATCTGGCTCGCATTGGTCCTCGTTAAACTCCGCAAGGAATACCTGCCGTCTGCATGGCGCGTTTGCAAGAGAACGGATCGTTATTGGGAGGGTTGCCCTATGCTTGAGTTCATCAACAGTCCATGTAGGTAGACTATCTGACTTCCCCCTCTTCTTAGACTTTGGGATAGTTGATTGCGAGTTCTCTTGACTAGCGGCTTCGGTATTATCAGACTGTTGAGAGCAGTCAGACTCAGCTCCATCGCCTTGCGATAATGGCGATTGTGAATAGGTGGTATTAAGTAACCGGAGTGTATTCCGCCTGCCCTTTTTCTTCTGAGACAGTGGCTGATTATTACGCGAACTAGGCATTTGAACAGGATCCTGTCCCATTAAGTCGAACGCATAGTATGGCAGGAATATAAAAGCCATCCCATTGATTGCCTGCTTCACCCGAACAGCCCGACCAACCCGTTGCCAAATATCACCAAGATCGTGGCCGATTGGAAGTCCCCATTGAGCAACCACCATAATATCAGGAATGTCCATACCCATTCCAAGAGCAGTAGTTGCAACAACTACTCTAAGGGAAGAGCATGGGGATCTGATCTTATCGTATAGCAAGTCCTGGTCGTATCGTGAGGTATTCGATGTATATGCACCAACTGCATCCCGAACCATGGCTGGTTCAAACCCTTGAACAAAGAGATACCGCTCTAAGGATGCAGAGATATTGGCTACCGATTGAAGTCCATCTACAAAGATGATCGTTTTCGGGATTCGCTGGAGGTCGTCTTCCGTCCTACTAGTTGGATGCTCTAATGCATGATCAACTAGAAACCATAGCCGTTGGTAAGCCTTGCTCTTTCCTCTCTCAATGGGCAAAATGTTAAGTGAGATATCAGGTCGATCAATTGAGACTCGGATGATCTTAAGTGGCAGTTCATGGTGTGTCTCTTCATAGAAACCACCATAATAGATAACAGCCTGTTCTGTGGCCTTGTTCAAAGTGGCAGAACAACCAAACCAGATGGTATCAGCACGTAAGTACCGACGTAATTCCCTGATCTTGAGATATTCCAACCGGAATTCCTTCCATTGCTCCATAACATGGAGCTCGTCAATTGCAACCACACCAATCTTGTTCTTTACGTCAGGGTTTAACAGCAAATCACGAAACTCATCGCTAGCTGCTTGCTCAGGACCCATTAAGATATGGGTATATAACCCAGCTGCAATCTCCTGTAACAGTTTCGGATTCGTATGCTTGGTCTCCGCTGTAATAAGGCAAGGCCTGGCCTCTGGTAACTGTTCAATCGATCTCTTCTGCTCCTCCCCAAGCTTGCTTAAAGGAATCAACTGGATGACAATTCTGCCAATAAAGATTGGGATAGCATGGAAGATGATGCTCTTCCCAAAACCAGTCTTAGCAGAGACAATAGTATCTCCATAGCGAAAAACAATTCGTCGAAGAGCCCGAACCTGGTTGATACGTGGGAGCCGACCACCCAGGAGTCGCTGCAAACCATGGAAGATAATATCATGCTGGTATTTGATGTTCTTTCGTATTAGACAGGCCTTTACTAACTCTTGCAGTACCGAGCATAACTCTTTCTCTGGTGTCGTTGCAATTATGGATATCCGTTCTTCGATCGTTTTCTCGATAGGAGGTGGTTGTACAGAGGCTAAATTTTGGTATAGGGAGGTTTCACGCTGATGGGCGCGGCCTCGCCGGCGCTTCACTCGCATGGAGGCAGATCTGGAGGTTGATCCTCTATACTTGATGACGCGATATGCAGCTTTAAAACTCTAGTTACAGAATGAACAGTTAGCAATTTGATATTTAAAAGCCATAGGACTCTTTAACTAACTCTTATCTATATTTCATCAACTTCTGGTGCCCACCCAACTTCTCCGTATGATGTTATTCGCCATCTCGACATTTTACCCAAATCTCATCATCTACGCATCCATACACATTTTGCAAGCGTTTCTCAGACGGTACCCAAGACAGTTGCACCCACGTGACTAGTTTGTACGCTAAACATGGGTTTAATCTGGTTACGGTTTAGCTTAACCAGGGTCATGGCTTGGATACCGTCTGAGCCCTAGCTGAGATAAGTGTTGATGCCACCTTCGCCCACTTCATTCAACACTCAACTGTTTCGACTATTCGAGTGTATTACACCACAGCCAAGTCTTCGCCATTGCAAACTCTCCATGTCAGATATTAGAACTCCGATGTCTGTAGAGGGTCTCATTGGTCTTTGGGAAGGTGCTTCCACCCACCCCTTTTCCCCTGCCGTTGGGAAGAACAGTCAATTCGCGGTCGGATTTATCCTCCTACTTTCAGGTATGGGAGCTAAATGGAGCTGGCTGATCAAAGGAATTGAGGAAGCTAACTGTTGGATAGCATTCATCGTCTCTGGCATATTCGCTTTCAGTGTGTAGCTTCCTTGTCCAGTCTCAACTTTTCTAACAGAACGGCAGACCGATCATTAGCTACCGTCCCCGCCCTAGGAATTCCCGCGTCTTTGGCGTTTGGGTATGTCTCTTCCTACCTGTCTATAAAGGCCTGGCTGACCATCCATAGGTTCGGAGCCGTGTATATGATTTGTGCTGTGGGAGTTTACGTTTAGCCTGATACCCCAGAAGAGTTCGCTTCTTTGTACCATAGCAACTACAATTGCAATCGATTCCTCAACCGTTGTCCCAAACCATACAGCATTTGGCATCATGCAACAAGAGGCCGATGACGACGGTGACATTCTCTTCAGCGCCATCTCAAACAATGTTCGGGCGCTATGGCAGCTGCTCCGCTGCATAAACTTTACCAAAAAGGCGCGTGTTTACATTTCCAATGATGGCATCAGTTTTAGCGTGGAGGAGACAAGTGTCATGGATGGTATGTGCGCCCAGGATGGTATCAAACGCCGCAAGCTCTAAGAATCCGTATAGCCTCCGTCCTACTTACGAAGGAGCTCTTCTCAACCTACCGATTCAATCCTCCACCACAAGAAGAACCTGAAGGCGGTCACGATGAAGCAAACGGATCCAGATCCATGACGGACACCCTCCCTTTCGAAATATCCCTTCCAGCACTTCTCGAAACGCTTCAGCTGTTCGGCATCACCGAGCTGTCAAGTACACGATCTGGCCGAGACTTCGGCAGCGCTCCCCCTGCTGGTCCCTCTGCCTTTGATCCACGCGCCATCGGAATGCCATGCATCTGCCGACTCAGCTACACTCACGTCGGCGCACCCTTACAGATCATCCTGACCGAAGGATCCGTCACGACGACATGCGAGCTTACAACCTACGAGCCGACATCGGAGTCCAGCATACCATTCGACTCGGCGGATGTGGCGCTCAAAGTTCTGGTGCGATCCAGCGTTCTCTATGACGCCGTGAATGAGCTGGCGGGAACCAGTTCGGAAAAGCTTCTCATCACTGCATCGCCAAGGGCTCCGCGCCTGTCACTTACTGCGCCGGGCGCACTCGGGAGTGCACTGGTCGAATTCACCGGGGAAGGAGAAAGCGCCGAAAATCTGCTCGAAACGTTCAATCTGCCGTACGGTGTTCGGATCACGAACGAGTACAAGTTCGACTTGATCCGGAAAGCGCTCAGAGCCATGGCGATGGCCAATAAAGTAAGTGTCCGGTTTGACGGGCAGGGTGTTTTAAGTCTTCAGTTCCTAGTCGAGGTGGACAATGCCGCAGGAGGCAAGGTGACCTTCGTGCAATTTCGGTTCGTGCCGTATCTTCGTGAGAATGACAGCGAAGAGGAACGACCAGATTACGGCGAGGATTAGACAGTAGGCGAATGATAATAATGTAGAGCAGACAGATCGGTGTAGTTGAACATGATCATACAACTATGAAATGTACCCCGATTCATCGCCGTTCCTGTCGGCGCCTATCTCTGTCGTCGGGATATCTCTCCCTACTACGATGTCTCCTTCTTTTGTCTCTGTGTTGGTCACGACTCCTACTTCGTCTCCTTTCCCCGGGTCGAGGTCCTCCATCATCATATTTTGATCTTCGATAGTCCGGCTCACGGTTCCTACGTGGACTTATGCTCCGCGACCTGCGTCTCCCACCGTGATGTTCTTCTGGCGCTTCCGAAGGACGACCATTCCCACCCTTGCCCCGTGCCTTGTCAAACACCATACCGTACTTGTCAACCCTTGTGCTTCCCTCGCGGTCTTCCGTGCGATATTGCCTCTTCTTCTCCAGGCCTTGAATGCCGCCAAAGCCTGCCGCAGACTGCCGCTTCGTGTTGGTCGCTGTCCGCCACGTGTCGGATAACCGACTGACACTTTGGGAGAAGTCCACGTGGATGCGATGATCGTCGATCAGGACGTCCTGCATCTTGAAATACGCTTGTTCGCAATCCTTCGCATTCTCGAACTCGATGAATGCGTACTGGAGGGAGTCGCCAGTCCGTTTATCCCGAATGACTTCGCAGCTCAGGATCTTCCCGAACCGGCTGAAGAGGAGCTCCAGGTCTTCGTCGCGTGTAACGGGATTTAACTTGCAGACGAAGAGGATGTTCTCCGGGGGTTTGACTTCTGCGAACGGAAGGTCTCCCATCATCTCCAACGTCAACGCTTGTGCCCGCGCTTCTCTTTCTCGCCGGAGATTCTCAAGGGCTTCTTGGTCCATCTCCACGTCCAGGTCCTCGTCGTCTGCTATTCTGACCGTCGCCATCTGCGCAGGCGTTGGTAGCGGGCTCTTTTGGGGTAGGAAATCCACAAGGCCAGGAGGATCATTGATCGGATCGTCCAGTATGATGGTATGCCGGATGCGAATATCCTTGAGCGGTCTTCCCGCGTCGTCAATGAAGGCGCTGTTGATTTTCTCCAGCACATCGAACCCTTCCACGACCGTTCCGAATACGGCTCCCTTCCCATCGAGATATTCTAGGTCTTCCCCCAGTGTCACGATGAATTGACTCCCCGCCACCCGGTCCGTATCGTCCTCTTTGCCGATGGGCGCGGTGGCCATACTAACCGTGCCGCGCTCATGATGTTTCAATGAGGGTTTGAACTCGGGGGCGAAACTCTTGTTCGATGGCCCTTGTAGCAAGCCCCATATCGATGATCCACCATCGGAGTCGGCACTAAAAGGGCCCAAAGGATCGCCGGTTTGGAAGGAGAAATTGCGCTGGATGGAGTGAATCGGGGAGTAATTGTAGTATTTGATCTTGCAGAGCTTGAGGAAGCTGTTCACGCGACACGCGCACACATGGTTAGGAACTATTATATTCAGCCGAACAACACTCAAAGGTGGTAGGATATCACGTACTTTTCGCAGCACCTGGGCGCTTGATCGACCAAGAGGTCGATTACGATATCACCCAGCGACGTCTCCAAGAGAACCGACATCGTGGTACACTTAAGTGATTTGTGTGGGGAGAAGGGAGACTTGCAGAAGTCGTTAGTGTGCTGGTATACTCTATACCAGAACTTGAAGGGTCATATCAGCATTCATACAGGACGGAATATTCCCGTAGAGAGCGCTGACGTTGAGCTGGGGACGGTTCCGATTTAGCGCCTTGATGCCTCAGGCATACTTTCTGTAACGTCAACACCCAATCAGATGACCAGCTTTCTGTTGTTTTATGTTTACCAACAATGGTCACGTGATAGCAACATCCTTGCTATGTCGCACGTGCCAGTGGTGGCAGTCATCAGTCATCACTGTCTGGACTCTGGACTCGCCCCCACTCTAGACTAACCACCATCCAAAGCCAAATAGAACTCTCCTATCAGGTTCTCCAACAAACCGGAACTGAACAGAAGCGTCCCGTCCGATTCAGACCGGTCACTTGCTGTCGTCAAGGTGCCACAACCTCCACTCCTCTCTCTTTGCGATTCTGCATGTCCAAACGAAGGTCTTACAATAGTTACACTGCATCGCGCCGCTCCCCCCTGCATCCTCAAATGAGTGCGTCTGCCTGCTGTTCTAAATAAGCCCGATCATACAGAAGTCCTGTCTGTGTCTGCAGCAGTTCGGTTAAGGATTGACCGAAGTCGCATTGTGCTCCATGTCTAGTCCGACTTGATCAATCGCGTCGAGCCGTCCACCCACCTGTTGTTCTACCCTGAGGCGGTGTCGGGCCACAGAAAACGTGGTTTATGCTGCGCATCGTGATGTTGCCGATAAGGTTTACGGAAGGCTACTGCTTCGACGGGTTCAACGGTCGCCTTGCAGTATCTCATCGCTGATCCTCCATAATGTTGCTAAGCGATTGACCAGGCGTCTCCGATTTCCCTCGGGATGATTCGTGTCATCCAAGACCCGGAACGAATCACGCATCGATTTGCGCCCTCCACATCTAGGAATTGATCCCGGATGCCGAACGGGATGCAGCATTTCTCCTTCTATCGATACAACCCCTGCTATGCAAGTAGCCAGGTGGCTAAGATGCCTTGCACCGCCGACCTGTTGCTTTTGGCTGTTATTTCTATCATTTCTATGCAGTCAGGTTCTAGCTAAGATGATTCGGCGAGTGCCTGTGGGCTTCCGCTGCACCGATTTCCCTTTTTCCCGCTTCGGTTGATACGTTCTTTAATGTCGAACAGTATTCCATGCAGATTGCAGAAAAAGATACATCACCACTACGACACATGTTGGTGGCTTGGAAATGCGGACCGCTCCGCAACCAACCGCTGTCATTTAGTTAGCCGAGTTCGCGTTTCGCTCCATGCTGCTGTGCTCGATTCTTTTCTGATCTTTTCTGTGTTTCCTTGATTTCAACCTTTGAATTTGTCCTCCTTGGATGTGAAGAGCATGAATGGATGGATGGATTTACTGGTTCTAGAATCCATAATGCAGTTCGCTGGTCGTTAGCGTGACTTGCTCTTTGCATCAAGGTGTCACTTTTGGATCCTGGCGGCCCTGGTTGCTCCCTCTCTAGCCGACAATTCGACCAAGACTCATCTGAGATCATCTCATGCGCCATTGGCTTGGGGTAGCTGCATCGCTCCCTCGTGCGAATCATTCATCAGGTGTGACGGCAAGATTTCCTGTCCACGCAGTGGTCTAGGAGGTCGAAAAGATCAGTTTCCAATTTGCCGGGCCAATTTGTTTGCTAGACCCCTGTCCCTGTAAGTCACCAGGGTGCCTTGCTCGACCGCTCACTGTGCCCACGGAGTAGTGAGTACGTCCAACCCCTGGGAGAGCACAGCCGTTGAAACAGCGGATGGCTGCTTGCGTTGCCCACGGCAAATCATTAACGCAACGCAAACGTCTTCATTCGTAGCAGGTCAAACTTAGTCCAGGGGAAATGACATGGCAACACTGGAGACACCCTCACCTGGCAAGCTAGGAAACCTGCTATCCCAGGTGCACTCAGTACAGTATTCAACACAAAAGATTGAGTCTGGGAACAATACTTGCATTTCGCCACACCCCACTTTCCCTTGTGCCAGCGTCATCGCACGAACGTCACAGGACTCTGCTTCGCTCAATAGGGAGGTTCAGTCCTTGACAGGCTGACGTGGTACTAGGGTTCTGCGATCTGCGCGAGCGCACATTGGGAGTGGGTGCCGTAGCCACGATCCGCCCTGTCGAACTCCGAACCTGTGATCACAAACTTCGACGGATATTGGCTTACGATCTGTACTCCTTTACTATAGGATGGATGTATCAAGCGTCCGGTTGACGTCTGGCCCTGGAGTCACGTCTCGTCCTTACTATCCATGGACGCACCAATAACGCTTGTATCCTCTTGAGGTGTATAAAGCAGTGTTTGCTCTGATTAAACAGTGTCTACGTCCAGTGAGGCTACTTCTGTGGCTTCACGATTGGCCATCGAGGTCCCTGATTGGGCAATGTCTAAGCGTTTGCCCTCAACGAAACCAATACAGCGACTGCGTCCCTGCATACTACTCATGATTTCCAACAAACGGTACGACGACAATTTTGATCCCCCACAATCAACATCACTAGGTCACACACGAACCGAGAGCTCCAATGTGTCTAATTCTCCTGCACTGTCCCAGATCCTCAGATGCTTGTGGGGACCTCGTTACCTATCCGCATTGCATGTGTCTCATTTGTTTGTCCTTCACTTGCCTTTGCAGTGTCCCACATTCGACGAGCATTGGAGGGCGATGTGTCGAGACCACTAGAGTGAGAGCAAGAAAGTGGGCGAACATTTGACCATTCCTGGACTATTTGCAATACGTTGACTGGCTTTTTATTCCACGATGAGTAAACGGTGAGAGCATGGTCAAGCTGTGTTTCACGAGCTAGAAATTTCCTTTGCAATCAACGGCTGTTGTGTCCCTCTAGAGGCATATCAATGAACCGTACGAAAGCCTCAAAATATGGGTGGGCCTCCTTAACCCTGATTATGCAGCTCCCGGTGATTGGACCAGGCGACAGGCGCAGATCAAACCGAATACTGCTCCCCTCGGTTCAAGTTGCACAAATTGCTAGCAATGATTCTGTTCTTCAAGCAACCTAAAGCAGAATACGACACCCCGTAGAATATCTGCTGCATTCACTCTTCTGGATGTTGGCAAGGTTGGTCAACCTCCTCGAACTTGCCGCCTGGTATAACTTCATCCAACCCCCAGCCAGCCGGTGTACTGTTTGTTTCACTTCCTCCACATATCTGACATCTCCTTTAGTTTTCCCTGATGCACGCTGCGATACTTCATATTACGAGGATGGTCTCCCCTTGCTGTTGACCAGTGTGACCATACTCGTTCTCTGCGTCGTCTCTACCTTAAATGTGTCATTTCTTCAACGCATGTTGCAGAGGGGCTCTTCTACCCCTGGCTCTCGAAAATTGCTTCAGTCGCTGATGAAGAGCTGCCTGCCCGCTCTCTGCAATGACACCTGCACTACACCTCCAAGAGCATTTTGACCATGTCGGGGGTCGTTATTCTAATATGAACGTTCAGCATTATTATGCGGATCGACACGGTCCTTTACCCATAGCAAATGGTCACTACCACCGTCCTGACCCCCGATCTTATCCAGCGTCACAGCATCATCGGCCAGTCCGGATGCATCGTGACATGGAGGAAGTCAATCAGGCACCGCCGAGGAAAAGAATTGCCCTTGCTGTAAGTTTCCTTCAGTTCAGCCCCTCCGTCTGCAGCCCAAGTATGAGAGCTGCCGCATCTATGTTGAGAAGGAAAGGTATGAGTGAGTGGGCTAACAGTGATTACAGTGCGCACGATGCAGAAAACGAAAAATTAAATGCAGTGGCGACCCTGGTAATGGCTCGGGGTGTCATAATTGCAGGCAAGCTGGCGTTGAATCTCATGTTTGCCAGTTCAACAGAGTCAGTGCACTTCCCTTCCCATCGAGTTCTTTGTGCTGACAGCCCTAGGTTGGGACAATGGTTGGGACAATGGATTACTCGACCTTGATTGATACGCAACACTGCCCAAGTCCCGTAAATGGATACTCGACTAGTCCGACATCTGCGGACGGGTCTGAGACTGCGATGTCTTCCCGATCACTGCCAGGCTCCTCTTATTCCGTCCCGAGACCTGGATCAAATTACCCTCCTTGGATAGCGGCGACCTACCCCGATACCTCAAGCGCAGAGACTTACAGTTTGATGCCGCCCTACTCATCTTACGGCTCGACCAACGAAGCGGTCCAGTGGACTGGCGGCCAGTACCCTGTTCGTTCATACAGCGCCCGAAGCCTCGTTGACCCCGATCCATCTGCTACCTACCCGGGCCTTCCTCTTACCACAGTAGTAAATGTCAACGCTGCAGCTCGGATTTCCAACATGGACAACACAGCTCTTGACTCGGCTTCTGAAATTTCAGGACAAGAGTCAACGAATTTTGTTATGAATTCCCTTCAGTCGACCTTGCCGATCTCGTCTACTCGCCAACTTCCGATTCCTACTGGCCCTTCCCCAAATGCGTCTACCGTAGGCATCGGGCCCATACGCAACAGCAATATTATTGGAGCGCACTCTGTAGGAGAAACAATGGACAGTACGGCTCATTACACGCGACAAGCAATGTGCTGGCAATCTCAAAATGCAACGGATACCAGTCTCCATGGGACGAATACTGAACCATCTATGTCTGGCTCCGAGTATCGAAATGGATCCATCAACAACGTCTGCACGACCGCAGCCAGCGCGCCAGGCATTGAAAATCTCACGTCCTCTGGTTTCGCTGCAGAGAGGCATGTTTTCGGAAAGCCCTCCTCACCAGACGAACTCCGCGGTCATAAATCTCACAGCACAATCGGCCCGCTGGGCTACATCACTAGCTCCTTTGCCAACCAATCCAACTCGACTGATGCCGGCACAACCCTAGCAAAACTCGAATCAGGGACCCCTCGCCAGTCTGTTAGCAGTGCGTACATTCCAGGAGATACCTCTGCAACGCTTCCAAATGCGGCGAACACCCTCCCACGGCCAGTCCGTCCAACACCAACTGAGTCTGAATCATCGTCGGCCATCCTTCGTCGAGCTGACTCGTCTTGCAATCTTTACTCGTTTTCGACCGACGCTACCAAACGGCCCTCCACATCTTCATCAATGTCTCAGCTGGAGATGAGTGGTGGAGGCGGCCTTACAAGTTCCGCCGAGAACAGTCTCTCCGGATCGTCAACTCTCGTCAGCGGTCATACTTATGCTCCAGTGTACCAAGCACATACACCGCACAATGTACAAGCTTCGCATTCGGAATCACTGGGAGCTGATAGCTCCGTCGGCGGATATGAACGTGGTGTGGCAGTAGGTGGTGATCGAGGTGAATCCAGCAGAGGCTTTTAATTCCATAGCATCGAAATTCTTCTCCAGCCATTGCTGCTCACAACTACACCAGTCGTTTCCTACTCCCTTCGAAAATTTGCTGAATGTATTCTCTTGGTGTAATATGATAAACCTAGTATGAAAGGGTTCAACATTACCGAGGCACTAATAATCGGTGTTTGGAGTTATCGATGTATTAAAATCGAGTGTCGCTGGTGTCCTTTTGTCCGCTTACTAGAGCAGAACAGGGCCTCTCACAGAGCCATTGTTTGCATGCTGGTCGATGGGTACCTAGAGATGCTTCAATTCCACGGCACCTCCAGGAGGTGGACATGGTTAGAAAAAGGATGGGTTGATAAAAGTCAATTGAAGCTTTCGGTTAGTTGCATTGGAATGAATTGCCTGCTCGTGCTTGTCTTTGAATGTTACTGTATTCGCTGAAACTAGAAGCCTAGAGCGACGTCTTTGACGTCTTTTTTGTGAGCATTCCGGACTATGGACAGCAGTACCTTAATAACCAACACATTCCATCTGCCCTCACGCCAAAGTTCTTCGCATGCGCTTCGTTCACTCAGCAACATTAACTTTGCCAACTTCTAGCTGATTTATATCGATTCAAGAGGACGCCTGAGTGCAAACAATATATTCAGTTCGTCAAAAAGATGGCCACAACCACGCGTATAACGCGGAAAATGGCCCGAAGGCATCCCAATGTCGAGTTTGCCGAAATAAACACGAACATAAGGACTCGACCCGTACCAAAATTACCAGCTAAATTCACTATTGATGGGAAAACCCGGCCACGAAAGTTCAACGAAGTCGATTGGCAAACTTTAACACCCTACGAAACCTCACTTCCCGTAGCACTTGTACTCTTCGAAACCACCTACAAAGGCCGAAAAGAGGAGGCAGAAAGCAGAAGAGGAAAGAAGGTTTCTTGAAGCGAGAATGGCTACATTGCGTCATATTCAAAGGATGGCGGGTGAATATTTCGCGGATCTCACTGAGGAGTTCAAGCTGGGCAGAGAAGAATGGGTAAAAAGGAAGATGCCCACAGCAAGTTGCAGAATGAGGCTGAGACGTCGGAAACATTCATGACTCCTCGACAGCTAGCCCATCTCTAGAGAGCCTGGGAAACGTTTTATGACGCTAGGTGCTATTAGCACTCCGCAAGGGTTGACAAGGCTTCCAGAACTATCATCATGGTTGACCGGGCGTTTGAATCGTCACTTAGACGAGATTTCTTTAGATTCAACGAAAATTCGCACTATCGCTACTTTAATACCGCTCGCTTCCACTTGCAATGTTCGAAAACTACGATCCGGTCACTGAACAGCCTGTTGAGAGAGCCTCAATGGAGGATTGGGTGAACTTTTACCTGAGAAACAACTGTGCCACATTCTTACGAGCTGATCAAGTCCAAATCCTCCCTGGGCACATCATGGTTACGTACAAGAAGGCCTTGGAGGACATCTATGAGACGGGAGGTCGCATCCACGTACCAAAGGTCACCTACTACACTCTGGGCGACATAGAGGAGAGGACACCATAAACGAGGCACAATTGGAGACTCCGAAGGACATTGTGATGGAAAAACTTTCGCCATTCCATATCGGCATCTGGGGCATAGGGGCTGTAATGTACCATACCACATTGATGGTGAAAGTTTGAGTAGGGGAAAGTATATAAAGTCAACAAGAGACGTCAAAGGTACAGCCGCACTGATCAATCTACTAGGCTTTTCCGATCGAAGGATTTCGAGAATGTTGTGGAGACCAACGCAAAACTTGAACTATTAAAGTCAATCAGAAACGCACTTCACGATAATCCTATGGCAAGGCAGCTATGCATTAACTGGGATCGAATGTCATACGAATCAGGACTAGAAGTCCAAGGGTTTGTCAAAGACAACGAAAGGACAGGATGTCGCAGACACCGAGGAATCACCTGGCGTGATGGGAAACTCCATGTTGGAGTGCCAACCGGCCCATCTGATCTTGGTGAGGAATGTCCTGTCGATTACCACCTTGAGTCGTGACCATTCAATCCCTATAGGCCGGACTGGGAGGAATTCGAATTGTATTCGGAGCGACTGACGACACAGGGGAACCCATATACTATGGTGCTGAAGCAGAATCTTCGTGAACTGAACACACTACCGCGCGGTCTTGAACCACATGTTGGAGAGCATTTATAACTATAAATGCACAGTACATACTTTTGTGTTATTCCGCGGCCATCCCATTTATGTTCAAAAGCCGGAGAGTGAGATTCCACTGGATGACAAATGTCCTTGCCCTGGTGAGCATCAAGGGTTTGTGTAAGTGCAACGTCATGTTCAATCCAGCCCATTTTACGTTTGCTAGTGAACCTGGAAAGCAGCAAGGTATGCTCGGCAGACGACTGCGATGATTTCCAACAGCAGGAGGCAATGGATGCTCCAGAAATGGGCTCAATATCAAAAAAAGTAGGTGCAAAAATAATCCGAAGTACTGTCCGTTCAGTGTCCGCTAACCTTCGGTACTCTAGTTACCTGGAAGAACGGGAGGATCGCAGACAAATGAGGATCAACCTCCACCGTGACGAGCTCGAAGCGTCAAGAGCCTTTACCACTAGAACGCAGGACCGATATCCCGGAGACGGGCGCAATAAGAGAAAAGGGTGCGGCGGAATAAGGAACTATATTATGCCGGGACGTATATCTCGACCTGGGTGGTAACAGGTATTTAAAAAGCCCAGTGCCTCTCGATTTGTGCAATTCTGGGTACCAATATTCATGAGAGTCGTCGTGGATAACAAGTCCTTGCTCTTCACACTGTAAGATTCCAATTGCCATTTACAGTACGAAGCATTCGGTTTAGAACAGAATTTTAACAATATGTTTCATATAAACTCCAAGAAACACGCAAACTTTCGGCTGTTCAGCTGCGGAGGATCATGCAATAACTCAATTGCCTTGACCTTAACAGGAGTCGAATTTCGCCCCCATGTGATTAGGCTTGTAAAAGTCCCGCCATTCCTCAGATCGATAGTAAGCTGCTCATGCTGCCTCCTCGACGACCCCATGAAATTGACCACCACATCCTCCCCTTTCAAATTTTCGGAGGCCGATTCGATGGTATAGGATATGCCTCCCCAGCTCTTCGGTTCGCGCTTGGTTCGTAGCACTAAGCACTGGCTCCAGGCCGGGATCATGTCTTGTACTGCAATGACAAATTCCTCCCAAACGGTTTTTAGGTTGCCGTGCCAGAGCCGGTTGGGGGTTGATACCGCTTCCGTGTTTTGGCAGTTGCTTTTCTTTGCTTCGTCGGCCCAGTCGACCTGATAGTCCATCAGTCGTCGTGTAAGCCACTGCCTCTGGCCAGCTTCCAGGGTTGCCCAAGCATTGGAGACGCATTCTCGTATAATGTCCGTGGAATCGATCTGTGCAATGACTTCCGTAGCTCCCCTTGATTTCAATCGTCGACGTGCTGGAGCATTCCTTGGCACCCCCTTTATAGACTGTTCCATGACCAAGGAGATGACGTTGATAAATATCCTGCTGCTGCACCCTATCCCAGAGAAGGAAACAGCCAGTGAAGTGGCCGGCGAGTCAATAGCTCCGTCGTGCTGAACACTCTGGTCGTCAAGCATCGTGGAAGGGGCCGAGGTCATGTTTAAGTACGTGGCAAGGCCGATAAGTAATGACTGTGCTCCCGGTTCAAATTTCAACGATGCGGAAGTCAGTACCAGTCCGTACGCGGAGTCATCGGCGGTCGCAGCAGCTGTTTCTGTTGGCGCTGGAGTGGTTTGCTTCGGGAATCGTCTGATAGACGAGAAGATAGTTTGATTGATGGACTGAGGAGATTTGTCTTTAGAGTTCGCCGCATGAAAGAGCCGATCCCTGGCATATCGTCCGAACTCAGCGACAAGCACCTGGTGTAAGGATCGACTGAGCGGGATACCTTCGACTCTATTGGCTTTTGGTAGAACGTTACACTTTCTAGTCTGGAGCTTGGGGGGCAATGTTGGGGGATCGTTTGTGCCTGGTTCTGTGGAGTTTGCCTTGGTCACGATTACATCGCCCAAAGTCCCACTCTCTTCCCCAAGGTAGCTATACTCCCTTAGACGGCTGAGCCCAATTTTTCGCCGGACTCGATTCCGATTACAAGGCATGTTTAGAGAATAAAGCGAGGGCAATGTGCCCAAGCCCGAACCAAGGCTATAGAAAGATGGTAATGTTTGCAACGAGATTGAAGTTTAACGACTTTTAAAAGACACCTGGAGAAGAAAGAAAACATGTCGGCATATATGCAGATTTGCTAGGCATCACAGCATAGCACGAGAGTCCGCGATGGTATTGTCTGTTAGAGAACTTGCATATTTCTTTATGCATTGTGCGCTGCGGCTCCTTGAGACAAGGCGATCGGTCCAGCCTGTAATAGCATTGTCAGACATGTTTCTTTGTACCCTATGTGCTATGATCATTTTGAAATAAGACAGTTGGTCCTCAACACATTGAAGAGGTGAGACATGGGTCTAGAACAGAGTCGAATGCATGAAATGAATTCTAGTCTAAATTCACCCAATTGCGTCAGCATCAAAGGATCCGGCTTTAGAGTTTGATTGAGATATCGTAGAAATCAAGTATCAAAGCCGAGGTTCCGAGTACCGCCATGTATGCCAGGAGGACACCGATACTTTGCAGTTCGGTCATGTGCAGTGTCGGAAGGGTCATGTTGATTAAGCCGGTCAAGAGGTTTGCAAACAAAAAGACCGCTAGGCCGTTCCGGTTGATGGCATTGAGCACTTGGCTGGTCGATCGTTGAATCCTCTTCTTCTCTTTGGCCTTGTCCTCGTCCGAGGAACCATAGATCCAAGGAAAGGAGAGCTTCTCAGCAAGATAGCAAAATGCAAGCTGAGTGCAATTGTAACTTGCAACCCAAAGTACATAAGGAAGATTGGCAAGGCGACGGGACACTGAGAGATTGAGTGAATAGTACTCTGTAGTGATCAAATAAAGTACGCTCCAAATGATTGACCATGACACGAGAGTACCCAGTGCCGTCTGGCGGTACCTCATCGCTTTGGAAATGAACGATCCAGGTTTGTCATCCGGAAAGTCTCGCACCGACCGTTCTCGTGGCAAGATATGCGTGCCAGCGGACCGGCCAGTCAAGAATATCGCGAGATATCCGAAGAATGAAAAAATCCCCTCGCGATTCATGCTTAGGAGGTCATTTCTTGGCGCACTCAACAAAAACTTCTTTAAGTTGGTAGAGTCAAGCGCAATCTGATAGACTGCTGCAAGTACGAATGCCAGCACAGCATAGGATGGGACAAACCTCGCTGCAGAGTCGAACATCGCTACGAAGGGAGGCAAGAATGCCAAAGTGAAGAAGAAGTTCCAATGAACCCCATACTCCGAGACGTGCTCCGCGTAATCTAGCTCTTTGACACTCCACAATCTTGCCAGTCCCAGTACCAGTAAAGGCAGCGAATGTCGAACGCTGACGTAAAGCCGTTTCAATAGTGGCACCCGTTTCCCGAGCTGCCGTTCTTTTAGGATAGCTCTCGCCGAAACCGTTCCCGCCGTGAAGACGAAGCTTCCAACCCCCATATCCATAATGCTCGTGCCCCAGGTTTCGGCCTTGGCGAAACGACGAGGAAATATTCGGAAGTCGACGGCAAGAATCGCAGCACATGTGATGGACATCATCGCGCCACGGTACATGGTAACGAACGGCTTGATGGGTAAGTCAATTACCCCCGTCCCAGAATCGGTGCTAGTGACTGGATACTTAGGTTCAACTCTACGGCTTCGAGCAACGGTTTTCGACGTCGTGGGTCTGCGAGGGTTCGGATGAGTCGCGTAAATCGCGATTGCTGGTGCCAAAAGCAGTGCATGCAGAAGTAGAGGGTGGGATGAGTAGAGGGTAAGTGCAAGCAGCACAACCCCACAATGTAGTATCAGGTCGGTAATGCACGCAGCGGGCGTGTATGGCGTGAAGTACGACATCCGTGACTGAAGAATAGACCAGAGAAGAACCGATGACTGAAAAACGCGACAAGAGTTAGCAATATGAAGAAGTAGCGTAACAAGTTGAGACCCACAGTCATCACCCCAGTGACAACATACACCTCCCATACTGATCCACCAGATAGGTTCGAGACAAAAGCCTCCTTTAAGGCCTTATAGTTGGTTGTCATGTTGGCCGGTGTTCGGTGAAAGGCCGCCACACTATGGGCATAGTAGCAATGGGTTCAATTTATGATTTGGAAAGTTGAAGGAGGATTCGGATTGATGTATCGTACTAGTCATCATCGCCCAGAGCACGGCATGTTGACATCTGAAAAAACAATGCTACGGCGACGTACTTATTCATCTGATGGTGTTTGAACACGAAGCTCTGGTCGTCTATCCACTCCTCCATCAGCTGCGAACCAGAGCGTACTTTGGGCTTGGCATTGGTGCCTCAGGCCACAAAGCAGCCAACCCGGATCTAACCCGGATTTCTCAACTCAACCTCGTTCATTTTCATGGCCACAGGCTTTCCACGAATATTAATATTATTGCCCTCTTCTGGTCTATCTAATACGGATTCCAGTCTCATTCACGGCTGGCCTGGGATAATCCAGCAGGATCGGCTCGATCATGCACTAAAAATCGTTCTCCTTCACCTACCACCACCATTTGGGGCAGGGTGTTATTATTCCTGGGCACGGTGGGCAGTGACTCAGTCTGACGGGACTCATGGGAACATGGTTTTGAGCGACTGTCCCCTCTCGCTAGCTGTGTCTCGCGCCGATTCTTCCCAAGTTATGCCGCCAACGTGGGTGACGAAACACGGTCTACACGGATATCTAGACGCTGCCCTAGGAACCAACATCTCGAGAACTGTACTCTGGACCCAGGCCGGGTCGAACCGTCGATAGAACAAAACAGGCTCTTGGGACTAGGAGAATGCAGGGACCGCGAGGGCAGGCATTCTCGAGTCAAATATCTACATCAGATGACTAGAAAGCAGTAAGTGTATCCCAGGGCAGTGGATTGGGTCCAACTGCAGCGATTGCGAATACAGACATCAACGCTTAATCGGTGCTTGGATGGCTCCCAAATTAGAGGTCGCCTACCCGCTTCAACAGCAGCTAAGATGCACCCGATATGCTTATTGGACCTGTCAAAGGCGCACACCAGATTCCCACCTCGTTAGCCAGCAATTGCAACATTTGCGGTCGCATTACTGATTATTCCTTCGAAGCTTCTTATGAGCATATCGACCAATGTTTCGTCGCCAGTATTCAGAACCATAGCAACTATAGATGACTCGACATCCCAAGTTAGTCTCAAGCACGCTCTGTTTCTTTCCTCGAGTTACCCCCTGCCCCTTGCCCCTAGATATGCAGACCTAAATATTGCACCTTTCACATCGGTCATACCGATTTCGCAATAATTCTACGCTGCGATACCGTTCCTCTTGTTGCACTGACCTAAACACTTTCAATTCGTGTTCCTGTGGCTATCAGGTGGATATTTCCAAATCTTCGTCATGCTCAGGTCAAAACCAAGCCATGCAGAGCTATTACCACCCCTAGAAACGGAGCTCTGCGGGGCCGCTAGGAGATGTGCGGATTCTAACTCGACGACCGAATTTTCTAGAACAAGAGAATCATGCCCTGTCATCCATTTGTCAGACAGGGCTGAGCATGTCGTTAAAGGTGAAACCTCTGGCTCGATTGGTAACTTCGACTATGGATGGTTGGATGATGATCATATTGGGCCTCTCTGGGGCTTGAATGTAAAATGCCCAACATCGTTCCACAGGCAATCACCGCGAGTTACTCTAGATCTGCCCCTCCGCGGAGAGACCAAAAGAATACCGCCTTAGCCACGCGCGGTGCAAGCGTTGCTTAGGCATGCTAGGATTTGGTGATCCATACACCGCTTGCTGCAACTCGTAACCGCGAGTAGCAACATGGAACTCGATATGGTGTGAAGGCCACCCTTTACGATTTCCTTTTTCAGGGTAACAGGAAACGCGGTCTGGGGACCACCAAACACCACCTTGGCCGCCATCATTACACAACAGAGCAGCCATTCTTACCCGACCCCATACCGCCTACACGATCATGGACAGGAATAACCGAAAGCGGTGTTTCCTAAGATTAACACAATCCGGACGCAGCCGTCTCACCCAGTCCAACCTATCTATTGACACCTGTATGCACAGCTTGATCCTTCTTCTCGCCTGGCAAACGATGACCTCACTATCCATCACTCCCTTCTGAACTCTACGTTTCTGCCAGGCCTATCTATCTGCTTCGGCTTGGTTCCACCTAAAAGGTATAAATAGACAAGGCGACCTCTACATCAATTCCAGTTTGCGCAGTCACGATCATATCTATATTAACTTTCACTTCCGGGCCCTTGCTCCTCCTTACACCTTTCCTCTCAACTCACTCTGTTGCGCTTGGCGACGTTTGTCTCATTAGCTTTGCCCCTTCGGTCTTTTGTTCCGGATTGGATCCAATCCACCACGTGGAAACCCCTCCAGCGTCTTCGGTGCTCAAGTAGTCCCTTTCAATATGTGCTACCAAGTGGTCGAACGCTTCGCCGCCTGTTACTGCCTGTATCACAAGCACAGTATCGATCCGTGTTCCGCCTACGGGCAAAGAGGACACTTGGTTCAAGAAAAGACCGTCCTCGTCGGTCATGCTTGCCCGGCTCACTCGTCCTATGCTAGAACGAAACTTGTATCAGGTCTCGGAGTCCTTCCAGACCCTGACTATCAAGGCTGAAGGTGATTGGCCCCAGGGTTTTAATTCCTTACTATATACGTGTGTTTAACTTTACAACAGTTCGTTGCAATAATGTCAGTGCCAGCTAAAAGCACAGCAAGGGAAAGACACCCCTGGCTGCGAGATCGGCCTAATTCAACTACACGGCGAGCCCCGCATCCTCTTTGATTAGACTGTCGAGCCTTCAAGTTATCGTTGAAAGGCAGCAAATCGATCACGGCACCGAGTGTCCTATCACTCCATTTTGCCATTTCAATTGGCTATCATCTCGATACCCCCGCATCGATTGCGTCGACCAGTCCCCTGTTGGATTTGCTCGACCAGTCTCTCCAGATTCCAGAGCCCACTTCTCCATCATCACACCTTCAAACCCCGGCCAGAGGTTACGCCGCGCTTACTCAGTCCTTGAGAAGCTCCACATCGCGGATTCCGAGTACGAGCCGTCTTTTGCGGCATGCATCCAGCGTAATCCCTTTTTTAAAGTGGAACACGGCCTGGTGCAGCAAATCACATCCTCTCTTGTCTAGATGGCATTCAAATAATGCATCCCATGTCGATGCACTCCGATACTTTCTTCCCTTCCTCTTGGGACGACCTGAATCCATGGTTCTGGGGCGACCCCGGACTATAACTCTCCTACATGGGGTTTAGCGTGGAGGTGGCGACTTTCAGAACCCGCATGAAGTCCAAGTCACATGAATTTGCGCATCCGATATTCAGCAAGGGAATACCACATCGACAGGTGCATTGCTATACCTGATCAAGGTCAACTGGTCAAGATATCTTCCTCGATCGTTGGGGTCAAGAAAGGCATGCTGCATTTGTTCGAGCACAGGTACTCTCAGTTGCCTTAGACCCTCCACAGGTGTGCTGCGAGACGCGAAATCATACGGCTACGTGCACCTGCCAATCAATTCGGCACGCGTTTTGATCCCATCGATGGCACCGTCAAAATCGTCGAGAATTTAGCTATACAGTCGATCCGAATCTTTCGGTGTGCCCCAGTACACACCATAATCTTCCGCAAGTGGAAACAAAATTCCACGCAACTCTCGGCAAAGTTCTTTGACGAGGTCGAGACAATCGACACCGTGGGGAAACTCGTCCAGAATATATTTTTCGAAGTACCGGAGGGAAATCTGCTGCTCTTTCCGACAGGAAATTAGGCATACGTACCGGTATACCAGTAGGCTAACGGACTGCCTATTCGGAGCCCTTTCTTCCGATTCCAACAGACGCATTGCCAAACAAGAACATAAAGAAACGACTCCAAATCATAACGATAAGAATGACGGACGTGTTCCTTACTAGTTCTCAACACCCCGACCACCATGAACTTCAAGGTATCGGTGCGACTGCGAGCGCCGGTGGATTCGCAATCGCCTTCTATGGCAAGATCCAGATCGATCAGCATCCCCTTGGATTTGGACATCCCCGAGTCGGGTTCGATGATGCTGTTCTCCGAAATATCTCAATGAATAATATTTTCGCTGTGATACAGGGAATGGTCTGCTTCGATAGGGTCGCGAAGCGCTTCTACCAACTCCAAAGGAGTGCTCCGGTCGTATTTATAGATCGGCTTGCCAGCATGCGAGATGACGGATCAGCGGAAAACGCGGTTATGGAATAATTCGGTGCTGGGACTAGGAAAACTTAATGGCTGGGCGTCGGACGCGTTAGACGCGACTTGGTCTCGTAGACAGCTCAGTTCCATAGTGTAAATTATTGTTAGACCTAAATCGCTTTGAATTCGAACGGGTAGCAACCGAAGCCACCCGTTTCCTCAACAATCCTTGTCGAGAAGTCGATGGGGTTCTGATCACGAACTTGAAATACGTACGGTTTCCCAAACGCCAGTCCTTGGTACATGTCCTCCGTGCTCGTGATGAGCCGAGAGCCGATCAACAGGGCGACACCCTCAACTCCTCTATTCTGAGCCCTTTTGAGAAGCTGGGCTTCGGAGTAGATTTGTTCGAGCGTCCAGAAAAACCCCGCAACCCTGTTCCACACAGGGCTGGTCAGTCGCGGGCTGAGTAGGACATTCGTGAGCAGGTCATCCGCGGGCAGGTCATTCGTGGGCAGGTCTTTTCAGAGGTGGTCGTTCGCGGGATGGACTTTCGGGGGGACTCTCGCACGGTAGCAAGAGGTTCCGCGACACAACTTCCGATCGGTAGGTAAGCGGTGTGAGTTCCAGTTCCAGCCTCCTCCTCTTGATGGACTCTTCATCCCGACCTTCCGGGTCGATTTCTATAATTAGACGGCCTTAATCTCGCTCGGCAAACGTGTCCAGACCCAGCTCCTCCTCAAATTATCCATCATGGTGTAGCCGGGAATCGCCCGCACATATTTCTCCAGATAGTCATAGATATCGCTCGGGTTCGCTGTAGTATAGCATTGGCGATCCTCCCCTGAAAAGCACCTCGTCTGAAACCGAAATAACCAACCTTTAAGTTCTCCCTCGGTCGGGTTGTCGTGAATACGGAATACCGGTCCATCTGATGCCCTTACCCCATTCGTCCTCGACCAAGTTAAAGCACCGCGTAGCACGGGGTGTCCAAATTTTGCCCTCGAATTACTTCTCAACGAACACTGGTACCGGCTTATGTGTACAGTCTCTAAGCTCGTCGATGGTCTGTCTGCTCACTACCTTGTTATGAATTGGAGGACTTGACCGGTCTGTCGCCGAATTCAAGGGCACTGGTTTCAGGAGTGGCTCCTCAGCGGGAAGCAATGAGATCGAAGACCGCGTTCCAAATCTCTTAGTCGGGCGATTCCAAAACGATGTGGTTCGCGAGTGTGAGGGCCTTCTTGTAGTCGATCATGAAGCCAGAGTCATAGACTTGCAAAATAAGCAGCTTTATTTCTTCCGTAATGTTGCAACCGCTGGACTTCGAATGGAGATTAAGAGCGACGAGTTTTCTTGACAGGGTACCTAAACAAAGTAAAACTCCTGCTTTCAATCGGCATTTTGTTACGGCAGCGTCCAGAATCGATCGAAGCTCCTGTAGCATATCAGCCCTAATAGCAGGGCTTCGATGTGTTTCCGGTTATCTGAAGAGAGAGAAGAAACCAAGCGCAGGCGTTGAACCAAAAAACAGGATAAGGCTATCGGAGTTCATACAGGATAGGGTGAAGGGTGGTAACGGCCGCCTTGGGCAGGTTGCCCGGACAACAGTACCAAATCAGGTCAGGTAACATAGCTTGTCACTAACTAATTAGAGATAAATGGTATTAGACCTCATTCCCCACTATTATCCGGGCAAATCGAGCGAAGAGTTAATGCCCAGGAAAACAAACCATCAGGTTATCTCCGAATGACGTATTCAAACTTATTTGTTCCAATGGATCTGGTGTAGAAACGGCATAGGGTAGAGCGAGCGAATAACTTGCCGAGGCAATGACGGGCCTGAACCGTGAAATGGGCGAGAACACATGTCAGACTGCTCTTGCAAACATTATTTTGCAAACCCTCTATTTAACAGTGCGGGCCATCTGGGGCGCAGATGAATTGCAAAAGCCATCCAGTAATGAATGCAAGGACTACAGGCCTTTTAACCCCCAAGATTCACCATAGATTGGAAGCATAATGGCACAAGACGCCGCGGGTAGAATTTCAAAACAAAGTCCTCATCCGTGAATACGCCCCAGCAAGCTCAATTGGGGCGCGAAGACTAAAAGGGAACCAGGTATCTGGCGGGAAACTTTGCTCCCGTATACACCACACATCCATTGACACCATGTACTTACACGGGAGAGATACCAGCATCTCTTGCTGGCGGACAATACATCCGGAATGGATCGAATCCCCTGCTCAATGATGAGCAGGATCGTATGTACCATTGGTTCGATGGCGATGGGATGCTCGCGGGAGTCTTATTCCGCAAAGTCGAAGGCGGAATACAACCGCAGTTCGTCAACAGCTGGGTTGAGACTGACATCTTGAAAGCGAACCGGAAACTTGGCGCTTCTGGTTCCAAAATGTTGGGGTGGCCTTGGAGAATTACGAGGCCGATACCTCCAAGTATTTCCACACTTGTTGATCCCACTGCAGGGCCGTCAGCTGTTGGCAAGGAGATTCTGAGAACGGTATTGATTCGGTTCGTCTCCCATCTCCCCTGGTCAAAGGCCAAGATACGAAGGATCAGCGTCGCCAATACCGCCATGCTATATCACGATGGACGAGCTTTGGCGACTTGCGAAGCTGGACCGCCAATAAGGGTTGGTCTTCCCGGACTTGAGACAATCGGGTGGTTCAATGGTGCCTTCGCGGAAGGAGAAGAGAGTAGGAAACATGACAATGGTTTGCCACAATTCGCTGGCAGCTTGCAGATAACGACGGCGCATCCGAAAGTGGATGAAGAAACCGGGGAGATGATCCTCTTCCACAACATTTCCAACGCCCCATACGTTCGGTACTCTGTCTTGCCGTCATTAGAGACACTGACAGCAAATCCTCGACGCATCACCGAAGCTCCCGTTCTCGGGATGTCCACCTCCAGATTGATGCACGACTTCGGTGTGTCCAAGAGGCATACTGTGATTCTCAACATCCCTTTGTCGGTAACGCCTTCAAACCTTGCGCGAGGCAAACCGATGGTTCAGTACAACCCGAGAGAACCCTCTCGTTTCGGTGTGCTTCCGAGGCACGATCCAGACAAAATCGTTTGGTTTGAAGATGACCCTTGCATCATAACACATACAGCCAGCACATGGGACGAATATGATGCGGATGGGAACTCGACTGCAGTCTGCATGCTATTATGTCGATTGATCGCCCCAGACATTATCTACCAAGCAGGGAATCTTGAGCCACCTCCAATCCTGTCGACCCATGAACATTGGCGGCCTCCGGGCACTGGACACGGCGACGGAAGTGAGACATCCGACGGGTCATCTTCAAGAACGGAAGAGAGTCATATTTGTCGCCTTCATTACTATAGATTCCCGCTGAACTCAGGCAACTCACCACGCCGGCCATCGCATTCATTCCCCCTCTCGGCGGTTGATATGGAATTTCCCACTGTTGCCCCAGGTAAAAGCATGCAGAATGCTCGCTTCGTCTATGGCTGCAGTTCCAGGTCGACGCAGGTGAACTCGGCGGATGGATCACTCGTGAAGATCGACATCATTACGAAGATGCACGCTGGGGAGCTTGTTCGACGAGGTCGAGAATCATCACCAAGAACTCGTCGCCCTGTGGACACTCGTTTAGTAGGCGACGTCTCTTTGACTGACGGCAATGACAATTCCCATGTACAGCTTTTCGCCCTTCCGCCGGGGATTTACGCAGGAGAACCCCGCTTTGTACCCGATGGCGGCGCCAATGAGGACAGGGGCCACCTGCTATTCTTCACATTTGATGAGGAACAGCTACTTCCAACAGGAGATGCTCCGAGAGGTGCAGCCAGTGAGTTGTGGATCCTCGACGCAACAGAAATGAAGGACGTTGTCGCAAAGATTCAGCTAGTACAGCGAGTTCCGTATGGTTTGCATGGTGAATGGTTCACTGAGGAGCAAATCCGTGGGCAGCGGAGCCGGGCATCAAAGCACATCTAGGGTGGACGAAACTGATAACACTGCGCTCTCAACGCCCTCCTGGCTTCTCTAGCCTATGAAAAGGGAGGGGGTATAGAGACTTCCCTTGCAAAATAGGACATTAAACTGCACGGGTTGATTTCTAGGACTAGTATAGTCGGGTCAAATACGGTAACAATTGACATAAGTCAACCCCCTGGGTTTTCAGTGCACCAATCGTTATAAAAATCGGCACAGTTGAGTGCCCCTATTGCCGTGGTATAGGACTATTCGAGTCTGCCTTGACATCATCAACTCTAGCCTAGTAGCTTGATCAAAGGTATACAACTCGGGGTCTTGTTGCGGGGCGGTCTTGCTTTGTATAGGCTCATCGGATTATGTAGATTCGGAAATGTGCGCAGATTGAAGCATTCGAGCAATTACCATCGCTGATGCACCCTCCAAAACGGGGAAACACAATTTTTGGCAGAAACACTTTGTTTTTATGTTAGAGCACACAACTCAGGTCAAGACCATAAACAAATGGTTGGGAAAAAAAAATCGAGAAAAAAAAACAAAAGGTTAGGGAGTCGATCCCAAGAGTTCCAAAGATTGCGAAGCGGAGCATTGTGCGCTCAACCTACGGCTATCCCTGGTAAAAGGCAAGGAATAGGTTCTTTAGGGAGTCGCGCTCCAACTTGAAAATCGACCGGAATTAAATATGTAGTGTCAAAATTAGAGAATGCAAGGATGTGCTGAATAGTCATGTGATGGAGACCAAGGAAACCCTGGAATGTAATAATGTTGTCTTTCACTGTAATTACTATTGGTAGTAATACCGTAACAATTAGTGGAGGCCAGCTGAGATGCAGTGAGTTCGCCTTCTAGATTATAATAAGTTGATTGGCCTATTCTCTACAAATCGGCTTTAGCACTACGCTATCGAATTTAGTACATGGTAGTTAAACGAATGAACGTACATAGTACACTTATTATTAATAACACGTGAACAACCAGCCAAGCCGTAGCAGCATTGGGGCCTTGGCTCTTGGCTCTGGGGTCTGGGCAAGCTTGATATTCGGTCATCCCTGACTTCAATTCAGTTCACTTCCCTTTTCTTGTAAGTTGTAATTAACAAATCCTTGTCTGCAACCTTCGCTGTTCCTGTTGTGTTTCAATGAGCAGTGCAGACATGAGGGCATCTGGACCATGTCGCGACAAATCACGAAGGTCGTGATCACGCTCATTTCAACCGTTTCGTTGCTCTTCCTTGTCACCACTCTTTACCTCTTCAACTCCAAGCCGTTGAGCGCTTTCGGTTTCCCTTTCTCAAGGGGCAAACCCTCCCATCCAAAGTCAAATATCCGCATCTACGAGCCGAGTACGGCACATGTCCTTGGACAGAGCGTGGCATATGCTACCTTCCTCTCGACACGCGTTTCCAATGACAGCGAACCAGACGCATATTTTACTGCCACCCGCGTCCTCGCGTACCAACTCCTCCACCAGCCGCAGACCAAATCGACCCGCAACATCCCTCTTCTCGTCCTCGTTCCTCCACACGTATCGGACCATAAGCGGTCAGTTCTAGCATCTGAAGGCGCCACGATCGTCCCGATCTCAAATCTGAAGCCGGAGAAGGACTGGGTTGGCCCAACCGAACCGAGATGGGTCGACCAGTTTTCCAAGCTGCAACTTTGGGAGCTGGACAAGTATGATCGCATTCTTTACCTCGACAACGATATGCTCTTGACCCAGTCCCTCGATCCAATCTTCACGCTCCCTGTTGCTAGTACAGTTTTGAATACACTCAAGAAAGCGGAGGTCAAGGCAGATGAAGCACTGTTACCTTCCAAATACCTTATGGTTGGGGTGTCTGATACCGGCGGTGCAGAACATCCCTTCCCACCAGAGGACCGCCCAGGCTCTTCGATCAATGGCGGATTTTTCCTTCTGCGACCCGACAGGAAGTTGTTCAACTACTACCTATCTGTGATGGAAATTGAGGGCAGATTCGATAGCGGATTCATGGAGCAAGGTCTCCTGAACTACGCCCATCGACATGATGGCAACATGCCAGCGAAGAAGTTCCCACCAGGGGAATGGAATGTGAATTGGCCCAGTCTCCGGGACTTGGAAGGGGGCGCAGCATCTTTGCACGACAAGTTCTGGTATGTAGATCTAACTCCATGGCACGATTCCCACGACCTAACAAGCTTTTAGGGAGGAAGGAAATAAAAAATGGATTGACAGGACGTTAGTGGAGATGTGGTGGCGTGTCCAAGGCCAGATGGAAGGTTTTTGGCAGAAAGAAAGGGCTCCTCGAAGAGGCCGAGCTGAATAGATACAAAGTTGTATCTCCCTTTTTTAGCGTGTATAGATGTTCTGGCGTTGGGGTCCTTCAACCATGTCTCTACGATGTCGAGCATAATGGGATTTGTTATGGGGGGTCGTTGGGTCGGGTGTGGTCGTACATGTTAACTTTACGGCGATCTGGACGTAGGGGCGAATATTTGACGCCCTATCCCCCTGCTGGCTATCCGTAATTCCGCATACCATAGAGTAAATGCTCGACTAGGAGTTATCTGCTGGGAGGCAGACGCCTCCGATTAAACTTGGCCTCCGTACCAAACATACACACCGATATAACAATGAAGTCGAGAAGATAAGACTTATTCCCATATCAAGCAAGATCATTGGTCATTGTAGGCACTACGAACTCGGTTCCGCAGGAATTCCCTAGTCCAACAAAGGAGAAAGGCCAGGAAATGTTTCTTTGACTGTGGAGTCCCTAAAGGCTTCAATTTCATTCGGTGTCGTGCTCTGTCTATCGGACTCCGAAGGGCAGTGTGCAAATATCAAAATTCCAAAATTCGGCCCAATATACCCAATCGGTCGTCGGTCGGCTCATGAACTCGGGTGAAAGGGAGACAAAGGCACACAGAACCCAAATTTCGCAAATGAATAGCAGAAATCCCGATTTTTCAGCTCATATCGTTCACCTAAAGAGAGGTGCAAACTGCAAGGTCCATCTAACAAGCCCAGAACGTGGTGTGAAGGCGTCTGAATGTTTCCACCGGACCTTGAGGCGAGCGAGCGTGCACTGCTGTTTTGCTTGATTGGCTGTGTAGTATGTATGTACGTGGCGCTCTCTGCGGGTCTGCCTGATGCCTGACAACGGGGCTATTTGTTGTTGGGACGACGGCTGGACTGCTGCGCCACGGATACATTGGGACGTGGAACTGATCGCTAGTCACCAGACGCAATTGGGGACGTTATTCGGCGTTGTCGTCGACGTCTTCCATCGATATGGAGTTCTAGAAGGACGATTTCGGCGAAATTAGGCATGGTTAATATTAATGCAACTTGGTTGACGGTAGACGTCTGTCGTGAAGCATATTAAGCCATGTCGGGGAATGGAATGGTCAATCGATCGATTGGCCTTGGAGTTTAGAATACAAAAGGTTTAGAAAGAGTCAATGAGAGAATAAAATTTGATGCGGTTACGAGAATCAAACTTTTGGCTAACCTGTCATGACTGCTGCGAGTGCTGTCATTGAAAACTACACTATACATACAAGTTGATTCCTAAGATCTTACAGCCTTCTTTACCTCCATGATCGGTCCGCTCTTCCAGCTCGCGAACCCGTCCACAAGCATGTACTCACCTGGAGCCTCCGGTTTTCGTCCTTCCAGCCATCCGCCAGGAGCCTTCTGCGTAGCGGATAGCTTGAAATCGAACTCAAAGATGAGTCGACCCATAATAAGCATCATCTCGACATACGCCAAACCTTTTCCAATACAGCCGCGGGGACCATGGCTAAAGGGGCTAAATGCGGATTGAGCGAGCTGGACCGATTCAGTGGTGGCCTGGAACCCCTCTGCGCCTTCAATCCAGCGCTCGGGAATGTATTCAAACGGGCGGGGGAAATACGCGCTGTTATGGTGAATTGCGTAATGTGGAACGTAAACATCGATGCCAGCAGGGACATGATAAGAATCGATCTCAATACCTCCTTGCAGGACTTCTCGAGGCATGAAACCCGGGACAGGAGGTGACAGGCGCATCGCCTCATCGATGCAAGCACGGAGGTAGGTGCATCCAGTGAGATTCGGACCGGACACGATCTCCTCGACATTCAAGAATGCCCGGCGAACTTCGAGGCATACCTTCTCCATAACCCGGGGGTTATGGAGAAGGTAATGGATGGTGGCCGACATCGCGGTGCTCGTGGTATCGGACCCAGCAACGATCAGGAGATTCGCTTCGCCCCAGAGTTCGTTCTGGCTAAAACCTTGCCCCGTCTCAGGATCTCGGGCCTGGAGCAGGTAGTGAAAGAAATCCTTCCGGTCGATATCCTGTCCGAGAGCAGTCCGTTCGAGAACCTGTGCTTTGGAATAAGCTATGAATTCCGCTCGACCTTTCGCGATTTTGGGAAAGAGGACACTGTCAAGCTTGGCATGATGGAGTGGCAGAAATGACCCACACTAACAGTTATTGATCAGTATTAACTCTGAAACCATAAGCAATATACAAGAGACTTACGATCGTGTGTCTGCGGGCAGTCTTGCTGACCAAGTCCACAGCAAAACGGTTCTGTGGGCTCTCCAACATGCCAAAGGCCTTTCCAAATGCCAGGTCGCCCATGATGTCAAAAGTTAACCAGTTGCAGAAGTCCGCAACGTTGAGTCCATATCCCCAGCCTTTCGACTCCATAGATACCTTCTCCCCACCGTCTGAGCGGGTCGAAGTGGTATCTGTGAGGAGTTGAGAAGCAGTTCTTATATTTGCAAGGACGAACCGCTCCATAGCTTTAATCGCCTGATCCGAGAACGCGTAGGAAAGGACGCGCCGTTTCCGGGCATGCATCTGCTTATCGATGCTGCTGTGGACGCTGATAGCATGCTTGTTTGCGGGAAAAGCACGGTAGAAGTCGGACTTTTGTACGTTCGCTCGGTAGCCATAGATGGATTTCAGGGCCGTGTTCGAGTTGAAGGAGAGTGCATTGGGGCCTGCACGAACCACAGGGCCTAGATCGGAAAGTCAACATAGGACACACCTGGTTGGGTAGGCAATGCTACTCACCATATTTCTGGTGCAGCTTATATATGTGAACATGTCGGTCTCCCCTCCAGGCATAATATGTCATATAGATATTTGTACATGATGCCAAAAAGGGACCGGGATACTTGCGTAAAGCATGGAAATATCGAACGTAAACGCAATACACTACGAGCTAAAACGACCTGACGTTAGAATCATGCGATATCGAATGTAATTTCACACTTCTAGGCTTACGATGCTTGTAATGATGCCAACGAGTAAACGAAGGACTGGACCGATGCAATCGCTGAGGGTGCCAATACTGAAGGTAGAAACGATACCCATACTGGGGATTTTGGGAACTAATAACGGTTGACGTGCTTTCAAGGAGATAAAATGTCCGATGGAATAAATCTTCCAGATAAAGACCGAATGGAAAGACTAGACCGACAAAGAAAGCGAAAGGAGTATCAGAACGAGCAGCAAAAAGAGAGTCCCGCCCTTTATCTACCACAGCCTACCATACCTACCTACTCTGGGGTAACCCCTCTTTCGAACCGGGGAACTACAGATAATCGGATGTAACATGATAATTCCGGAAGACTTGACTGCAAATCGCTCCGGATCTTCAGTTGGTATTAAATGACAAATAGCATAAGTTAGTTATAGGGCGAGTATCGAGGGTTAGTATCGATGGTTGGGAGTTTTTTGGCTGGTCGGTTAGATGCGGCGTTTTATGACTAGGGATGTCGACAGCTTGTTAGGCCGGTATTGTACTACTTCGACATAATTGGTGTCCTATATATATATATCTCATTGGCCCCGCTCAGGGTTTCCATACGATAATGAACAGCAGGAATTGAATCCTCCAGTGAAATATCCATTTATTCCATGTCACTGCAGATCTTTGGGTTTTTGGAACCCTCCTAGAGCTATGGCGCAGCAATACGATCGTCCGGTCTCACCTCAGCTGAAACATGAATGACGTAATTACAGGATGCAGGACTTGCTGATACTGGGCGGGGATATTTGATATTCCTACATACAAGTAGTTAGAGAGTGTTCGCTGGTTTTATATAAGTTCCAGCGTGAAGGCGGTGAGTTTAAACCATTGCAACCAAAGGTCCAGTTGGTAGTGAAGTCATGCAGCATGTCATAGACGCATTTGTGGGTTAGCACAAGTCCGACCATCAAGGTCCCCGTCTACGGCCAATCGCGCATGGCAAGAGACGATCGAGCGGATAACGGACACCGGAATCACCAATGAGGATCAACGACATGATGGAATTCAAGACGGGTTTCCAGGGATATCTTCAAACTCAGGAACCTTTTTTTGGAGAAGATGCCACTGTAAAATGTTATCTCGCATCGCCAGGTCCCTGGACTATCCAAGCACCCTCCTCTTCAAACTACCCATCTCACAAAGCACTCACGCACTCTACGACTTGATCTTCCCCACTCGAAGCCATCAGGTCTCGACCCTTAAGGAGAACGAACTTCGGCCGTTCCGCTCACTCCCACCCGGCCCGGACCCAGCGACCGTTTCTTATACTAATGCAAGACTTGGATATTGCATCAGGTATCATGTGGCATTCGTCGAGCTACACAATCCACTGCCTGGATACTTCGACCAGAAGTACTATACAAACTGACAATTTCAATTATCGTCCGCGGAAGTGCGTTAAATTCGCTAGGAGGAATGATCATGGACTCTGGGGCGTGTGCGAGCGCATTGGTTGGGATGGATGATGTTGCTGTGGTGGCTAGGAGTCTCTTGGTCCCAAATGCCGAACTCCCAGCAGTGTGGAATGGCGACTAGGTCTATAGAATCGCGTGCGGTGCTGAATGTGTAAGGATGATAAGTGTGATCGTCATACTGCATGGAGTAGAATATTCATCGGAGCTGGCATTGGTATATGGATATTTCGCGTGTATATGGCGGGAGTCGACCAGGTTCTATGATCCAGTGGCATGGTCCTTATGATTGGACTTAGCGATATTTGGCCCCTCTACAGCAATATGGTATGGTGGAAATGCCTTATCATCAGCCACCTCCTCCCTCCCCAGGCACTGGTCTAAACGTATTGAGACTTGAGGGTACTTAGACAATGAGTTCGATGTCAGCGCCTATGTTACTTATTTGTCTAGTTCTCCCCTTTGGCCTTGCCCGAGAACACATCATTCATAACTTCCTTCAGCTTACCCTCCGCCTCATCCGTGACCTGATAGTGTATAACGAGCCGTTCTCCCATGACCCGGAGTCCTTTCGACTCCGCGAGCTTGATGAACTCATCCGTGTCCACGCCTGTACCTTTCAGGCTCAGCCAGACCATATTGGTCTCGACTGGGAACTCATGCTTTCCCCCTAGGCTCTCCCAATAGTCCCCAAGCTTCTTCGCCCGTACATGCGCAGCCTGGAGCCCCCCCCCCAAGAACGTCTCCTCGACGGCCACTCGAGCGGGCGCAGCAATTATTCCTGTCTGCCTCATGCCGCCGCCGATGCTCTTCCGGACCCATCTTGCCCTCTTGACAAAGGCTTCCTGTCCAACGAGGATACTGCCGATCGGCGCACCTAAACCTTTACTGAAGCAGAGACTCACGGTGTCGAAGCACTCGCAGTACCCCTTGAGCTCGCCCGCACCAGCCACCACCGCTTCCCATAGCCTTGCACCGTCAAGATGCATGATTATGCCATGGCCTCTCACCCATTCACTGATCCGCCGACACTCTTCGAGTGGTAGGATAGTTCCGTTGAGGGTATTTTCGAGGCACACCATCTTAGTTGGGCATGCATGTACATCGTCACTGAGCACAACATGCTCTTTGACGTCTTCCAGCGTCAAATGTCTTCCATTACTCGGCTTCACCGTCGTAACCATTGCTCCACTCAAGCTCGCCGCGCCGCCGGCTTCATACCGGATGATGTGCGAGCGATCATCGACGATGATGGAATGCGGCGGAGCCTGTAAATGGGTCCGTATCGCAACCTGATTCCCCATGGTACCTGAAAGCACTAGGACTGCGGCCGGCTTACCCGCAAGGGACGCGACAAAGGATTCTAGGGAAGAAGTAGTTGGGTCTTCTTGGAAGACATCGTCGAAGAGGGAGCAGTTGCCGATAGCTGTGAGCATGGATGGTGTGGGCGTGGTGACAACGTCGGAACGCAGGTCTATAGCACTCGGACCGGGTGATGACCAGGCATTGTGGGATGCGGAGGTAGAGGGATTCTCCACGGGTGTTTCTGGAGCGGTCGATACGTTTGATTTGCTGTAAATGGACATCGTGCGGGTGTGATTGGATGCCCTTCGGGCGCTCGTGGGGCAATATGGTTGATTGAACCGAGTGATTTTGCTGGAAACTTGGACAGACTGGGTCTCACGAAATGTTCTTTGGAACACAAGTCGAGGAGAAAACATTGATGTTGGTTTCAATGGCAGATTTAATCTGACACGACTTGCACGAGACTCCGTTGGAGAAGTTTTATATGTACGTGTGCAGTCTTGGGAAGCTGGTTGGGACAGAACAGGAGTCCAAATTCACGGGAACTGTAGACAATAATCAAGCTTTCCCTGATAAGTGCCCCGCATCGGAAGATTGTCTATTCGCCTATTCCCTTTTACGATTAGCGGCCGATGTGTTCCAAAAGACCAAAACTGTGGATGGCGGAAAGCTTGACTTCGGGCCTCCGCGCTGTTACTGTGTTGGTTAGTTACAAGTTACAACGCGACGCGACAGCAGCGAGCACCCAGGAGACGACTCTAAGGCTTAAAGTCCCAAACGATTGAGCAACGTCCGAATGGGTGACGAATCTAATAAATATTTACCCCTGGAGACGCATCTGTCTATTGTCGTATCGAAATCTTGCGCAACCAGTTACGTGAACCTGGGCTTGTGGAGATAGCGCTAGAATCTCAGGGCCGAGTTTCCCGTCCCGTCCGCTAATATTAAATCGAACCAACGATTCCTTCTAACTCCCCCCTCGTGGAGTCTCGTTTTTTCGGATTGGATATCGTTACGCCTTCTTTCTCTTTATTGCCCACGAATTAACGATTATCATGGCGCAAACGCCAGAGGCCCTTACATTCCGCTGATATCAACCGAAGCAAGCCCATGACACCGAACCAGGCGTCGGCCAGGCTCGAGGCCGACAGATCGAATGGATTGGCGAACGCGACTACGACCAATCCTCAGGATGCTGTGTCAATAGCGGTACCACCCGAAGAAGATGCATCCTGCACATCGCAGAAAGCGATGTCTGCAGGAAAAGTGAGCACATCAACGGCCTCTGCGGCGCGACCGGTAGAAACAGATGGGCAGCGGGAACCTGCTGCAGAGGCAGAAAAGACGGAGGAGGGGAAACCGGAGAAGACAAGGAGCAAAGCGCGCATTGTCGTCATCCTAATCGCGTTATCGGTATGTGAATTTGTGATGAGTCCTGGGAAATGGGTTCGCTACGACGATCTTCAAGATAGTTCTAACTCGTGGTGCAGATGGCTGTTTTCCTTGCAGCGCTCGATATAGTAAGTCCAACCCTCCGTCCCCTCACTCCGCCTTCAGTGGTGGTCGAAACCGTTGGCCTATGATGGCCCATTCTGTCGACATTCATCTCTTGCCTGCGACACAAGAAAAAATACGAAGCAAGGAGTAAACACCTTGGGACGTTTCAAGGCCCAGAGATCAAACTCAAGGCCATCGATGTCGACCACCACGGAGGCCCCTCTTGATATTCATTGGGTATTGACATCTTCGGCAGACCATAATCACGACCGCCCTCCCGACAATATCATCGCATTTCGGATCCGCAGCCGGTTATACATGGATAGGTTCGGCGTATATGCTGGCCGCTGCCGCTTCGGTCCCAGTATGGGGCAAGTTCTCCGATATCTGGGGTCGTAAAATCATATTGCTACTCGCAAACCTTCTCTTCTTTATCGGATCACTCATTGCGGCGCTTTCCGTGAGTATTGGTATGCTGATCACTGCCCGTGGCATTCAAGGGGTGGGCGGAGGAGGCCTTCTCGTTTTGGTCAATATCGTCATCTCGGACCTATTCTCCCTTAGGTACGTCGGTGGCTGCCCAAAGCTAAACTTTTACCTACAATTGGCCAGAGGTCGGGATATGGAACTGACATTTATGATCTGTGCAGGTCTCGCGGCGCTTATTATGGCATCATTGGCGGCGTTTGGGCAATTGCATCAACGCTAGGCCCCATCTTGGGTGGTGTTTTCACGGAGAAAGTGAGCTGGCGGTGGTGCTTCTACATTAATTTACCACTTGATGGCGCTGCATTCCTGCTGCTGCTCATTTTCCTGGACGTCCACAACCCGCGAACCCCGCTCTGGGCGGGTTTAAAGGCCATCGATTGGATTGGCTGCGCTGGGGTCGTAGGCGGCGCCCTCATGCTCCTCCTTGGACTCGAGTTCGGCGGAGTTATATTCCCATGGAACAGTGCCAAGGTCATCTGCCTGATCGTCTTTGGCGTCTTCACACTAGCACTCTTCCTAGTGAACGAGTGGAAGTTCGCAACCTGGCCGATTGTCCCACTGAAGCTTTTCCGTCATCGGTCGAATTGCGCCGCAATGATGGTCTGCTTCATCCACGGATTCGTCTTCGTCTCATCCTCGTACTTCCTCCCCCTTTACCTGCAGGCGGCTCGGGGATCCTCCCCCATCATGTCAGGCGTCTATCTTCTACCCATGGTCCTCACAATATCCATTGGTAGTATGTTCTCCGGCGTCTTTATCAGGAAGACGGGCCTCTACCAGCCTCCTATTTGGATCGGTCTCGCATTTATGACGCTCGGCTTTGGACTGTTTACCGACATCGACGCCCACTCGAGCTGGGCTAAGATCATAGTTTATCAGTTAGTTGCTGGATTTGGCGTTGGACCGAACTTCCAGGCACCTCTCATTGCAATCCAATCCCTCGTCGAGCCGCGAAATATCGCTTCAGCCACTGCGACGTTCCAATTTGTTCGGAATCTGGCTACATCGATGTCTATTGTTGTTGGAGGCGTTCTTTATCAGAATGTCATGAACCAGTACGAAGGCAAACTTGTCTCCGCTGTCGGGCCGGAGAACGCAGTACGACTTGGTGGCGCAAACGCGGGAGCCAATATCGGAGTTGTATACTCTCTTCATCCCAACCAGCGCGTTGCCGCGCAGGAAATCATCGCCGACAGCATCTCGAAGCTTTGGATCATGTATGCGACTTTTTCTGGAGTCGGCTTGTTAGTTAGCTTATTGATCACTAAGCAAACTCTGGGAAAGGACCATCAAGAGATCAAGACAGGGCTGCAGAAGGATCAAGCTTCTGTTCATGAGCAGCCTGCTCAGGCCATCGATCCACAAAGCGCCCAGGGCGTGGCGAGATCGGGTGGAGAGACGGAGACGAGGCCTGAAGCAGACAAGGAGGTCAAAGTGTAATTGTATAACTTAGATCCATTGCTGTAGTATAGCGCAGTTATAAATATTCCCTATTCCAACTCCAGTGGAATGATAGTGCTAAAAATTCTTAAGTAGACAAAGCCTACAGTACGGGGGCCCTGAAACGCTGTGACTGGGGCACCAGTTTCTGCTCTCCATGGCATCAGATGAAAAGCCGCACTGGTGCCTTGCTGCATGGATCTACGATTCAGAGTTTGTCCACTCTCAAGTCATCCTGACCGCCGATTAAGGTAATTATTGCGTTTTAATGTCTGAGTCTACTTTTGCACGTCACAATACGCTTTTGATCTATTGTGGTGGCTTGATGTCGGCTTAGCGACAGAGGGCTTATGTGTTTCATACTTTCATTTGTGCTCCAGACAATAAACAGCTGTCGTGCATCATACTCATCACACATGAACATCGTCTCATGCAATGAATCGTTCTTCAAGGAAACCATCAACTTACGCCTAGATTTCTTAACGTGTAGCTCGGACCTTCCCAGCGAGGAAGGAAACTCCACGGGTCACACTGCCGTCAGTAGTGTACAAGAGATGGCCAGCTGTAACCACCAGACCTATGCCGCAGACACCATCGTCAAGCCGGCAGATGATGAGGACATCATTCCTCGGATAGTTCTGACAAAGGGTTAGCAAGAGCACGGAATCAGTCCCACGAAAAGGTGGTAGTACTCACATCGATCGCTCCGCCCTCTTCAAAATTGCGGGTGTCGCCATACAGAACTCCGCCAACTGTCTTCGCCTTGATGGCGCTGGAGAGACGGGACACCGCACCGTGCATGACAGCGGCACCTTGACTGTTGAACATGTCAACGTCAGCTATTCGTACTTACAGACGAGCCTGTCGGCGAATATGGTTTAGACATACCTGTAGCCTCCAAAGACAAGGGTTGCGTCAGGGCATCGTCTGCTTGCAGTTTCGAACAAGCTCACGGCGTTGTTGATCGCGGCCGACGAGGTGCCCGCCGGTAGAAGGTTGTCCCCGACACTCGCCCTGTACTGGGGGCCAACGCCTTGACACCCAACGCTCCCCAGACCAAGGGTGATTTTCAGGCCCGAGCATGTGACAGGGCCAACTGTGAGGCCCATATTCCCGGGCTCGGTGGACCCTCGAGCGAAGATGAAGAAGACGTCTCGACAGGCGCCACTGACTACGTCGTTGGAAGACGAACCTTGACGCTTCTCCTTCATGGTTGGCATATGCTCCGCGAAGCTCGCTTCCAAGGCGACGAGCTCTGGCGATTGAACCGGAGTTGCGGAAGACAATGCAGCGACCGCTGCAACAATGGTAAGGAGCCTCATGTTGATCTCTTGTCTTAGGGAGTTCTTGTAAAGGATTGATTCACTAGCCAGTAGAGACTCGAGTTCTTATAACCAAAGTCCTTTCAGCACGATGGAACTCCCACTCTTTATACTGAGCTTAGAACTCTTGGTCGGTCAGTCCTAGCTATTGGCCGTCGAGTTGACCTCGATTCCATAGACAACATCGTCCCCAAGCCCCCAAGTCACGGAGCCACACAAGATCTGCTAAGCGCGGAACCATTGATATTTACAGGCATCCTGTCCAGGGTACAAGAAGTTCGGCCGCCGGTCATTTCGGAACGCTCGATTTTATATTAAATTTATATTACACGGCGACGAACTGGCCATGCTTCGGGGGTGCCTTTAAAATATATGCAGAACTGGGTGTAGGACCAACATGAACTGCTACCTGCCTTTCGCGCTCTTCCCCCGCATTAGAACTTTTCCATTGTGTTGGGATTGGTTTTGCTAACCGGATACAGATTGGAATATCTTGGCCATTGTCAAGTCCCTCGGACTTCGGTGTCGACTGGGAGCGCTTGAGGACGGATATGTTTCCTTGCTGGTGATGAAGCTGGGGCCTGCAAGCAACACGTACATGCGTCATCCACACCTCGTCCACACTTCGTTCCCGTCGTACAAAAGACGGTAGCGCCACCCGATCGAGAAACTCCGGACCACTGATCCGATACCTGTATGATGTGCATATCACTAAGGCAAGGATACCTGCTTCGGTCTCATGATACATCGCATAAATGGCGTTCGGCGCTCTGGGCGGTGATACTCAGGACGACTGGTAAATAGGACTTTCGTAGGCTAGGGCGTTATAGTTCCCTTTCGATAATAGACTCTTGCCTTATAGGTTACTAGCTGCCCTTCATAGAACCAGACCGGAGAGATGTACCCTGGAGAGATTTTGTAGGCGGGGTATACCGTATAAACCTCTGCCCGTCATGCTGCCCGACTCTCCCTACATTAAAAGTCTCCTAATATTCTTTAGGTGGAATCCAACTAGTGGGGTTTTCCATCCGAGTTACCTCCACGTGGTTCAGAACACCCAGAAGTCGGATAACGGTGAGATACTAGTGAAGCCAACCCACCCTTTGGGCCAACAGCTGTGCCTCTGATATAATTGAGTGTGGGAAAGGATTGTCTGACGTCGAATACACAAATTGGACTGATGCTACTGCAGTTGATGAACATTTCGGCCCCCCAGATGACCGAGAAGCCTTGTCTGAATCTTTGTAGAATGAGGGGCATAGCAGAAGCGTGGCGTCAAATCGAAGGATCACAATGTCTCGCGACACGTTCTTGAATGACCGGTAGATTATCAACCTCTGCGTCACCGGGCAGCGGCATGGCCTCGACGGCCGCTTGATTCTACTGTGCAAAGATCGATGCTTTTTTGTTGGAATGACTTAACATCTATAAAATCTATACCTGGGACATCTGAAATTTCGCTATCTACCATTACAAGTGTTCTTTCTATGTACGAGCCATCGCAGGACCATCCAAATATACATCTCCGCCGTATTACAAACGATCACGAGATTACGCCAAGTGTGGCAGTGTGGATTTCTGGGTTTCGATAATCCACTGCTGTTCAGTGTGCTTGGGATCAGGGTAAAGGCTGTCCAAAATCGGTAACGCCCTCGGAACGATGAACCGAAGTTCAAAGCTTTGCCAAGCCATTCTGTATCTTCATCCATGCTGCTCCATCTAATACTCGATACGTATCTCCGTCCAGCCAGTATCGCGAACTGGCTTGGCTCGGCTCGGCTGGGTCCCACTGTTCCTTTTTCCATATCTGCTTGTCATGCTTGAAGGACGCCCCAACATCAAGTCTAACAACCACCATGATTAGTCTCGCCATAGTTCAGTCAGATATAGTCAACGTACCGATCAACCATAGCTAGAAGCCGAGGCACTGCATACTGAGGGACTCCACGATGCTTGAAAACACCTGGGAGCTTGCCGACAAATGCGACTTCTGCGTCTTTCGACAACTGCGTCAACGCCACTGCAGCCGTGCCCATCTGCCCGTCATAGCCATCCATCTTCCTACCCACGACAATCGCCTCCAAGACTTCGGGCATATCCGATATGTACCCCGCAATCTCCCCAGCGCTGACGTTCTCCCCCTTCCACCGGAAGGTGTCCCCAACACGGTCGTAAAACCGTATCCATCCCCATCGATCTTGGATGACAAGGTCTCCGGATCTTTGAAACATATCTCCGTCGGCAAAAACATTCCGTAATATCTTCGCATCGGTTGCGTCCTGGTTGTGTAGATAGTCGGTATATGTCGCTAGGCTCCTGATCCGTCCAATCGCTTCTCCAGGTTCATTTGGAGACGCCGGAACGCAAAATCCGGTCCGCCGATCCCTGTAAGGCTGCTGAGAAGCTTCATCGAATTTGATAATGAAGCAATCGTCCTCCAGCCACCTCCGCACCAAGCCTTTGTAGCCTACATATCCTGCGCCGAATTTATTATGTAAATGCCGATTGTCGTACTTCGCCAGGCCCTCGGTTGATCGGTAGAATTCACGGATTTCCGGGATCCCAAACCGCTTCTTGAAATTCATCCAGACGTCCTTCTGCAGCCCATTTCCCATCGCCACAATGCAGCCATGTCCCCGATCATGCGGGGAGGGGGGCTGGGCTAACAGGTAACGGCACAACTCTCCAACATACAGCATCCTTGTTGCTCGGCTCCGCCGGATCTCCTCAAAGTGTCGTGTTGCTGAGAATTTCCGTCCAAGACACAGAGCCCCCGAGGTCCCCACGCTATAACAGAGACCTGTAAATAACGATGTGCCGTGAAAGAGGGGCATGGAGGTATATGTCCGAACGGGAAAGTAATATTTCGGCTTGTCGGTATCAGGAGTCGTCGGAGTCGAGACAATACACATATGCATGTTCTTGACACTGCAGGCTTTGGGCATTCCAGTTGTCCCTGAGGTATATACCAGTGCTGCTATATCGATGGGCCGCCTCTTAGCCTTAGCTACTTCGCGGCCATGGTGCGGGTCTGATGGGGTGATCGATATGACTTGCCCATCTGGCTTTTCAGATCGAGGAAAACTGCCAAAATCGACGACCACGAGCCCTTGACCGGGGCATTCAGAAGCTGCGGTTGCTGGAAGAGTAAGAGCGGACTGCACTGTATCGGGGCTGCAGATGATGTACTTTGAGCCAGCGAGGTTTGTACAATATTGGAGGGGGTCCCCTATCACGCCAAATTGTCAGCTCCTCATCTTCCTTCATGCTGACTGCTGCTTCACAATGACGGCGTGTGCATTCATCGCAAAGGCGCCGTAACTGCTCAAGCATGATTTAGGGCAAATGTCTCGAAGCTTCAAGGAAGAACGCTTTCACAGCCGAGGGCCTTCGAATGACAATCAACACCCTGTGTTCCCATGACAGTTGAGTACATCCTTCATGAAGCCTAAGTTCCTCGAAACAGCTAAAGATATAGATCACTAGAAAACACCTGGATGTTGGAGAAGTACTCCAAGACTGCGAATCATGGCAGATATCTTCACCGTTGCATAATGGAACTCGGATACAGGATAGGGTTCCTAACACCTTTAAACATTATCAAAAGAAAGGGAACACATACCTTTCAAGTTCGAGTTGATCAATGCGGGAGCCGCCCCCAACTTTGCCAATGCATAAATGACGAACACCATCTCAGGCGAATTGGTCATGTACACGGCCACCAGATTCCCATCATCGACGCCCAAATCGCTCAACGACGCCGCAATCCGATCGACATCTGCTCTGCGTCAGCCCATTGTATATTATGCCCATCCAATAGTGTCCGACCGACCATCCTTCATCGCCCGATAACTCCAGCTCTTCCCTTCGAACCATAATGCATCCGCATCCTCGTCCGCCAATCCCAGCATGCCATAGAGCGTGACATAGTCCCCCAACTGCTCCACCCGAGATTGTAGTCGTTGGCCGAAGAGGCGCTCGTCGCGATATTGAAGGAGGTCGTAGTGGATCCCCAGCGTGGAATCCACGAGGGCCGCGCCTGTCGCTGCGGCGGCTGCGGAAAGAAGGTGACGGTTAGCGTTGCGCATCTTGGCTTCGCGGGATGAGGTCCGAGGATGCTCACTGCGGTTCAAAAATCATCGGCGCGGGAATGGGCTTTATGGATGGATGGCCGAACGCAAAGCCACCCGAAGGTTAAAATGCCGTTCTGTACAGCCGTCGCTAATTGCCGATTTGCAGCCTCGCGGGGCAGGGCCCGCCATGGGGTGTGGAATACGGCATGGATTGTTGTCGCGTAAATGGGAGTTGATTGCACTTTCGCGCTTGGGTCCGCGCATGATACATATTGCGGGTTTGATGGAGCCTGGGTTAAAGTAGTGTACTCCATACTGGAAAAAGTGGAAATGAATGGATCTGGGGAAGACCTTGCCGATGAACGAAGTTCCCCGGACGTGAGAAACGGCATCTTTGAACTCGCGCTAATTTACTGACCCTCATCAATGATCAGGGCCTCCTTTTATCCTTTATCTCACTTCAGCCTGGCGAGAGGCGGGCCGATGAGTGGTGACGGCTATGAATTATCAAACCATTGATATTGATCGGTCCGACCTTCGTTCGTCAAGTGTGAAATCTGAGTGCCCGTAGTTAGAGCTTCCGCACCACAGGCGACTTGGGAGGTTGGATGCGCTGGATCGCCTGGATGGGCTGGGTGCGCTGGAAAATGGGCGGATCTATCACGAACACGACGGCAGGAGTGCACAAGCCGGATTTTTAATACCTCGTGGATTGATGATGCTACCTATGAGCTGAGGATTTTGTTGGCGCTGGGGGAAATTGGGGGTCGTCGTTCTCTGTCGTCTGCCATGAATGGCCGAGTCAGCAAATGCCGCTCGCCATGGTAGTCCTTCTCTCTGTCGTCTGCCATAAATGGCCGAGATAGCAACTGCTGATCGCCATGGTTGCCCTTCTCGATCCTCCACCACCATCGACCTCTCCGAGTGTGGCTTTTTTTGGTGTTTTGATTTCTCTGAGGGCCCGTTCCCTGAACCCAAGCACTGATGAACTATGCCATTTTTGAATTGCGGCACGGGTGAGACGTGTCGGACACATCCTAGAAACCCTGATCGCGGAAAGGAAAGAAAAGAAACGGAAACGGAAACGAGAAGTAGGGAATTCGAACTATGCATCGTTGGATGGACCTGGCGGCTCGATGCACACCTGTCGTCCATGAAGTCTTGAGATCAAGACTTACATGTACCAAGAGGTGAAAGGGTACCAACTGTGGTACTTGTGTTGGATCTTCATCAAGTCAGATGCCTCGTCACCTTTGACCAAGCCAGTCGGATTGTTGGGATCCTGCTTCTCGAAGTCGGAAGGGGACTTCGACGGCTCGTCTATATATCCCTTCTTGCTCTCGGGAGACTTGCTCTTGGACCGCTTTGATGCGGACTCGGACACCTTATCCTTTGGCGGACCCCCAGGAGGTCCCTTATGTGCATTTTTCTTGCCCGATGACACGAAGGGCTTGTTCATATGGGCCTCTCCACGCTTCGCAGCCAAGTGTGCATAGTACACAGCAGGGAACAAAGAGACGGGAGTTGTTGCTCGAGCGTACTGGAAGCTGTGCTCAAAGATGAGCTGCTGCAGTTCGGGGCCGGTGAAATTGTTCTCATTGTAAATACAATGATAGTGGATCGGACGGCAGGTTCCTTTGATCGCAGAGTGGGGGTTCATGTACCAGTCGAACTCGAAGGGATGAGTGACTCCGGTCTCTACAAGAACGCCGGGAACGGGATTGCCATTTTTATCGCGGGCAGCTTGGCTCTTCGGATTGAAACGCACATGGTGGCGTTTGCTGGCAATTAGGACCGTGATCGGGATTTTATATTTAGGGTTCAATTCCCTAAAGAGCCGCTTGATTTCATTGACCTCGATGTCAAGAACCTGGTTGTATTGTTGTTCGGAAACACCGTCGCGGACGTAAAGAAGCCGTCGTGGCGTCTGGCCTTTGTTCAGGTCGATCCAATGGGCGACGGGCTCCTTGAACATCTTAACCCAATTGGATGGCCGGATAATCTCCTCCCGATGGCCGTTGGAGTTCACCCACCCCATATAGTTGCAGCACTGGGGGTCTTTGGACACAGTGATGGAGGCCATAGAATGTTCCTCAGAACCAGGAGGCCCGTGGCTCACATCTGCGCCAATGATCATGAGTGAATCTTGGGAGTGGCGCGGACGATACATGTTGAGCTGGGATTTCTTGGTCAGGAACCCATTCTCCTTGAGCGCGCGGGAATTGATTCCCCCAAGCTTCGAATTGACCTTCAGGAGAACGTTGCTGATGTATTGATCCTGGCATTTCATCACGCCTGCGCTCTGCAGGACCTGGGAGGCAAGCCCGAAGCGGCAATCGCAATTGCGTTTTATGATCTTGTAAAGATCGGCGGTCCGGTCCTGGACAATGAAAAAGATAAGCTTCGGGAGAACTCCCAGCTTCTTCCCGCTCTCATTCCAGGCATGTAGGATGTTGTTTCCACCGGCACCCGGAGCTCCGCGGATAAGAGCTGGGATTGTGGCTGGCAAATTCAAGCCGTGGGCTTTGGCAATAGCCGACATTCTCGAAAAAAAGGCTTGGTAGGGGGCTGGATGTGGGTTCTTCGGGTCACTATCTGGACCAAAGACCATGACACCGTACGGGATCTGTCCTGGGTATGGCTTCAGGAACTTCTTCCCATCGATCCTCCACCGGCCTTGCCCAGCAGAGCTACCAAGTATCTTGCCATTTCCGAAGTGGACGTCAGGCGCCTCGAGAAGTCGACCCTTAGTGACTGTGGGCTGGTCCGAAATATGAAGCCCGTATTGGCGGAGATGCGAGTCATTTTGCCAATCTAGGGACTTGATGCCTTCGCGGATGGAACCGAACCGCTGGTTCGGTAGAGTAGCTGCGAACCTCATCATTGAACCTACCTGCGCCTCATCAAGCTTGTACAGGTAACGCTGATTTGGTTCAACTTTGGCAAACTCCAAGGCGATGAACTGGCCCCGGGTTGTCTCGATCAAAGGCAATTCGCGGACATGAGCGTTGTAAGCCTTTCGGTAATACTGTTTTACAGTCATCGAAGTGCCGTCCTTCAATTCGAAGGTTTTCAAATCCGGCGTTGACGCGATAAATCGCTTGACGATATAACGGCGCGTACAGTTCGAGCGCATGTCGGTGGTGATCGTCAGCTTGTTCAGCCGTTTGGTCGCCTTGTAGAAGCGGCTCTCGGGCCACTTCTCACGGTTTCGAACGAAATCATCGATGAGCCAGTCGACATTCTTAGCTCCGAGCATCGATCCAAGCAAAGGAATGACCTCCGACGCTTCGAAAAAGCAGGTATTCGCCACGTCGACATTGACAGCAAGATGTGCGCGGAGGTCTGCAGTCAATACTGGCCGGATCGATGCATAGACGCCCTTCACAGCCTCGACTCCCTTTCCCAATGAGATCCGACCGGTGAGCGGCACCTTAGACTCCGAAGCAGGACGCCAGTAAGGAGGGAAAAAGTTCCGCTTGGCCGAAATCATGCGACGGGACGGACCCTCACGCATCAGATGGTCAAGGAACGTCAGAGACTCGAGCACCTTGATGTCCCAGTCTGCCTGCTTGCCGAGCCAGGCATGAAGATTGGTGAAGTCAACTTTCTTGGCCAAGGCAATGCGAACATGCTTGACTTCACGTCCAGCCCGATCCGGCTGGTTCTTCGCTATCGCAGGATCTACAGCGATCGTCGCCACTCCTGAGAGCTTCTTGGTGGACCTGAAGGTGGTTAGCGAAAAATATTACTAAAAAAAGATATTCCAGAATATCAAAGTTGCAGAATCTTACCAGGCAAGCTTGTTCCCATCCCAGATCCAGTCGTCGAAACCACCTTGCGAGCGCACTTGCTTGACCTCACTGGAATCCCACAATGTCTTCATGAAGCCCCGTTTCTCAGCTCCGTCGCCGATCTCAATGTCGTATTGATAGACATCCTTGGTGGGGATTTTGTCGAGAGCATAGGAGTTCAGCTCGATGTCAACTGGCTTCCCGTTCATATTGAAGCCATGAGGACGTTTGGGGATTTCACCCAGAGAGGACTGTGACCCAGCGTAAGTACTAAGTATAAGATGTCCAGCCTTCCACGCATTTGGCTCAAGAATATTGAGCCCCCGAAGACGCATGTCGCAACCAAACTTGTCCAGCTCCATGCTGGAGTAGACATCTGGGGGGTCTGCTGCGCGAGGGTATAGGGGGAGGGATGCCATTTTGGGAGTTGGGCTCTTGGACTTTGGGGGGGAACGAGACTGCCCTCCATTCTTGGAGTTCCCCGAGCCCGCCATGGCCGTCTGAGTGGAGTTGTGCAATAGCAATGGGTAATGAATGATTGAGGAAATAGATAAGAGAAGAGAAAAGGAGCGAAAGAAGAGAAGTCCTGAAGAAAGAATTGAGGGCTCTGCAGAAAAGAAGGAAGAAGAAAGTTGGAAGCACGAGGGACAGAGAGCAGGTTTTAAAGGAACAGGTAGTATGGATCTTTATTGATGACAGAGATCAATGATGGCGAGCAAACGGGAGAACGCCGACATTCGTTTGTCGAACTCCACCTGGATATGCAACATAGGCCGCTAGCCGCAACTCTACATACATAGGGGTAATGCCAATTGGCGGCACGCGAAACACCGGGAAAGGAGGTGATGGAAATGTGATCATAACTTACAACTTCAGGGCGGAAAATTTGGTAGGCGCGTGCACCCAACTCAACATTCCGAAGATGATTCGGCATAATGAACGTGGGTTCTGGTGCAATAATACGCTCGGGGGACAATCGCGAGCGAGGCTGGGAACGGTCCCGGTTACCATCCAAGCCGGGAATTGAGCGACCGTACGACGAGGACGGCACGCTTATGCTTTCATATGAGTCCTTTGCAATGGTGCTGGTCGGCTTCACGGTAGCTGACGATCCTGAAGGGCGACCCTTCCTGTTGTCTCCATTGCCGCGTGGCCCACCCATGATGGGCAATGAGCTCTTGAAAATGTGACTAAGTTAGGGTCAGTAATGGTACAAGGCAGAGATAACAATTGGGGAGGTTCAGTGCAATGTGAAAACACGGCTCATTGGAGAAATCTACGCATAACGGACAGCCAGTAGTGCCGTAGCCTTGACAAGTCGAGCAGTAGACTAAAATCAGTGACAAACCAAAGCGATGAGTGGCTTCGCTTCAATGACGAGCAAGCACACTCTTTGCTAAAGTTAAGGAAACAAACAATGCCCTAACTCCAAGAGGATGCTGCTGATGACAGGTCAAGACAAGGAAACATTTCAGTGTTGGGATATAGATGTGACAGGAAGGTGAGATCAGATACCCCCCAAAATGAAGGCGAAGGTGGTGGTGACAAGTGAGGAGATGCTTGGACGACTAGATCACTTGAGACTAGACTGTATGAGTTGGTTTGGGAGATGGAGAAAGCGATGGCAGCAGCTAAATGAGAAAATGAAAAAAGGGAAGGAATGAAGACTGAGTCTGATAGACTTGAAGCCGATAAGAGGTAACTGATGGTTAGGGAATGGGAGAGACGGTGACGTTGATAGAGATGTAAAAGATGTTGACTCACCAGGAAGCTGATCAGGGTGAAGTCAAAGCCAATGCTGTGGCGAATATTAGTGGTTTCCTAGGGCGGTGAGTAGAAAGGATAGGTTTACCGACTGGTATCTTGGAGTAGTCGATGATAGGAAGGAGTGGGAGGGTCGATGATGGGAGAATGAGAGACGAAAAAGGGAGATGTGGAAGATGAGGGATGGAGGAAGAGGGAAAGGAAGGTGGGAAATATGTGGAGGGAGGAAGACCAAAATAAACAGTGCTGTGGTTGTGTGAGGTAGAGATAGCCGAGTGGGCAACAAAGGACACGTGAGGTTGGGTCCCAGTGGTAGGTGAAGGTCAGGTTGATAACGGATGGCTTGAAGGAAGGAGTGAGGGAATGTTTACATACCAGTACTGTACCACGGCGGATCAGATCTGAGTCTGGGGCAGCTGAGATTGAAACAAGGCGTCACTATCTGGTATGGGTTGGTAGACGTGAGACCTGGGTGGAGTGATCAGTGAGTCGATGAAGTTCAAAGCGAGATCCGTCGAGAAGAGAGGGAGGGTAGTTGGGTTGGTAGGGGAAAGAAGGTTGAGATGAGAGGGATGAAGGTTAGAGGGATGAAGGTTAGAGGGATGAAGGTTAGAGGGTTAAGGTGAGAAGTATGGAAGTGAGAAGAATGAGAGTTGATAGGGTTGAGGATAGAAGAAGAAGTTGGTGGTGGATGGAGGGGAGAAGATACAGCAGAAGAACTGTGTCAGCAGATATACGTTTGGCCGTATGACCGGGGACACAAATGTAGGCAACGATGATGGAAAAGGAAAGAGAACCGAGTGGAGAGAGAACCACTCGTAGCTAGTAATCTAGATGACTTACGACTCCAGGCTGCGATGATACTGTGCTTATTCCTAATCAGATCGTATGGTGCACGTGTCGCCACAGGATGGATGGTGTACGGGGCCTTCACTCCATGTTCGTTGCGATGAAGTGTATGGACGGTATGTGTCGTGGTAGGGAGAACAGAAGTAGGTGATGGTAACCTCTATAGTGGGGGGACTGATATCCTGGAAGGGCAGGCAGGTCCTGTAGTGGTTGTCAAGGGCGCCGAGCGCCGAGACTCCATGTCGATATCTTCCTGAAGATTCTAAGGTGGAAGGGGCGACCACGGGGCGAGTCTCTCTATTAGACATGGACTGGTAGAGCACATCTTCATCCCCGCCGTTCTATGCGGCTGCTCTAGTGCCATGTGACTTCTAGTTCAACTCATGTCCATGTCTCGACCGCTGAATGGCACCACACGCAGACGCAGCAGAAATCCCGTTCTCCCTCATCCTATCATGCTCTTGCTAGGTGACATAGGGTATCCACTTATGTTGGTCAAGGCAGCGATGAGGTATGTGGGCCCCTACTGGTAGTTGAAGCTGGTCTGAGTCTGCTAACTGATCCGGAGAAAAGAGCTAGGAAACGCACACAACTTCTCGAGACTTGGATGACTAGAAAATCAGACGAAATTGATACTGCACAACATGAGAACCAAACTTGATGAGACGGAAACAATACAACATAATGACCAAACGATTGGATTCAGATATATTGAGGACACTGGTAGAAAAGAGACAAAGGATGATGCACACGCATACCGGCCCGTCGATGGGTTCCGTTCTAGAATGTGCGAGGCCACAGAAGGCACAAGGGACATTACATACGGAAGCAAGGATGAAGAGCCATTGAGGAAAACAAAGAAGGAGCAGCTGGAAAGGTGGAAGGAATGAGTTGACTGGAGATGCTCGGATTGGAAGGGTTTAGCCGAAGACGGGCCGGCCCGTTTCTCCGCACTCCTGGTATTTGGAACAAGGGTCGGACAGACCACGAAGATGAAGCGCAATAATAGCCGGGAGGCTACGAGCATCGAGAAGAACGACGGTCCCGGGGGAAATACACGGAACAATTTCGATATGGGCGGCACAAAAGTCAGGGAAAGTTGGGATGCGTCGTTGAGGAATCGGTGAACTTCATTGGGCGGAAATGAGCCGACGACGTTGAAAGCTAACGGGGATCACTCTCGCGTATCAGCCACTCCTATTCCGTACATATCATATGCTGGATACCAAGCGGGACCTTTACGGCGGAACAATTTGTACACATTCAGAAACCTAGACATATGCAGAGACAGCAAGGGGTACCGATGCAGCATGGAATCCAGACGGTATTAGTTCAAGGAAACAACAACGATCACCAACTCCTAGCAGGCACACTTGGCGAGGACGAGAGTTCTTCGAGGAGTAGGGCCCTACGAGGACCAGAGCACCACGAGGATTGTATCATTGTAAATGTTCTTGCATTTTTGGTGTCTATTTACGGAAAGCCTAAAGGACTCCAGCCATATGAAGTGCGCTCCTGTTAAAAGTCTTTCCATTTTTGCGATGAAGTAGCACAGCTCCCAACATCTGTGAAAGCGCGGAGATGGATTCCAGCGACGGCGAGATCGCAGCTCCGTTGCTGCTGCGTGATACCGACAGCGAGGGGTCGGGAAAGGATACCTTATGGACTTCGCAGTGACCTGTCCAGACCCATTCCGGCATAACCCCGAACGGCCAACCCCAATGCAATGGATCAAGATTCCAACCTTTCGGGCACCATGTATCCGAACTGCAACGACCCGAGAGAAACCCCCTTCCGTGAAAGCATCGTCCACATACCCCGCCTCCCTACCATCGCTTCCCTCCCGACGTATTCGCTCGACCCAAGTCCACACCCCGCAACAAGTCCACCACCCGCTCCGCATTGAACCGCGCCGACCCCTGGTACTTCTCCGCGTTCGGCAGGATCCCCAACAGGAACATCACCATGTTCGGCAGCGGCTCCACCCCGCCGCGCTGGATCCCGATCCCTGGCGTGCCTGCCCCGCCGCCACCACCACCGCCGAGCCGTCGTTGCGCGTCGAGCCGTCGCCCTGCCGCGCCTTTCAGCGGGGACTCGCTGCGGTCCGTACGCGCCAGTTTGCGGGACCCGATGCCGAGGGAGTCGTTGTCGGATTCGTCGGCGGGGAGGGGCCGCTTGGGGGAGTTGGTAGAGCTGTTGGAAGCGACGAACGCGGCGGCGAGAGCGGAGGGGGATTGGCCTGGTTGAGCTAGTTGCATCGGAAGCGGGCGAGGAGAGCTGATTTGGGGGGTTGGGGCGCGATAGCCGCCGGTCTGGGCGGGCTCGTGGATTTGCGGGGGGAGGGCCATTTTGGGTCGCATCTGGGCGGCCGGGGAGGTGACGAGGCGGACGGCGGTGGGGTCGAAGGATTGGAAGATGTATCGCTGGGTGAATCGGGTGAGGCGAGGGTCTTCGGGGAAGAGATCCGCCATCCGCTGCTCGAGCTTGACGATCTGGCTGAGTTCGCCGTACTGGCATTCATATTCGTGCAAGAACTGGAACAAGACTTTGGCCCTGGGGACGTTCTCGGGTTTCTTCGAAAGTTTGGAGACCGCCGTTTCGAACACCGCTCGAGCATTGGTGACGTCGTTCGTGTTGATGAGGTGCTTCATGTATGCGAGGGCGAATTGTTCGTCTTCGGGGAAAAGCTTGAATCCGGCGTCGAAGATTCGTTTGGAAGCCGGATCTTTGTAGCAGTGGTACTCCATAAGAGCACTGGCAACGAAGACGTCGCTCGTCATGCGACCTCTACCACGTGCCTCTCGCAAATAACCCCGGAGGCCACCGACCCATTCCTTCTTGACTAGGCTGCCTTTGTGTGTGACGTCAACCATCTTGCCTTTGCCTTGCACTCTCCTCATGGCTCGCATTAAAGCAATCCATGAGAACGAAATGGTCCTGGATATCATCTTGATTTGCGCAGCATGGCCCTTCTTGATGGCACCGAGTTGTGCGTCAAGGGCGGCCTTTCGAAGCGCCTCCTCTCTCGCTCCTGCATCCTCTTCATCGTCGCTCTCTGGAGCTTCCCTCTTCTGCTGCTCTTCGAAGTTTTCTTTGGCGATGCCTGCCGCACGCGCTTCCCGGGCCTTGACTTTGTCAACGAGACCATAGAGTGTGTCCAAGAGCTTGTCGTAAGGCTGCTTGATTGCATCGGCCCTCTTCTGGATATCATCGTCACCGTCGGCGTGTGGTGTAGTCATCTCAAGGTGGTCAGCCTTCCTGAATGCCAAGAGACAGCTTTCCGGATTCGCATCGGTGCCATCATCTAGAAGCTTCTCCCCGTCTTCCTTCATGCCGTTCCGGAAGCAGAACTCGATGGCATCGTACCACATTGGAGGCCAGAACCACAAAGCCATGAGGGCCTGTCGATAGGCGTACAAGATCCTCCGATTGTATGCAGCGAGATCTTCATCTTTGAGAACCAGTGGATCTTCTTTCTCCCACTCCACCCATTTCTGCCAAAGGTGGACCTGTTCCATGTATTCCACATCCCCGTCAAAGCCCAGCGCAGGGGGAAGGCGCGGCAAAGTTGTCCTTCGCAATCCGTTCGTGACATTTTGTAGTGCGATGTTTGCACTTCTTGCCGTGATGTAGGTCGGGGAGCGTTCCTGGAGGAGTTTACGACCCTGACGATGTAAGCGTAATTCCACAAGTCTTGGTTATGAATTGACCTACGGTTGTCCTGTTCAAGCCAGTCTCGAAAGCGTCATATTCCTTCCACAGCGGAATGACGGCGTCAGTGGGTACCGACGTGGCTCTCTGATACGCCTTTCGCAAGAGATCCATTTTCTGCTGATCTTGCCATCCGCCGCCACCGAGATTGCCGGGTCCTGATCGAAGGAATTGAATATATTCCCGCCAAATCTCACCCGAATCCTTGTCCGTCCCGACCTCTTGCAAGACGCGCTCGAAAGCTTCAGAAACCGTTCGTCGAGCAGTTCCACTGAGATCGGTTGTGAGATTGTTGAATCGTCGCACGAAGTCCAGGTAGACTTTCCACAACTGAACATTCCTGACCTTTGCCAAGGAAGTCCCAAGAATCTGCGTGACTCGCGGGATTTCGTTGTTTTCCAGTTCCATATTGGCGTAAGCGACCCATTGCTCCGCCTGGGGACAGTTAGCTGGTGCGCTTCAAGGAAAAGGAGCGACTCACAGCTTGAGGGAAGATGGTGAAGAATCGGTCGTAGACTTTGCGCGCTTCATCGAGCTTGTTGCGCTTCTGATGCAATTGAATGAGACTCAACCAGGCATCCAGATCGCCGCGAGGATCCTCCGCGATCCGGTCCTCGAGCATTCCTACATGATCACTTGGAAGCCGGGCGTTGGAAGCATTGAGGGTAGCAGCAGGGTCCGCGGGAGATTGCAACGCGTTGACTGTAGCATTAGGAGCTTGGTTTGCAGGCTGCGGAGAACGGCTTTGGTCAGGGACAGCGGAGCCAAGAGGCTTGTCAACGGGATGCGGAGTAGCAGACTGAGAAGGAACAGCAGGAGTAGCAGCCGCAGAACGAGCTTGGTCTTGAGGAGCAGCTTGTTGTAGTGATACATAGTTTGCTGAGAACGCGTTGCTTGGCGATTGAGTGATGGTGGAAGACATTGCAGGAGCCTGAGCGGCATTCAACATCCCATTTCCATTTGCATTCCCATGCGCCAAATGTACCCCTTGTTCCTCCTCCTCCTCATCGTCCTCGTCCTCGTCATCATCAACAACGAACCCAGCTCTTGTCTTCGGCTGCTTTGGCGGGCTGGGCTCGTCGGGTGTCTCGTTGAGGTCATCGCGGAGGGTGGGGTTGGTGTAGGTTGAGGGATCGTATTCCGGATCGGGTTTCGGGTCATCGGTGGCAGGAAATTCATCTTCAGGTTCGTAGTCTTCTTCGTCCTCTTCGCTAGCGGCAGGTTGATATGCTGGATCGTATTCTTCGTCGGCGCCAAGCGCAGCGAGAAAGGCTTCCTCTCCGCTCATCGTGACCGGCAGTCGCGATCAATCGATAGCCGTAGAGGGTGAGGGTCGAACCCGATTTCCAAATGCGATTAGGAGGGTTCAAATGTATGCTCGAGCAACGGTTTGAAGGGAAGCTATGGATGAGTGGAGAAAGCGTTCTTTCTGTTGCTTGTGTGAGAAAGTGAGAAGAACGCAATTCGCTAGCTGTTAGAGTGATGGAATTCGAACTAGGAGAAGAGTCGGCACGCGTGGAAGGGAGCGATGAATGAAAATTCCACGACTAATCCCAATCTCTTGCAAGTCGCACTGTTGAGAAGTGAATACGAATACAATTTAACCAAAGAAAGTGTGACAATGGGTATGACGGGTCCTAGATCGTGATGAATGGACGATAGACGGGACAGGCGGGCACAGTTGACAATAATACGCCAGGAATACGATGATGATGATGTTCTTTCATTGATGTCAATGAAACTGGTCCGTGCCTAGAGTGGTGAGAGTGAATGAGTAATTAACTAACTAGTTAGGATTAATTAAGTGAGTGACTGGTGACGCTTCGCTTTATGCTGTTATGGACTACCGTAGCAGTTCATTACGTCCACTGATCCGTCACTTTTCAATAATTAGTTCTCTTGAATAGCCAATATCAACGCGTATGGTACTCAAAAGCTCAATGAGTAATTGAATGACTTGAAAAGTCCACCCACCTTCCTCTAGTCCAGTGTTGCCTTCCGCGCCTTCATCCACCGCAACTGCCATTCGCCGCTCCTCCAACCCCAGCGAACATCCGGACAACAACACCCCGTTGGAGTGATACGGAGAGATCCCCAGCTCTCCCGCTGTCCATCAGTCTATACCGATGAATCCGCACATCTCCCTTCCTCGACAGCATGGTGGCCCTGCCAACTTCGGCGGCACCCCGCCGACTCGCGGCGAGACCATCCGTATGCCACGCTTCTTCAAGCGGCTCTTCAAGTTCCCCCAGATGGACTTCGAAATGGCGATCTGGGAGATGACTAGCCTCATAATCGCCCCCAAGAAGGTCTTCCGGTCAATATACTATCATGTATGCCCGTCCGCGTCCCCGGTGTCAGAGCTTCCGCTAACCTTGGCCAGAAACGTACGTTGTATCCTCGATATTCCCACTACGCCAGCTCTGACGGATTGCAAAGAGACGAAGAATACGTGGCATAGACCGGACCCGTCATTTACCTACCTTCTATCCGCCTTCTTATTACTGACTTCCCTTGCCTGGGGATTGGCATATGCGGACGGCTTTGGAGGAACCGTGAAGATCACCTTGGTGTTCATCTTCATCCACTTCATTGGCCTCTCCCTCCTGGCGTCAACAATAGCATACTTCCTTGTGGGACGTTTATTAGGGCCCGGAGTACCCGGTTTACCGGGCAGAAGGCGACAAGGTCTCTTTGCGCAACCTGGGGAATCGGATCCTCTGGAGTTCGGATACTGCTTCGACGTACGTCATGGTTTCTCTCCATGGGCACCACAGATACTGACATACCGTAAGGTCTCAATCCGCGCGTTCTTCCCGGTTTGGGTCTTTCTCTACGTCATCCAGTTCCTCTTGATGCCGGTCATCGCGCGAGACTACTGGGTGTCCCTGTTCTTCGGCAACACGCTGTACCTGCTTGCATTTGGCTACTACACAATCGTCATGTTCCTTGGCTACAACGGTATATTGTATCCTTCTGGAGCCTATGTTACAGGTTGCTAATCGCAAGTACAGCGCTTCCCTTCCTCCACCACACGGAATTGCTCCTTTCGCCGATCGTCGTCTTGGCGATACTCTGGTTTGCCAGCCTATTTGGATTCAGCTTGCCCAGACACCTTGCCCCAATATTGTGGGCAGGTGCAAAACTGCGGAAACATGTGTAAAGTACAGTGGCAAGAAGTGGAGATATACAGGCTTCATCAAGCCTTCTATTCATGCGGTCTCTTTCTCCCATGCGCCTCTGATGCCGTGAACCTCGAAGTAGCAGACCCAACGCGGTAACGCCGTGGTTGGTACGGAAACAACCTCTTCGCGAACGAGCTCGCGAGTAGAACTCAGGTAAGAATCCTCATCCAACTTACAAATACCTCTTCTCAAGGGACTCGTCATAGCATTGAATTTGGTCGCCAACTTTGAAGTCCTCCCAGTTGTCAAATCCAATACCGCACTCGGTACCCTTGCGCATTTCCGTGGTGTCCTTCTTGACGTTTTTTAATGAAGAAAGCGAGCCTGTGAGAAGGTTAGCCAGGAACTTGAGCGACGGGGATAATTACGGGAAGGCAATGGGCTGTTGTTCCGAAGCTGTGTCGACATACCTTGGTAGATGACGTCCTTATTCCGCAGAACTTTGACTTTGCTGTTTCGGGTCATGACGCCGTTCTTGACCTTGCATCCCGCAATGAAGAGCTGCTTGTTGCGCTTCATGTTGATGGGGAAGATCTGCGCGATTTCCGCCTCGCCCGTGACCTTCTGTACCACAAGCGGAGGAAGGAACTCGCTCAGCTTCGCCCGGATATCTTCGGTTACCCTGTAGATAATATTCTGGTCGAAAATATCGACACCGAGCCTCTTCGCTTCCACCATGAATTTCGGGTCGACCCGCGTATTGAACGAGATGATGTGACCGTGGGCGACGGCCGCGAAGTCCAGGTCCGTCTCGGTGACGGGGCCGACAGCCGACCGAACGATGATAGGGCGGACTTCTGCGTTTCCAATGCCAGATATGACGTTCACGACCGCTTCGACCGATCCCGAAACATCGGCTTTGACGATGAAAGGAATCGTCTTCGGCCCTGTAAGCGCGGTGTTCTCCCCCATTTTTTCCGCATCCTCGCTTGCTCTATCTTGATCTTTTGCTTTTCCATCTGCCGTCTCCTTCTCCCGCTTCCGTCGCTCCTGTACAAGCTTGCGCGCCTCATTGATCGCTTCCATGTCCTTCGCCATCCGTTGTCGATCGGCTTTCGCCTGACGGAAGTCGACCACCCGGGCGGCGTGCTGCTCGTCTTCGGCCTGCAAAACTTCATCGCCGGCCTCGGGTTGCGCTCTCCATCCGTCGATTTCGGCCGGCATGCCGGGACCGACCGACTTCATGGGTTTTCCAGCTTCGTTCATCAGGCGCCGGACGCGTGCCCATGTTTTGCCCGCGACGATGATATCGCCAGGTCTTAAGGTGCCTCGTCGAACGAGAACCGTCGCCATCAATCCGTCCCGCTTCTTGCTTGATTCGAGGACCCACCCTTCAGCTTTTCCATCCGGGTCGGCTCGGTTGTCCAACATTTCTGAGAGTGTCACGGTGGCTTCTTCGAGCTCGTCCATTCCTTGACCGGTCTTTCCGCTCACAAGGATGGCTTGAGTGTCACCTCCGAAATCTTCGATCTCGATTCCATTGACTGCTAGGTCCTGTTTGACCCGCCGAGGGTTTGCATCTTCCTTGTCAACTTTGTTGATGGCGACAATGATTGGGACTTTTGCGGCGTGGGCATGCTTGATTGCCTCGAGAGTCTGGGGCATAATGCTGTCATCTGCAGCAACAACCAGAATAACGATATCGGTAACATTCGCACCACGCTCACGCATGGTCAAAAAGGCCGCATGGCCCGGAGTATCCAGGAAAGTGATGGTCTTTCCTGAGGAGGAGAGCGGCACGCTGAAAGCACCAATGTGCTGGGTGATCCCGCCATGTTCGTTTGCGGCAATCGATGATTTGCGCAAGTAATCTAAGAGAGTAGTCTTTCCATGATCGACATGTCCCATGATGGTTACGACAGGGGGTCGTTGAGGCCAACTGCTTTTGTCTTCTGGATTAGGAGCAGGGAACAAGTCTTTCTCATCCTCATCCTTAGTTTGCTGAGGGTTAAAGCCATACTCTTGAGCAACCAAACCCGCATCTTCTCCTGTGAGTACTTGATCGTGATTGACATCTTCAAACCCAAGCTCGAGCATCTTGTTGACAAACTTGTCTAGTGGAACCCCAAGAGCCTGGGCGAGGTTGGAAACCGAAATGAATTCGGGGAGAATGATTTCCGCCCTTTTTTTCTTGGCTGCCTCAGCCCTTCTAAGGTCTTTCATCGTCCGGCGAAGGGCTCGGTCGACGTGGGCTTCAGAATAGGAGACATCCCCATGCCCTCGACCCTTGGCGACCACCGGTCGGCGTCGTGGTTTCTCTTCCATTCCGGAGTGACGCTGTCGCTCCGAAGACCAACGCGAAGGGCTCGGTTGTGGATTGTAGAAGTCATCAGTAGACGCTACACGTGGTGCAGGTTTTGGGACGACAGGGTTTGGGAACCCTGCCTTTAAGTTTGTGTCTGGCTGTGAGCGCAGCGGAAGATGCGAGTCAAATGTGGGCGAATAAGATGCAGTGGCAGGCTGTCTTCTTGTTTCAGTATCTGGTCCACTGGGCCCTTCGTGTCGGGCCATTGGTGTTTTGCGGAGGCAATTCATAGACCAGTGCTCCTTGCTCCCACATATTCTGCATCCTTGCTGGCCCAGCTGAACGTAATTGCCGCCCCGTGTCTCCTGCCGGCGTTTCTCCCGACCCTGAAGATATGCCTCCATCTTCGGGTCCCGCTCTTGCACGGCTGGGGCCACTATCTTGTGGCTTGCTCCTAACGGTTCTCCTCGGGATCCTCCCAGTAAATTCCATGACGCTGCGTCTGGGGGTGGTTGTGGGGGTGTCGTGGCCTGTGGCGTGTCGTGCGGATGAAGTCGGAATTGCAGCGGCCTCGATTCGAGTTGGGCTTCTCTCGTGCGGGGCGTAAGGTTATGCTGCCAGTTAAGCGGTCGTTTATTTTGGGTTGGAGTACGAAACCCAGGGGTAGAACCACTGCCGCTATCTTCTCTCACGCCCGGTGAACGGGGAGCCTGAGAGACACTCGGAGCGGGAGTCCTTCTTACAACAGGCTCGCGCCGAACAGGACGTAAACCTGCCGCATGGATTCGGGGCCCAGACTGTTCCTTTCGCTCGAATAAAGCCTGTCTTTCCCGCAACTCTCCCTGTGACAAGTCCGAGTTTACTCTAGGTCTTGTGATCTGGTTCGACGGTATACTAAACTGTCCGAAGCCCTGCCACTGACTCCTGTCTCCATCTTGGTTGGCTTGCGACTCTTCCCGTGGAGCGACTTGCCATTGAGGGCGTGATTGAGAAGGTTGAGAGTAGGGTCGTCGAGCAGTCCATGTCAGAGCATGTGGTCTAAAGAAGCCGGCGCATATCGAGCAGATCTCATGTGGATGAGAAAGTTTCTGAAGGACGATCAGATTGACAGACACGAAAGGAGAGGGAAAGTTATTCCCATACCTTGATAGACGCATTTCGAGGCATAGTATAGAGTGAAACAGCCCCAATACAAAGAACTTCCACAACTAAAAAGAGGTATCAAGTGGTTCCATCGGCGATTCAATTCCGCAGTGAGCTCCAGCCGCGAGATGCCAACAGGAGATACCGATTGCCATCAAAAAAGTTCCGGTCGAGATCCCGATAATAAGTGGGGCCACTTTATATATAGCACGTGACTGCCTGAGATACTGGCAGGGACATCGACGATCCAGAAATGACATGAACTGTTTCAACTCCAAAAACCTCTCCCATTCACAGTTCACCTAATTATATTCGATATTCGATAATGTCTTCTGAGTGCCTTAGCATTGATTGGTTCGCAGGCCTAAAAAATATTTTAGAACTCAGTTTCCCTTCTTCATTTAATATATCCGATCAGGCCGTGAATCGACTGACGGCATCAAGAGTTCAGGACTACATCCTCAAATGATCCCCCTTCTTTCATTGCGCACCTGATCCGTGTACAACATACGGTACGCCATTCAATCGAGGTGCTGGAGTGGCTACTCTGCTATCTCGGCAGCTTTGGGCGGCATTGGGCTTCCCGATTACGTACTTGCTTAAAAATGCTATGCCTGACACGTTTGGGATTCCGTATCGCGATCGCTATCGCGTTACATCAACCCTAGTGCCCTCCGTCACCAAGAATGTTGCTCTCGTATGTTCCATCGTCTTTCTCCTCTGCATGAGGTATTTGCTTCCGCAATTTACAAGAAATCTCAAGTCAAAATTGTTAACTAGGGCTGTGGTACCTATTAATACCTACGCGACCTCCCGCAGGACCCAGGGGCCAGGACAGGGACAATGCACAATAATCAATAATGGAGCTTTGTTGGCAATCCAACCACTTAGCCAATGGGAGAATTGGCAATGAATGATCACCAATTTGGGTCAGACATGCTGCATGAGTGATGAGGCAATCGTCCAAACGAGTCAGGAATGTATTTCAAGAGTTCATCCGCGTAGCAACTAACTGGGGGTAGCCCACTCTCACTAAGAGCTCTAGAAACATGAATAGCAGCGACAGGCCAAAAACCCCAAACCATCGAGGCGGAGCACCACGTGTGAAGTCCAGAAATACTTCCTAGCTATGCCTTATCAGGTTATCCTAGATTTCCATGTACGTACTTGGCGACAATCCCCACTCTTGCCTCTCAAAGACCAGGGTAACTTGAGGGTCGGCTTGGAGTCCACTGCAGGTTGCTATATATTGACAATGGATTGTTTTTGCCATCATGGAGACAGCCGAGATCGCGACGCCCGTGAACTAAGGAACTCTCCGCCGCTGCTACAACTCCCCTGCGACACACCGGCGATTCTACCATCCGGGAGATAGTCTGTTTGGCATGAACGAGATACTCATCCAGGGGCCTGGCCTTCGAATGGCATCGGCTTAAATGGCTACCGTATTATCTATCATGATGGTAATTATATTTACCGTGAGACAGTCGTGGTGGGTGCTAGCCTACGACAGACCGCCGGTTTAACCGGACCGTAAGCGCATGCCAACATTAATAATACAATGATGACCATGTACGGCATGTACATAATAGTATCAGAGACTCGGAGTCAAACAAGCCAAAAGATGACTGGCGCGGATCGGATGGCTTCCGCGTCGTGGTGGAGGCGCGGAGCAATTTAATCTTTCTAAGTTCTTACATAGTTACTACTTACAGAACGGCGCATGCAGGGCGATCAGCTAAAGAACCTTAACACGAACTTGCTGGAACCGCTCTCTGTCATTCGAAGAAATTTTCCAGGGATACGAGTGGTTTAGAACTTATTATCTGTCAGAACATTTCAATATTCCATGTCCTTCTATGCCCTTTTGATGCATATCGTACACAGTGTATAAAAAATGCTGAAGCCAAGGGAATTAAGAGTTAGATCACACAGGTTTTCAATGACCTCAGCGGCTTCGTTGTCATCCGAAATTTCTATTTTCCTTCCCGAGGCATGTTTATTTAAAAATTCCGCGTCTCTCAGCTACCACCATGTCAGCGTTGCGAGTGGGTTTGAGCATCCAACAGTACAAGCCGCGCCCTATCCTCCGGATAACGTCTATCCGCAGAAAGTTTCCTGGTCGCAGCTGCATTACCAAGTCCGCACCTTGTTTCTGACTATAATCCTTCCATGTTCCTAGGCCAGTTAAGCAAAATTCTACCGGTGCGCGGCACTGTTCTATCTTAAATTGCTGCGGTGATCTCAGATCTACCCATGGTGCGACATCTCCTCTGCCCAACCACCCCACGCTGCAAGGCCGCCAGCCCGTTGACAGGCGGTCCGCGGGATCTCCGGCCTCCACATATTTCGTGCAATCGCGCCACACCCAGTCGGATCGGGATCCGCCCGCACATGAACCATGATAGATCAAAGTATCGGGATCAACGACTCTGGGTCCTGGGAGCAGATGTCTCAGAAACGTGGTTGTAAGGCTGAAGGGTCACACCTGGTTTGATGTGCTGTTCGATGAAGTCTGATAGGCGATGATTCCGCGTCAAGCGTCGAATCATTGCTTAAAGTCGCTTTGGTGCTGCGTTCAGAAACATCCCACAAATAGACTGGGGCTGGAAGTGCGGCGTGGATCCAAACATGCGAAGCCTATATGCGGGGGACAGTGTGGAACTATGGAATCATTATTGTCCTACTACAAGTTGGGCCACTGAAAATAGTGATGGAATTTCCATTTCAAGAGACAGAAAGTCTGTTTCTAGTATCAGGTAATGATGGCCGTATATGGAGCATTCAAACTCCGGTCCTATGATTCGTTATGTCGTGGTATTCCAGAGGCGCCGCCCTTGATACATCAAATCCCACGTAAAATGTCCATTGCGGTTCTAAAGAGGAGCCAATGTCCGCAACTCATCTGGTGCTCCATTGGCGCCGCAATAACCCCACCCAACTCCATATCATTCAGAGAGGTCAGTCATTAGGGCTTACTTAGCGACAGCCCGCGTAAGTTCCTCTTGTTTTGCCGCTTTCAGATGAATTCGCTTTACATGATCCCGCTGTTGGAGGTTAGCGTAGAGCATGAGCTGAGAAGAGGCTTGAGCTTACCATATTGTCTACTCGGCTGAATACACGCTCGCAGCCTTCCCATTCGCACAGCACGCCCGGGTTATGTTTGGCCTCATGCCTCGCCAGGTCCTTCTTAGAGCTGAAGCCGCCACCGCGCGCTTGCGGACACCCTTCGTGCCGGCAGAAGAACGATTTTGTGTGTCTCTTGTGATGTTTTCGGAGATCGCAGCCCCGGGTAAACACTGCCCGCGACGTGCAAGCCGGATATGCACAGCTCCAGGTGCCTTGCTTATTTAGATATCCGTATTGTCTCAGATCACCGGAACTGGGGGATACCGAGCGAGAGTAATCAGACCGCTGCGGATCTGGCGACGACTTGGCTGTGTAAACCCCGGCAGACGTAAAGGAGGGGGATCGAGAAGCGCGAGTGTGTAGCTCTGGGCTGAGACCAAGGCCATTATCATGGTATTGATGATGTGACCGAGGAAATGAGAATGCTGGATCCGAAGGAGGGAACGCTAGTTGCTGAGAATCCGCAGATGGCGGCGGCGAGGACCAGATCTGCTGGCCCGTGTAGGATGTTTGCGAGTACGGTGCGTAGGTCGTTTGAGGAAGGTATTGTACAGGTGCATATGGAGGCGAGAATGTCGGTGCAGATTGCGGAAGAGAAGCTGCTCCTGGTCCGTAGATGGCTGGTATCGCAGTGTTCCCGGTCGAAGACGAGGCTAATGATGCCATGACTTCCTCGTGACTCATCATGGAGAGGTCTGTTTGGGATGGGTAGTAGCCAGACATGACGAGAGACATTAAGAACTGAATTCAATGAGATGAGATGAATATGACGATTAATTATCAAATTATAAAAGAAGGCCCAATTGTTGAGGCTCAGCCCATGCCTTGCAAGTATACAAGGCTTCGTCGAGCGACCAGCCCTGTGGAAGGTGACAGGTAGGAATGAACAACAAGAGGCCTCAAAGACTTGGGAGTTCTTGTTCGAAAATAAGAAGACTATGAAGCACTCGAGGTAATGCGGGTCATAGAGACTTGATATAGGCTATCTCGCCCGATCGGTGAGCTTGTGGTCAAGCGTCTTACAATACTTAAGTGGCGGAGTTTAAGCTATTGTCCGTACGTTAACTGCAGATGGCCAGGCCTTGTAAAAGCCCACACGTGATCCTCCGTTCCCATCGGTCATTATTTAAGAAAAGCGATGTACGGGAATAGAAGCTGAGGATCGATGCTTGCCCATAATAAGACAGTTCCGGACACTGTCCCAGGCGGGCAAGTCTTGGTGTGTGGAGCTTTTCTTAGCCCCAGGGGGCTTAGTAGAAGGATCGACAGGCACGTCAGAGCCTCGAGGAGAGAGCACTAGAGTTTCATGTTATTTTCTCTCTTTACGGAATAGACTCTCGAAGAAATCGTGTCCTATGGCCTGTCGGCGGGTAAGCATCCGGCAGCTTGGGGAATTGTTTGATCTCCGTCCAACCGATATGCAGAATGCCGCTATTGCAGGCTGCAGCAAGATCCGAGCAGTGGGAGGGGCCATGGACAGGCAGGAATCCTGCATGCCGCTTGGAATAAGTTGGGTGATAGGATTTAGTCTCATGTATGACAAGAGGACGGCTCGCAAATTGAGCCTTTTCCACACCAATGAATGCTTGGATATCAACGTAAACATTCCGACCTTAGGACTTGATGGCTGCGATCTGCAAAAGAGCGACATTGTGCCGGATTCTAGTTTGTTTCGGGTTGGTCAGCACCAACTCCGAAAGATTTAACGCGACGGCTCAACTCGGGTTCGGCTTTTGGAACTATCAATCGGTGGAAATAGAATATTTGAGCAAGGGATCGTGAGCAAGGTCATCCTTCATTCCAGTCGGTACATTAATATCGACTCGATCGCAGCATGATTAATGTTATAGTAATAGATGCTGCGAAATATGGGTAGAAGGGATCCGTAGCGCGTATCTGATTATTCTGGTAGAAGTTTGATGGAATCTCGCCTCTCGGGTTCATGGGGCCGAAATCCAAATCCCACGAAACCAATTAAGCATTTGCTTAGCGGTGAGATGCTTATATTCGAAGATCCCGGGGAAGAGTCAAGAGCATTATTATTGGAAACGATGGTTAAGCGGTAAGGTTTATGAGTTTTGATATTGGTATTGACTAGCTTTGAAGACAAAGATGGTACCTTACATGTAGCAGTTACCAGGACACTGCATGACCCAATAGAGAAAGGGGTGTGGTGTTGGAGAGAAGAGGCGGGAGGTTCCAAATTCCAATGTCCATCCAGGGGGTGTCCATTCTCTCACCTTCACTTATCTCAAGGTCTCATAAAATTCGGGAGAATTGGTACCTATCCTCAACATGCAAGTCAAACATTCAAAGAGCAAGGACGTGGAATACATCATGGTTAGAGAGCATTCTGCAACCTGGTTCTACCAAAGATTCAGATGGTGGGTCATTGACCCGGGGTCTAATTATATTGCCGACAATTCACGATACTTCAACCCCTGCTTGATTGGGATTTGAGATGACGTGAATTGTATTTCATGCTTATGATTTAACGGTAGCTGTCACTGTTCAGCGCTCCGGCTCCTTACCGACTGAAGGGTCGAGTCGATCTCTAGGTTGGTGTTGCACAGTTGTAGAATAGAACGATAGAGAAGACGTAGCTCAATGCTATATGGATCGGTTGCGGAAGACAAAGAAGAAATACTTGGTGGTATGAAAATAGCATTTCCCCCACTCGTTCGGGTTGTCTTGTAGGGAAGCTAGTCATGTCATCGTTTCGGAATGGATTTCGGGGCAAAGCTGATTTCCCGTGGCTTTGCTGGCGGAACAGGAACCCAAAACAAGTCAGTGCTATCATTAGCAGGAGAAGTGAGGCTAGTCCAGCCGGTCGGATATATATTCCTATTGTTGGATTAACCTATTCCTGGGATCGAGTGGGTAGTGGTTTGGACTCTCCACGCAGTTCGCTCAATAAACCCGAACGCAGTTCTGAACTTGGGTCCTATCGCCAATTTGCATGCTAGTCATAAAATAACATTCAGTGGGTTACCTGCCATCAAATATAAGGCCTCCTAAAGCCGATTTAAGACCGCTCGTGGTACTCAACACCCAGAACAGTCAATAAGGTGGGCATTCAATTGTATATTCGGAAGCCGAGTTGCGAGAGCTATGTATCTGTGCTCGTCAATACCTTAGCCATGGTTTAACTCTCTTAGTTAGAACAGTCCGCTACTACTCATTGGCCACCATAAACCGCCCTGTACTGATTTTCAGACTAGATGGACTGATGTAGTTCCCTGTTCACCTCCCGTCTTCTCAGTCAGCTCACTAAAGGGCTCACAACAGGGCAGTTGCGCTTTAAACAATTCCAAATATTGCACAGTCTAACTAATCTCTGTTTTATGGAGAATACTTGATTCCCTTCTGCAGAAACGGAACCAGCCAGCCGTTCTACACCCATCGTGATTGCTGAGCACCCTTTTTGCATGTCAAGCAGCTGAATACGAGAAGGGTTGCACCACACCAAGGTTTCTCGACATTAAGCATCGTACAACCATTCTCCAAAGGTTGAGTAATACGGAACATTATGCATATTCTTCCTTAATCAGACGGCACTTTTCGGCTGCGTGGCATTTGGCTGGTAGGAGTATTCTTGGATACACGCCTCAGTCTCCGGTAGCAAGAAAACTGCAGGATGCCGGAAGCATTCGATCAATGAGAAACATGCGGGACGGATTCGATGAGCATAGCCTATATTCGACGAGCATATCCTATTCATCGTGGTAAGGATACCTAAGACAGATATATTCACATCGAGGACTTGCTATCGGCTAATCAGTAGCAGTTATAGGAAATACTACTAGAATTTATCATAGATGGGATTATATGATCATTGGTCATTCATACTCGCACCCAGTATCTTCGAATCACTCACAGCATGGCTTCCAACCCGCTGGAGATTCTTTTCCATTACCGTCACCGTCGTCTTCGATCCAAGGGCGTCTTCTATGAATGTCAGGGTCCTATTTTTGCTCTGTGTCTCCACGTCATAGATGGCTACGTTCCAATTATCCGAAGACATATGCTCCTTTGATTAGGGTGAATAGATAGATGTGTCTCCGAACTCCGGGCGTCTCTTAATGGAGCATATACTTAGTATGCCGTCGACCTAGTCGTGGTCGTTGACGCACGCGCAAGCTCATGATGGCCGATTGCGGGTCCGGGTCCAGTGAACTAGCCAAAACATTTCTTTTGGGGGGTTGAGCAGTAGAGTGACTGGGCCGGTGGAAAACTGTTCAATTGAATTTGAGGTGTAAGAGGACCGTTAACACAGAAACCCAGCAAACCCATATCTTCAGAGGAGGGGAGTGATCCAACGTTGGTTACAGATATGAAACTGGGGTGAACTCGTGCCTACGCTGACCACAACTGCACGATTGTGGACCGAGGGACAGATGGGTCAGGAGCCAGGAGTACCAGGCTCAGGATCTGAAATGACAACCGGTCGAGAGGAAATGAGAACTCCAGGGTGTCAAACTAGAGTCTTGATTCCCAAAAGAAAGGGGCACGTTCCAAAGCCTGCGCAAAGATGTCCAAAACGCCTTCCAAGAGAGGAGTGTATTGCCTTCCGATTGGACGGCATCGAAGCACCGACGCCATCCCATTATGCCTTTTTTGGTATCAGGGCAGTCAAATTGCGCCAGGGTCTTAAATTATCCAGCGCCCATAAACCATATCTCAACTCCGAGCACGTCGAATTTGGTCCCTTCGTCGCTCAGCGCCTCGTTACCGAATGTGGGACATGAACTCGAAACTCCTTTCTCAAGGTTGTCGTCAAGCCAAAGACCGTAATGACCATCGCTGGAAGAGATCAGCATCAGCCGCATCAGGACCGCGCCATTGAACTTACCCTCCGCCTACGCTCAAATAACTCTGCTCGCAGTATATCATATAGTCGTTGATCCCACTGTACGGGAATGCTTTGAACCTGATCCGCTCTGGTGTACTCGTCCCGCTTCTGCTTACACCATTGGATGACGCCGGACTCAGCATGTTCCTTGCGTGTGATATCGTGGTCATTCGTTGCGCATTCGTCGTGTCTGCGGACGGCGGCGGAGGGAGCGAGGCAAGGGTAGGCAGCTCTTTCAAAATCGAAGCGCGCCATAGAAAGCATTCGCCGGTGCCGTAATAATAGGTGGTTGGATGTGGAGCATCGCTCAGATATGCTCCGAAGACCTGGAGAGTGAACGTGTTAGCTTTGCCGTCGACAAAGTGTTCAATCCCGACGTACATTGTCACCACCATCTTTTACCACCAAAACGAACCCTCCTCTTTTCCCGCGCAACGGCTCTAGCTTCTTGTATAACGTCGCCAAGCTCACGCCGTCCTGCGCCAGACTAAACGCCAACTTCCAATCCTCCACCAGCTGTAGCCGTGGGGGTAACAACAACCGAATCTCCTCCGCCAGCGCTCGCGACAGCAATCTTCCAGAGCCTGTCGTGCTTTCCTTATACCCTTCCAGGGATAACGGTGTCAATGGCGGGGGTTGGAACGGGGATGCGTTCCGCCGTGGGGGGGTGTACACGCGATCCATCGTCGCCTTCTCGTGGGTGGCCGCGTGACCGGTTCGGGGTGGTGTGGAGGAGCTCGCCCGGGGCCCTTCGGATAGGCGTCGAAGTAGGCCAGATACGGCGTAGGTCACCGGGTAGGTAAAATAGGATGCGGATGGTCCGCTAGGTGGGGAGTGGGTGGGCGCCGGAGGGGCGTGGACTCGCTGCCCGGGAGATGATGACGGCATGCGGGATCCAATTCATCAATGAATGTGGGAATCGATAAGGATCGGGGATTAATGGTCTAGGAACAAATCAGAAATGGCATTCCCATCGAATGGGTAGGTTATACATGAGGAAGATGCCTTGAGGCCGCCTGCGTAGTCAGGCGAGTGGGGTATGGATTTCATGGGTACGTGTCATGGAGTTGAAGAAATCATGGAAGGTCAGGTACACCATATCGACCGCTGTTTTTTACGTGACGGGCCGAACGGAAGACCTAAGTCCTAAACTAATTACCCCGGATTTCTTGGCAGATCCCATAGGGCTAAATGACAGGAGCGATTCAGGTATAAAGATCACTGAACTACTGCAACATGTCAAAATTGGGTGACACGGGGGAATCCTTGATTCACGAGCTCTGAATAGGTACGTAGAATCGTGCTGTACGCCAAACCCTTGGTTCACCGCGGCGCCAATTTATCCAGATACTTGTGCAACGGGATCACAAGTAACAATCTGAAAGTTCATAGCCGTAGCGCCCCCAATATTAAAACCGAAAAGAACACCGAAAAGGCACGGATTCCAGCCTAAACTCCAGCTTCCTCAGGCGGAACGTCCAGATTCCAGTTGATCTCACCATCTTCGCCATATCGTTCCCGAAGCCATTCGTTCGTCTTTTTGAAATGCCCACACTCGAACTAGATGACGATGTCGTCGGTTAGCCATGTCGCGTTCAAACCGGGGATAGATGAACCTACGAAGCCTCGAGAAGCACTCAAGGGACTCGGATGCACGCTCTTCAAAACCAAATGCTTCGATCCACTAATTCCCGCACACCGCTTCTGGGCTGGGTTCCCCCATGCTAGGAACACCACCCCTCGCGTGCGCACCTTGACGACGGTGTCGATCACCTTTTGCGTGAATCGTTCCCAGCCTCGGCCGGCATGGCTATTGGCATCGTGAGCGCGAACGGTGAGGCAGGTATTCAGCAGGAGGACGCCACGGTCCGCCCACGGAGTTAGTAGTCCACCTCTGTTCGGAGGAGGAACAAAATCGGGATAATCGATCGCCAGCGCTTTGTAGATGTTCTTGAGGGATGGAGGGGCGGGGGTGGGAGGTCGGACGGAGAAGCAGAGACCGTGGGCTTGGTTGACGTTGTGATAGGGATCTTGACCGAGGATCACGGCCTTGACGGTATTGAGGGGCGTATGACGGGACCTGCATGCCGTTGTTTAGCTCAGCTTTATATGGCTGCAGAACTCTCCTGACATACCAGCTATACACATCAGAGCTGGGAGGGAAGACTTGCTTCCCGCTCTGCACCTCGTTCTTGAGGAATTTCTTCAGTTCCAGAAATTCCTTGCTTGTCACCTCATCCTTCAGGTGTGCCAGCCAACTTTCATGGAGCGTTGCAATCTCCAGCGCCAGCAATTCCTTTTGCTCGTCGGTGAGCTTGGCGACCCAGGCTGTTTTGTCGAACTTTGGAGCAGGTCCTTCTGCCGCCGCAACTTTAGCAGTGCCATTGGTAGTTGTGCTTGGTGCAGCATTTCGCTTGAAGAATGAAGTAATGGTTCCTGAAGGCTTGGATTTCTTTGCTGCCTCTTCAACAGCCCCGGCCGCTTTCCGTTTGAGTGACATTGTGCTCTTGGTGATCTTGAGGAGCTAAATTGAATTGTTAGAGGAGTTTCCACTGATGATGGATTGTAGACAATGCTTGGAACACCACAACACGATGCAAAAACTTGTGTTTGAGCAATGCTCAGCTTTAGCTCATGAATATATATTGGGATAGACTGATCCGGATATGTTCATGTTAACCCCTGATTAACTGCTGAATGTTAACTTCTGATGTGACTGAGTGACTGGTCACTCAGCTGGACGCGTCGCAGCGCGTTCTGGTCCGAGCGGGAGGCACCATGGGTGAGTCGGTGAGACGGTGAGCGGGTCCACCTATGATGTATTGATGCCTGTATTGATGCCTAGTTTGATGCCTCAGCATCAGCCCAGGCCTAATCCATCCCACACCACAGCCACCTGCACATCGGGTGGGGGTTCATATCCAGCGACGGAGCAGCGTCCACTGTGACCGCTGACCAGTATCCAGACTTTCGGATTTGGGAGGACTAGCTTCTAATTTTACAGACAGAATCTACATTTGCGTGTAAGGGCACGTTATCTACAAGTAGCTCTCACCTCGGAAGCTCCAATTTCCAACGCGTTTACTTGAATCACCAGTCCGATATGTCGCCATGACCGGGCGGTTGAATTGCCAGAGGGAGTTTGTCGTGACTCTGGAGAACGTCCGGATTCGGAAGTAGGCATAGGCAGATCCGAACTGAACCCAACGGGTAGTCGACGAGCCATATCAGAAGCACTCCTGAATTGGTCCAGAGAAGAGCTCGAGATGTTACTCGGCGACGATAGGTGATAGATGAAAACGGGTTCTTGAGGGTCATCGGCACTTCACTCTCGCCCCCATTTTGAGCTTATATTCAGATTATTCATCGGTAGTATCGGTGGGATATCAAGCGGAATCAAAATCGGCTGACAGATATAGAATTCTCCGGGTTGTCCGAACTACCAGAAGGACGGCTCAAGGACTTCACCTCAATCGAGCCAGAGTGCGTACACTGGCAGACTAGTTTTACCACGCAGAGGATGCCTCAACTGTCAACTGTCTTCTGATTAACAAAGTCCAACTTCTTTGCGACCAAAGGTCTCAGACTCATCATCAAACCGGGAATCCGACGAGCAATTGCATGCGAGATCACCACGGTCAGCATCCTGCACCAGTTTGAAGAGCATACTGGTCGGTTAGGTCCCTCGACGCTGGCCAACCTTCTCGTTTCTGGATTCGGCCCCCTTCAAAGAGCATCTGGTCCGACCCTGCGCTGCGTCTCATGCCTCGCAAAGCGGACCATGAATTGGCCCCCAACGATGTCCTATTCACCCCCAATCCTCCATGCCTGGGCTGGAGCTTGGAAGATCTCACATCGATCTCTGAGCGCCGTTAGAATGTCTACACGCAGTCTCTATGGTCATTTCTCGACATCACCGTCGTTGTGCCCTACTTCGGATGTTGGATCCTTCGAATGCGCAAGATCAACGTTCTCCGGACGAAACGGCCTGGCTTATGGTTCAGCTTCTCACAGTATTCGGGTCACGGTGGCATCTAAGGGGTATTGGAGGATGGCCTCCCCAATAGGTCATAGAGCCGATCAAAGCGGAGGATGAGCTCTGTTAGACAACGTTTTCTAGGCTGAATCTTCGAGGCAGGGCAGCGAGCCACAGGCATAGGCTGCCAAGTATAGGAAACTGAAACTAGGCAATCTACTGGCATTTGTATTAGTGGTTCGATTCTTATCCCTTCGGAACACTCACATAATACCTGCAGCATGGGAGATATGTGGAGGAGCGAATGGACTGAGCAGTCCTGGGAAGTTTGATATTGTTAGAACCACACGACGATGCCTCCGGATCCTTCTAATGTGTGATCAAGAATTCACACAGTTAACAGATTCGAATGGAATGGTAGGAATGTCAGAAAAACAGTGCACAAGTTTGGTACGGTAATTAATGGTGACCACATCCGCTCGCTCCCTCAACTCACCTGGTTCGGCTGAGCCACAGCGCCACCTGAGGTCTAGGGTCCAAGTCGCACACAACAACGCTGGCGTGGCTGGTGACATGACTGACATTTGCCTGTATCGAGGTGATCCCACAACGTCACCTCTTCTTCAACCTAAACAACTACTTACCCCTAACCTCACCTTGTACCCATCCCGCACTCCCGCCTTCCTCTGAATATCCTTAGGTGACTCCGCATCCTACCCCCTTCCCCTCCTCGGCTTTGGTCCTCGGTTTTCTTTTCGTCACTCCTTCACAATGGCCTCTGAGGATCAGGATCAGAAGGTCACCCTCGACCCTACCTACGATCATTATGACTTCCCCGTCCACAGCGCTACCGAGCGACCCGGCCACCCGGGCCATACGACCCCCGAACAGGATGCCCAGGTCTTTCAGCTGCGGTCCCTGTTGGAGCAGGAGGGGTACAAAGACCGGTTGGACACATTGACAATGGTGCGGACATCGTGGCTGGTGGGAAGCCCGCGCTAACATGGCATCTCCAGCTGCGATTTCTTCGAGCACGAAAGTTTAATGTAGAGGCATCTAAGAAGATGTATGGGCTCCTGCGTATCGTTTCGTACGCCTTTACTAACGGTTTGGGATGTCAGGTTCATTGACTGCGAGAATTGGCGCCAGGAATTCAAACTCGACGATCTTGTGGTGAATTTCGACTACACGGAAAAGGCCCAAATCTTCCAATATTACCCTCAATACTACCACAAAACGGACAAGGTAGGACACGCCATCACCCGTCGTGCGGACTGTGAACAGCTGCTGACACGTCGGTAGGATGGCCGACCGGTGTACATCGAACAGCTCGGCAAGATCGACTTAGCCGCCATGTACAAAATCAGTACCGGCGACCGGATGCTCAAGAACCTTATCGTCGAGTATGAGAAAATGGCTGACCCCCGCCTCCCGGCCTGCTCTCGTAAAGCAGGCCACCTCCTCGAGACCAGCTGCACGATCATGGACCTGAAAGGCGTCGGCCTCGGCTCCGCCTCCTCGGTCTACGGCTACCTCAAGCAAGCCTCCGGTGTCTCGCAGAACTACTACCCGGAGCGCCTGGGCAAGATGTACATCATCAACGCCCCCTGGGGCTTCTCCACCATCTTCTCCTTCATCAAGGGCTTCCTGGACCCCGTCACCGTCGAGAAGATCCACGTCTTCGGCGGCGGCTACCAGGCCACCCTCCTGGACCAGGTGCCCGCGGAGAACCTGCCCAAGGCGTTCGGCGGCACGTGCGAGTGCGCCGATGGCTGCGAGCTCAGCGACGCTGGCCCGTGGCACGATCCGCAGTGGGCGAAGCCCGCGTGGTGGCAGGTCAAGAAGACGGAGCAGGAGGCTAAGAAGCCGGAGGATATTGCGACGGAGGATGCGGCGGGGTCGGCTAGTATACCCGCCGAGTCCGGAGAGGCGGCGACGGTTGAGGGGGCTGCCCCGGCCGAGGCCAAGCCGGCGGATGCGCCGGCCGCGGCGACTGACACTCAAAAGGCACCCGTAGCATAAATGACGCCGTTGGTGGTGCTAGAATTTTTCAAAGGGGCTTTTGGTATACCTGTTCTTTCCCCCTCACCTACCTATCGGAGAAATGCACACCTGTTCCTGAATGCGCTGGTCCACTCGCCTAAAGCAACCCGTCAGGATAGACAAATATTAAACCCTTTTCAGTTAGCCTCAATAAACGCAGGCGGGCAACGACCTTTGAGATGATGGGATCACAACGACAGTGGTGTTTTGGAGTGAAATATGTGATTTTAGACGCCAAGACCGGCGACAGACACTGCACACCTCCGGGATCTATATATATCCCTCCCAGTACCTCATCTGCTCCAAAGCGCTCGACAAATAATCCGCGACCCCCGGTCCTCCATGCCCATCAGAATTCAAACTCCCCCCGAAACCGGTCGACGTCCATCTCCGGTCCAACGATGTCGCTCAAATCCCGCCGTCCCATCTGGCTGAACACGCGTCGCAGGGTATCGTACAGGTTCGTGCTCTGGTTCTGCAGCAAAATCCGATCCACGTCCGCATCGCTAATGTTCGCCCCGTCGCCGCCGTCGCCGCCCGCCGAGCTGATCAGCTCCTTCGCCTTCTCGCGACTCTCGCGCTCGACGACGCGGTGCATCGCCAGGGCGCCCAGCAGGTGCTGCGCGGCCTCCTCGTAGCATCCGATGTTGATGCACGAAACGCCGAGATTGTACCGGGCACGGACGAAGTTTGGTCGGAGCGAGAGGGCGCGCTCGTAGGCTTGGATGGCCTCTTCGCTGCGGCCGCTGTTGGCCAGCGTGGCGCCGAGACGGTTCCAGAGGAGGTGCAGGGTGCTTTCCTGGTTGGTGGTGCCGGCTTCGGTGCTGGCGAGCGCGGCGCTGAAGCAGTCGACGGCTTTGTCGTACTCTTCGGCGCCGTAGAAGAGCACGCCGAGGCCGACTTGGACATCGGGGTCCATCTGCTCGCCTTCGGGAGACATCTGGGCGGCGCGGATGAATAGATCGGTCACCTTTTCGTGAAGTTGGTGGCGGTCGGTGAAGCCGAGGTCGGTGCCGGAGTCGAGGGGTCCAGTGATTAGGGCGGGATATCGAACAGAGATCCAGCGCTCCAAGGTCCGGTATGCGGTGCTGTCGTAACCTTCGTTGGTGTAGGAGACCGCCAGTCCCATGAGCGCTTCAAGCTTGGATGGATCCAATGTGAGTGCCCGTTCCAGAGCTCGAATCGCCGGCGATTCCTTTTCGTTCTGGGCTTGCGCGGTCCCTAACTTAACCCACGCATCAACGTGATCTGCGTTCCGTTGGACGGCAGCTTCGAATGCAAGCGCGGCAAGACTGAGGTTCCCACCGTTGTCCATAATATCCATCCCCTCCGCAAATGGATCCACGTGCGATTCGAACGGATTGTGTTCCTCGAATAGATATTCGCCCAACTGTGGATCTCGCAGGGAGGAATGGGTGTTCAGACCATCGAAGCTATCCCACTGATCCAACCCGTCCATATTCAGTTCCGAGGGAAACGTGTTCTCTTCGTCCACGAGCGCCCTGGCGTGCGCCGTTTCAGCTTTTATGCCTCGCCAGATGGATTCAAAATCCTCAAACGCGTCCGTCTCGTTGATAGGGTCTTGATTTTGGGGGACTGACCTGTCTAGATCTCCCAACTCTCGCTCTATGTCTCTTCGAGCCTGCTCGTCCACATCTTCTTCCGTTTGCGGGGCATCGAGAGATGCGAATTGTGCCTCCCAATCTTGGTCGTCAAGCTCGACCATCCGTGCCTTGCCCTTCCCTTCGGCCTGCTGAGGTTGTTGCGGTTGTTGGTATCCCATCTGGTTGTACTGTCCGCCCATCATGCCCATGCCGCCCATACCCATGCCCATACCCATACCGCTCATGCCCATACCGCCCATACCGTAGCCCATCGGACTCTGGTTCATCATCGACGGGGCAGCGGAGACGCCCGCGCTAGATGTGTGCGCGACCGGGCTCGAGTTCATCTGCTGGTATTTCGCGAACTCGGCGGGGTTGAATCCGGGGCCGTGGAAGCCTGCATCCATATGCTGCGGTGCTTCCACCCCAGGATCGAACTCAGCTGCCCACGCAGGGGAACCGCCGCCGTGGGCTCGTTCCAATTCTCGCCGCATCTGCTCCATGGCGAATGGAGAAGCGGGGCCAGGGCCATGTGGCAGTTGTGAGGGTTGCTGGGCGAATTCGTCTAACATCTATACCGACGTCAGCGGCTATCCTAAGCCGGCTCGGCATTTCGAAATCGGAGAAACATACCTGATCCCCTCCAGGACCTCCCGTCTGCGTCCTCATCCCCTCCTGCAGCCCTGGACCCCGCCCCACCAACCTGTCACGCTGGAGTGACTTGTCATCATGGACGTGCTTGGTGAACTGACTGAGCGGGTTGCTCCCGGTCGAGCACTCTGGGCCACCGAGGAAAGACATGTCTACCGAGCAACGAGGGGAACACGATAGAATGGGATTTGTAATCGACCGGTCCAACCGTTCGTGGTATGGTGTTATGACGTTCTTCGAACCTGTCGATTGGAACTATTCTGGTAGAAGTAGGGAAGGCAAATAAAGGCCAGAAATGAAGCACCAAGAGGTTGACAGGTAGAGGAGCTCGTGCAATAAATTCCTTAAATTCATGGAGCTCGGTAACTTGGATGTATCCTGATATTGCTCAACGTGATTCGGACTCGGAGCAGGTGGCGACGACGGATGCCCTCCCGAGGTTAAGGCGTTAATTAAGGCCTTAAGGGCGGGCCGTAAGGCACCAGTTTCCCGTCTTAGGCACCTAAAGATTCCGTTGCATGTGTTCCTCCATGGTGTACTGAGGTAATTATTATGTATGGTGCTCGACAGAACATATTTATTTCATCAAGAACGGAATAGTATTTTGAGATAAATGATAAGTTGTCTGTCCAAAACTGGAGTACATAGTAAATCCTACTAGCACCGTTCACTGGGTGTAGACTACAAGCCATATGTTCGCTGTACAAGACCTACCATCATCCCTTTATCGATATCCGGCTGTTGACAAAGCAAATCGACAATATCGAAGTGCCCACTCTCCGCAGCGTGAGACAGGACTGTCCGACCATTCATATCAGCCTTGTTGATATCGAGCTTGAGCTGCTGCCGATTTCCTAAATCCGTGCTGTTCACCCGGGGGACCGTCCGCTGAGATAGCAGTAAGAGCCTTTGCACCCCGTCATGAAAGCCCTGTGAAGCCGCATAAGACAACGCAGAACGGCCGTACAGGTCTAACGCATTGAAATCCAGGTCCACTCTGCTTGACAGTAGTTCAATCATATCCACGCGCTGCCTGAGAGATGCTATAATCAACGCAGTGCGTCCATGATGATTTCCAATGTTCAGGTTGACTTCTGGACATTCAAGAAGGACTTCGAGGATTTCGGTGTTAAGGTGTCCCACGGCAATATGGAGAGCGGTGCCTCTTTCATTTACGTCCGTGTAGTTCACATCTTGCCCTCCTTTCAGAAGCAATAGGCTCAGCACATGTTTGTGCCGCTCCCTCGCGGTCTTGATGATCGGGCGACCAAGAAAGACCTGCTTGCCAGAATCTAAGTCTAGAATGTCCTGGATATAGGCGTGGAATCCCTCACTGGCCATGATGAGATTAATCGGAAGCATTGTACTGCTCTGCTCCAAATGACGCCATAATGCCGAGCTTAGTCTTCCAGAATTTCGAACGGCGGTGCTCAACTGGAAGAGTCTTGTGATACCGTCGTTGTGTCGAAATTGTGACCTTGGATCTTTTGCGCTGCAACCATAGGGATTATGAATGTCCGCAGTGACTCCCCCGTCGCCTAAAAGAGCGAAGACGATGCCCAAATGACCTTGCCTGACAGCGTAATGGAGGGCTGTTAGCCCAGCCGCCGTGGTGATATTAGGGTCCAGATCCTTAGATTGGAGCAATCCTGAGCATGCGCTGATATTACCGACCGCTGCGGCGAAGTGCAAAGGCGTAGCAAGCCATCTGTTCTTCGCGTTTACGTCTGCTCCTCTTTCAACAAGTCTTTTTATCACCTCGGGATTATCGGATTTCCAAGATCCTAGATGGAGTGGGAAGTTCCCGAAAGAGCGCTTGGTGTTGGTATCGTAGTCTACCGTTTCCAGGAGCCTGAGGATCATGTCAGAACCGCCAGAGCCGTAGCGGAACAGCACTGCGTGAAGCAGTCCATACCCCAGGAATCCCGACAAGCGGTATCCGCCAGCTTTCGAAAATGCCTCTATTGATGAAGCGTCTCCGGTGGCTGCTGCGGGTAGAGGCAACGGCGAAGCGTTTAAAGTGGGGTAGATCCCTAATTCTTGTAGATGCGCACACATGCGCTCTTCGAATTGTTGATAGCACTGGGTGAACTGAAGCCAGCCACTAAAAGGCATATAAGAGAAAGACGTGCCTGAGTAGTAGGCATAAGCTGCCCCATGATTTCCGGTCATCCGCATGATTTTCATGGAATCCAAGTTTATGGTATGTTTAGAAATATCGACCATTCCGGAATCCAACTGAACAAGCAGTTGAGAGAACAGGAGCGCCTGTAGAGGCTCCTCAGACCCCGATTTTATGACCTTTAGGCGCAATATTTCTCGCAGATGTTCCATCCAGGCGTCATATATGGACCGGAGCTGATCTAGACTCGAGCAGACTTTATCCGCGACAGTTGTGTCGATGTTTCGAAATATTTCTTGGAGTTGAAATCCTTTTTTTGGTCTTGTGGATCGTCGAACGCAAAATATGTGCATAGTTCAGATGCTCTACCCTTGATGTGGCTCCATATTAGCTTGAACTCGGGAGGGTGGAGGAATCTGGGCTTTACGCACATCATTTGTACCTCCTCTAGCGAAGCCGATGAGGAACTCGAACTTTGGGGGGTTCTGCTTGTTTCATTCTCTGAGCAGGGAAATCCTTTCTGTTGGCACCGACCACATTTCTGGCCAGGCCTCCGCTCTGTTGGTAGGCACTTCGGCCAAGTGTTAGCCGCGCGAGAATGGTACCAAGAAATGAATTGAAATGAGTACTTGGAAGTTAAATGGAAGATTTGAAAGGGCAGAACATTATTAACATAGAGCATATTCAGTGAACATGAGTATAAAAGACTGTAGCGGGCTATGTGAGAGGCAGTCTATCCGATTCAGGATGCTCTGTATAGTGACTCGGTTGCCCTTATGGATAAAGGTGCCTGTCTTGCACGGTATGTATCCGGGGAACGTACTTTTTGCTTATCCCGACGACAATGCCTGCATTTCAAGTATTCCAGTTTTCGGTTTCTTCGCCGCCCAGTTCTTGCGGGTGGCATTTCTTCAGAGAAATAAATAATCGGTTGCCTGGATATCGTTTGATGGAGTTGAAAGCCGTAATTTGCAGAGTATGAAATGCTGGTGGACGTGTTCGGTATCGTCGGAGGTGGAGGAGTAAACTTCGAAGAAGATATCAAGGCGGTTCAACGGTCAAAGTCTCCGGACTCGGGAGGAGGACGCTAACCATCATTGACCAGCGTGAATAAAAATTGGCCCTGCCTGGCGACGGTGGGGAGGACCGAGGAAGACAATATTTAATGAACGGCCAATGACGCACCCGACGCACTGAAAAGACCTATGCGACGGTCTTGGAAAGGTGCCACACTACCGGACAATGTACGCCGTACGGAGTACTGCCATATTGACACTGAAGTCCCGTCCCAGTTGCTGGGGGTGTCGTAGTTCAATGTGACGGTCTTGGAAAGGTGCCACACTACCGGACAATGCACGCCGTACGGAGTACTGCCATATTGACATTGGAGTCTCGTCCCAGTTGCTGGGGGTGTCGCAGTTCAATGCGACGGAATCGTGGGAGTTGTTTTGTTTGGAAATGTCATAGAATTCATGACCCACTTGCCGCATCTGGGCCCGGGTATCGCACTGAAGTGCGATAATGAGGTTGTTGATCCACTCTCGCAAGAGAAACGAGAGTTGACCTCACCATGCGACCTATGAGCTTCATCATGTCTACTAGATGTAAGCGGTGGCTCTCTCCATAAATATTTAATTGCTCCCAAAATCCTTTGCACTCGACGAACTGCAGTCTTGAATCTTTCTCTTTCACTCCTAAGTCTAAGTCCCTGCTAGTTGGATTGCTTCGCGGAGAATATACTTCGTTCTGTACGAAGATCGCTTCGCCTATGCTTTAGCTTTGCAAAATGGCTCCAGCCTTGCCACCGCCCATCGAATGGGCCAGTGTCGAGTCCGATGAAACCTCAGCAGCCTCGATCACCTTTGGCATCATTGCTAGCGTTCTCGGTATCGGTACGTTTGTGCTGGGATACATCCAACTCCGCCGCTTGATGAAATACTGAAATGTGGTAACGAGGGAACCTGACCATCCCTCGACCGAGTAAGTCACCCTCGTCAAGCGTGAAGCAGCGGCTAATAACCTGAGTAATAGATCCGGTATCCGCAACACTCAATCGCAGAGTGGGGAGCACGACGGACATGATCTGACGAGCGTTCAATCGACTTAGCATTTGGCTTTGAAGGAGCGATGACAACGGCGCTTGTTTGGAAGACAATGAGATGCGATGTTTAGGTTTGGTTTGGTGTTCCTTAGGAGTATCGGCGTGGCACTAGGTGAGTTGAATAAAACAATGAAGATATATGGGTTGGATCGCGAAAGCTTCCAACGTACCGACTCGTGTATTAGACTGCTGGAAGATAGTATACATGAATACCCAGGCGAAGTTGACTTTGTTCGCAAATTGTGTGCTTGAACATGGACGTCGCGCGTGACAATCCCCGCAACAAATGCTGACGATCATGGCCAACGGGAAGGAATCCGATTACAAACCCCGCAGATATGGTATTGACAAGTAATGGAAGACAAGACAATAGAACCCAAATATCTGTCAGCACAGGGGTATCTTAACTGAAAAGAAACATGAACTCGAATCACTGAAACTTGACTTTTGGCTTCGACAAAAACGGATTGCGCCAGTATCCCGATTGAACCATCAGCATACCGAGGCACCAGGTGTAACACAATGAAAACCCTGCCGCGCCGATAAGAACATTTAGCACGACCCAAAGGTCAGGTTTGTTGTATGGCGGCGCAATGAACGCCTCGCAAATGTGCCATCCCACCATGGCGATGTAGAAAGCCGAGTGGATGATAGCCTCCGCCCAATGAAGACCAGGCTCATCGACGACGCGTCTCCCAGGCAAGTAGAGATGCCATGAAACTGGAGGAAGCCCCAGGAGCCACGCCCAAAGAAGAGTGAGTACGACGTACGGCACCGCTAACCCGTCGCGATTAAGAAGTGGGAATAGTGTCCATGCCGCGAGAATATTTGCAAATCCGATCCAGGAGCGTAACCGAAGTGCCAACCCACCCGACCCAGACAACAAGACTGTCATTGGAAGGAGAGGAAGAAGCACGTTCTTCTCATGGACCTGGTAGCTTGCAAGGAAAAAGCCCCAAGCTGTCGTTGCGAATGCAAGAGGTATTGATGAGCGTTGGGGTTTGAGGAACAGTATTATACATGGAGGAAGAATTAACAACAGCGTCAGGGCAAGTGACACGTGCTGAAGCAGCGCCGAAGGATATATGTGAAGTTTGTGGAATGTGTGAAGTGCACACCAAAGGTTGGCAACTTTATCCTCGAATAGACCACGGGCGAAGGGGAATATGCGGTGGTGAGCTTGGGATAGTTGAAGCACGAAGGGGTAGATTGCTGAGCCATCCGGAATATCGAACGGTAAATCGGAGAGAAGCGGCGGAGGCGGTGTCCCGGTGGCGGTGGTGGGTAAAGGCAGCCCTCGCCGGTAATTGTAGAGTGAGCCGAGAAGAAGAGGGAAGCATAGTATAGCGAAGCTGACGATAGTTGTGACAGCAATGGAAACGAGTCGGCCGAAGCTGAACTTTGGGAAAACACACTTTCCAAGCAAGTAGGCGAAGATGGCCGGGGCGAAGAAGAGTGCCATCTGCTTAAAGCCAAGAGCGGCAATAAACCACACGCAACTCCATAGCAGGTTGTCTGCCATTAAGCCGGACATGCTCGCAAGGACGAATCCTAACATGACGGTGTTGTACTGAAAGTGGCCGTGGTCAATTAGAATCGTTGCCGGCTGCATGAGAACGGCAGTGACGGCAATGAGGAAGTCCCACTTCCCAACACCCTGGCTATGAGAAAAGCGGCGCATGAACGAAATAGCTGCGGGGATGTACACAGCATACTCGGACAGCAAGACAGAGGCTCGCATGAAAACCTTGAGTTCTTCCGATTCGAGCCCGCGTGACGTGTCCAGCTCAAAGAACGATGGATTAACTAGGGAGCCTCTGGATAGAAGTTAGAACATGCTACAGAATCTAAGATCTTGTTTGGATCATACATCTTGCCAAGTACCCAGCTATGATACGCAGTCAATGGAGGGTAATCTAAGCCCCACCATTTCAAATCGTAGAAGTACCATTGAGACACAGGCAGGTGGATAGTTAACTCCATCCAGTGTCTTTGGGCTTCAAAATCGCCAAACATCGGTGGCTTCTGGTGTCCTGTAGCAATGTCAGATACCGATGACTAGCATGAGTGGAGCAACGAAGCAGACCTGAGTAGCCCCAGAACGTGGTCGCCCACCGAAATAGCCCGACTACCATCAGAATGATCGGGAAAATAATCCATTTTGATATAGTTACTTTGGCAGGCCCAAGGAATCCTACGAGAGGGAACAATGGCTTCTTTTCTTGCGTGACAGGATCCGTATAGAGGAGGCCATGGGAAGCAGCAGATCCCAGCTCTCTACTTTTTCTCCTGGGCTTGTGAGAGTTGTGGTTTAGTGAAGACATCACGATTCCCACAATTGAATGACTGGGTTATACATTCATGGTATCCGTGTCAGAATTCAGATGAGTTGATTTCTGGCAGTCAATAGATTCATTCGTTGAATGATCTAATCGAAGCTTCGTGATACGTGTAGATTGTAGAAGCCGGGCGGTGTCACGTGAGGCTCCCGGTACGCGGTCCGTATGAATCGTGTAATATTCGGTTGAATATTCCCAACTGGACCCTGCGCTGCAATGCTCCACTCTCACATTCTGTCCTCTGATGGTCTGTGCGTTGGTTCACCGAAATTTTCCATATCTCGATTCGAAAATTTCCCCGCCTCTCTCTTTTCCTTCTTCATTCACTCACATCTTTTCCGCTCGATATCTTTCTGAGCCGCCTACTTCGATCCTCTATATCATTCTTGTGGGCAGTCACTTGAGGGTTACCGGAGCAATATTCAAAGCTCCTATATCGTGGGATTTCGCACTTTGCCAACAGTTCTCTATAAGGGAACATACATCAGCAACTGGTCAGTGAATGAACGTCAGGACTGCAGAGCCCGAACTGCAGCTTCCTTTGAAGCACACACTTGGAAACTACTTGATTGGGTCTTGACTGTCACACCTATCATTCGGCACTTGTGGGAACACTCAGCCTTGTATTGGGAGTGACAGATCGCTTTTCGTGGGTTGGCTCGCCGTGGGTTTTGCTATCTCAATCACGGAGATCGGTTACGCCGCACTGAGGGGACCTCAGGACATCTTGTCCTGAACAATCGCATTTTCTTGGGCTCTGGGGGACAGCACATCGATTGAAACATTGACTCCGAGGGTGGCTAAGCTAATACTTATTAGGACTAAGAGGGAATTGACATTATCAACATCATGTCTAAGTCAAAGCCAACAACTAAGGTCTCCAAGAAGGATGCCACTGAGGGCGTGAAGAAGGGAAGAGTTGTCAAAGCCTCTGCGGACTCTGGCAAGAACAAGTCGGCGCTGAAGAAGTCTTCCAAGGGTGACAGTGGAAAGTCTGCCAAGGCTGTCGAGCAGATCAAGAAGGCTGTTGAGTCGAAGGTCGATTCTTCATCGGACGATGACAGCGACATTTCTGACAGTGTCGCGAGCGAGGATGAGGCGGTAGCGAAGAAGGCTGCTACCAAGGGCGATTCCAAGTCAAAGGTATGAATATTCTCCGCCGCTTAGATTTCTATTACTAACCCGTGGATAGAAGGCAAAGGCTCCCACTGATTCCGAGGAAAGCTCCGACGATAGCTCGGACTCCGACGCTGAGAGCTCGGCGGCATCTGACTCCGATGAGGAGGCCAGCTCTTCTGATGATAGCTCCGAATCTGAGTCTGAGTCTGAGGCTCCCAAGCCCAAGGGCAAGGCTGCCAAAGTCACGCCTGTCGTCAACGGAAAGTCTGCTCCTAAGGACAAGAAGGCGGCTCCTGCTGCGGATGAGACTTCGGACTCGAGCGCAAGCAGCGCATCTGAATCCGAAAATGAAGCCGAATCAGGATCCGACGCAAAGAGCGATGCCTCTGACTCCGAAGATGGCTCCGATAGCTCCTCTGATTCTGAGTCTGAATCCGAGGAAAAGGAAGTGAAGGCCGCTCCGGTCAACGCCAACAAGCGCAAGGCCATTGATGAGGAGGCTACTCCTGCGAAGAAAGCCAAGGTAGAGACCGGAGAAGGCTCCAGCCTTTTCATCGGCAATCTCAGCTGGAACGTCGACAAGGAATGGGTCGCCCGCGAATTCGAGGAGTTTGGAACCATCACTGGATGCCGTATCATCACTGACAAGGAGAGCGGCCGATCCAAGGGGTAAGCAGTACTATGAAATTCATCTGAAATGAACGCTCGCTGACCTCTCGTTCCACAGATACGGATACGTTGACTTCAGCACCCCCGAGGAAGCCCGCGCCGCTCAAGAGGCACGCCACGGATATTTCCTCGACGGCCGCGACCTCCGCGTCGACTTCGCCACCCCCCGTCCCGAGCGCCCACAAGACTCTCCCGCCGCCTTCAAGGACCGCGCCAATTTCCGCGCCCAGAAGTTTGGTGACGCGACTTCGGCGCCCACCAAGACCCTTTGGGTTGGCAACCTGCCTTACGGCACCGATGAAGATACGATTAAGGCTGGGTTCGGCGAGTACGGCGCCATCTCGCGTGTCGGCCTGCCCCGCGATCGCGAGACCAATGAGATCAAGGGTATCGCATACGTGACATACGGAGAAGTCGAGGAGGCCAAGGCGGCGTTGGAGGCGCTCAACGGCACCGATTTCAATGGACGTGCGCTGCGTCTCGATTTCGACAAGGGCCGTGATGATGCCGAGGGTGGACGAGGTGGCTTCGGCGGCCGCGGTCGTGGAGGGTTCGGCGATCGTGGTGGCCGTGGTGGGTTCGGTGGTGGCCGTGGCGGGTTCGGTGATCGTGGTGGACGTGGCGGCGGCCGTGGGTTCGGCGATCGTGGGGGACGTGGCGGCCGTGGCCGTGGACGTGGTGGTCCTCCTAATACCACCAACCGTGGTGGATTCGGTGACTTCAAGGGCCAGAAGGTGAGCTTTGATGACTAGAGGATTCGTTGAAGGGGTTTTGCTTTCGAACTGGTTTGTTCCACTGTAATGCTCTGTTTCCATTGTCTCGTGTTTTCTTTTTTCCTCATTGTAGCTTGCGATTGAGCTGGTATAACCACAGCCAAACGGTTGGGGCTCCCACGTCCTTGTTAGGTCACTAAAAGTTTATATTTGGGTCCCGGTTAGGCAGATCAATCAAGTTTCGATACTCTCTCAACACTTTGCCATCCTCTAGTAATAGATTCCGAGTGCACATTCGTTAAATCTTATTGAAATTCATGGTGATCTGAACTAATAAACTCATGACAGCGCCTCATAAACTCTCAAGCCCCCTCCCTGCGCATTCACCTACCCCCCACCCATCCCGCGCCTTGCCCCCCCGTCGTTTGATCCACCGGAGCGCCCCCAAACCTCCCATCCGACTGCTGACTCAAATGTCGGTTCTCCAGCTCACTCGCCGCACTACTCCTTGTCGGACTGCTCGCCTGATATCGAGCCGGGCTCGAACCCGGCGGATGCGCAGACTGCGGCGGCGAATAGGCGCCCATCCCCACCTGCTGCTGCTGCTGATAGTACTGCTGCCGCGGATCCATCGTCAGCAGCGGGGCCATCGGCTGCTGCTGCTGCATCGGCGCGGCGTACGCGGCGGGGGTCTTCCCCTCGCCATAGAATCCGACCGCCCCCGCATTATCCAGATACGCGCTCGGGTGCGGCGACGTGGTGCCGCTCTGGGCGGGAACCCATTCGCTGACCGCGGGCACGTCCGCGCGGCGCTTGTTGCGTCGTACGATGAAGAAGATGAGGCCGATGATGGCGGCGATGACGACGACGCCCCCGACGGTGCCGCCCGCTACGGCACCGACGGGGAAGGGGGTGGGGGGATCGGTGGGGGGGGGGGGGGGGGGATCGATTGCTGAGACGACTACGAGGGCGGTGGAGGTAGAGGTGGAGGTAGAGGTGGTCGTTGTTGGACCGGATGGACCGGTTTGGATGATGATGGTTGTAGCGATGATTATGGTGGTTGAAGTGGAGGTGGAGAGGGGTCTGATAACCGATGAGGAAGGGGATTCAGATGCTGGAAGGTGGTTAGATGGAGTACGGCTGGAAAACGCAGTTGAGGGGAGGAAAGGAGGAGGAAGGTGGGGATGAAGAAGATGGTGTAGACTGCTCTCGAGAGGGCATCGACGTTTCAACGAGCTACTTGAATGATTAACAGAGTAATGCTTACAAGTCGAGGGAGTAGTCGGCCTCGGAGCGTCAGGAACACTTGGCCTGGGGATAGATGGCACCGTCGGACGTGCCAGCGGATTTGTAGACGTGGTGGAGGCCGTAGTGTACACATCAACTGCGAGCGAATTGGCGGACTCGCACTGATAGTTGCTGAACAGTCGACCATTCATGGTCATCCAGTACAGATTACAGTACGGCGCGGTAGCAGAAGAGCTGCATGGGAAGTCAGCATAACTCCTCCAGGCGAGCGTTTAGTACAACCATGTAGTAGCCCCGACATCGTGCAAGCAGCTGCCTGTACATGCGGCCGCGAGTGCCGATGGGACGCATGTCGTCGCCAGCGTGCAATCGTCGTTCGCAAGACTAAGCAAGTTGCAGCACCCGAACGCATAGAATGTGGTGTCCGTCGCGCAGACGGCGGTGGACCGGCAGTACCATGGCCGATCTGAACATGTATCTTAGCACTCATCCATCGGTTTACCCTGCGGTAGTGCGAAGTGTACCTGGAGCTCCGAATTCATAGCCGCAAGTCTGCTCGGGCCCTCGCTTCATCAGGCCAAAGAGCTCTTCCACCCCGCCCGTCGGCCGCGGACTCGTCCCTCGCGCTACCATGTCCTCGAACTGTGCCTTTGCTGTGGGGTACGGGCCTACCCATGGTACTGCGTCGACGACGGCGATGCTAGCACCGAGCAGCATCACTAGGGATGGAAAACTCGACATGGCGAAATTCCAAGGCTTCGGCGAAACCATTGTCGAGCGATTGACGGGAGAAACCGAAAGGAAAACCCTCCTAGGACCACGAGGCTACGCTCATGGCGGAAGGGCTGCAGTTAAGTACTTCGGGCTCTCTGCCGAGAGGGGCAAAATGGTGGCCAGCATAGCAGGTCGGGTTCGGTTGAGCCTCATCGGAGTATAAGTTTGCTCATTTCCGCACTCTAGACGCTTGAAAGAGGGGCACGATGGGGATGGGTAGCCTGGTGGGCGTTGTTATCAATTGTTCTGGTGACCATGGTGTCATGGATGCAGTGGGAGGCGAAGTAGGCCCGCAGATGTGAATCATCCGTAATAGGATAGACTTGGCGAGCTAGATGGTGAAAGGACGTCCAGAGTAAAAAGTGGCTTGCAGATGCAGGTATGACAGCACCACAATGGTCATTCTGATATTGGACTAACTAGATATGGAACGATAATGCTGGGCAAGGTCTGGATTTCGGAGCCTAGACTGACCCAAAATGCTCGAAGCTCATGGTTCATGGTTGCAACATGCAGCCGTGCAGGACATGGACAAAAGCATCAGGCAAACTGGAAAAGAACAAGAAGCGATTAAGGGAAGGGCCGCCGACCGAATTTGTCGGATCATAAGGTGATGGATGCTTGGCGGTGATTTGATAATTTATGCTCGACAGCCCTCCATTGTGGCTTGATTTACGTGCAAACGTACACCAAACAGCTATCCCTTCTCGTAGCGCAGCTCTGCGGCACAGTTCCATATCATCCTTACGCTGTTGTAAACGGAGGTAGGTGAAATGGAAAATGCATCAGATATATTGTTCGCAAAGCTAGGTGGAGTAGGTCTTATTGTGAACGCGGCGGATTTTCAACAGTAGAGGGGAGCAAGATCTCGGAGTTTCCAACTGTTAACAACCAAAGGTATGTGCATGACGAGTTTATAAATGCCGACCGGAGTCTGAGGATGCGTCGTGACTGGATAAAGGGACATGGTATAAAATACGCGAAAAAGAGTACCGCCTTGCCTTGGCGTTCAAGTTCCGAAGCGCATTTGGGCTTTGCCGAATTTATGAAGCGCTCTCAAAAAGACCTGGTAGCCGACTCCCGATGAATTGTCTGGACTGCAGCTGGGAGGCATGTTAGTGAATCCATAACAGTCGTTCCGGTTCTCCGGAATGCAGCAATCACTTACAATATCTCACTTAACCGTATCTGCCACGGCGGAAATCCATCCAGTTTCATCCGCTCCCCAAAGCAGACCACCAAATCCGGTTCGCCCATGACGCTTTCGGTGATTTCCGCGTCCACGAGATCGGTGCTGATATCGCTCGGGGCGAGTTTCCCGCGCTGACTCATCTCGGTGAGGGTCTTGGTCAGGTCCACGATGGTGTCTCGACCGTCCTCGGCGGAGAGGAGGATGACGGTAAGGCGGGGGTTCGGAGTCTGGGAGAACGGCGAGGGAGGAGTGGACGGTGGAGAGAAGGAAGGGTGGTTCGGACAGCGGAGGGAGAGGGCTGGGGTGGTGTGCGGAGGGAAATAGGTGTGGAGGGTAGAGGTAATGTGGGCATGTGTCGTAGGTATGTGAGTTTTGAGGATTCCTGGGTGAATAGTTAGCTTTGCTTGAAAGAGCGGTCCGATCTCTAGATGACATACCCGTCCTTTCGTATACACTCAACGTTTCGATTCCAGCGCTCGCACACCATGCGCTCAACTCGCCGACATGATTGAGCAATCGCTCCAACTCCACGCCTCCATTTCCACGCGGGTCATAGCTCACCACCACGCTCAGATGCCTGGGAATCTTCGACAGCTTCGCAACGTCTCTCCGAATGAGCTCGGGGGTATGGTGATGGTAATACGTCAGCGCGAACATGCGGTCCTTTAACGCACGCACTACCCGTCTCACGCGCATGTAGACGGCAAAGACCGCATGGACGATGAGGAAGAGGCACAGGTAGATGCGCTCCCGGATGAACTTCCGCACGGGTTTCCGTCGAGGAGGTTTCGGCTTCGATCCATTGCGCTGCGACATGGCAAGGATCTCATTCCGCAGCGACGAAGATTTCGGAAGGGTGACGTTCGAAAGACGCTGGCGATGTTTTCGTTCGAGCGGGATAATGGGAGGGAGGTCCGAATCCGGTGGCTCCGGGAGGTACTTGCTGATCACCAGTTCCCTCTTCTCCGGTGGAAGGTCATCGAATTTCTTGGAGTTGCCATAGGGAGTTGACAAGGAGGGAACATCGCCGGTGCTGGCGGTCATTGGCATGTTCAGCAAGAACGCGTCGCTTCAACCGAGCTTGCCAGTGAATTTTTGCGGCTCCAGTACGGGAAAGCTCAATCAACTAGCGCACATGGAGCTTCGGCCTTAAGCTACCAATATTGATTACCAAAACGTTCAGGAGGGCGTCGTCAATGTCAAAAGGGTGGGAAATTCAGGTATAAATCGTAGGTATGGTAGAAACGGAACAATTGCATGTACGGGATGTATTACATAGGTGGCATTATTCTCAGAACAGCGTCATCCCGTCGCTTTTAGTAGTCCCGGATTCCCGGTTGCAATGGTTGGTCCCCGACCAAGGTGTCGTAAGACCGAAGGACCGTGAGGCGTGAAGGCTGAGCACTGAGGAGTGAACGCCGCAAATCGCCATCCGCCCCAACTCCCAAGCCACGGGAACTCCACGGCAAAGGGGGGTTCCCTGGCTCGGATATGGAAACGTCCAATCCGACTGGATCTGACGGATCGTGTTCATGGACTGACGTCGATCAATGTGGTGATGGTGCATCAAGCAGCTTCGGCAGTCAGATTTAACATGTGGAATTTGCGGGGAAATGAACGTGAAATATAGAGGATTGCATTCCAGACTCCTGTCGTATATCAGACCTTGAGTAGTTGAGTTCGTACTCCGTACACTCAGCACAATAATGGTGAACTCATGAAACTGGTCATGCTCGAGCCTTGAGGATCTCCATGCCCATGGTGCTGGAAATAGAGACACAACCATGTGATTTGTCCACGTGATCTCGCATGAGTCAGTTTGGGGATGAGACCGTGAAGAATTCCGAGCAAGTCTCAGCAGGTGATGGACAAGCATGACTCATGCAGCTCCTCAGCCGCCGTGTTCACATCAGCCATGAGCCAGAGAGCCCAGACAGGGGAACGAGCCTCCACGTCCTGCTTCTCTACTCGGACTCCAGGTGTGCTGTATAATACGTATCAAGTGCGTTATTTGTAAATTCCTCCTTTCTGTGAAGCGGGAGCCTTTCGGCTATAGGTTACGTGCGCGAATCAATGACATGGGAAACATCGAGCATGCCATTCCGAACCCTCCAACCTTCGTCGACATGAATTGATAGCTCTCATGTCTGTATGCGACCACGGAATAACCATATAGTGATCTAGAGACGTTCATGCAAACATGTCCTCCCGAGCCTCCATATCAACTCGATCCCCCGCATTCTCCCTCGATACCTTCTCCTCAAAGGATTTCATTGTCAAAGACTTCATCGAGTCCCTGTCCGACACGGTCATCCCTACAGCCACCCGCCGCTCCGCACCCACCGCCAGCGGCTCATCCACCGCCGCATTCGACCCGAAACCACTCATCAGGACGTTCGAATCTGCATTAGCTCGTCTCCGCGGCCTCAGCGAAGATCTCGAGAAGCGCGAAAACGAGTTGTCGAATGCGGTGAGGAGAGCTGAAGCGCAACATACGAACGCAGCGGGAAGCTATGGACAGAGGTTGGAGGGGGCCGTGGACAGATATAATCAGCTGGAAAACAATTTGAACGCGAGTGCCTCGAGCGGCTTGACCGACTCGCAGGTGACGAACGGCAATGGATACGGATACGGGAATGGGAACAGGAACGGGTCGGAAGGACGAGATGCCGTGAGCATTGGAGAGCGTCTGGAAGAGCTGGATAAGCAGAGGCAACGAGCGCTGGACGCAAAATTCTTGATCCAGTGCTGGCAGGAGGTCAGCAGCAAGGGTCAATTGTCGAGCTTGGAGGATATGCGACGACTTGGCGGGAGTGAGGGAAAGGTTCGCTGTGCATCAATCGCGAGACAGCTGCTCCGAATCTGCACGCGGCTGGATCAGGAGGGAATTAGCGGACGCATCACCAAGGGCAATGGGGTCCGAAACGGCTTGGGAGAGGCCGATTCTCCCGCCCGCGAAATCATCGAGAAGTTCCTGGAGATGCTGGAGAAAGATCTCCTGAAACAATTCGACAACCATTACCGGAAACAGAATTTCGACGGCATGAGGGAGTGCGCCATTGCGCTTCGTGACTTCAACGAGGGCGCAAGCGTCATGGCGGTCTTTGTCAACCAACACGAATTCTTCATCGACAAGAATCAGTTGCTGGCCGACGAAAACGTCGGCGATGGAGAAGGCTGGGATAAGCTTGCTGATCCGGATACCGAGCCTCCCGGAGTCGATCCGTCCTTGCAAGCGTTGGTTGACGAGGTCAAGCTGGTTGTGCAAGAAGAGAGCTTTATCATGAAGAAAGCCTTTCCGTTCTCAGAGGAGGTGCTCACTCGGTTCTTGCAACGAGTGTTCCAGCAGTCCATACAACAGCGACTCGAAGTGGTTCTAGACAAGGCAAGCTCGATATCGTCGCTTGCGTTTCTGCGATCGTTGCAGGCCGCGCGAGGTTACATTGGCGCTTTGGTCGACAGTATGAAATCTCATGGCCTCACGGAACATCCAGAACCCGTCACTCCTCAGATCGCCGCCGTCCTGGACCAACAGCTAGATGAGCTGTTCGTGCCCTACTTTATCGGTTCATCATACATCGAGCGTGAGAAAAAGAACCTGGATGAGCTCTATGCGTCATTGCTCTTCAAGTACACAACCTACCATGTATGTGGTCCGTTCCCACGGCAAACTATCCACTAACCAGAGCATTAGTCCCGTCGGAAGAAAACACCAACTGGCTATTTGGCAGCCCTTAGCATGAGGAGCAAAGAGCTGGTGTCATCTGCAAGAGACGCATATATGGAGCGGTTGGACTCGACCGAGTTGCCTCCCTCTCAAAAAGCCATGCTTCTCCGGATCGCCGGAATCAAGGACTCCGAAAAGGACAAGAAGAGCGACATCGAAGTTACGGAAGCGGACGGCGAGCTCAGTCTTGCCGTGGCAAAGCGCATGATCAAATGGCTGGCAGAAGCCGTGGGAAGAGGATTGGAGCTCAGCGGGGCCGTCGAGGTTCCAAAAGATATGCAGGCGCTTCATGGCTTGGTGCTGCTGCATATCGGCGAAATTTACATCGAAACGGCGCTCGAAGCGTAAGTCCACCGAACGTCTTGAGAAGCCAAGGAACTGACCTGATCACAGAGCCGCCGAGCAACTCCCTGCCACCGACGCCCTCAAAACCGAACCCTCCTTCAGCCACTTCCCCACCCTTCCACCCATCATCTCCACTCTCCACCTCCTCCGCCTCGCCATCACGACCATGCTCCTCCCCCTCGCCGCTCCCAACCTCACCATCCGCCGCGACATCGAAAAGACCCTCGAAGGCACCCTCACCGCCCTCGAATCCCGCATGTCCATCATCCTCCACCGCTCCCTCGACGTCTCCCTCCTCTGGTCCTCCAAGCTCCTCGCCGCCCAGAAGAAAAACGACTTCCGGCCCCGCGACGAGGATCTCACCCGCCAACTCGACGCCCTGCAAACCCCTACCTGCGCCTCCGTCCACGCCTTCCTCACCCGCGTCGCCACCGCCGCCGCCGCCGCCCTCGACGGCAAGAACCGCACCGTCTTCTTTTCTGAGCTCGCCCTCGGCCTGCGCTCCCTCCTCTTCGAGCACCTGCGCAAGTTCACCGTAAGCCTCGCCGGCGGGCTGATCGTCAGCAAGGACGTGAACAAGTACGCGGAGCTTGTGCGCGCGTGGCCGATGGACGCGGACGGCGAGTTCCGGCGCGACGGCGGCATGGAGGTGCTGGTGGAGGTGGCGAACCTGTTCGTGGTGGGGCCGGAGGCGCTGAAGGAGCGGCTGAAGGTCGGGGCGAGCGGGGCGGGATCAGGGGCGCGGACGCTGGAGGAGGTGGGGGAGATGAAGAAGTATGTGGAGCGGAGGGAGGATGTAGGATCGGTGGCGGTGCAGGCGGTGTTGCATGGTGTGTAATGACCGTTCGGCGAGTTCGTTGGCGAAGTCACGCCTGGGGTTTCGAAGGACAAGATCCCAAGGTGGTCGGGGACGCGGTTTTAAATCGACCATGTCGCCAGCAACCGTTACCCCCGACCGACGCTCACCAAAGCATGGCGAAGTCTCCTTGTCTGTCCATGGGGAGCAACGCTTTTCCACCCACTTATAAGCCACCAAATTCCGTACCTCCAACATCTCCGATGCTCGAATAGTAATTATTATTGATACTCTCATGTGGCCTATGTTCAGGTCTTAGGTGAAGAGCATTCCTTAATCTAGGCGAGTCCACAACAGTGTAGATGTTGTACCGGCCCCCATGTTAGATCTAATCCTGTCACGTAGAGAACATCGACAGATACATTGGCCGGCCTAACATAAAACTCATAGCACCCTGATTGTGATGCTGGACAGGAAATCCGCCATCCAGTGGATGATTACAGATCCACAAAACAAACAGATAGACAGGGAATCAGCTAATGCCCATCGAGACCACTCCATGGTTTCGTCAATTACACATATTTTCTCATTGTACCCCACTTTCTATTAACATGAACAGTCCAAACACTTAGACGCTGTGTAGAGAGACCTTCCCAGAATGCATGTACGCTTTCGACCAACGCCTTATCCCGAACCAGCACCTAATCACACCCCATTCCCCTCCTTCCTCTCGTTCATCTCCGTCGCCATCTTCTTCCCAATCTCATACGTGCTAATCATGATCGCACACGCCGGCGCCACCTTCAAGCACCGCGCCGCCCACCCCTTAAACAGCCCCGCCATCCCCTGCTCCCGGAAGATATGCAGCAGAAACCGTGGCATCGACTGCTCTTCGGGCACCAGCGCCCGCCGCGTGCCCGCCGCCCCCTCCCCGCCCACCGCGTGCTGGAACACCTGCTGCCGCGTCTTCCCCACGTCGAACGGCTGGGTGACAATCGACGCGACCCCGCCGGACGCCGCGCCCGCGAGGAAGCTGTCGATCAGCGTGTTCGTGTGGTTCTCCTTGTTCATATTATGTCGCCGCCGTGCGAACGCCTCGGGGCTGGTCGCTTTCGTGGGGGGGGGTACCCCCGACCGGCGTGTCCGCATGTCAGTCAGGATGTTGCGGCCGGCTTCGTAGCCCCACCAGTAAAGCGCGGAGAAGGGCGCGTCCCGCCAGAGGGTGAGGGTGAGGCCGCGCCAGAGGCTGAAGGGGCCTTGGACGGCGACCATTTCTTTCAGGCCTTGGAAGGTCTCCTTGACCACGCCTGTCGCGGAGTTCGATGAATGAGAAGCCTGCATTCGTGTCCGAAACATCTCGATCGGACTGACGGCCATCGCTGCTAGAACGCGAGCCGAGCTGCCGGCGACTAAGGGTGCGTATTGGTCGCTCACTCCCACCCGCCGGACCGGGGACTTTCGATTGTACCGCAACCAGTCGTAGCCTGAAAAATAGATGACATTGGCCGGGACGGCCATGATGAGGGTGGGGGTTAACCCTCGCCATAAGGTTCTCGGCCCCTCGTTCCGGGCGATCTTGCGCAGGCCGTCCAATGTGGAGGTGATGGTCTTTCGCTGGATTTCTTCGGCGGCACAGTTCGCGGGCAATCGAGGGATGGCGGCGGGGGTGTTTAGAAGTGCCATGTTCGATCCCGCGACGCAGTATGGGGCGTTGTTGTTGACCCAGAAGACCTCTCGACAGCAGGCGGATATGCCGATGTTTGAGGGGAGGTTATGGAAGGCATTGGAGGATGCGAAGGTTCGGGGAGGGCGGGTAGGTCGTGAGGGGGTCGGTTGTGATTGTAGGCGGACGCGAACGACGTCTAAAGGAGTGACTGTGATCTGTTAGTCCAATTGATATCCGTTGGTCTGATATGACAATGCCATATGACGTGGTGGGTTACCGAGGAGGGATGTGAGGATGCTTCCAGAGAGGGCGGAGACCATCTTCTGCGATAGGGTAGTTTGGACCTCATCCTCAGAATCGTCTGCACCCGCGGAGCCATTGTCGAGAGGGTCGCTAGCAGGGAAATCTATTCTATCATGGCTTTGGCTGCCGGTTGTGTTTGCCTCTCGAGTGGAATCCATCAAAGCCGCGATTAGCTCCAAGAATGAACGAGTGTGTGGATTGCAGACAGGTGGTCTATCACCTGGAATGATAATATGAAGTTCTCATGTTTGGCAGCGATGGAAGTGTTGAATGGCAATGAAGAAATATTCATATGAAAGTGGGAGTCAGTTCACGCCTCCACGAATTATTATTCCCCCCCGATTCCAGGCCTCTCCGCATCCGCGAATGACGCTGCGGGAGGGAACACTAAGTCTAAGAGCTATTTTGCACTGATTACGGCTGCCGATAGCGACCAATACGCCAATTGAATATTTCACCTACACCCCCTCAGTCCAGAAGCAAAGTGTAAAGGGCCAATTAATGCTTTGGCAGTTATCGTCTGCCGTAAATCTCGGTCTTTGTTTGCCATCGGCTCTCTATCTCCGATGCTATCCAGTATGAGCTAATCATCGTAGTTATTCACTTACTCGTACAGGTAAGTTACTCAAGCGAAGTATGACACACAAGTCCGTCTTGCACGTAATGTTTCCCACCGAATATCTTTCATAGATCCTCAAAGAGCAAGGGATCACACCATGGACCAAACAGAGGCCGAATTAGAACGTTTCCGCCAGCAGTGGAAAAAAGAAGTGTCGGCGAGGAAGGACCACCGCCAATCCACCGATGCCGGCACCAGCGGACAAGCTCCTCGAAGTCAAGATGCCGGTTCCACAAGCAAATCCGGGTTGCCTCCTCCACATGTGCCTGCAGGAGCGGCAAGGAATCCTTACGAAGGGTGGGACGAGGTGCAGCCACATTCATATCATGATATAGAGCAAGTCTCGAGGCAACGCGCCTTGGAGTCATCGTCACATCCGGAAGGGTTGGGGAATCCGCCAAAATCCGCTCTGGAGCATTATGAAGAAGCTGTGACGAGAGAGACGCAGGGTAATCTGGGTGACAGTGTTAATTTATACCGCAAGGCATTTCGGGTAAGCCATATTACAGTCACCTCATATTGTAGCATCCGTCGACTCATGATAGCACTGTAGCTGGATTCCTCTGTCCATGAAATCTACAAGAAGAAACATTTCCCTCCAGCAGCCAAACAAAATGCCGCCGAACGTCAACCGACGAAGGGTTCCTCATCTCAGGAAGCCGAACGGCAGGATCCCTTGCAAGCCCTTCCACGACCCATCGCAGATCTCATTCAAGAATATTCTCATGCCGAGATATCCCCTGAAGCGCCCCCTACGGAGCTATCCCCTCCTCCACCATGTCCAATGGCATTCCTTCCAGAAGAGCTTCTCGTCGAGATCCTCGGACATCTGGCTATCTCGGACGTAGCCTCCTTCGCTCGTGCGGCGCAGGTGTGCAAAAGGCTAGCGTACTTGGTCACGACGGAGGAAACCATATGGAAGCGAGTATGCGAAGGGGATAAGTTCGGGTTTGCCGCGATGCATTACCGCTATGTCTGCACCATTCGAGGCAACCCCATTGTGGAATCGGTCTTGGACCCAACGTCGGTGGAAGGTCTAACGACGGCTCATGCGGGCCTTTCTATCACGGACCCATCGACGACAAAGATCCCGATCTCGCTGTCACCATCATATCCAACCTATCGCCACATGTTTCGAACGCGGCCACGTATACGGTTTAACGGCTGTTACATCAGCACTGTCAACTACTCTCGACCTGGTGGGAATATAACATCACAGGTGACCTGGAACTCTCCTGTCCTGATCGTTACCTACTACCGGTACCTCCGCTTCTATCGCGATGGAACGGTCATCAGCCTTTTAACGACGTCGGAACCCACCGAGGTGATTCCGGTGCTGCATGAAGGTTACCTGCAGTCAAAAAACGAAAGAAACCGCAGATTACGGGAACAGTTGTCTGCAGCTACAGAAGGGGTTGGTCCCGATCAGGAATCCCATCCGAGCTCGAAGGTAATGAAGCATGCCTTGCGGGGACGGTGGAGGTTGTCGGATCCCATCACAGAGGGTGAAGGCGATGTCCACATCGAGACCGAGGGCGCGGTCGCCAAGTATACCTTCAAAATGCAATTCGCCCTCAGCAGTGCAGGCCGCGGAGTGCGAAACAACAAGCTGACCTGGAAGGGGTTTTGGAGCTATAATACGTTGACGGACGATTGGGGAGAATTCGGGTTGAAGAATGATAAGAGTTATTGGTGGAGCAGAGTTAAGAGCTGGGATGTTGGGTCATGATACTAGCACTATTGGTCCAATTCCGGTCATCCAAGTCCTCGAGGGGGGGTTCTTGGACGGAGCTGCTCTAACTGGACTTTCGCTTTACCATGGCCTCGACTCCCTTATCAGCGTCAAATATCTCCTCCAGCGACCTCAGGATTACCGTGGGCTTCCCCTTCTCCCCAGCCACGAGTGCATCAGTCCAGCCTTTTCCTAGCCTATCAACCCACGCTGCCTGCATTCCCGCAGAGCGAGCACCGACGATGTCGAACGGATTCGAGCTAACCAGCCAGATCCGTGCCATGTCTTCCGCCTTTCCCGGATCGAATCCGACTCGTTTCGCTACGAGGTCATATGTTGCTTTGGCAGGCTTGAATGTCTTGATTTCGTCGACGGAGACGATCTGTTCGAAGACATTCCCAAGACCAGCCAGTCCGGAAGAGCTGGACAGTGACGACGCCACCATATTGGGTGTGCCGTTGCTGAACAGCACTGCTTGAATGTTTGGATGGCCCTGGATGGTCCGAAGTGCTGGCTCAACATCCGGATATGCCGCTAGGGAGTCGTACACGGCCAACACTGACTTGATGGCCGAGTCGTCGAGGTGGACGTCTTGGTCTGCCAGTGTTTGCAGAAACGCTCGGTGGAGAAGAACTGAAAAATCCTCATACAGACCTGTGAGGCGGGTCAATATTCTTATTTTGATGTTCGGAAAGGCAACCGTAGCCATGCAAGAGAGTAGACAATAGAGCCCTTACCCATACAAGTCAATCTCCACGAATAGCTCAAGTGATATTGGCGCCATACTGTAGCCAACTGTTTGGCCTTCTCCTCCCCCACAAATCCAGATAGTTTCTCGGCTACGCTATCCGTGGAAAGAATCGTCCCGAAGAGATCGAACGCCAGGACGATCCGGGACGTGGACGCCATTGCGGGTTGTCTATCTCCTTAAAGCTGTTCTGGCGTGTATTTAAGATTCGAAAGGAGTATATACTAGATAAACCGCTAGATTCTTAGGGAATAGCAAGAAAATATATGAATACGCCTTTTTCATGCAGATACCTTTGTATATGTCTCAGCAACGGTCCTAGCATTGTCAGATTACATGAGCAACCCCCCACCCCACCTTTGTCCGATCGATACTGTTCGGTGCCGGTGGAAACCTTACTACGTAGTACATCATTGATGGCTACCATTTACATGATCATTTTACGGTGGCTACTCCAATGTCGAGAAGCACGGATGAACCAAACTATAATATATTCCGAGACATAGTGTCTGAATTCATAATCGCCCAGTTTACGATGCGACAAGTTAAGAAGAAGGCGACGAAGCGCGCCTCAAGAAAGAGCAATGGATCTGTGTCTATCGAGGCACCAAGAGAAGATAAATCTACGGAGGATGTTGGAGGCCCGGAAGGGCTAACGGAATTTATTGATGTAAGGACGCAACCACTCCGAAAAGCGTGGCTTAAAAAGGAGGCAGTACATCGCCACAGAGATATTCCAGTCACTCCCAAGTGCGCTCCGATCCATCTCATACGCAACCTATCGAGACTCCGATGCGGTTCAAGAAACGTATCCTTCCTCGCCTCCTCTTCCCTTCCCCACGATCGATGCTCTCAAATCATGCATCCCGCCAGATGTAGCAGAGACCTTATCTCTCTACGTCTCCGTAACATCGGAGCTGGGTGATGTAACAGTCCCCATCGTGCACGACATGATACCAAACTATATCTCGCAAGCCACCTCCGCTCCACCTTCTCATAACACCGCTCCTCCTCCTCCTAGGTCGCCATGCGAGATCTGCGAGCGCACACAGCTCCCTCTAACCTACCACCACCTAATCCCGCGAGGTGCGCACGCGAAAGTCGTAAAGTGCGGCTAGCATCGAGAAGAGGAGCTGAATACCGTGGCGTGGCTCTGCAGAGCGTGTCATAGTTTCGTCCATCGGATTGCGTCGAACGAGGAGCTGGCGAAGGACTGGTATAGCGTGGGGTTGCTGCATCAGCGGGAAGATGTCCAGAGATGGGCAGCGTGGATAGGGACTGTTAGGTGGAAGAAGCGTTAGGGGACTCTCGACGCCTTCTTCACAAATTCAGCCAGCAAGTCTGGCGCACTAATAGGACGCATTAGTTAGCATAAAGGATGCGTGTAGGACACATACTCCTCAAAGCATTAAGGTCGTCTAGGGTTTGGGGTCCCCAACATGATAAATTATATAATTACAATTACAAGCAGTTTTAATGTCCTCGATGACGGCGCTGCTGTGCTCTGATACGACTTATTTCCCCGCGCTTGTCGGCCCAGCAACATGTGCATCGAGGTAATAATACACCAAATCTTATCCAGAACCGCTCTGGTTCGTTCCCGGCAAGCCAACCCAATCCCTCTCGCCCCACAATTTGATGATATCAAGCGCAGCCTTCATGTCATCTTCCTCCATCCTCTCGTCCAAAATATCTCTCAACCGCTTGCGCTTCTTCTCCAGCTGGGGGGGTCCCCTTTCCCCTTCTGGGCGCGACTTCGGCTCCTGCTTCTTCTTTTGTTCCCGTAGGCCACCAATGTGATCGGCCCCAGGCCGAACTTCAGGCGTTGACATTGGCGTCGCGATCGCGGCCACGGGCTGGCGCACGCTGACTTCTTCCGGTTCAGAATCGGACTCGGAATCCGAATCGTCGGATGAAACGTAAGAACTGGTGGATGAGACCGACTCTGAGTCCGTGCCTTCGGAACTGGTGTAGCTGATCAGACCCGGTTTCCTGGAGATCTCGTCAGGTACTGGAGCAACTCCTTTACGTCCTGCCGCAGGATTTCCAAGAGCCTGTTGTCTATGGGCCATCCTCGCCTGTCTCACCCTCGCGTACTCCTCATCTCTTTCTTTCCTTTCTTGCTCGGCCTTCTCTCGTTTCTCCTTCGTAGGAAACTTCTTCTTTCTCTCTTCCAACCACTGGGACAGGTCTCCTCGTTTCCCGATCATCTGCTTCAACTCGAGAAAACGGTAGTTACCCATGGATTGCGCTCGAGTCACCTGCTCCGTCTCATCAAGGTCTTCTTCGCTCAGTACCGGACTCGGGGAGCGCTCTGGGCCCGACGGAGTGAGTCCCAGTTGATTCGTCTTCCATTTTCGTTTCCGCTTCTGTCCTTGCGAGGCGGTTGATGAGGTTGGCTGAGTCGGTGACGCCAAGGAGTTGAGATCGAAGCCAAATGAAGGGATAGTAGGAGGTGCGGACACTCTTGGCTGAGCGGTCGGTTTAGGCCTATGCTGATGGATAGTAGAAGGCGGTCGCGATTGGGGAGATGGACTGAGATTAGTAAAATGTGACCTCACATCCTGTATTCTTGGATGTGGTGCAGGTTGATATGCTCCGGACGGGTTCGTCCTCTGGGGGTTCTGATAGTCGTTCCCGGAAGCTTGCTGATGTGCAAACGTAGACGTATTCAGCTCTTGTGGAGTGTCAGGAGGATTTAAACTGCCTGGATCCACAGGCGAGAGAGCGACCATAGCCTGTGCCTGGATTGCATTCGTCATGTTTTGAGCCATCTGCATAATTTGCTGAGGGCTGCAGCCTTGAAACATGTTTCCGTTTGCTTGCGCTGCCATCATAGTCGAAAGCGCTTGCTGCATATCAACTCCTGAGTTGCCTTGATTCGAAGGGGCAGCAGGGCTGGGAGTTGGAGGGATTGGTCCGGTTTGAGAAGCGTTCTGGTATTGTCCATAACTTTGTCTCTCGCTATCGCCATTCCTAGCACCATTTTGGTTCAATGACCTTCCACGAGAAGGACGCGGATCGGCCGTATATCCTCCACGGCTCATTCCACCTCTTGGATAAACCCTGGGAGGAACGTTTCTTGGCCCACTAGATGCGTTATGGAAGCCTCTTCCCCTTCCTCTTCCACTTCCTCGTCCTCGTCCTCTTCCTCGAGCATTCGAGAATCCACCTTGTTGGCCATCATTGCCAGGGTTTCCTTGTGAAGGATACGGAGAATCATTGGTTGTATCATAATCCGTCGCAGCCTTTGGGGGCGGTGGAGGCGGAGGAGGGAAAGCGAATCCTCGTCCGGAACCTTGCGAGGACATTATGATCGTGATGAAATTTGCTGCATCCTAAGACCCTGGCCGGATACTATTGGATTTGCAAGATGTTTGAATTAGGAGTTATGATGAGAAATTTGTTGTATGAACAAGATGCAGAGCAATGGAAATGTGAAACCCGATCATCTGATTGGTCAAACGCCCTTGCAGAGATCCTTTACAGGCAAAGTTCAGTTGACGAGCGATGAGCTTCTTCCAGCGCACATTCGCCACGGGCATATGGCAATCTTAACTCTTGACGCACAATCTCGAGGTGTTGGACGAATACATCAGGGAGTAGATAAGTCTCGTTCTTGCGGTGGTTGACCCGACGAATTCCATATGTGATGTTTATCCTCGTAAGCCTCCCGATCCTCTACGAAAAAGCTTTAGGATCGACGAATAGCTAATCATCCCGATAGACGACCTTCGACGACCTTATTCAAATTCCTCCTCAGGAGTTTGACATCCCAAGCCATCAAGTTATCGAGGACAAAATCAATGGGAGATACGCGGATCGGGTAGAATCCATCATCACATTAATTTGAAGTCCACGCTAACCGGCCATAGGTGATTCAGAAGGTAGGACTCTGTATCTGCCTTTATGATGTCCTGGAAGTTTCAGATGGTCTCATCGGCCATGGCACTGGAATGGTCAACGTCAACGGTATGATCAAGAGCAAGGAATTACGGGACAGAGCCTAATAGATCACAGTGACGTTCCGAATGGTTGTATTTAGACCTTTCCAAGGGGAAATTCTGGAGGGCACGCTGTGGAACTCGGACGCGGAGGGCATCAAACGTAAGAGCACCGATTTACGACTGCTGCAACGCCGATACTAATTGCCACCAGTACACACCAACTTCTTCAGCGACATCTACGTCCCCAAGGATGCATTGTTCGACAACACGAACTAGTGAGTGACCTCCGTGAATGATTGTAGCTCCCTCACCCCCTAACCCGGCACCAGCAATTCCAAGGAACGTGTTCACGTCTGGGACACCAACCCTGACGCCGCCAACCAACACCCCGGGGCCGCCGATGACGACTCCCGCTACCTCTGGTTCGATCTCGGCGAGACGGTCCGTTTCCGGATCGAAGGCGAGGTCTGGATGGAAGAGGAGTCCACGACGCCCAAACCGCCGATTATCGACGCACCGCCGCCGGGAAAGCAGCCGGATCCTCATCGAGTGAAGGCGGAGGCCGGGGATGTGGGACAGGAGAAAGGCAAGAGCAAGGTTCCCCCGTATCGTATTATGGTAAGTATAGCTACTACGGGCGTAGGGAAAGAAATGAGTGTTAGGAGCTAATATACGTTACGTAGGCTTCAATGTCGCGAGAGGGACTTGGCCCCACGATGTGGTGGACTGGAGGGGAGGATGAGGGGATGGATGAAGAATATCAAGAGGAAGGGGAAGCCACCGAAGGCGGTGCTGCGGTGTGAGTTTGGAAAAACAAAGTATTCCTTACAAATGTTTCCTATATTGTCGAGATACCCTAACTTTGAAAATTGATATTCTATTCCATGATCCATCCAATGAAATTATCCACCCACTACCAGCTCCCAGTAAGCTCTGCCAGGGTCGGAGTTGATCAGTTGAGGCCTCGATCGTCAGGTCCCATAATTGGTAACGTCATAACGAACCTCAATCGTTCCTTTCAGAGTCTCAGCTCCAACTCAGACACCACTCTACATCAACAATTTCTATCGCCGTTGAAACCCAGCCACATATTTCGATTGTGTGAACTCTCCGCGACCATGCCAGCTGAATCCCCCGAATCGCTGGTCCGCTCCTGGGGCTTCGGACACGTCTTCACCTGGAGCGATCGTCCCGACGCGCACTATCCGCCGCACTCGCACTCCATGCTGACGACGCATTTGATCCTCTATGGATCGTTGACCATCACGTACCCCGACGACGAGGCGCCGACGAAGGAGACGTTTGGAGAGGGGGCGCGGGTGGACGTGGCGGCGGGGCGGAAGCATGAGGTATGGACAGGGGGGGAGGGGTGTACATATGTGATCGGGGAGATGTGAAGGGGTCGCGGATGAAAAGATGGGGAGCTGGGTAAGGACAGAAATAGCTGTCTAGGGACGAGGAATCCTCCCCAGCCGGGAGATGCGATGAATGGTAGCAATTTATGCGCGCAGTTAACCGAGATCGTGGTTCGTTCAGACTTCTATGCTACCTTGAATTATTGCTGCTAAGTGGATAAAGAAGCTATAACACAAGTCGAACGTACACCACATTAGATCCATCCGCAGCCGCTCCCAACATGCATTGAACGCAAACGAGTCCTTCCCCTTCGGTATTCATGATCGATATACTCTCATGGATGATGCTAGGTCAAGGAAAGTATTAAGACAGACATGCTTAATCCAACGATGCTTATACGTCACGCGGGGCATCAACCAGATTTTGCTAATGCAATTAACCCCGACATACCTCCGACAACCCTAAATCCGACACGCTTAGTGGAAGAAGATCATGGCGGCAAGAACGCCGAAGAAGAGAGCCACCGGGCTGGCCTTGCTCAGGGCACCGGCGCCGGGAACGTTGGTAGCAGCGGGAGCCGATCCGCTAGGGGTGCGGGAACCACTGGGGGAGTTCGTTGGCGTGGGGCTGCGCGAGGTCTGTGTGCCATTGGAGCTGCTGCTGGGGGCTGACGAGGGGGCCGAGGTGGCCGAGGTGCTCTCGGAGGTGGCGCTGGATTTGGAAGACGAACCGGTGCCTCCGGTGATGCCGAACTGGGCGGAGTAGTTGGGTGCGCCGCCGCCTTGGGAGATCTCAAGGGCGTAGTCAGAACCTGGGGCGAGATCGGACGCGGGAGTCCAGGTGAAAGAACCGCCGGTCGAGGAGGCTATGGGAAGGGTATATTAGAAGCTGTTGTTGTGAAAGAAAGGGAATGAGAACATACTGGTCAAGGTGGAAATGGTGTCGAGGGCACCAGGGTTGCCCTTTCGGAGGACGATGGTGACCGGCTAAGAAGGATGAAGTTAGCTAGGTGCTAGAATAGGATAAAATGCGAAGTCCATGTATTGTTGCAGCTTGCAGGATTGCGCCGTTGTATGCACAAGTCTCAGATTCTCGTGGCATCGCTCCACGGGCCCGCAGTGTGACATAGGCACCCTGCATCTTATACATCTGCCAAATTCTAGACCGGTGGCTCCAACCGCGACCACTGCATTTTCATAGTAATGTGGGCGGGTGGTTGGTTGGTTGGCCCGAGGCGATCTGCGCGTCGTGCAGGGCCGGCATGTTGTTAATCAACACACAACAGCAACACCGACAGAAACATCTCGATTGTGCCCCAGTCTCGCATCATCGGTGTCCACTGTACGCTGTGCAAGCAACCCGTACGACTAGCCGGCAACCTCGACGTTTTTGCGCAATTCTAAATCGCGAGCTGATGCCTTGGATTTTGGAAATAGTGAACGCGAAAAAAACTTACCGCGGAACTCGGGGCGGTATAGGTGATGGTGACTGGCTCACCAACACGTGCGCCGGTGCCTGGGAAGTCGTTGATAGCCAGAGTACCCGTGGAAGGACCAGAAGGCGAGCCAGTGGGAGAGGTTCCTGCGGCAGAAGTAGCAGCACCGCCTGCGCTGGTCTGCGCAAACACCGACGAGGTGAGGGCGAGGCCCGAAAGGATCGTAGCGAAGAAGCGCATGTTGATGATGTGTCGCGGGTCGAACAATGGGAGGACGGGTCGGTCAATTACAAGATGATATAGGTTTAATAACGATGGACTGCAAGCAGATGCTTGGGATAGGAGTACCCGTTGGAACGATTGAGGGACTGGAATTGAAGATTATTGAGGATAGAGAAAGGAAGACGAGAGAAGGAGAAGTCGGAAGGAAGAAATAGGGGACGAGATGAACGACGCCTCAGCAGTCAGCACTTTCAGAAGTTAGCACATCATTCAGCAGACAGCAATAACGGAATTTCAGCACGCTAGTTAAGGGAGGGATTCAGCATTCGTCAATCAGCCAGGCTCCTCTAAACGCAGAGCCTGAGACGCTGAACAGAAGCCGAAGCCTGAGAGATGATAGCCACTACGCCTCCAATCCAGCCTCCCTAGCCAAGTGGCGAGTTTCATTTCGCTCTCTCACCGGTCAGGCCATTCTGTGATTCGTGCCGGCAAATTTGACGATATTGGTTACTTCTGCCCCTTGCACCGTACTAGCCCATCCCAGCGTGCCACTGGCTTTGAGGCTTTGATGCTACTCCGTACGGTGCTTTTCATCGTGTTCATGGTGCTCATTGTCACTCGTTCATACTTCATTCCATTGCCACAACGGTCCAGCCATGGCAGTACCAGACACCAGTACACATGGAAATGGGACTTGGGAGGGCTAAGGCTCTCATGGATTCGATTGTTATTCAAAGACGACGCGTACGGTACAAGAACAATACGCATGATTGTCCCCATCCCGTTAGAGCCGCTAAAGCCAAGTAGCACTGTAGCAGGGGCTTGGACGGGAGATGGAACTTTCCATCCATTCGACAGGAGCTCATAGTCCTCACTTTTTTACTTTCGGCGCTCGAGACGGCCTATCACGAGAACAGGTCGTTTTGTATTTCGTACATATAACATTGACAGTTGATAGGAAGTGCTTGTTTTACTGTTTCACCGTTCCACCGTTTCGCTGTTTTGGGGAGAAATTTTCAACGGCGGAACATCCTCGCGTTCGCGCCATTAGCGTGCCTGTGATGCTCCCAGCCTGCCACTCCGGCCGGCTTGGGGCTTGCCACTTGCTAGGCTCAATTCTACCGGCATCTCGACTTAATTTAGTGTCTTAGCCTCGATTCGACCTGTCCTGGTGATCTTTCATTGTTGCCTTCATGGAGTCATAACTCATCATCCTCATTGTCCTCATTCCTTCCGGTGCAACCCCTCAGGGGTTCTGTTGCAACTGCAATTTCACGGTGAAAGAATTGCATTTGATTGTTGAATCCTTCGTTCCTGCAGCCATCTGTTCAACCTAGGGATGTGTAAAGTGCGAAAAGTAAGGTCCTTACCGTAAACTAGCCCTAGATTTCTGGAAAGGTTATTTTTTACCTAACATGACGGTATGATACGCTAGCTTAATATGGTTAGTGTATTTTTGGTATCAGCAGAACGCTAGCCGTATATAGTTAGTGGAGACGATTCTACCAAGGCCCCAAATTCCAAACCACCCTCATTTCTATCTACGATATCTTCACAAAACGACATTTAATCTTAATATACAATACATTCCTATAATGCCCTGATCAAAGGCTACAAAGCAATGTTTATATCACATGAAAAAGTCTATGTTCTACTCACTTCAAACTGTCGCGTCTTCTTGTCAACTGTCGAGCCGAAAGATGATGCACGTTGCCTTGGGCAACGAGCAGGAATATTTGATGCATTTTCTGCCGCCGCCCATAGCCGTACGAAACCTCACTTATTATTATTATTATTTACATGAGCAGATCCCTCTCGATGAGCTGTATAATTTGATATGGATAAGACAATATCTAGACTAGGTTTTCGTTGGTTACGGGTATGCCATTGCGTTGAGCATGAAAGTGCTCAACTTCTTGAATAAGTTTGTGGCCACTTTATTCATCAACTACAGAACTCAAAATAATTTCACCAAACATCGATCAATTCGTACTTTTTTTACATCAAATTATTCGTCTTGATAAGCTCTACTACTCCATCTATTCAAATGCCCCCTAAAGATCGTCTTGTCTGGAAATATTTCGAGGAGCGCCCAAAGCTTGGCATACCGAAGCAAAAGTATTGTACACTCTGCAATAGATACAGCTGTCAATCGAACGCCACCAGAGAACGCACACATCTCGTTACTATTTGCAAGGAAAATATGGAGGCAAAGGAATCAGAGAACAGAGGAAAGGATGAGATACAGAGAAAGAGGCCTCTTTCTCCAAATGAAGATGCTTCGCCTATTGTCAAAATACCCAGGCAAACGACGCTGACAGCAAACGGTATTACCTACCGTACGCAGGGCGAGAGACTGCAGGAGAGAATCGAGGCTCTTCTAACGCGGTTCATCGTGATGTCTGGATCTCCGTTTTCACTTGTTGAAAACAGCGATTTCCAGAGTTTTATCAAGATACTCGATCCTGCCTTCAAACTCCCTAATCGCGAACGCCTCAGTGGTGAGCTCCTCGCCGACCTATATCACAAAACATCGCTTCAAGTCCAGCACATTATCGACCATCGACGCGACCATTTCGGCCTCAATTTCTGTCTGGACGAGTCGAATAACCAACAGAACGATCGCGTCTTGAACTTCTCCGTTGTCCATCCCGACTTTGGATCGCTTACACTCCATACAAGACCTGTCGATGCGCAAGCCTCCTTGACTGGGGAATTCTATTACGAATACTTCCGCTCGGTGGTAAAACCGGTGGTGAAAGGAGATTACAAGCGGATCAACAGTATCTCGACGGATACCTGCAAGACAATGAGGAAGTTCTGGAAACTCTGTCAAAATGATGAAGAGCTATCGCATATCATCTGTGTACCTTGTCAATCTCACAGTTTAAACCTCCTCATTGGCGATATCATCAAGATGGACCATTTCCGCGATCATTTCACCACTTTCAAGAATCTCGTCCGCGACCTCTCGTCCTCAAACAAAACCATCGGTGAGATTAAAAAGATACAGCAAGAGAACGGACGGAAATATATCGCTTTCGCTTCAGCGGTAGAGACGCGATGGGGAAGTCATATCGCGATGCTGAAATCGCTGCAGGCGAACAGAGATCCTATACAAGAATTCTTTTTCTCGCGATTACCTCTGCTTACCGGTGATGCGATTAAGAAGCTGAAACCGTACCGCGATGAGATTTTGGGCCCTGGTCTGTGGAATGAGCTTGATCGGACTCTCCACGTCCTTGATCCTATCACTAAGGCTCTGAAAAAGACGGAATCATCTCGATTAGACATTGGGCGTGTCGTAAAGCTCTGGAACGACCTTAGGAAAGAGGTTGAGTCTGCAGGAATCCGGTTTGGTATGGATGCCTTCGCAGCGAAGCTCCTCGCGGTGTTTGATAAGCGATATCAAGACCAGCTGGATGTCTCATTTCACCACCTCGCGTTTTATATCCATCCAGAGTTTAGGAAAGAGCCTCTCCAAGCTGATTCGCTCGATCACATCAAAAGCACGATCCAGGATCTATTTTTTCCAGAGGAGGAAGATGTCCAGGCCTGTCTTGATGAGATTATGCTATTCAAGTCTTCAACGGGCATCTTTGCATCAAATAAGGACCTAGCGAAGCGAGTTGGTGATCCTGAGGGATACTGGAGGTTTGCGGAGACTCTCCTTCATCGCAGTCGTATCGCTTCTATCGCTGCCCGCATCTTTTCAGCTCCAACGAGCTCAGTTCCATCTGAACGGGCGTTTTCTATTCAGAATCTCACGATGAGTGCGAAGCGCTCACGATTGGATCCAGAGAGATGTAATAAGATGATGTACATCTATATGAATCGGCGATCGATGGACGCGATGAAGCAGGAGCGAAAAGAACGCGGTGTTTCGCAGATTGAGATGGAGGATCTCCTCCTCCAAATTGAGGAGGAAATCGGGCTGCGATATCACGCATTTGACGATGTCTAAATAGCTTCATAACTTCCTACTTTAGCGTGTTTTGAGTCTGAGATCTCCATCACTTATGGTTGTCTGTGAACATCATCAGTCGTATTACAAATTTGTATGGTAATATGGGCCGGTAAAGTAAAAACCCTATAATACCGCCAAGACCCGTAATTACGGGCGATCTATCTTTCATGGCTGGTGAGATTTTCCCCCCCGTTTTGAGATTTTCCCCCCTTCAGAAGTACCAAAACCGCCGCTTTAGAAATTTACAAGGCAATATAGCCACACTTTCAACATTATTTTTAAATTCAAAACTTAGATAGAGTTCTTTAGGACTCCCTCTTGCTCCTAGACTCCGAAATTTAATCCTAATAAGTTGTGGTGTTACGTGATTTAGGATTAAAGCTATGGCAGTTTTTTCATACAACTCACCAACTTCAGCACAAAATTAAACCACAACGCAGAGGGTATATAGAGATCTAAAATAGTAGGCTCAGTTACCCAGGCTTTAGTATTTTCCTAAGCATTTAAAAATTATATTATTTCGAAGCTGGTGTTGAGCTGTTTGGCGTTGAAGTTGAAATGTGGCGATTTTGGTACTTCTGAGGGGGGAAAATCTCACCAGCCATCTTTCATACATCTTACATTACACACCCCTAGTTCAACCGGATTATTATAATGATCATTGTTCTCTGAAGTCAATTAAAGTCGAAGCGACAGGGAAGAGCCAGGTGTACTTGCGCAAGGTATATCGATATTACATTAATTCCTCTCGGACTCCCAGGCTCCTGCTAGGTGAACGCCGCAAGAGATGAAGAGGCGTATTCCCTCGTCCATCCGTATTCCTGACATTATTAGCCATTCAGTTGTGTAGGGCGCCGATACTTATCCCCAGTCCGCAATTGAGAACCGCTATTTGTTTCGTTCTGTACTCTTGGCCTGTCGAATCCATGGATATGACAGCCTCATTGACTGGACTGGCTTGTACCTTACAAGGTATTGTATGCTGGAATTCACTAAATCATATCCTGTAACAGACACTCGTTGAGGCAGGTGTGAGTATCCTTGAGACCACGACCTGTGAATGAACCTTTTGAAGTTGCTGACAAGTGACCACGAGACAACGATTTGTCGCATAAAAATAGTTGGACATTTGATTTCGCTCCCCATGCCTTTCTACAGTTGGTATCGGAATTGCGGATTCTTCCGGTCCGTGAGGTCATCGTCGTAAGCATGCTCAAATGCTTCAATACCCTTCGAGTCTCGGCGCTTGTTCTCCCACATGCACACAAGCCGATAGACAATCGACAATCCCGCTGCGACGATGGCAGTAACCAGCACAACGATGAAACCCGGGCCATAGCGTGGGGCGTCCTTTGGCTTAAACACTAGGGGTCCGACAACGTTTCCTGAAATGGCATTGTTAGCACATCTAGGATCATGGGAAGCTGCATCTTGAAGCCAACCTACCTAAGCAATATCCCATGAATATTCCGGAGCTGGTGATACTTCGCTTGGTATATCCAGCAGTGTTGGCAATCTGTTGTCCCATTTGGACGGCATAACCACCCCCAAACGACGCCAGGATGTAGACACCAACCAGGAGGCCACCCTTTTGGTCGCGCGGCAGGAGCCAAAGCAAGAAGCTGCCAACAATGGTGCCGATCTGGCACACAGCAATAAGGTAGCTTCGAGTGCCGGGGACCTTATAAGCAATGTACGGCACCACCCACTCGATCGTACCGGTAACGACCCCCGCCGGCATAGTAAGGAGCAACGAGTTGAGGGTGCTATAGCCAAAGCCGGAGATAATGATGGGAATGAAGGTGCTCACGGGTCCGTTCGCGATCATGATTAGGAAAGCCATGGCGAACATGATCCAGAATTTGATGTCGGTGAGCGCATCGACGACCTGGTCCATCTTATAATGCGTGTTGCGGACACCGGTATTGTTGGATCGGACGCGCGCAACGGCAATATACCGCTCGCGGTCGGTGAAACCCTTGGCACGAACTGGGTCTGGAGGCATGAAGAAGTAGATGCAGAAAGCCCAGAGACTACAATTTGCATGAGCGAGACGCCCCAGTGTTTGGGAGCGGGATAGGATGGAACTTACATCGTGATTGCACCAGCAACGAGGTACATGTACTGCCATGAGTTCAAACTACCCCCCTTGATATGGCCCAGTCCGTAGTTGATCAGGGGGGACACAATGGAGACGTAGCCGGTGCAGCAGTACCACCAGCCTTTGCCACGGTCAGCATGAGATATTTTTTACATCGATTGCACTTACCCATTCGCAATGCCTGTTCATCCTTCTTATACCATCCTATCCTTTCGGTTAGCGTTTTGCCGAGATGTTTATGAGATTTGGGCATTCCACGAACCGCCAACTACCAACATGAACATCGGAGAGATGCCCGACTCGAGAAAGCCGAGGAAGAAGCGCTGCACGTATAGGTGTCGCCACGTTGAGCAACCAGCTGTCGACATCAAACAAGCGCCCCAGAGAATTACAATGCCAGCTGCAACACGCTCGATTGGCCATCGTTGTGCCATTACGATGGCTGGATAGCTGCCGACGATGAAACCGAGATAGAAAATTGCGGCAGAAAAGGAGTACCGATCTCCAACATTGAGATCCAAATCATCTCGCAATCCAAAGAGTGCCTAAGGAATCCGTCAGCGACTATAGTTTTGGGATAGCATGGGCCTCAGGTGGGATGGTCTTACAGCTTGAGACAGCATAGCCTTATCGTAGTACTGAAGACCATAAGTCATACAAAGGATGCTCATCAGCTTCAGGTCGATCTTGCGCCTGAGGCTCTTTTCCTCCTGCTCTGTCCATGTCTCCTCGCCGCGGTAGGCCGCCAGGACTTTCATGGCCTCATCACCATGGATCGTGTCCACCGTCATCGTCTTGTGCAGGTCCTCCACGACCTGTGGAGCCTCCGCATCGTGCTTAACATCAGGGACGAATTCCTTCTCCTGTGACATGCTGGCGATTGAGAAAGCAGAACAAGTATCCCAAGTCTAATCAAGTGAAAGCCAATGGGACTGACTGGAAGCGATGGAAGGAAGGGACTCTCGCTAGACTGACTTCAAGGCGGGATGGAAAGGATCAATAGCTATGTTATGGATACGAGCCGGAAATGGCTTTACAGGTATAAAAGAGCCGCAAGCAAAAGGCAAATCCCAAAGTTAATCTTAACCCGAGGGTATGGAGGTCTAGAGCGTGCGGGGAGTTGTCCTGAATATCATCATGTCGGCAATAGTGAATTGCGTGCATTTGGAAGCAGTATCCGGCGGGATAGCGACTCATCGTGCAGAGTGAATGAGCAACAGTAGGGAGAACGTGCGTTAGCGACTTGGCGTATCCCCATTTCTCCGCCTCTGGAAGTGGATCCGCGATGTTAGGCATGAACGATTCATGCTCTAGGTTCGGGGTTAACGAATCGGAGCCTGAACGAATGCAAGGCGGACCTAAACGAGGAGATGCAACCCGAACCTAGGGGATAACTTACGGGTAAGATCTGCAAAATCTTTGCGACCTTGTGGCCGGTTGAAATCGCCTGTAAGTTAGTGCTGAGATCGGGGCCTTTCAATACTGGTATGATGGTATCATCTACAGATATATTCTGTGGGTCTCTCAATTCTCATGCCTCTCATGAAACAAGAGAACGAAGATGTGTCCTCGAAAGATGTCTGGTAACATTCCGATTCCTGAAGCATCCCCAGCTCTTCGCCGTATTTCCTGCTAACCGACGTCTGCCGATGTTCGCCTAAGCTTTGGCGTCCGTAAGCGACGATGCCTAGAGTGCTTGGAAACCTTGACTATTGGTAGGGTGCGTGAATGGTCATTCCCGTGTCCGAAGAAATGGAAATAAGACATTTTATGCAGGACGAAATGCGCCAATGCCTTGAACCAGGGTATAAAACGGATGGTCCGCCATAAGCCCCAAACAGGACACTGAATAGTGAAAAGTGGAAGACCAGGGACACGAGATCGAGGACATAAACGAGTCACGATCGGTCGTCAGTATGTCATTGAAGGCGGGTCTATTGGTCACTTGCCCGGTTGACTGATTCCCAACTTCGGCTGGTGTTCACAGCTCGCGAGAGCTCAGAGCTCCATATGTTTTATGGCACGCTAAATCTAGAGAGCAGATGAGGGGAATCATGTACGTAGTAGGTTCAGTATTCACTGATTCAGGTTGGAAAACCGCGCCAGTCGCCCTAGCATCTTGTGCCGCACCATAATAAGTGAGGGGGAAAGGGGTCATTTCATGTTCTGTGTGGAGTATTACTGAGAGATGTGGAAACTGGAAAGATTGGTCAACTCCCGGTGGCTGCCGGGTTCCATCAAAAATCCAGAAGGTTGGACAATTGGCGATTTCCAGCCTCCTCAATGGCTCAATCCCATCTCTGCGTCCCCGCCTGCCAATAAACATCTGATGAATCATGAATCGTGAATCCCAATTCTCGATGCTCCCGCTCCCCGCATCCGGAGATCATGATACAGCGAGCGGAGAGTGGGGATGGGGTAATTCCCGAGTGTTACCGAACTTGCGGATGAGACTAGGATGAAGAATGACGAGACTAAGTTCTCACGCATCATCATTGATGATCATCATTCTTGGAAGTTCTGTAATCTATATTAATAGTAATACTGCCTGAAGCTTCCATGAAAGTCCAACACGATTGACTAACATCCTTTAGGGCCTGGCGAATAGTTGGCTGAATAGAGAGTCGGAAGAACTATTCCCGAGCGTTTAATGGGCCACCTCGTGTTTCTGCCAAGGCCCATAGGTCATAAGAGCGACAGGGCATGCCAAACGAAGAAATTAGCATCCTGCCAGTCCCAGGCATACTGGTTTTTGATCCATCAAGTTGGCGGACAAGGGAGAGACCTCGTCAGTTGTCTAGGGTGGCGAAAATTGTCAATGATGTCGGGATAGAGAGGGGACACGCATGATGGAGAGAGAAACCTCATATTTTGGGTTCACATTCGTGGCCCAGATCAACCAACAGAAGAGCCCCAGAGGTCGTTATCTGGTCGTTAGGTATTCTATGCCTTCGATCCCAGCGGCCTCATTACATAGACAGGCTCCCACCATGCTGCCGCAACTGCTGCTGCATTTGCTTGTTATATTTGATTCTCCAGCACTCGGACACGTAAATTGGGGTAATACGCTTTTCTTTGATGCTTGCAAGCGATTTCCAGCTGACAATTGCGTGTTTCTGTCGCATTTCCTCGTGCCGTTGTCGAAATAGGTATCCTGGTAGGTGAAGCCCGACCATCCCCTCTTCGTAGTCCAAGCGATTCCAGTTGAGGGCTCCGGATCCGTTAAGTCATAAAATAATTTGGTTCAGAGGGAGCCATGTCTGCGAAGTATGAAACCCTCCAGCTTCGACCTATCCAAAGCACAGGTCTAGATGGTGGTTAAAGAAAGGATATCCAGGAACGCCACATATCCTCGTTCATCAATGGATCCCGCAAATGTATGAAGCCTAGATCTTCGAGGCCGCGATCATAACCTCTTGAGTGATTTGATCACCCTTTTTCCTGATAGGTCCCAATCTCCCGATTTTCATAAGTCGTTGTATCATATCCTCATCACCGAAATGGGAATTGTGCTCAAACTCGGGCTCCTCTCCATACGCTAATCGAGCCGCGTCGACACAGATGCGAGCTGTCATGCCAAAGACACGGAACCGGTCTGGCGGGGCATCCTTGATGCGGACAGGATATGTTGGATCGTTCTTGGGATCTGTTTGCCTTAGGGTGCTGGAGGTTGGCATGGTCCGCGTCGGCTTGGGTTGATCCTTCGTACTCGTCCCTAGATCTTTTGCCGCCTCCGTGGAGGCTTCTTCAAGCTGCCTCGCCCACGCGACAGATTGTCCTGCTCGGGGGACGAAGAAATTGTGCATCCTCCACTGGCTCTCGTGCCACCCGGTCCACTCCCCTCGATACCATTCCGCTGGAAATCCTGCGGCTTCAGCCCCAGGGGCGGATCCCGCAGGGGCAGCGACGTGCTCTTCAGTTGCCCGCAGGAAGTTATGGAACGATGCCGTGAACACCGCGGCGACTTCTTTCGGGTCCAGATGTGGGATCAGGGCCTCTTCGGCGGTGGGAATTCGCCGTGACGTATCCTTGGAAAGCCGCGATGCACTGAGGAAAGCGATGCATGGTCGGACCCCCAGTTCGGTTCGGGCCAGGTTCGTTGGCATTTGACATAGGTGTTCGATGGTGTAGGGCCAGGGGAGTTCGGTGTCGAGGAGAGGGAGCCCAATTTCTTCGTATGCTTCTCGACGCGCGATTTGAAACGCAGTTTCTGAGGTTGAATCGGCCTTACCTAATGCTTGTGTCAGCTACCTACACTGCAGTATATCTAGATAGGATTGCTGGATTACATACCTCCGGGAAATGCAGCCTCTCCCGCATCTGCAGTGTCACATTAGTATCTGTCCCGCTATACAATCGCAGTGGTCATACAAGAATTCAAGTGTTTGGACCGGATGGTCAGAACAACCCTAAGGTCTCCCCTCTTGTCGGCGAACAATAATATTAGGACGGCGGCTCTGCGGCTCAAGGGAAGGCTGTAATAAGGAGTTGGAGGTGGGATGTACGCTCTCATGCGCGCTATGGCTTGCTGCTGTTGTTAGCAACGGCAGGTATCAAATCCCATGCATTGGAACACTTACCGCCGAAGCTGATGATAGAGTAGCCATTGAAACCAATTTACATACTCATTGTTCAGGGAAGCACCCATCCTGCAAAGGGCGATCTTGGTGACTTTAACCACAGTCTGTCGCTGGAAGCCGAGGTTTGACAGCGGCTGGGGTATGCCGCCTGCCGGGCTGTGATTCTTATCCCAACGACGATCACTCCTCTAACTACGTCTATATGTAGTAGTTAGGGCCAATTGATCAATTGAACCTCAGGTCAATCCGAACGATATCGCCCGCACAGTATGCTCCGGCCATCGAATTAAACGGCGAGCATCGTCGCCATAGGCATGTTTGATGGCTTAGAACTATCCTCCAGTGCCCCCACCCGTTCTGCAGCTTGAAGTCGACGAAATCAGGGACGTTATTGACGATACCCTGAAATTTGAGTACAGAGACTCCACCGTTTAATGTCTATGTCCGAATCATAGTTACGGTAAGCGTATCCCCTCCGTGAAGTCCAGGTCAGAGTGATGTTCTTGCTCAAGTTGTATTTGTTCATAGTAATATCCAATTTTAACTGGTCATTCGCGGCGAAGCTGAAATCACGATGTCGTCACCCTTTCACAAGACGGTGTTATCGTACTATTCAGTATGACGACCAACCCCCTTTTTCCGCTGGATTCCCTCCGTAAGGTTCCGTTAGAGTTTTTATATGCGTTTTCGAAAAGCTTCCTCAGAGTCTATTCATTGTTCAGTTCAAGTCAGTTCACTTTTCCTGTCTACTATCAAAGCACTCCCGTTGTTTGCCAGCAATCACCTTGTGACTGGACACCATGTCGTCAATCGCAATTCGGAGCATGGGCCCCGAAGGGACGGATGTTGCAAAGTTGTCTGCATATGGGGAGGCCCGATCAACCGTGAACAAGAACCCATTGACAAAAGATGAATTGGAGAAGAGCACCAAGTACTTCTACGCCTCTCTCTATCTCTCTCTAGGGATGATCTACCTCAAGCAGAACCCTCTCTTAAGGGAACCTCTCCAAACGAAGCATCTGAAAGCTCGATTGCTGGGACACTGGGGTTCTGATGCAGGACAAAGCTTCACCTACATCCACTTCAACCGATTGATCAAGAAGTATGACCTCGACGCGATATTCATTTCCGGTCCCGGTCATGGAGCACCAGCTGTTCTCTCCAACTCCTACCTCGAGGGTGTCTACTCCGAGGTGTATCCGGACAAGAGCCAGGATATTGAAGGCATGCGTCGGTTCTTCAGGCAATTCTCCTTCCCCGGCGGTATTGGCAGCCATGCGACGCCCGAGACTCCTGGCAGTATGCATGAAGGCGGCGAGCTTGGATACTCGATCTCCCATTCATTCGGGGCAGTGTTCGATAACCCCAGTTTGATCTCAGTAACGATGGTCGGAGATGGCGAAGCGGAGACTGGCCCTATGGCGACCAGCTGGCACAGTACCAAGTTCCTTAATCCCATAACAGACGGTGCTGTTCTTCCTGTGCTCAATCTCAACGGGTACAAGATCAACAATCCCACCGTTCTGGCTCGAATCGATCATGAAGAACTTGAGAGCTTGTTTCTCGGCTACGGTTGGACCCCCTACTTCGTCGAAGGGAGCGACTTGGACTCTATGCACCAAGCCATGGCTTCTACCCTTGAAGAGTGCGTCCTGAAGATCAGGCAGTATCAAAAACAGGCTCGGGAATCCGGAAAGGCGTTCCGTCCGCGATGGCCAATGATCATACTTCGAGCTCCCAAAGGGTGGACGGGTCCCAGGAAGCTCGGTCCCCATTACTTGGAAGGGTTCTGGCGGGCCCATCAGGTTCCAATCACCGACGTTCATACCAAAGAGGAAAGTTTGAAAACCCTCGAAAAATGGATGAAGGGCTATGAACCCGAGAAACTTTTCGACAAGAACGGTACTCTGGTGCCCGAACTGCGGGAGCTGGCACCGAGTGGCGATCGCCGGATGAGCGCCAATCCGGTGACGAACGGCGGACGCATGAAGCAGAAGCTGCATATCCCCGACTTCCGAGACTATGCGTTCAGAGATGTCTCCCCCGGTGCCACGTTCGCCGGCAGCATGGAAAACTTCGCCACTTTCCTTCGCGACATTGCGGCGCAGAATCTCAAGAGTTTCCGGGTTTTCGGTCCCGATGAAACCCAGTCGAACAAGCTGCAGAAAATCTACGAGGTCGGGAAGAAGGTCTGGCTGGGAAGTTACTTCAAAGAGGATGAGGATGGAGGGAATCTGGCGCTGGAGGGCCGCGTCATGGAGATGCTCAGTGAGCATACGGTTGAAGGATGGCTGGAAGGATACGTCCTGACTGGACGACACGGCCTTCTGAACAGCTACGAGCCTTTCGTTCACATCATTGATAGCATGGTCAATCAGCACTGCAAGTGGATTGAGAAGTGTCTTGAAGTGGAATGGCGAGGGAAAGTCTCGTCGCTCAACCTTCTCTTGACGGCTACTGTTTGGCGGCAAGGTATTTGGTGGACCGTGATTTCTTAGTTACCTGGAGACTCTGACCGATGAGACAGATCACAACGGTTTTACACATCAGGACCCCGGGTTCCTCGATGTCATTTGCAACAAATCTCCGGATGTGGTTCGCATCTACCTGCCTCCCGATGGAAATTGCCTTCTGTCCGTGGCCGATCATTGCTTCCGCTCATCCAACTATGTCAACGTTATCGTCGCGGACAAGCAGAACCATCTACAGTATCTGAGCATGGAGGACGCGGTCACGCATTGTACCAAGGGCATCGGCATCTGGGACTGGGCGTCGAATGATGCTGGCGAGGAGCCGGACGTGGTACTGGCTACTTGTGGAGATGTACCAACGCAAGAGTCCCTGGCTGCGACTAGTCTCCTTCGCGAGCATCTACCCGACCTCAAGGTCCGCTTCGTTAACGTTGTGTAAGTTTGCAAGATCAATCCCTTTTCAGTCGATACTCACAAGATGCCTAGGGATCTGTTCCGAATCCAGGCCAAGTCCTTCCACCCGCATGGTCTAGACGACAAGGAATTCCAGGCCGTCTTCACTCCCGACAAACCCGTCATCTTCAACTTCCATTCCTACCCCTGGCTCATCCATCGCTTGATTCACAGCCGGGCCTCGTCGCACAACTTCCTGGTCCGAGGATACATGGAGAAGGGCAACATCAACACTCCGTTGGAGCTGGCCATTCGCAACAATGTGGATCGGTTTTCGATCGCCATCGATGCCATTGACCAAGCTCCGAGGCTGGGGAACTCGGCGTCAGGGGTGCGAGACCGGCTGTTGGATCAGCGGGTCAAGGCGCAGAATTTCGCGTATCATGAAGGCCTTGACATCGCCGAACTGACGGACTGGCGCTGGCCATATTGAGGGCATGTTGCGCCGAACCAGCACAAGGTAATCGAACTATTCTGCTTTCCGATGCCATAATGGTGTTGAGAATTGGAGTCACTGGGTTTTAGTAATGGTATCTGTTTGGACTTTGTATCTCTCTCCTCTTCCTGCCGTGACTGGTACACATCAGTTCATCTGTCGTGTCTGGCATGCAAATTACACTTGCGAACCCCCCCACTGCTGATTCCCTCCGCCCTCCAGAATCTAGACTCAAGAGGCGTGAATCACGGTAGAGGAGTCCAATATTGATTGGGGCGGCACCGCCCTGGATCCTCGTAAAGGAGCATTTCCAATGCAGGATGCAGCACATGATGTTTGGCATGGCTAGACGTTATGTAGTTCATACGCAGAAGTATGTCTTGCAACCGTCTTGCCGGTGCTTCACAATTTGGGCAACCATGTTATATCGGATGGCCCGTTGCGGCGGCACTGTTGAACCATGGCTAATATCCAACTCATTGCCTAACCATGTCTCTGGGGTCTTATTGGACCTACTCTCGATGCGATGGACCAGCTGCATCATGTATGCAAGACAATATCTGTACAAGGGTCGATACGAATTCAAACATGGGAAGCTTCGGTGTTTTGAGCAGCGATTTGGAGGAGAAAAGAATGGTCTGCTCCTTAGTTGGGCACGCTGTGAGTATAGATATTCGATGGTCTTGAACTGCACGAGCGAACTTGGCGATTTTCTCCACCAACAGAACTGCCGGTTGGGTATAAGAACAGTAATGATAGGTAGATCAGGCTTACCATACCTTGACCTGACCCGATATGCAACCATTCCACCATTTAGGATGCACGTTGGGGAAGGAGACCTTCCATCCCGACCAGGGAGGAGGGGTTTATACAGGTTCCTACCTTCCGTCGTACGTAATCTATCTATATCGCTCAGCATAAGGTCAAGGGGTAGGATCGCCAGGATGAGGCCAGAGGAACGGATTTTAAAGGCGGAACACCCGAACACTTGTCGAACACTGGCACATACGCGAGTCGGGTCCCGTTCCAAGAGATCCAACCAGTTTCCTACAATCGTCCCGCCAATGTCCGTGATACAAGTTACAACTGGTCTGCATCGTCGCATCGGAGGAATGAGGTGTAGTTGACTCATTTGGTTCAACGCTTCCAAGTCCTGATGTGCACTGGTTGTTCCCAGTCGGCTGGGCGGGCAGGGATGGACAGGCCAATCTATCCCAGCCTGTTTCAGGTGTTCAGCAGAACATGAGGATGAGGATGGAAACCCAAACGGGTTCGGAGAATATGGTGGGCGGTGGCACCCAGGCTGGAAATACGCTGTCATCCAAACCGGCCGCGGACCTTCGAAGGTCCAAGTTCCAACGGATCTAAAGGGCCATGGGATCCAAGGCCGGCCTAGCAGAGCAACGGCATCGGAGCCCACACCGATCATCATGCAGCAGCGAGAATGGCGTCGCGTATGCATGAGAATTCAGTGCAGCTGGCCTTGCGCGTTACGACACGAAGCAGTTTTTCCCGCACTCCCACCCCCAGTTTCCCCTCCTTGCATTAGCCAGCGGTTCCCGTTGGCCAGGAACCGGAGGTGCGACCGAACTAAGGAACCAGAGCACCTGGGCCGCAGCCCGGCACAAGCCACCAGGACGCAGCGTGGAGGATGATGCTCCCTGATGATCGTGGAACGGAGGCGGAACAGAGGTTGGATGGGCGGGGAAGAAGGGTCACGCGGGGCGGAGGACGCCAACCAGAAGGGCCAGGGGTGGTTAGCTCCCCAAAACTCAAACCTTCAGCGTATGGTGGTGTCCGCAGATGGCCGAATATCGACGGCAACGGTCATCAGGAGATGAATAGAACACCCTGTTTGGGAGGCAATGAGCGGAGGATGGATAAGTCAGTACGAGTAGGATACCGTCTGGCGGTACTCTGAGCAATTACAGTCTTCTGTGAGAACGGTAGGACCGAGGACCATCGAATTTCTCCGCTGGTCCCACGAGGGTTGGACAAGCAGAGAGGCACGAGCAGGAGAAGCAGTGGTTGATGTTGAGCCAAGGGGGGCTGCATGTCTGAAGTTACGGTGCTCAGAATACATAGTACCAGTCGTCGCTTTGCCAAATGGTTGCTCATAGTAGTAATGTAGTACCTACTGCTTCAGTGTATCGGTACTGTAGGTGTTATTATATTAGATTATTTGCAAGTTGCAAGCCATTAGGTATTAATATTGGAGGCCGATGCACAACATGAACTGGGACATGGCAAGAGGACAGGGACAGGATGAGAAAGCAAATGGATGAGGAAGTTGACACCTTGTCGCCTTATAGGTTGTATTTATGCCTTGGCGCCTTGGCGCCTTGACGCCCTAAACGCCTGCTAGTACCAGCAGCAGTGGGAACGCGGTCTAAACCTCCAATCCCCCCAGAATGATCTCCTCCTCCATGTCCATATCCATCCCCACACCCACTTTTGTCGCTCTCCCAATCCCATATCTCCTCTCCTGATGGCTACTTTATCCTTTTCATCCTGTTACTACCTGGTCCTGTCGGCATCTCCGGTCTCCTTTTGATCCATTCTGTATTCCACCCGTCCTTGTGCAGCATCTGTCGTTGTTGGTGGTGACGTGCGTGGTCCTGCACCCACATGTCAGCTGTCTCTCGCCATTTCATTTCCCAAACCACGAAAGAAAAAAAACGCTGGGCGGCCAATTCTCTCATCCTCTGCAGCCGACACGAGTTCTACGTTCCGGTCGACTTCTCTGCTCTTGACCGGATTCAATTCTAGAGCTTCGACCGCCCGACTCGGATATCCTCCGGAGAATATCGCGTTCGGTCGTTCTTCACCTCCCGCTCGCTCCTTCCTTCTCCAGGATTGGGAATCTCGTACGATGATTTAGCAGCGTGGTCGGTCGTGGTCGGGTTTGTGTATACCGGTGTAAAGAACTAAATATCCGAGGTTCTCCGTCTTTCTTCGATCCAACTTCGACTCTCGTTTCCCTTCCTGCCGGGCGTCGAGGGGTCGTCCCCCGCCGACATTCGATATCAAGCGCGACATCCACGCGTCGTCCTCAGCATCTGTACGGAAGATTCGCCATGAACTCCCTCGCTGGATCTGTCTGATCGATTCGGAATCTGGCAGCCCATTGGCATGTCGGGAGGACAATTGCACGTTCGGGGATATTGTCAATATACTGGGAAACGGTCTGCCGTTAGGTACATTTTACGTTTGGCACGCTTCATCTCGCGTCGTTCGTTTGTTCTGAACTTCGTTCCTTATAAATGGCCGACGAGAAGAGCACCATGGCATGCGATGCCGATAAGCCCGATAGTCAACAGGAAGGGCAACCCATCACGATGGTTAGGTCTGCCAGCGAGGACATGAGAGAAGAACGTCAAGATCTGAAGGAGGCGGCGGAGCACAATCTCAACGTCATCGTCGATCTTACCCTCGATGGCCGCATCCGTTGGGTGAGTCCGTCCTGGCTGGATGTCATCGGAACGGACCCGGACAGCGTCAAGGGGAAGCCAATCGCAGATTTCATTGTCGGAGAGGACAAGTCAATATTCGCCAATGCCGTGGAGCGCATACAGCAAGATGATTCGAGGAGCAAGATCATACGTTTTCAGACTGAAATGGGCCCACTATCGAAGATTGGGAAACGAAGGCAGCTTCCCCATGCTGCCGAGGAGAGCACAGCCCCTGTATCGGACGAAGTCGGTGAAGCCGCTCCGGCGTCTGAGAAACCGGAGGCCGAGACTGGAGAACAGGATGTGCCAGAGGATGTCGATCTTACCCTGGAGCTTGAAGCTCAAGGGATCATCGTGTTCGATCGAGCCTCTGGCGGCGAGAGTCATGTAAGTCTTCTTTGTCTCAAGACATTATGGTTGGGTCTAACTTTTATAGACAATGTGGATGATGCGTCCCACTGTGATCAGGGAGGTTACCATCGATCTTCCTAGCGTTCTCGTCGATGCCCTTGGTGTCGGCGCAGAGATGCTAGCCCACTACCTTAATCAATTGACCGAATCCGGCGCAAGCCAAGATGAGACCGGCGAACTCCCTCCCCCGCCTCCCGTCCTTTGCCGGATTTGCGAGCGTCAGATACCTCCCTGGTGGTTTGAAAGGCATACCGAACTCTGCCTCCAAGAACATAAAGCGGAAATGGAGGTTCAGATGGCCCATGAGAACCTCACCGATCACCGTAACCTGATCGTTAAAGTCCTGGATGGTCTCGAGGCCCAAAGCCGGCAATCTCGCCAACCGCCAACTTCCGGGGAATTGAGTGTTACGCCTCCAGCGCTGCCTGAATACAAAGGTCATCGCATTGGACCGCTGTCGAATCCTTCCTCGACCCCTTCTTCAGGTCGAGCATCACCTGCAACACCGCCGTCCCGCTCCAGAGAACGGCCTGTATCCGGGCTCGGACACCGGCGAGGAAGGTCATTTGCGGTTCGCCGCCCCATTGCTCGGATTGTAGAGCTGGTTTTGGACCTTTGCGATACGGCTCTCGAAATTAACACTCCTGTTCTGAAGGAGACACCTGGCCAACAACTGGGCGAGTTTCGCACGCAGTCCCCGCAATCGGAAAACCACCTGTCGCAGGTAATGCAATGGCAATCACCAAGCACGAGTACATTGCAAGAAGATCAAGGCCTCTCTACTTTATGTGAAGACACCGCAAAGCTCGCGAAGATCAAGGTTGATGCCATCCTTCGCCACCGCCGCATCCTCGAATATTCCGAGCGGATACGCGTTGAATTCGAGCTCCTGGTGAGGGAGTGCATCGAAGCCGCTATACGTAAAGCGAACCGCATCGCAGCTGGCGAAGACTCCACTTCTAGTGAAGATGATGAACGCGAAAGTGTGGCGGATCGAATGTCGGAACATCAATCAGAACACCGAAGCGTAATGGGGACAAACGAGACTCCACCAGAAGAAGGCATTTTCCCCGCGTCGTTCGAACGCCCGTCGTCAATGTCCATGGCTATGGCGTTGCATAATCGCTCGGATCCGAACCTTCTCAACCAAGGCCGGCGCTCCTCGTCCGCTGCTAATTCCGCTCGCTCCAGCAGTCCACGGGGAGGACAGACACCCCGGTCCCACGGTGGCGCGATGAGCTTCGTGCCGCACAGCAAACGGGGCTCCATGATGTTTGAAAGCGATGCCGGTGCCGATAGTGATAGCAGTGTTCATTCCTCCATCCTTTCAAGTGTAAGACGAGCTGAATCACCGGGATCCGAGATCGGTCTCTCCCGTGTTGCCAGCCATCGAGACGGGAAGAGGAAAAGTCTTGTTCTATCCAGCGTCATGTCCAGCCGTCAACAGTCTCCAGCGAGGCCAATACCCATTCAACCCGGTTCTCCTCTTAAGCTGGCCAAGGGGAAACATTCAAGTTCTGTTGAAGCCCAATCGCCATTGGTATCTCCTATTCTGTCGACTGGCGACTTCTCAAGCCCAGCGATGCAACAAGTGCTTCATCACCGTCGTCAGTCATCTGCAGCGTCCTCCGAGGTTACGAGACCTCCCCTTTCTCCAAAGCTTGCTGCGGCGGCGACCCATCCGCAACCTCGAGCCGTCGCGCCGTCTATCAAAGATTTTGAGATCATCAAACCAATCAGCAAGGGTGCCTTCGGCAGTGTCTATCTGTCGAAGAAGAAGTCCACTGGAGACTACTATGCGATCAAAGTTCTTAAAAAAGCGGACATGGTTGCCAAAAATCAAGTCACCAATGTCAAGGCGGAGCGTGCGATCATGATGTGGCAAGGCGAAAGCGATTTCGTCGCTAAACTCTTCTGGACGTTCTCAAGCAAGGACTACCTGTACCTCGTTATGGAATACCTGAACGGTGGCGATGTTGCGTCGTTGATCAAAGTCCTTGGAGGCTTACCGGAGGATTGGGCAAAGAAATACCTGGCGGAGATTGTGCTTGGAGTGGATCACTTGCACAGCAGAAACATTATCCACCGGGATCTCAAACCAGACAATCTTCTCATCGACCAGAAGGGCCACCTGAAATTGACCGATTTTGGACTCTCGCGCATGGGCTTGATTGGGAGACAGAAACGCGCTCTCAATTCCAAGACCGAAGAGCCCGCGCCGGATCTGCTGAAGCAAGGTCCTTTTCATCGTGCAACATCCATTACGTCGTCTCGATCCACGTCTTTTGATTTTCATGGTAATAATTCCCCTTCCCAAACACCGAGTCTGACTCCCGCCTTGACTGGCGAGATTGGTACCCCATCGTACTTCAGCCTCAATCGGGAGAACTCCAAGAGTCGGGACAATTCACGACGGACGTCGGGCCATCGAAGTGACAGTGAACATAGCGAGGCACTGCAGATGATGTTCCGAAAATTCTCCCTGGTCGATGAGCCCGGGTCGCAACATACTCGTACCATACCGATCGAGGAAGAAGCCGCATCCGATATGAGCTCGCCTGACCCAAGCCAGCCGGGTTCACTCTCTCACGCCAACACGAACCTGTCAGAGGGCAACAGTCATGGTGGTACCACTCAAAACAGCACCCCTCCGAACGCAAGCATGCTCCCGCCGCCAATGGCACTATTCGATCCAAAGGATACCTCCCGCCGGTTCGTCGGCACTCCAGATTACCTGGCACCGGAAACCATCCACGGTGTTGGACAGGACGAAACAAGTGATTGGTGGTCTTTGGGATGCATCCTGTTCGAAATGCTCTACGGATATCCACCTTTTCACGCCGATACCCCCGACCAGGTTTTTCAAAACATCTTGGACCGTAAGATCGACTGGCCGACCGAGGAACAAGACCCGGTTTCGCCCGAAGCAAAAGATTTGATGAACAAGCTTATGTGTTTGGATCATAGGAGCCGGCTTGGAAGCAATGTCGATGACAACTATTCGAGTGGTGGCGAGGAGATCAAGGCTCACCCATGGTTTGCCGGTGTCAATTGGACTACCGTACAGCAAGATGAAGCATCATTTGTTCCCCAGCCAGAAAACCCAGAGGATACGGACTACTTCGATTCACGGGGAGCGACGATCCAAACTTTTGCTGCCGAATTCGAAGATCAAGGCAGCCCTTCCGGGGGCACGTCCGGAGACTTCGAACGTCCGCATGACGCTCTTGCGAAGGTTCGCAATCAAGTCAACAACCTGAAACGTGGCGGCTTGATGCCCTTGCACATTCCTCCCCATGTACGAGACGGACGAAATCGGCGCTTGAGCGAACCGGTGGCTGCTGATGACTTTGGCAACTTTGCGTATAAGAACCTCCCGATGCTAGAAAAAGCCAACAAGGACGTTATCCAGAAGCTGCGCGCGGAAGCAATGCAGGCCCAAAACAAGAACAGCGCAGCGGTGTCTAGCCCGTCCGCTGCTGCATCGCCTGCTCCTAGCCTTGAAGCGAGTCCGGTGCTTCCCTCTACTATCAAGCGCACGATGAGTTCCAATAAAGGTTCAACGCGGCCAGTATCGCCGCTCCTGATGAATCACTTGAATCAATCTCCCAACCGAGCATCGCAGCCGTCAAGTCCCTTGTTAGTGTCATTCAGCACTGGGCATCATGAACGGAGGAAGACATCTGGATCCTCCACTGGCTCGCAACAGCCACAGCCGCCATCATTACAGCCTGGGGGGCTATTTGATCCGCCGAGACTTACTGCGAGTAGCTCGTCTGTGTCAGCTACGTCATCGCCTATCAAATTGGCCAAGTCACCCGGACATATGACACAGGACAGAACGTTGTCGTTGCACAAGCACTCGAGCTCCCAATCACAGTCTGGACAAGTTACTTCTCCTCGCGCGCGATCACAAACGACAAGCTCACAAGAGGGCCCAGTCAAGGATTTAATTCCTAACCACCACAAGCGACGAAGCCAGGTGCCCGACATTTCTCCGTCGTCTTCGGATACGGAAGAGTCCCGGCAAAAAGCGCTGCTTCGGGTTCAACGACGTCGGCAATCCTCCCGCCGGCTATCACAGATTACCCTTAATGACGGACCCATCTTCCGTCCGCTTGATGTGCTCATTTGCGAGGACCATCCCGTGTCTCGATACGTCATGGAGAAGCTCCTCGAGAAGCTCCGTTGCCGTACCATCTCCGTCCAGAGCGGACCCGAAGCGGTTCGATATGCGATGTCCGAAGTCAAATTCGATATCATCATGATGGAGTACCGGCTGCCGCAGATCAACGGCGCAGATGTCGCACGCATGGTTCGGGACACGAAGAATCCGAACAGCCCGACACCCATTGTGTGCGTGACCGGCTACTTGAAGGATCTCCAAGCACCGCATCATTTCGATGCGCTGATCGAAAAGCCGCCGACAATCGCCAAATTTACCGAGGTTCTCACCCGCTTGTGTCAGTGGAAACCGGCACCCCCGGGCTGGACGCCGTCTCAGGCGTACCCATATCCCAGTCCGCACTCCTCAACTCCCGGTTCTGCCATTCCGCCCTCGGCGTTGCGTATGGAGTCGTCGCGTGCTGAGGATAGTCCCGTGAGTCAGTCCAGCTCATTCGCAGCGATGCCCTCCGCCAGTTATCGTGGCTCGAGCCGAGCCGATAGCATTAGTTCCTCGTTCTTCGGCGAGGTCGACGCACGGTCGACGTCCGATACGAATGAGTCGATCCCGGTTGTGGTCGCTCGCGGCCATGCGGCGGACGAGTGGAGGGATAAAGACCTGGCGAGCCGGCTTGGAGGATTGGGTATTAGCGAGGAGCCTTTGACGTCGGAAGTTGAAGACACCAAGCCTCTATCCCATCCTTTCGCGCCGTCTAGTCTTCTTCACCAGCAGATTTCCGCTCGTCCTGCACCTGAACAGCCGGTGCCTCGGACCCCTTCCCAACCGCAGGCTGCCCCTTTGCCGCAGAGTCCAAAGCAAACACCCGAGACAGCAAGGTCACGGTCGCCCGGTCTTCAAGCCCATCCGAATACGACTGTACGAAAGAAATCCAACGAACGCTCGCGTGTTGCCTCGAGCTCCAGCGCCGGGCCTCCTGACGACGCCAGCTTTGCCGGCGACGAAGACGAGGAACTTGGCGACGTCAAGGTGCGCGCCAAGAGCCCCAAGCACCGGGCCCGAGGATCCAGCAAACTGGGCACGGAGATGCTCCGCACCAATTCAAGAGGTAGCGTGGTGAGCGTTGAAGACCTGCCAGGGATGCGCGGCCCGGTGGACGGAGGGAAGCATGACGATGATGAATCGAACAAGACGGAATTGGCTGTGGCGCACGCGCCTGCGGTTCCGACAGTGGAAGAGGACAAGGATGCGGAAGCCGATGGCGACGAGACGATTATCATCACCTCACCCGACGAACAGGAGTCCGAAGCCGGTCTCGAGGAAGATGTGCCGGCACACCTTCCATCGGACGCGGATAGTTCCAGGCCGGCTTCGCGGACCGAGAACAAAGCATCCCTCACACCCCCTGAGATCTTCCATCCTGTTCCTGGGGGCACATTCGGGGCCATGGAGATCCCCGACGATGTACGCGGCCAACCCCAGACGCCTGCGCGCGAGGATTGGCCCGCGGAGGCAGATGTGGACGCCACGCCTCGTCCGGCAGCTCCAGCGAAGGATGCGGCCTAGATCCTCAACCCCCTTTTCAAGGACCATTTCCTATGTACGTTTATACAGATTGTGGTTTTGCAAAGCATGGTGTTGGTGGATCGCGCACGGATAGTTTGTATTGCTGGTTGGTCGTCGCCAACAAGACTCGATCGTCCTTCCTCTCATTTGTGTTCTGTTTTTTGGTCCCTGGCTGCTTTTCTTTTGGGCCCGGAAAATTGTCTCCCTTTACGATATCATGAGGTTTGGTTGGGGCCGTGTTTCGCCGCCAAACGAAATGGGTCATCCCTGCGTGGATTCCAAAGGCTCGCCAAATTGATCGCGTATCGTTTGCTTTCCTACCTCTCCTTTCTTTGCTGTGGGCCAAATCGGAGGGCTGTGGTGGAGATCTGTACGACTACGCAAGAACTCCTCTCCCTATTTCACGCCCTGCGAGTATGGCAAAGACGGGGTATGGCACCCAAGTTGTGTGCCTGTTGTTAACGGCGGATGGCGAAGGGCTTCTGAAAGCAAGACTGGGAAGAATTTGGCTCCGTTGCAGTTGTGGATCGCGTGGGCTCGAGGCAGATGTTATAATCGTCCTGTTGAACTCTGGTTTCAATGGACTTGTGGATCGTGTCGTTTGCTTTGCATTGAGATGTATGCTAAGAATAGCTTCCGCTGATCGATTGAACAAGCGAGGAATTTCCCGAACACTCAAGACGCAATGTGATGAATCTTTAAGTTCAATTGTAGATGTATGTGAATATAGCATCCTACTACCAAGCGATGGATACGAATCTATGAAGCGGTCCCGCCGCGTTCACTAGGTCTTATTTGCTGTATACCGGATTAGCTGCGTAGCCATCTTGGCCAGCTCTCGGCGCTTCCAGCTACACAAATCGATATATGTTATCTGTCCTTTTTAACGGACAAGCCTTGGACATAAATCCCGTAAACATAGAGCTCGATGAGACCCCGTTCGTTTGGCTGACCATTCTGCGCATTATCATATCATATTAAGTCATCAAAGAACTGATTGATTCTAGACACCATTTATTGACATGCAACTGACATTGCTGCCACTAAGGTAACAACGAAACCGCGATTGGTTCGGACCAACGATCTGGGCTCTACTGTAATCAATTTTCTGGAGTATATCCAGCCTACCTGAAGGATCGACGATGCAGTTTGTACGAATTGGTCCGTTTTGATTATGGCCTATAACTAACCCACGTCCATAGAAAGTATCTCCCGCAGCCAACATGCCCTCTGGATCCAGCGTCGAGATACCAAAACATATGCGGGCATGGACACACACTCGATCCGGCCCGCCGACCGCCGTCCTCTCCCTCTCCACCATCCCCGTCCCCGCCCTCCCAACCGAAACCTCGGTGCTCATCCGCGTCTCCCACGCGTCGCTGCACCCCGGAGCAGCCATCATGATCCACCTCGTGCCGGTCCTCTTCCGCAAATCCCCCGCCGTCGCGGAGACGGATTTTTCAGGGGTCGTGGTCGCTGTCGGGTCGAAAGTGCCCGTGTCGCTCCCTCTGAGTGTCGAGGAAGGGGGTTCAGAGAGCGGGCGGTGTTTCCCGGTCGGCACGCCGGTCTTTGGCACCGTGCCTGTTGGTTCGCATCTGGGGGCCGCACAGGGTGCGCTGGCCGAGTATGTGGCCGTAGACGTCGGGATGATCGCTCGAAAACCGTCGGATATGCCGTTTGACCAAGCAGCAGCGCTCGCGGTATCGGGAGCCACTGCTATGGACGTATTCGACGCTGCGAAGTTACAATTCTCGTCGCGGTGTCTTATCAATGCATCCTGCGGTGGGATCGGGCATCTGGTGGTCCAGCTAACCCGTGACGCCGTGGGCACCAATGGTCACATTGTGGGGATTTGCTCGGAAGCAAATGCAGCGACGGCAAGAGAGTTAGGCTGCGATGAGACTGCGGATTACAAACCCTCGACAACCGGGGAAACACTACAACAGCACCTGGCGAAGGACCATGCGGTCGATTCTGAGACGGCATTCGATGCCATCATAGATGCACATGGGAGCCAAGAGTTATGGCTTGCCGCGCCGACGTTCCTGAAGCCCGGAAACGAGCATCCGTACGCGACCGTCGGTCCCAAATTCATGGCCTATTCGATGGTCGGGATGCTAAATGCCGTCGCCAAGATGATTGGGAACTCTGCCACCCCCGTTTGGCTCGGCGGCGTACCAAGAGCGTACAGCCAAGTTGCGTCATTTGTCGACACGGCTCGTTTAGAGAGACTTAGAGAATTGGTTGAGAAAGGGCAATTGCGAGTCATAATTGGCAGTAAATGGGACATGGACGGGGCCCCAAAGGTAAACCTGATCAGCCTTCTAGCGTGAATGGTGAGAATACCGACCAGAACAATTGACCAGCTGACTTTTAATGACAGGCGTACGAGAAGATGCAGAGTGGACATGGAACTGGGAAGATAGTAATCAAGGTCTGGGAACCTGAGATGAAGAGCACCGAGGATATGACCTGAAGGAATAACGCAGAGCATACCTGTACTCAGAGTTTCTTTCAGACCAGTATACACGTATAAACCATAATGTGTGAGACGACCGATGAAATTTAGGAAGCCTATGATGCGGCTCAAGGGATGTGAGTTATGCGAAGGAAACTAAACTGTGATGCAGTTCATGCACTGGAGTCGACGATGGATGATGATGGCAGGTGGTCCGTGCACCGAGTCGATCTGAGGAGTGAGGAATGAGGAATTGGGGATCTTCAACATCATCGCCAGCCCGACTCCGCGAGCAATCCAGCTACTAAATTTCTCCGCTCGCCCAAGTCAATCAAAACTCGAATGCTCCTCTGACTTTACGAATTATACCCGGCCCGGACACGCAGAAACACGCCGAAGCGCCTGTCGAGACCACACGATGCTGTTCTTTAGGTAGGTGATCTTCTACCCTCCAGCTGTCCCGCTCAACGCCCCACACCCTATCCTATATCCGCCCTATATACTTCCATCGAGCAGACATTAACGTGAATCAGCTTCTTCAAGACCCTCGTGGACCACAAGGTCACCGTGGAGCTCAAGAACGACATCCAGATCGAAGGGACGTTGAAGAGTGTGGACCAGTACCTGAACATCAAGCTGGACGACATCACGGTGGTGGAAGAGATTCGATGGCCACATCTGGTGAGTTCTTTTATCGACGCACATCATCGATCTTGCCTTGGATTGCCTACATGAATTCTTGGCATCGTCGATTACTGTGCTCATCCCTCAGTCGAATCTACCCATGTGCTAACCTTGCCTATTAGAGTTCCGTCAAGAACATCTTCATCCGAGGGAGTGTCGTACGATACGTCCACCTTCCCGCAGCAGATGTCGACACCGCATTACTTGAAGACGCAACGAGAAGAGGTATGTGCTTATAGGATGCGTTCGGATTGAGCAAGGACTGACGCCCGCCACAGAGGCTGCCCAAACATCGGCCCGCGCGAGACAGGGCTAGTCAAATTCTTGTATCGGGACATGAACATATATCCGGTACGGATCACGACGGTTCCCGTCTACGCCGGCGTGGGGTGGCTATACCGTGAAGGTCCACGCTACCTGTAGACGGACGAATACCGAGACCGGAAGCGATGGTCACGAATAATATTCAGAACTCACACTGATGGGAGTGAGTGGGCCGAAAGCAGGGAGATGCTCCAGGTTTGGGTTCTTAGGAACTAAAAGGTTGGATAAAAGGGCTCGAGCTACCTTCAGTGGATGCTACCGGTTCCGACCAACATCTGAAGGAGCAAAGAAGGGGGTAAGTAAAGTCATGATGCATCGTGGGTGAAGGCGGTGTTTTCCCACTGAAACATGCGGATGGCAGTCTTCTTAAGACGCCACTACAAATATCCAATATATTAATGAAGCACATGTTCGATGCAACACGTAAGGGACAGTGATCCAATGCAGGAAGCACAGGCATGCACAATTTAATACAGCTTGATGGTCCATCATCCATGTCTGATTCATCGACCAATCATCTTTGTTTGGGATGCCTAGCCAAGTTGTTGGCCCCTGTGCCCCTCTGCTGGTTTGAATGGTTGAATGGTTGAATGGTTGAATGCCTGAATGCCTGAATGCCTCAATGTCTTACTGCCTGAGCGCCTAAGGCTTGATTGAGACAGAGGGGTCCAACTGCAAGCCCAATTGTTCGGCAAGAGGGTGGTTAGTGCGCCGCCAACGGTTCCTTCCCCCACCATAAACAACGCCTCGCCCATGTTCACCGCTTCATTCATCAAAGCTCAACACCACCACCACTCCACCACCACTAACTTCTCCTCCACACCTATCCCTCTCTCATTCTTTTCCCAATACACTTGCATATTTTCCCGTCCTGGTTAACTTTCAATTACTCGCAATCTTTGGTGATAGCTTGACAATATGCGGGGTGAGGTATGTTTGGTCCCATCTATCCTATCTTTGGCGTCCAGGCTCCAACATTTACCCCTGAGGAATGTTTATGCTGATCAAGGTACCCCAATATTCAGATATGCCACATCCATATCGGCCAGGCTGGTACTCAGCTTGGCAACAGTGCTTGGGAACTGTACGTCCTCTCCTCGCGTTTCCGACAAGTCATCCGTGGTCGGAGGTTCGCCTGGACTGTTATCACTAACGCCGCGGGGTACACAGCTATCTTCTCGAACATGGCCTGAAAGCGGACGGTCGCCCGGATCCTGAGGCTGGCGAGCAGACGGAAGGAGGGTCTTTTGAGACCTTCTTCACGGAGACTGGCAGCGGAAAATATGTCCCGCGGTCCATCTTTGTCGACCTCGACCCTTCGGTACGGATCGAACCTCAATCAGTTCGGGCATTTTCACTAACATGGGACCAGCCCATCGACGAAATCCGCACCGGCAAATACCGCCAGTTGTTCCATCCGGAGCTTCTTATCAGCGGCAAAGAGGACGCCGCCAACAACTGTATGCACAACAAACACGCCTTGGACCTATCGATATTGACCTGCTGCAGATGCGCGTGGACACTACACAATCGGAAAGGAGCTCGCGGACAGCGTTATCGATCGCATTCGACGTGTTGCCGGTATGTGATGGATACAAAACAAGGTGGACGAGCAGTTCTAACCTGCGGTAGACAACTGCAGCTCCCTGCAAGGCTTCTTGATCTTCCACTCCTTCGGTGGTGGCACGGGATCCGGCTTCGGGGCTCTCCTCCTCGAGCGACTCTCCACCGACTACGGCAAGAAGTGCAAACTCGAATTCGCCGTGTACCCCTCCCCGCGCGTATCCACTTCCGTCGTCGAGCCGTACAACGCCGTCCTGAGCACCCACAGCACCATCGAGAACTCCGATTGCACGTTCCTCGTCGACAATGAAGCCGTCTACGACATCTGCCGTCGGAACTTGGATATCCCGCGCCCAGACTTCGAGCATTTGAACCGCCTGATCGCGCAGGTGGTCAGCTCCATCACCTCCAGTCTTCGCTTCGATGGCGCGCTCAACGTCGACTTGAACGAGTTCCAGACCAACTTGGTGCCCTATCCTCGCATCCACTACCCGCTCATCAGCTATGCGCCGGTCATCTCCGCCGAAAAGAGCTCCCACGAGAGCCACAAGGTCAACGATCTGACCTTCCAATGTACGTGCACCGATCAGCTATTACCCTTCAACGCTAACTCCCCAGGCTTCGAGCCCAACAACCAGATGGTAGTCTGCGATCCCCGCAACGGCAAATACATGGCCGTCGCCCTCCTCTACCGTGGCGACGTCGTCCCCCGCGACTGCACCGCCGCCATTGCCGCCGTCAAAGCCAAAGCCTCCTTCAACCTCGTCGAGTGGTGCCCCACCGGCTTCAAGCTCGGCATCAACTACACCCGCCCCGCGCGCGTCCCCGGCTCCGAGCTCGCCCCCGTCGACCGCTCTGTCAGCATGCTGTCCAATACCACCGCTATCGCGGAGGCCTGGAGCCGGCTCGACCATAAGTTCGACCTGATGTACTCGAAGCGCGCATTCGTGCATTGGTATGTTGGGGAAGGGATGGAGGAGGGGGAGTTCAGTGAGGCAAGGGAGGATTTGGCGGCGCTGGAGAAGGATTACGAGGAGGTGGCTGCCGACAGCCTTGAGGAGGAAGAGGACGTGGGAGAGTATTAGACATCGACTGCTTTGCTCCGACGAGACCCCCCCGTCAGAATGCGTTGGGCGCGACTAGGTGTAAGTAAGAGCGGATGATGCTACGTTACAGCCGATGATTCACCCCTGGGTCTCTATTTTTCTTTTTGCCGATTCCAATAGGATCCTCGATTCGATCCCAAATCAGTTATTACACGGAAGCCAATGAAACATGATTATGCAGTACAAACACCGCGCTTGGATGATCCGGACATGAAGCGTCGGGCTGAGATTCGAGCGCTTGTTAACCGGCCGAAACGCGGCATTTGTACTTGACTCATTGCTTGTCCGAATGCTCATTTAGCCCACACCAGGCTCCCAGACCTCTCCATCTCCTTGACGGTATCTATCCCACCTCGGCGAGTTCCCCATCTGCCCGCGTTCACTCCATTCCACCTAGCCACCATGTCTCGTCCCCTTATCACCAGTCTCCCCTATCAGTACTTCCACAATCGAGTGCGTAGCCATTGGCTTCTACACATTAACCACCTGCACAACGACGCACGTGCTCACCACCACAACATCCCGTCCCCCGTCAACTTCACCGAGCCGCGTTTCTCCCCTCCAGCTAGGAGTTCCAGCTACCGTGAGCGCCACCATTAGGGGACGAATCTCTTTCCTAAAGGACGACTCCTTCCCAGTCCTCTTAACACTTTTCTGCGTTCGACGTCGACGCGGTTCGCCAACCGAGCCAGGACCGCCTAGCCAGCTCACCCTGCCACCCTATGTACCTATTTTCGATTAATTGGGTATAGAGGCTCCATGCTGTTTTATTGCCCTCTTGCGCTGCGGGGTGTCTTAGCTGGCGATTTGAATCGGAACTATACACTTTCCTTGCTTGATACTTGTCTTCGCCTTTCGACCGCTTGGGTTACATAAGCGTTGATTATCTTGATCGTCTGGTCCTGTAGGACAAACGTCGCTGTCCCATGGAGGGTGGGGACTATTTATATCTCGCTGGACATCCTGGATGCTACGCACTACGTCTTAGTCGTCAAAGGGGACCGAGACAGTGTTGAGATACAAAACAGTGAGTTCAGTGAACACGATCTATGGGGGAACAATTTTTATATGTCTTGAATGGAATTTTTCGGGAAGAAATGGCAAATAAATAATCCGCAATACCAGTCGTCGATCATCCTGATCCAAGATTACCTCAAAATCTATGACAATATATCAGACAATATGTCCAGTATTCGGCGACCAGACTATAGACCTGGATGTCAACGGAGTTCGTCCGAGTCTTTGCGACGCATTTCCACATTTCCACATGTCTAACGAGTGCTAGAAGAGTAGAGCAACAGAGTATATATGTATATCTCGTCCAAGTCTGTATTTACCAAAGCTTGCAGTTGGTCTTGATCATCCTCTAGCTATAAGAGCTTTAATGCGAACGGGGGAACTATAGTGAAGGATCGAAGCCGAAATATAGTGAAATCATTCGCTATCCAAAAAGCCGAAGCGAAACACAGAAGAGGAGGGTCTCTCGAGATATATGCACCCGAATGTACGAAGAGCACTGCTACACCTATATCCCAACCAAAAACTCCTTGCCGTAAGAAAGACAACCACCATAGAACACGCCTAAGATCACTCCTAGCGATGCCGATCGCCACAAGCCAACCGGTTCCTTCACCAAACGCTCCAATATAAACCATCTAACCCACCCCTCTAGTCATCGTCCTCAAAGAATTTCATAATCGCCTTCACCCCCATCGGCCCCAACCCATGCGGCGGATAACACACCCAGCTCGCCTCCTCCTTCGCCCCCAACTTCTCCCGAAACTCCGTCTTGTTCGTCAGCTTCAGCTCCGTCATAATGGCGTGGTACGCCTTCGACAGCACCTTGACCTTGGCGCCGCGCATGTTGTGCCCCGGCGTGAAGTGGCTCGATGCTCCCCCGCCGAACGTCACCGAGTTCACACCCTGCGCTGCCACGAACTTGAACACGTGCCCGATGAGCATCTCGATAGACCCGGACGGCGCGCTGGGGAAGTCGAGCGCGTACTTGACCTGGTAGCCGTGCTCAGGGGACAGCTGGGCGAGTGCGACCATGGAGACGAGGTCGCCGTCCTTGGTGTAGCTGAAATGGTAGCTGCGGTGCTCAACATCCTGCCACGGGCGGATCTCGGTGAGGTGCACCTGCTTTCCCTTGCGGTTCGCGAGCCACACCTGCACTTTCTCGTCGACCTTGCGGCGCACCTCGTCGGGGATCTTGGCTCCGAGCGCGTAGTCAGTGATCTTGATGCCTTCCTTCTCAGCGCGGCGGATCTTGCGCGCCACTTCGTTGTCTTTCAGGCCGCGCACGTCGCTCGGGTCGAGGCGCTGCTCGGCGACGACGGAGAACGTGCGCCAGTTGAAGCGGGTGGCGAGGATTTCCTCGGCCGCGGCACCGGCGAGGACCCATAGGGGCTTAAGCTTGGTCTCGCGGTTGATGAACCGGAGGTACCCGGAGATGGTCTTGATGTACTGGCTTTCGTGGCACAGGGGGTCGCCGACCGTGATGGCGAAATTATCTACCGGGACGTATCCGACGGCGGCGCCGGTGTGCCCGCATCTCCAAATGTGCGTTCTCGGCTCGAGCCAGGACGTGTTGGTGGCATCGCCGTAGTTGGCGATGAGCTCTTCCAGCGGCTGGAATTCGATGCCAGCCAGCATCCTGTCCCTGCCTTCCCACGGCGGGTGCATGGTGGAGGCTTCCGGGTGCCTCAATTGTTTGATTGCCGGCCTCTCGGGGAAGCTCTTGGGGTCGCGAGGGAACAGCGATCCGTGGCGAATATCGCCGAGGTTGAGGAGGAGGAACAGCATCCGTTCCAGCCCGATGCCACCTCCACCATGTGGAGGAGCGCCCCACGCAAAGGCATTCAAGTATTCAGTCATAGTGCCGGCATCGATGCCTTTCTTTTCGAGCTGTGCCATCAGCGTTTTGTGATCATGGATACGTTGGCCGCCCGAGAGGATTTCCTGGCCACGGAGGAAGATGTCGAAGGAGTTGGTGACTTTGGGATTGTGCGGGTCCGGCATGGCGTAGAACGGTCGAGCGCCCACGGGGAATTTGTCGAGGATATAGAAATCCGTGCCGTACTTCTCCTTGACCAGCTTTCCCAACTGAATCTCGTCTCGGGTGCCCAGGTCTTCATCCTCAGGGAGCTCTTTGCCCTCGTCGTCCCTCCACCCTGACGAATTCAACAGTCGGATGCCTTCAGCAAAGGGGATACGCGGTGTCTCCTCGATCCAGATCAGGTCTTCGTGGGGGAAATGCTGTTTCACGAGATCGATTTCATTACGATACTCGCGGTAGACACCTTCAAAAATAGCCTTGAACGTGTTGTCTAGCATGCGCAGGACTTCGTGGTAGTGTTCATCAATAGCCATCTCCAAATCCAATCCGGTAAATTCGGTCATATGTCGATGAGTATTACTGTTCTCGGCGCGGAAAACGGGACCGACCTCATATACCTTGCGGAAGTCGGAAGCAATGGCCATCTGTTTGGCCAATTGTGGTGACTGCGCCAGGAACGCGGGCCGGCCGAAATAGTCGATCCGGAACACTGTGGCCCCCGATTCCGTCGCGCCGCCCTGCAGCTTGGGTGTGTGAATCTCGACAAAGCCCTGCGAGTCCAGGTACGCGCGGAACAGCCGGCTGATTCCTGCCTGGATGCGGAAGATGCTTTGGGACGCAGTGGTTCGCAGATCGAGGATACGGCTCGCGATGCGAGCGCGATCGCTGACCACGATGCGGTCGTCGCCCTCCTGAAGCTTCGCGTTGCTGAGCTCGGCTTCGTGGACGGTGAAGGGCATGTGGTCGGCGATCCTGGCTTCCGCGTGTATGGAATGGATGGCAACTTCGATATCATGGATGGAAGTGCCAATGATCTCGCCTTGTTTAGCCTTGGGTTCTTGCAGGATGCCTCGGACGAGCACCACGGTCTCCATCTCGAGGTGATTGGCCCAGTACATCATATACTTGGAGATGTTTCCTTGCTCTTGAAGGACGCCTTGGATGGTGTGGGTTTGCTGGCGTAGTTCGAAGAAGGTGAGGTGGTTGCTGATGTGGCGAATGTTATGGATGCGAGCGCGGAAAACTACCTCCTTTCCCACGTCCTTGGAGGCGAAGGATTCGAAGTCCAGCCGGTCCTCGTGTTGCCATGCACCGGCGTAGTTATTGACGGGCAGGTGCCCATACAGCGCCCTCATGTCTTCCGTTTCTTCCACTTTCGCTTGCTCTTCCATTTCTTTGAGCCGGGTTTCGTGCTCCTCTTCTTTTGCCGCCGCCAATTGCTTTTTGAGTTCCTTTCGGGCCACCCGTTCCGCCTTCCGCTGTTGATTCCGACTCATCTCCTCGCCCTCCCGGTTGAGGGGTGGCTCGGTCTCATCGGACGAGGAGTCGTCGGCAAGGTGCAGCTTATCCTTGACATATCGCACTGGGGACCTCGTCGGGCTGCTATGCGTCTTTTCCCTCAAGCTTTCTCGGTGATTTGGCCGCTGGAAGGTACCGCTATTTCTAGGCGAGGAGGACCCGCTGAAGGTGCCGCTCTGACGAGGCGAATGTAACGCGCTCAAACCGAAGGTGCTGGATCGTTTCGGAGAGCTGGGCACGCTGCTGTGATTCTCTTTCTCGGTGTCACTACTTGGCTGGCTACCGCCGTTGCGGATTTTTTCGAGAGCCTTCTTAAGAGACGCCATGGTAGGACAGATGGTGGGGGGACAGTAGTGTCGATCCACTCCGCATGCGGGGGAGGACAAGAGTGTCAGATAGGGACACGGATAGCGATTTGCAATGCCTGGATATTATTATTGTGATGGAGGAGGAGGTTTTCAAAGAAGATGAGGAAAAGAGAAGGTCGACCGGGGCGAAGCAACCGAGTAGTATTGTTGGTGGCGGCGATAGAGCTAATGAAGGGCCAGGGAGGGCATGAGAGGATTTATGGAGGGGAATTTCGGCCATCGGGTGCGTCCGTGGCGGAGAGTTGGTTGGCCACCCAAGTCACGGCCTAGCTCATAGGTGTCCAAGTTTCCAAGGTTGAAGGTAGGGTTTGGTTGGGACAGGGTGATACTGCAAGCCCACAACCACATGCCCGATGATGAATCGGTCGGGATTGATTCGACAAGTGATGGCTGATTGATTAATTGGATTGGTGACCGGATGAAAGCTTGTGATTGGGGTTTCCGGATGCCACAGTCATCAAAGATTACCACGGGAATTCTTATAAGACAGGAGGGCAGTGGGAGGTAATTACTTGCACCGGTCCGCCATCCGGAATCAACGCATTTCCGATATACGGAATTATTATTAATACTCTACCCACCAATGGTCCAATCTCATGGTCGAAATCCTCGTATCAATTATCAATGCTTAACATGCGCTTCGTGTTGTTTTTGAGTTTCGACACTTGACTGCTGTTCCTGGTGACGTTATCCTTACCTCATTTGTTCATTAATATTCTGTGTTTATCTTAGTCTTCTTCGGTGTTGTCCAACTTCCAAAGCTTGTTTTCTTGTACCTGCAGCGCCCGTCAGGGCAATCACCCGTCACCAAGGACCCATGAACCCATTGTGAAATGCGAGAGATAGTCCCAATCCTGTACCTGTATAGTTAAATTATCCAGGCTTCCTTCTCACCACGTTCCAGTAATAACCACACCCTGATCTATCAAACCCAGGAAGTTCAGCACCGTTGTCCCTCCGTTTCCGCCCCCGATTTTCCGGTCATTTGGATATATGCCTTAGTGCTCAGTAATCATACCCGGCTGCTTATGTGCGCACGCTGCATGCACACCTGACAATGCGTTCCTGGATCTGGTTAGCAATTCGCGGATGGCTGTCATTTAAACCGAGGATTGGAGGGATCGAAAGTCTGGCCAACTCTAGTCTCTACTTACCGACATCGGGGGGTTGGACTTTGGAGGGATGTGGCATGAATCGGAAATCCATCGCTTTCTATCCCACCCTGCGCACGGTAAAGTGTATTTAGTCCAAGTCATGGTTAACACTGGATGTGTAGTTGCAGAGTGTACACACAAATGGACTGGAACGAGGTCGGTGTCGGTGACGTCATTACCTTTGCCACAGTTCGGGCCGACTTTTACAACATCGGAGGGTCGGAACTTCATCACATCCACACGCCACACCAGTGCTACTGCACTTGTCAGAGCGAAGATTGATACGCACTACTAGTTTTGTTGAGTACGTAGTACATTCAAGCTATATATCCGGAATCTCCTCCGCGTGCCGCGACCCCGTCGCTGTGAACCCACCCCACCCTGTAAACTCCGTGGCGAACAACACCGCCGCCTTCTCGAAATATCGATCCTCGTCCCCCCACGTCGCCGCCGCTTCTTTCATCGCGCGGCAGCCTTTCACGAAATGAGGGTCGGTCCGGAACTCGCCCTGGAGCGCCCGAGGGACGACGACATTCGTCCAGCTCTGGTTCCCTAGGTCGAACCGCTTGATCCGATTCGTGTCGATGGCGGGACGGAGCTGCGCGATGAACACGGCCAGGATAAATAGCCACCATTCTTTCACCAGCGACAGTTGGAATTCCGGCGGGATCAGAGGTAGCAGGATGCGTACCGCGTGCGAGGTGGTAAGCGTATGTACCAAGAAGAAGTCATACCCGCGCCCTTTCTCCGCGTCCACGCTCCCGACGAGCAGCGCCGTGGCCAGTCGCTGCGACTCCTCGAACCGGGCGCTGACGTCTGGCGACCCTTCCGGCGACAGATCCCACGCGTTCCACCATTCCATCAGCTCGGGCTCCTTCTCACGGAAGAGCCGGGTGACGTTGTCGGCTCCGGGTTGGTCGAACAAGTCATCGAATCGGCGGTCCGAGCGCACCCGATCGAGGATCTCGAATAGGCTCGTGCTCGTCCACGGGGGTCGCCGGTCGGGTCGCGTCCATTGCGGGTCGTCTAGATATTTATGGATGTCCGAGTAGAAGCATGCGATCAGTGACAGCGCCTCGATGGCAACCTCGCGATTGTCGAACTCCATGGCATAGCCCAAGTGAATGAGCGGGTGGCCGAGGCCGGAGACGGCGGCGTGGATCAGCGGATTGGGCCCGGAGAACAGTATTTCCTGGACGAGGTGGCGCCAGTCGTAATGGTATTCGACCATGCGGTCTTCAAAGAAATCAATGAAAGCGCGTTGATATCTGGATGTCGTCAGTCGATCGGGCTTATTTACTAGACACGGATGGTGGAACGAACTCTCGTTTTCCCAGATACCTCCGCCAATCCTGCTTGGTGATCTCCCCTGGAGAATCTTCCCATGGCTCAAGATGCTCGGATTCGGACTCGTAGATCAGTTGTAATTGCTCGCGCGTGGCCCCAAATATATATGATGAGCACAGGAGCTATCAGACGATTAGTATTGGGCTGCAGTGCTGAACCACATGAGTGAATGCCGGCTGGGAGGACGTACGTGAGGGAGGTGATTGTGAAACCGAAGATTATTATATATGATCGAATAGTTCATATGATTAGCTCTCAGTAGATGTTTTAGTGTTCTTGGTGCCTTGTCCGTATTCGTCTCGATCTGATGGATCTCGACTGACGGCAGAACAATCGGGTGTGTGGTACTGGGGCGGAAGAAGTTGGATATGAAGGAAGGAAGGCCAAAATTGGTGTTGAACATGTTCCCCGTCATCTTGGATACTCGTCATGGAATGCCAAATGGTTGGTTTGGGACTCTTAGTTCTTGGGTTGATGTTGGAGTGGTTATGTATTGATGGTCCGGAGATGGAGTGATGATGTTATCCCGGTTGGGGCTGCTAGGATTTAATGTCGTTCCAGAACATCATCGCCAGTGAACCAAAAAATCATGGTCAAAGGTATCCGGCAACTGGCTGGCAGCGTTTTACTGTTAAGATATTGTTAAGGTCCTTGTATTGATTTTTCTTGAGTAAATCATTGATAAGACACTATCGGATACCTTCTGCTATTCAAACTAGCCTGTGTTCGTGGCCGTCAATTGATGCCTGGTAAACAACAACATTATATTAATAGAACATGAGCAAGAATCGAAGCGAAACAATAGTAGTATTAGCTACTTACTTACTCCGGTACTTGGTATTATTAGTGACCAAGTTGCAAGACCAATCCCTTCATCAGATCAGCCCTGTGACATGCCTGGCGAACCAGTGGTGTCTGGTGAGTGGTGAGTGGTGAGTGTTGTGTGTGAAGTCGGGAAAAGTTTGGATTCCCCACAAAAGTTTTGGAAGCAACTCAAAACATCTGACTCCCAACCATCCGTCAATTGCCATCTTCCCTCAATTCATCTTCTCTTCGTCTCAATTGATCCAAGTTCCGATCTCATAGATTCCCGTAACCATGCCGTCCAAAGGAAAAGTCTGCCTCGCCTACTCCGGTGGTTTGGATACCTCGACCATCTTGAAATGGCTGCTTCAGGAGGGCTACGAGGTGGTCTGCTTCCTCGCCAATGTCGGCCAGGTAAGGATCCATCGATAAGAATGTAGCGGCGATGCAATCGTTAACCGAAAATTCAGGAGGAAGACTGGGACCAGGTGCGTGAGAAGGCCAACAAGCTTGGTGCATCCAAGATGGTCATTACCGACCTGCGCCGCGAGTTCGTCGAGCAGTTGTGCTTCCGCGCCATCCAATGCAATGCCATCTACGAGAGCAGGTACTTGCTTGGCACCAGTCTTGCTCGTCCGGTCATTGCTCGCGCGCAGATGCAGGTTGCTAAGGAGGAAGGATGTGAGTAGCCCTTTTGTGAGATAAGGGAGCCTGGCTAATGTATAACTTAGGTCAATTTGTTAGCCATGGGTATGTGCTTGATTTTCTCGCCTCTCTGAGTTCTGGAGAGCTCAGTGCCCCTGAAGAATTCCATGGAGATGATTTTATTACTGCTTTATTGCTACCGGTGCGGAATATCTGCTGACCCTTAACAGCTGCACTGGCAAAGGCAACGACCAAGTCCGCTTCGAACTGGCTTTCCTCACTATTGATCCTAAGATCAAGATCATTGCTCCATGGAGGATGCCCGAGTTCTTCGAGCGCTTCCAGGGCCGCAATGACCTGCTGGACTATGCTGCTGAACAGGGCATTCCGGTCACGTCGACCAAGGCGAAGCCGTACAGCATGGACGACAACATCGCCCACTGCAGCTACGAGAGCGGACAGTTGGAAGATCCTTCCAAACCGCCCCCTACTGACATGTGGACCCGGTATGAGCCTTGACTTATTGATTTAGTCCTAGAATTGGGTACTAATAGGACATAGTACCGATGATCCCATGAAGGCTCCTGCTACTCCCCAGGATGTTACCATCATCTTCGAGAAAGGTCTTCCAGTTAAGGTCATTTCGGAGGGTAAGGAGGTGACCGATAGCTTGGAGCTCTTCATCTTCCTCAATGCCATTGGCAAGAAGCACGGCATTGGCAGGATCGACATCGTTGAGGTTTGTAATTCATGTTTACGGTGCAGGCAGCTGCTAACCTGATGAAGAACCGTTTCGTCGGAATCAAATCGAGAGGATGTTACGATTCGCCCGCCATGACCATTGTCAGTATTCCATACCATCGATCCTGTAGTGAAATCCGAAGTCTAACTCCTGGCTCTAGCTGCGAGATGCCCATCTTGATATCGAAGGTCTAGTCATGGACGGAAAGGTTCGGTCCCTGCGAGATCAGTTCGTGACCCACTCATGGTCTGAGATTCTGTATAACGGCATGTATTTCTCGCCCGAGCGCGAATTTGTCGAGAACTCTCTGCTCTTCGCCCAGAGGCGCGTGGTATGTACCTGATGAATTTACTGGTTTATAGGGAACGTTACTAATTGTCACCAGAACGGCGAGGTCCGACTCCGCTGCTACCGTGGCAACTGCTACATCACTGGCCGGTCCTCGGAAACCGAGAAGCTGTACTCCGAGGAGGAGTCTTCCATGGATAGCTTGGTGGACTTCAGCCCGGTTGATACGAGTATGTTGAGCCCTTCCCTTTGCCTTGATTCATTCGATTTGGTCGACATGCGCTGATATTCTATAGCCGGCTTCATCAACATCCAATCCATTCGTCTCAAGAAGTATGGAATGCAGAAGTTGGAGGAGGGAAGTGGCTTGGACAAAGCCTAGGTCGAAGGCGGAAGCACTAAGGCCAGTAGCTAGGGTTCGGAGCTTCTCAGGTTGAACTTGGCATTGATACATGCCATAATGAGGAGTTGCTATATGTCTGTGTTTGTGTCTCGATACAACAATTCGTGAGGATCGCAGTCAATGGGATGCCTTCACTGAACGCAATGTCGCACGGTTCGGGGTGTTCGATGGTTCAACGAAAATACATGATCATCGGATTATTAGAGGAATTGAATAGCGATAGGGAATTTGGTAACGATAACGTCAGCGCAAAATGCCCTGAAAAGCTTAAATAGTAGCTGTACTGCTGTACACGGGACCAAATTCATCAAAGATGCCCAGTCAATCTCACTGCAGATGCCTCCGTGGTCGCTCCCAGTGCGAAGTGATATTTGCCTGAGGCAGAAATAATAATCACGTGCTGGTGCCTGATGTTGACCTCACAGTAATAACAGAATGATGGAGCTTCAAGCTTGCCTCTCCTGTATACGAATCTCAGAGCGGCCTATTACGAATAAAAGCTTAACACTGCAAATACCTCTCAAAGAAGTGATAGAAGCAGATCACATATCCCATCATATCCGAAACCCTCTTTCTCGTGCACACATCGTAGCCAGCCTTCCAGAACCTCATCTTCCGAACATAACACATCAAGATGGGTCTCGAGGCGACGATGATAGTGGTGGATAATAGTGAACGGAGTAGAAACGGAGATTACTTGTAAGATGATTCGATGCCCTGGGCCATCGCATCGCTGACTATCTAGACCCTCTCGATTCGGTGCCCAAGAGGATGCCGTCAATCTCATCTTCTCCGCAAAGACCGGCGCCAACCCGGAGTCGTCCGTCGGCCTCCTCAGCATGGGAGGCGATAGCCCAGAGGTCCTCACCACTCTGACGACCGACATGGGTAAAGTGCTGGAAGGGATGCATCGGACCAAGATCCAGGGTGTCCCACGCCTCATCACGGCGATCAACGTCGCAGCGGTAACGACCCCGACCCGTGCAATCATGAGTTACTCGAGCTAACACCCATCCCAGCTCGCCCTTAAGCACCGCCAGAACAAATCCCAACGACAACGGATAATCGTCTTCAACTGCTCCATCATCGAGGAGGACGAGAAGAGCCTGGTTAAGCTGGCCAAGCGCATGAAGAAGTACGGCATCAGCGTCGACGTCATCGCGTTCGGCGAGATCTCCGAGGCGAACATGAAGAAGCTCGAGGCCTTCAACGAGAACGTCAAAGGCGGTGACGGCTCCCACCTCGCCATCATCCCGCCGGGCCCGAACCTACTCAGCGACTCCGTCGTCACGACGCCGATCCTGGCGGGCGACGGCGTGGTCACGGGCGCGGGCGGAGCGGGCGACGTAGGGGCGGAAGGGGAGCGTGAGAACTTTGAGTTCGGGGTGGACCCGTCGATGGATCCGGAGCTGGCGATGGCGCTACGGATGAGTTACGAGGAGGAGAAGGCGAGGCAGGAGCGGGAGAAGAAGGAGATGGAAGAGAAAGAGGGGAAGGAGAGTATGGAAGCGATACCGGAGGGGGACGAGAAGCAGCCGCTGCTGAATACCGAGGGGGAGCCGAGTGGGAGTAGCAGCGGGAAGGGGGAGGGGTCGAAGAAGCCGGAGGGGAAGGAGGAGAAGAAGGATGAGGATCCGGATAAGATGGATACCGCATAGGAGCGGGGACGATGGATGTCTGCGGGATAATACAATAGCATGGGCGGCGTCGCGGATACCGAGGGTTCAGCAATTGGGAATATCAAATGCTTTAGCGTTTTGGCACTTCTAGATGCGCTCGGATGTCGCTTTATACCAAACTGACTCGTCTATGGTTTCCTCACCCAGCTATGGCTTCTGGGGTTTGTTGCTACTCCAGCGCCGAGAAGTGAATTGTTCTCAAGGAACATAAACACAAAGTGCAAGCGGGGGTGATATTTCCGAATACCCACGTATTTCTGATGTTGGTGTTATTCGAACACCCAACCCTTCAAAGACACCACCATAGCGCCATCCTATATCTACCCCTATCCCCTTTATCTCGTAGCCTTTACAAACCCATCCAACCCCCGATCAAATTTCTCGCACCGAATCGGCATCTCCACTGTATAGAACGGGTTCTTCATGGCGAAATCGCAGTACAGCTCGTAGATCCGCCGCATGATGCCGTCGATGTTCGGCTGCTGCGGCTCCGTGAACAGCAGGAACTTGGTCCCTGTCACCGTCTGGAAGCACTGCAGCCGGAAGTTGGCGGACTCCATGACTTCGATGCCGCTGGGGCGGACGGGCATGGTGGGGATGTTGGAGGGGGGAGGCTGGGCCGGGGGAACGGGGCAGAGTTTTTGGGAGATGGCGTGGACACTGATAGCGGTGGTCAATTGGAGAACTCATTCTTGAGACGGGATATCAGATTGAGCGAGCTTACCCGTGGAAGGTGCCCGCGATTATGAGCAGCTCATTGGTATCTTGCTTGGACAGACCGGCGTGGAATTCGCGGTTATAGATCAGGCCGCCGGCTTTGCTGACGATGAGGAGCGTGAATACAACCCTTGGCTTGCGTCAATTACTTTTGGACAGTGCTGTAGGATAGGTACATTGGGAGACAAACATGATCAGGGCATCGGAATGCGAAGTTGCATTGCCGCCAACCGTGTAGCAGAAGATACGATTGTAATCTGCTCCAATGTTGGGGCTGTGCGCGGCTTCTTCTCTTCTTCCCTTGCTGGTTGTGTGCGTTTATCTATAGCAAGGTGGGTAGGTGCATGGCGTCTTTTTGAATTGAACGTCACGGTGTCATTCCAGAGCACGTATGCGTTTGTCCTGCGCTTTGGTCATTCAGATGGAGTGATAGGAGTGGATCAGTGAAGTGGCAGTTGATCAATGTGAAAGTTGTGGACGGGGCTACGCTTACAGGGGTCCCCGGCTAGGCGACACTACCCGCGACCAGGAGCATTGCCTGGTTTACTACGGTACCTACTACGTATTTGGTAATGATTAATGACTGGTTGTCTGCTGGCACTAACGGTTAACAGCGATTTATAACACAATAGTATGGCATTTCAAACCCAACTCAGCTAAGCTCTCGTACTTTATCCGGGCATCGACCCCTGGAGCCCTGAACCAACAGCCACCGTTGGCGGTTGAACCCCTCATCCGCTACATGTGCCAGGCTGCCTGCCAGCTTGACCTTTCTGCTGCAGTGCTGCTTGGTGTGGAATTGCGTATTTGGCACGACCGCTGGAAGTGAAGTGGGTGTACACAATACTACTGCAGAAACATCTCAGTGATCAGTTGGAGCCTAAAAGCCATCCTTCGTGTAAACGATCATAATATCAGAATCCCACTCACCAACTTCTCTCCCTCCCATTCTCGCCTCATGATCCGCAGTTTCCTCTCAATTGCTTCGACCGTTCTACGCTTCCCCGCTCCGACCTGCGCTTCCACTCCTACAGCTGGAATTCATTCGATTTCCCGCCAAACTGGAGGAGCTGTATAGCCTGAGCAGTCATGGCTGACCAGTCGATCTTGCGGATCACGAGAGTAAGGCTGGATGTATTTCCCTGCTCCTGGCCATCGCTGACTAGTGTTGAAGGAGCTACGTGATATCCAGAGGGGATCCGACTTGTGTACGCATCAGAATACGCTGGTTTCCATATCTCAACATTCGCTGAGTTCATGGTAGCAATCGCCGTTGCCTGCAAAGATAGCAACGTGCGACATATACGGGCTCTGATAATCGGTCCACCCGATACTCCGTATGAGTTTGGATTCTTCGAGGTATGGGAGAACCTTCTCGGATTGACTTCAGCTTAACGATTCTGACGCGACACTGTAGTTCTCAGTCAAATTTGGTAGAGGTATACTGGACTTCCATGAGACCCAAGTTTGCTGCGTCCAAGGCTCTGACGAAGTCTATCAGAGTATCCTACAAAGTCACCGGCCGTCAACTCGTTGACCACAAATGGTGGACGGACACGATTCAACCCGAACATCTATGCTGGAGGCAAAGTTTGCCTGTATGTTCACCATGGCTTGGCCGACTCGAATATGGAACAGGAGCGCTAACATATCTACAGGTCGATATTAGGGTATGGCTCTACTGTAACATGAGTCTTATATCAAACCTCACCGAAAATTCTAGGACATGGCGTGGCGAACGAGGGGAGGAATGGTCATCTGCGCAAGGCCTCGAATCGATCCTGATTTCCATTCAAAGCTTGATGTCTGGGAACCCTTATGAGAATGAGCCCGGCTTCGAAAACTCCAACACCGACTATGACAAGAAGAACCAGCAGGCGTATGTTGCGAAGGTCTGTATCCAGGCGCCCTCCTGAGAAATTGTCGTTGCTGAACATGGTAGATTCGACATGAAACTCTTCGTGTCTCCGTCATCGAACGACTTGAGGGCTATTTGGGGATCAACAAATACAATGGGTCATATGTCATGCCGTACACCCCGGATGTGGAGACGGACAACAGAGGGGATATGGGCTTTGAGGCGGCGTTCGAACCGTTCAAAGACAAAGTCAAGCGGCTATTCTTATGGTACTATGACTCGTATGTCAAGGCGATCGACGAGGAGTCCAAGAAGCACTCCGACGGGAGTCGGTTCGAGAAGATGCCGTTCGAAGGCACCGGCAATACCATGGAAGGCACTTTTCAGTACACCGACCTGATGACCCGGCTCACCGTGATCCGCATGCGACTCATGCAAGAAAGCGACGGCTGGGTGACGGAAGGGAAAATTGCGGCCTCGAAAGAGTCCAGCCTCGCCAACAACCTGCAGCGACAGTTTGAGCAGACCGTGGAGCTGTTCAAGAAGAACGACGCCATCGCCCTGGATCTCGAGCTGGTGGACAGCAACCCGTTCCTCTGGCAGCTGGTCCTCTTCGGCCGGCCCATGACCAACCTCGATGGCGGCATGTTCCGCGTCAAAATCTACATCTCCCCGCAATTCCCCAGCGAACTCCCGCGCGTGAAGGTCGAGACCCCCATCTTCCACCATCGCGTGTCGAAGGACGGCCAGCTGTGTTTCCTCGTGCAGAAGCCGGATGAGCTCTGCTCGTACGTCGAGGCTATCGTCGCCGCGATCGAAGACGAGAATCCCGCGTACGATCCCCGGACGCTCGTGAATCTGGAGGCATCCCGGCTATTCTGGGGGTCCGTGGAGGATAGAAAGGTGTACAGCCGCAAGCTTCGTCGGTCGGCGCAAGACAGCTCAGAGTGAGTGCGATATAATTGTCTATTTATATTCTGCAAACTAACTGCAACACCCAGATTCTGACCACTTTCAACCCACGTATTCCCTCATGTCCGTGATGAGCTCCCATCGCTCCACCATTTCCGGCGCACCCTGCTTCCTTCCAAGATTCCAAACATATCGCGCCACGCGACGATTAATTTCGCTTCCCATGTTGGTGTCAAATTACACTGTTTCTGTTTTAACGATGATGACGATGGCTTTCACGCATTCTCACGCTCAGCGAGGCGCTGGGGTTCACGGGATGATGGACCATGGACGAACATGAACGGTCGGTGGATCTCGGCATCTTTCATAGCCACGGACGGCGTTTTATGGATGGGTACTTAGCAAATCACATAGGATAAGTGGAATGCCTTATCGCATTTTCGAGGATTGCCAAGTGGCGAACATGGTGAACGTGTCTGTGTCTGTGTCCCTGTAAGAAGTTCTGATGGAGCCTTGTAGAGTGGGGGATCTAACAATTATCTAACTATTATGGTCCTGTAGTTAACTAGTTAGTGAGAGAGAGGATACTGCTACTGTAGTAGTAATTAGGAACAAGGATGGATGTGTGTGCTGATGTCAGACACGAGACATGGAATTTTGTCAAAGGTATTTAATAGCCATTTTCCATAAGGAGTAATAAAACTTCCAACCCCTGCAACGCCTTTCCTGCAGCTTTCGGATTCTAGATATCTTCCACAAACTCCTGAAGAATCCACCAACTCGTAACATTTTCAACTTCCTTCCATCTAAAAACTCTACGATGGCAGAGTCACAAGTAGCGGGCGGGTCAATTGGCCACGTCCTCGTTACCGGTGGCTGCGGCTTCCTAGGGCACCACATCGTCCGCCTCCTCCGCCTCCGCGACCCCGAGAGTCGCATCTCGGTGCTGGACCTGAACACGAACCGCAATATCCTCGCGGCCGAAGGGATCAAGTATTATAACGGTGACATCTCGTCGCGGGAGTCGATTGAGGGCGTGTTTGCGAAGCTCGAATATGGGAAAGTCGACGTCGTCATCCATACCATTTCCCCGCCTTTCCATCTAGGGAAGGAGTTGCAATGGTCGGTCAACGTCGAGGGGACGAAGAACCTGCTCGAGGTCGCGAAAGGGGCGGGCGTGAAGGCGTTCGTTTATACCAGCTCGGCTAGTGTGATCATGGATAATAGCATGGTCTTGGTGAATGCCGATGAGCGGTGGCCGATCATGGTTGACAACGATCAACCAGAGTATTACTCTACGACGAAGGTGATACAATTCCAGATGGAAACGGTCAGCTACCAAAGCTAACAACAAACCTATAGGCATACGCCGAACATGCCGTTCTCGAAGCGAATCGCAACCCCGAAGGCTTCCTCACCGCCGCGATCCGCCCCGCCGCAATCTTTGGCGAAGGCGATGTCCAGCTGATCCCGCCGATGATGCACGCCTCGCGAGCCGGGCAATCGAAGGTACAAATCGGCGACAACACGAACCTCTTCGACTACACCTACGTCGGCAACGTAGCCCACGCGCACCTCCTCGCCGCCTCGGCGCTGCTCCGCACGCGCGCGATGGCCACGGCGCCCCTGGACAACGAGAAAGTCGACGGGGAGGCCTTCTTCATCACGAACGACCAGCCGGTCTACTTCTGGGACTTCCCGCGCATGCTGTGGAAGGAGACCGGGGACGTGCGGACGGCGAAGGAGATCTGGGTGCTTTCTTATAGCATGGCGTGGTTCATCGGGCTACTGATGGAGACGGTCATGTGGATCCTCGGGAAGACGCCGAAGTTGACGCGGCAGCAGGTGTTGAAGAGCACGATGACGCGGTTCTTCAATATCGACAAGGCGAAGCGGAGGCTGAAGTACCGGCCGGTCGTGAGCCTGGACGACGGCATTCGGCGGGCGGCGAAGTGGTGGTTGGAGCAGGAGGCTCTGGAGCAGCAGAAAAAGTCGCAATAGGTGTATGTGGTATATTGTCGCGATTGGTTGCTCTTGAGCACGTTGGCATTCTCGAATCGCTGAGAAATTCTCTGCCGTCCGCTATGTAATCCTCATTTCCCACCTGATCTACTGTCAACAACCAGCACCATGGACAAATCCTATTAGTTGGATCCTGTTCCTCCCATACCCCCATTGATCGTGACGTTTGCACACCACACTGGTATAGAACGCGATAGCCCCCCTGCGCCGCCTCCAAGCTTTTTACTACCATCCTAATAGGTATGGAATAGTTCTTCTTTGGCTTTGCAATAGATGAAAGTGGTTCTCGCCATCTTCGCGGTCAAACCATCTCACATTGCCCACCATTCACCACCTAGTTCTGTGAATAACCAGTTAATTGCGGGAAACATGAAGCTGTAGTGAAGTGTTGCAATTAATCTGTTGTTCTATCACCTGGACTTGAGACAGCAACCAGCACGTTATCAGCACGTGACAGTGCCAAGACTACGAGACAGTCATGACAATGCAAACGTCTAAACTACTATGTAATTAAAGGGGATCTCCTACAAGGCTGTTGCTATCATGCCTCTAGTGGTTTCCGTCCGGAAAGAAAAGCACTAAATTAGTGATTTGCAAGTTAGTAAGTAGTTAAATAATCGAATGGGTTAACATACGCTTTCGTATAGGCGTGAAACTTGTTACTCAACGATTCACTGCGCACTTGTGCTATAAGCACCTGAACTTCCTCCTGCTTCCAACCATTTCGGGTGAAGAGCGCCATGCTGTAGTTCTCTATGCCTGTGTAGGTCAGTGTCTGCAGTACAGCTTAATGCCAAAGACTTACCTGTCAAGTAATGGACTTGGTAATACATTCCAATCCCTTTCAACTTTTTGTCTTTCGGCCAAGTACCGATCGGTATTAGCTTCTCGGTTTCCTGGATCTCCTCATAGCCAGCTTCGTTGAGCCAGCCCCGCATGTTGAGCATCGGGTCAAAATCAATGCCAATCTTTTCAGCAATTTCGTGGAAGGTTCTCTACACGAAGGAATTAGGATCATGGCATGGCACGTAGTCGATGGCAACATTACTGACCTCGAATTTAATGCTGCTGGTATCTTCCGAGAGGGAACCGTCGTCGCAGTGGAAGCGTGTTCGGATCTCTGATATTTCTATCCGCCCTCCTGGTTTTAGGTGTCTAAGTATTCTATTAGCTCTGCTTATGTGTAAGTGGTTCCTTTCCATACTTTTGTGCTTCTTTTAAGAATGTCACCCAATCCCTTATGCTCCCGCCCAGTGTGCGCACATGAATGAAGTCGAAGCTATTTTGTTCGAATGTCCAAGGTTGTGTTAGGTCATCGATCTCAAACTTCACATTCGGAGGTGCCCTGTGCCATTTATTAGCCCTGAATCTTCTTAGATGATGGTCCTTTTCGTACCATTGAGGCTGGATGGGACTCAAGTCGACCCCGATCACCTCAGCGGAGGGATAAATGTCTCCGGCTGGAAAGCAGTTAGTGCCCGTCTTTGTAGTCGAATATCAAACTCAACAGACCATCAATCGCCCAGATTCCTGTCCCCGTCCCTACATCGAGGATCCTCTGTGGATCTTCCAGCTTTGTCGCAGTTATCTCTCCTGCTAGTGTTAAGCGGAATATGTGATGTTGAAGGTCGAGCCGGTCCTGTTCACTCTCATCATTTGGGAGAAGCTATCTCTCGCTCAGTGATCTGGAGTTGAATACACCATCGTGTTACGCACATATTGCCCCGCGCGATAGGAGTGATAAGAGTGGCCATTCTCGAAGACATAGTCGAAAATTGAGGATGACACTGAGGTCGTATCGGACACGACGCTCTCATAATCTGAAGCCGAGCTTCTTGGATTTGACTGGAACTGTGTAAGCGTCGAAATCATACACTACGATGCTATCGCACTTACATCAACCTCGATCGTATGATGCTCCATCACGGTTATATAATCTTATGAAGCGCAAGAGCACCTTCACCTTCGAGTTGAGGAAGGAAAGTGGGGAAGGGAATGAAAACTGGAATTGAAAAGCGTTCTGTCGCCCGGTACTTAGGCTTACAAGGGGGCAACAGCACTCCCCTAGTCCCCTTTGCCTACGGCACTAAATATTGGCCATGTATTAAAGTGGAATCTTATCGTGTTAAAACTTGAGAGGACTGAGGAGGAACGGGGGAGGGATCAGCCCGTTTGTGGGGACTGGGGAAATACTCGATCCACTACTACTACTAGGTACTTAATTGGTTCAATCCACCCACGCACGGTAAGTCCGGAATCCTGCCCTCTACTCGTGCTAGGCAGCCTAGGCTTCCCCCCTCTCCAGGGTGGGTGCGCCACTGATCAACGCAAACCACCGATCAACGCAAACCACCGATCAACGCAAACCACAGATCAACGCAAAATTGAGTACATCAAGCAACAAAACAATCGATTTCTTCTACGACGGTTGAGTATCTATAAAATAAGGGAGATTTTCTTGATCTCTAGTAGCTGGAGCAGCTGTTTCACCATTTATTTCTCCCCCGCGAGCCTCCTCTGTGAGCTCACGTTGCCTTTTCTTCTTATCGCGTGCCCGGCGTCGCTCACGCTTCTCCCACTCCTCCCTCATTTCCGTAGCCTTCCGCTCTTCAATCCGGCGATTTGCATCCTTAACATAAAGAGGACCTCCTGCATTAACACGTCGACGAGTTGTTTTTCGTTTGCGATTGTGGCTGGCATCTAAATAGCGATCCAAATCGCTGCCTTGTTGCGCGCCGAGCTCCGCTTGCAGTAAACTGCTATTGAAAACCTTGTTTATCTTTTTATTGAGCGACGGCGAGACTTTGTCAAGGACATCCTCTATATCCGTAAGGTTTTTCTTCACCTTCTCAATACAGTGTCGGAGTTTTTGCACATTCTTTGGCGAGGAAAGTTGGGAGGAAGACAGAGGGGGTCTTTTCACGTTCGGGTTCGCCGTCCAAAAACTCAAGCACAGGGCCATCATCTGCACATAACTTTTCCAACTCTTTAATAACAAGCTCAGGCTTAATTGGCCATACTCCTCGTCTTGTCCAGCCGGCGCGGAGAACTCGTGGGGTGAAGGCTTTCTCCCTTATTGCAGGTAGAGCTGAAAGGAACTGCCGATGGTTGAAGCTCTCATCACCCAGGCGTGCAGCCTCATTGACAGCCTTTGCATGCCAGTGCTTGTACTACTGAAAAGGAATCCCATCCAGAGGTTGTAAATGGTGTGTCATGTGGGGTGGAAGGAAGTAAGGAATAATTCGGCGGTCCTCGCAGAATTTGAGGAAGTCGTATGTCAGGTGTGAACCATGGTTGTCAAGTAGGAGGAGCCGGTATTCAGAAGATATAGCTGGGCGTGTCTCTATATCAAAATGATGAATCCAATCATATCCTCCTTCATCAGTGATATACCCATTAGGTGTAAGGGTGATCATCCAGTTGTCTGGAAGCCCACAATCCTTATACCAATCCTCCAGATGGTATGAGCCTGCCAGAACAAGAAAGGGGTTGGTTGGTTTGCCTTCAGCAGAGATGCATTCAATGACAGTGACCAATTTCCGTGTCATAGCACTTCCGATGTTTGCATTTGCTTCAGGAAAAGCAGCTATAACCTTCTCAACCTTTCCCTGGCCAATCTGGAAGCCTGTCTCATCCATGTTGTAGATGTTGCATGGGCGGATGTGATGGCTTTTGATGACAATCTCTCAGCGATCATAAAAAGTCTGCACTATCCCAATATCTTCAGCCTGTATACGCTTAGGATCCATGGGACGCTGTTTAATGCGCTTATATTCAGGTGGAAGGCGCTTAAGGAAGCGGTACGTCCACATTTTTGAGACTGTTGGAGGTGGGGTTTCTGGATTTGCGTGGTTTCGATAGAGGATGGCATTGGCGCAATTTGTCACCATTTCAGCGGTCGGCGGGCGGCCAGCTTCGTCAAGCTGTTTGATCCAGTGTTTAACTGCATCCTCCTGTGCTTTATCAAGTATTCGGTTGGCAGGCTTTGGAGCTTTCTTCGATGGCTTCCCATTGATGCGTGATCGAAGGGCGTAGTAAGGAACGTGATACTCGTTGTGCAACGACGTGATATTTTTATTTTCACCGCGTCAGTACTTGGTGACAGCTGCAAGGATTCGACTCTCCTGATCATCGTCCTCAGGAGGCATGTTGGTCTTGAGATAATTAACTATTTGAGTTGAGTCTACAAATTTTGCGTTGTTGTGTGGTTTGCGTTGATCCGTGACGTACGCACCCACCCTGGAGGGGGGGAAGCACCCACCCTGGAGGGGGGAAGCCTGGCACGAGTAATTGTTCCATTTAATTACCTAACCCAAATTCCCAATACATACCTATCCATCCCACGCCCCAGGCTCAACGAGGCCGAGAACTCAGCAGTAGGTGTGCTTCGAAGCTTAGCAGTCAGCGCTGACGACGTCTGCCGCTGTTGGGTTAGGGACCAAGCGGTCGCCTGGTTGGTCCAATTGCACCTCGGGACTCGCGACTAGTCGGGCTTTCGCCCTGTCGATCGATGCGAATTCCCGAGCTGGGATCCTCCCAATACGAACGTATTCAGATACGGTGGAGTTGAGGTCAAATATAAATAATAAAGGTGAGTATCGAAGCGGGATCGCACCGTTCCCATTCAACACATTGTATTCTTTTGGGATCCAGATCAACCTTCTTATCCATTACTCTACCGGAGATGAAAGGTATCACCCTTGAAAAGCCCGGAGCTCCGTGGGTGTTGGTGGACGACCTACCCGTGCCCGAGCCAGGAGATTCCCAGATCCTCGTCAAGTCGATCGTGACCGCGATCAATCCTATGTATGTTGCCATGAAACTTGAAATGAACCGTAGCTGATGGACATCCAGCGATGGAGTGCAAGCCGCCACCGGACTCCTAGTGGAGGGCTGGCCCTTTACCCCAGGATGCGATGCCGGTGGCATCGTGGTCAAGGCGGGGAAGAATGCCGTGTCGGCCTTGGGGTCGCCATTCAAGGAGGGCGACCGCATTTGCGGGGCGACCAGGCTCGGCACGAAAGGCCATTCGCCTTTCCAGGAATATGTCAGTGCCGATATGATGATATATGGCTAGGCTGACGGAAACAGTTCCTGATGGACGCGCAAGTCACCATTCCGGTTCCAAGCAACCTCTCTTACGAGCATGCCGCGTGCGTTGGGGTGGCCGTTGAAGTATAGAGACTGGCCTGTACCAGGCTTCTCCCCAACGTTGACAGGGACTGACGATTGATCAGACGGCTGGCCTTGGAGTGTTCTCCGGACTTCATGTCCCCATTTTCGACCCCAAGAACCTCCCGGCTCCGAACGGCGAGTGGGCGTTGGTGCTCGGTGGCGCCAGTAGCGTCGGCAAGATGGCCCTTCAGGTATGAGGTTCCTTCTCATCGTCGAGCAAACGCTTACATGACCAAGCTCCTCAAAAAGGCCGGGTACAAGGTCATTGTAACCTGTTCGTCCGGATCTGCAGAGGTAATATCTCATCAACGAAAGAAGGATGCCGCTAATGCTGGTGAAGCTCTTGAAATCTCTCGGCGCCGAAGCCACAGTCGACTACAAGAAACCAAAGAGCGAGGTCATCTCCGAGATCCTCTCCATCACTGGAAATTCAGTCGCCCGGGTCTTCGATGCGGTCTCGCAACACGTCCAATTCGCCGCTGACCTCCTGAAGGGGGTGGAGAAATCGCCGAGATACTTCACCTCCACCAACGGCCGGTAAGACCCCCCCTTCGCTTCATCTCACGCATGCTGATCATCGGGAAGGGACCCGATACCGGACGACGCCCCGTACGAGGGAGGCCCGATTCTCCTAGGTCCCGTTGGTCGCCCGGAAGGGACGGAAACCAACGGGAGGATCGAGGCGTTCATTCCGTTGGTCTATAAGCTGCTGGAGGCGGGCGAGCTGATTCCGAGCGAGTACATCGTGGGTGGAACGGGATTTGAAAGCATTGTAGATGCGTACCAACTGCAGTCATCGGGAAAGGGCGGGAACAAGAAAGTGATCGTGAAGCTGCAAGATCCGTAGATATGGGGATAGCAACGCCAGATATAATGGAACTGTCACTGTCAGAGCTCACGATTCAATTAACGGCCAATACTTAAATGAGACTATCTAGTTATCAACAACGGAGTTATCACCAACGGAGTTATCTTAGGCCGGTATGGAGTGCCTCACGCGTTCCAGGATTTGAAGCTTCGGCTCCATCTTGACCTCAACCCAATATCCTCGAGTGAGATGGACTCGGCTCCATGCTTCAACGGCGCTGTAAAGTTCATCCCACTGCTTCTCGCTCATGGCGCCACTCCAGACCTTGGGCGCGATCTCCGTCACATAGGTCTTCCATTGCCCCACAGTGTCCAACCTGGGGGCGTTTCCGCTGCCTTTGCTCACAATATCCTGCAGCACTTCTTCTGCTGCTTCGATTACCCCAGCGCCTTCTTGGCCTTCCTTGACCCGCTGTTGCGAGGTAAACGGCATCTTCCCGGAGCCGTTTTCACCGGGTCTAAGGATGCTTAATCCCGCGTAAGAGTAAACGGTATCAAGGGTATTCCAAGCTCCGATCAATTGCTCCGGCCGTTCCACGATCGCAAAGTCGAACTGCGACCAGAATTCCGGATCGAGCGTTTGCGTTGCATTATCCGTTTTGTCGATTTCGAGCGTGACGACGGCCGGGTTGGTGTCGGCGCCGCGACGGAGCACGATGGCCCCGGACGTCAGGAAGCGGGTTATGCCGGTTTGCAGCGCCAGATTGCTGGCCCAGATGTTGATGGGAACGGGACGAAGCGGCTTCGCTGGGTCGTGAGGTGGCAGAGTAGAGGCATAGGTCGGGTCGGTGAGAAGGTGATGGCGGAGGGTGACTAAGGCGGTACCTCCGGGATAGTTCATGGTTGAAAGGAAAAGGGTAGCTCCGGATACGATCGCTGTGAGAGAGACAGATAACAAAAGTATCCACCATTGGAGAGTAGCTGAGAAGGTGCGCCGAGGGACTTTGCTGGAAGTAGGTCTAGTGTTTGATGTCGACTTTTTCGGCTCGGTGAGTCGAGCTGCCCCAATCGCAGCAATCCCCGTGAGGATGGGAGAAACATATACGATGAACCGCCATTCTTTATGGCCGACGAAGCTCATGCCTGCGATAAAGAGCAGGCATGGCCATGCCATCGATCTGGCGCGGGGAGACAGTAAAAGTGCAGTGGGAATGCAGATGATGTAAGTCAATGGGTTCAGGAGAAGCCCTGGGACAGCGGACGACAAATAGAAATGCCATGGAGCGATACCCCAGTCCGATGCATTTCCATTAATAACATTGAACTTCAAAGCAGCCAATTCCGGCCACAGCGCAGCATCTTGGAGCTTACCAAAGTTTTCACGTGCGATCCGAGGGAATCCTTGGGAGATGTCATGGTATGCCGGGAACCACAACATTGTGTCTAGCGGAAGACAGTATACAAGGCCATAGCACAGCCCGACGAAGATGGGACTGATGGCCACATTGTACGCCGTGGATAAAAGCTGCGAGGTGGATCTGTTCGCAGCCGGCGTGCGCTTCCAGGTCCATAGCACACTCGACAGGCTCATCGGAATCAGAAGTAGCGCAATCTCCGAGCGAACGACCGTGGCCACCAATGCCAAGTAGTAGAGGCAGCTTTGGTATTTCTTCTGCGCCGTCGTTGGCTCCGCTGCCGATATCGCCTGAACGAAGAGGCTCGACGCATATGTCGTGAGCCCAAAAGCGAACATATTCGGCACCGTCCGCGAGGCGTAGTAGTTCACGCGGAACTGGGACGCCTGGAATAACGCGAACCAGGTGCCGGCCGCCGTTCCGAACGCCGTGTCCATGGTTTCCAACAAATGAAGCAGAGAGAGCGAATTGACCAGGCCCAAGATCCCTCGGACTAGGGGGCATCAGCATCGCGATCCGTAGGCGGACACTCAGCAGACGTACCTGCGACTTGCTTTAACAGTGGCGTTCTTACAAAACCGAGAGGAAGAAAGGATGCGACTGAGAGGATAATCGGGCCAATGAATGAACGAGGCACGGCGCCCGGGAACGAAACATGATCAAAGGACTCGGCAATGGCGGTCACGTTCCCCAGCGGCATGCCATAGCTGGTGATATCATGGACGGCTTGGATACCGAACGACTCTTCCACCTTCGTAAATGAAGAAAAGTACAAGTGAACGAAGATAGAAGTAGGTATCAAAAGGCTGACCAGAACATCTTGAGTGTCTGTTAGCATCGAATGGCGAACTCGATGGCAGGAGTAACATACCAAGAGGGAGAGCCATGGTTGCCAAGAAGCACGCGTATTGACGAAGGTAAGGCGGTGAATAATTACAATATTGTTCTTTTCATGCTGGTCCTCATCAGGGGAGCAAGTTCAACCGCGCTCGAAGTGACGGGTTGAAATTAGCTTGTCATGTTTTGTACGCGTCGCTCAGATTGTAAGCTTGGTTGAGTTGAGAGGGTTCTCAGGAGTTATCACTGAACAGGAAGCTCATATCGCTAACTAGGGCCTGGGCAAGGTCACAAGGCAACGAGGCATCCAATATCGAACGTGTCCATGCCCATCCGTCCCAAGGCCGCCAATGTTCACACTTCATCAATGGTCAAACGCTCAAAGCTGATGGTGAGCGAGCTTCAGATCCAGTTGGTCTTCCAGAGAACAGTTTTCCTGTCCAGATCTCTCTTCTGTTGACTCTAATCCCTCGAAAACCTTGCTCCCTTCCACGCCGAACACCATGTTTTTCGGATTCGGAAACATCATATACAGTATGACAACCCGAGTGTCTATGTTGCCCTCAATTCTAACATCTTTCAGTCTGTGTGCTCGTCACAAATGCAGTCACGATACTAAGCGAAGACCGGTTCCTCGCCAGAGGTAGCCTCGATCCATCTGCCACCTGATACCTCTGAGCTAACGTGTGCCTCTGCAGTGGGATGGAGCGGCGCACCGATCGACGCGGGATTTGGAGGGCAGGCGGACACCTCGAGCGTCACGGCGAAGATGCTGAGCCTGATGACGAGCATTAGGATGGTGGTCCGAGGTACGTGGGAGCGTGTTGGGCCGTCCGCGATTCTATCAATTTGCTTTTGGAGTGTGGATGTGACATGGCTAACCGGACTCCGCGCAGTTCCCCTCATCGCGCTTAACATCTTCATAATCATATACGAGCTCATCCTCGGGTGAGGGGGGGTTATTTATATCAAGTTCGAGGGTACATTATTCGAAGCGTCCGACGTGTTATGAGCCAGCAGTCGACCGCGCCGGTCGTGCTTTCAGGGACGCCTGTTCCGAGCTCCGACTAAGGGACGCCGAGCCTCGACATAGCGCCAGAAGTACGGCCTCTATGAGAAACGCACAACGGCAGGGAGGGGGCAAGCTTCGTTCACGGTGTTCAAGTGCCTGGGATATGTCCGAGAATGGGATGAGAGTACTGGAGGAGTATGGCCGGATCGGGGTGGGAGTGACGAGACACATAGGAGCAAACGAGGCGTCGGACGACGATGCAGGAGATCAATCGATTACTTCACCTGCTGTTTATGTTCATCTTTGCGTATCTGCCCCGCGGCTGGGCTCGTCCTCTTCTTAAATTCCATCGGCGTTTCCCGCTTCTCCGCCCGTCCAACCATCTTCTTCCAAACTGACGGCTCCTTCCACAAGCCGATGCCTCGCGCCTTTGCGGTGGCCTCCGCCCCCCGATACTTCCCCTCCTCCCCCCCAAACTCCGCCCCATACTTCCCCTCATACACCGTCGCCAGCCCGCGCCGCAGCATCTCTAGCCCCACGTCTTTCCGCCGAAACCACCGCCGCACATACACCGTGCCGACGAGCCGCTCGTACTGATCGCGGCGGTAGACGTGCGCCCGCACGCGGCGGTGGAGGAGGTAGGACGCGAGCCAGCGGCGCGCTTCGTCGCCGAAGGGCTGGGCGGTGCGGCCGAAGTGGGCGCATTCAGGGGCGTCGACGCCGGCGAGACGGATGTGGATCTGGGGGGCGGTTAGCTACCGAGATGTAATGTCGGCTGTCGCTGCTTGGTAGAGTTTAACGTACCGTCTTCGAACTGAGTTCCCGGCTCTTGGTCGGGACTATCCTCCCCGGAAGCCATCCCCAGCCCGCCAGCCGCCCGCCCGGCGTGTGAAAGATGCGCACGTTGTCGCCATCGCCGACGCTGGTGACCTTGCCGAATACGCTCCGCTTGCGGAATTGGTCAGGCGGGAAGTAGCCCGCGTTCGGGATGCGGCGGAGATAGCGTCGGTAGAGGCCTATGAGGGAGAGGGTGGTGGTCGTAAAGAGGACGCCGAAGAGGAGGGTCTTAGGGTCGGTGTAATGGGTCCAATCGGTGGGATGGAGGGGAGGAGGGGAGGAGTCAGTGTTTGGGGGGTTCACTGCAGTAGAGAGATTGTTTTTCTTTTCTTCATCATTCTCGGAGCGGAACCATCGCATGGCTGTATGGCCGTTCTACAATCTACAGGTAGATTGTGGGGGAGTTGAGATGATGTGCAGCCCTTGGAAACTGTTAGGGATTCGGGGTGGAGCTGGAGCTCTGACCAGGCACAAGCCAACAACGACCATTGGTATATGAATTATGATGCTCAGGTTACTGTCTCGGATTACAGATTCAGACTGAGAATAGGACGACATGCGTTATATCACAGGCTTCGACATGATAAAACCGTTAGTGATGGAGAAACCTGGGGAAACCCAGCTCCTGCTACCCCCATGAACGACCAGTCGGGCATCTGAATGTCGTCACCTCCAAAATGCGAGGTAGAGAAAATGATCCTGACACGAAGTCGATTCTCTATCAATGAGGATCGGACAGACCAATCCAAGGTGTCTAGCTCTTATACATCATTCATACATGCTACTTCGACCCCAAAGGCTTATCTTCATCGCCCTCACTCGCATCCCCTAGATCAAACACGTCCCCGATTTCCGTCGCATCTTCCACACCGTCTCGAGGGATTGGATCATCCGCATCAAGGAAACCCTCCTCATTATAATCATCCCGATATTGCTCATGCAATGAGATATCATCGATATCCTCCCTGATCACCTCCGCCGCGTACCCCGCCTCCGGATCATCTTCGTACTCCCTCGCCAGCTCCTCCTCCGACTCCCGCGCGATCCTCGTCCGCTCCTCGCCCTCCAACTGCTGCGCGCGCTTCTTCGTCTGCCGGTAGATAAACCACCCGGTGAAGGCCCCCGCGAGGATCCCGATCAAGATACTTAGATAGCTCACCGCGCGGGTCTTCGCGTCCATCTTCTCCCCATTATCACCAATCTCGCGCAGCTTCGCGCCCACAAAGACGGCGAGCATCAGCCGCGGCGAGGCGATGGCGGTGGCGCCCATCATGCCGGCCCAGTGGACGGTGGGGATGGTGGCGATGGCGCCGTTGGCGAGGGAGTAGGGGAGGGGGCAGAGGCGGATCATGACGAGGAGCTTGAGGCCGTCGTGCTTGAGGGTGAGGGCGAGGGCGGCGAAGCGGGGGTCGGCGGCGAGCTTTTTGGAGAGGTTGCGGAGGAAGGCGCGGGAGACGATGAAGGACATGGTGGAGCCGAGGATGGTGGACGTGGCGGCGATGAACCAGCTGTTGGTAAAGACGTTAGAACCCGGGGATGTTGGGCGGCAGAGAGGATTGTCGACATACCCGTTAGGAAACCCAAAAACAAATCCCGCAATGGCTAAGAACGTGGAATACCCGATCAACGGAGGGACAGAGACGATAAACATCAGCACCCATAATATCAGCCAGCCGGCTGGCAGATCTCCCCATTTCTTCGCCCACGGCGCCAACCAGACGAAGATTCTCTCATTGTATATCAACAACAGTACGGTCAACACCACGGTGACGATCCCCAATATTATCACCAGTATCTTCTGTATGAACGACAACCGGTCAAACGTCCGCAACGCTCGGAGCTGGAGCTGGTTGTACTGTCGCAGGAATCGCTTCTGGAAGGATTCCGGCGGGCGGGAGTAGGAGCGCGAGTCCCGCCGTTCGAGGAAGGGTGAGGTCACGCCGCTGATGCGCTCCCAGACCGGCGATGTCGAGCGTTCCCGACTATACAATCTGACCGGACCGGGCATGGCGAGGCGCGGGCGAGGGAGACGGTATGTCGCGGATGTGGAGGGGTTGGTTACGCGACCATGGATTCTGGATCATATGGAAAGATAAAGGAAGGGGATGGCAAGATCTCGGTGTGTAAATGCGGAATGAAACCCAAAACTATAGGAGGCGGTTGGGACGAGAAGGAGAAGATGTCATGATACAATCGGTTGGGCGTTGAAAGTTGAAAGTCCGTATCGTCAGCGTCAGCAATTGCGGCGGAGGATATGGGGGCCAGGAAACGGCTGAGAGCCTGAGACGCCGTGTTTTAGCGGTTTTAGCGTCCAGATGAATCCAGAGTATTATCATTTATCAAATATCAAATATCTACTTTTCAAGTCGGATGGACTGATGGAGACTTCATATTCCGACACAAATCCTCAGACTTTGTTCTTCGTTCATCGGCCATTCTCGTCATTACCTGGAATTAGCCCGTACACCTTGTCCCGATTCCCAACGCCACGAGCACCGGAGCCAGGGAAAAGTCAAGCTAAAAATACGATACCCTGTAATAAACGCTTTAATTACAGTACCGTATTAATTCAGAATTACCCCACGTTCCTCAGGTGTCGAAGCCCGAGTTTCCTTACCAGAAGCTGGTGAATGGTGATACTGTGGTACTCCGCTACTGAGCCGTACCTCGCCCTTCTCCCTCCTCCCTCCTGCGTCCCCAACCTTCGTTGCAGGTTGGAAAAGGTGTTCGCGGTTGCGATCGGTTGCGTAACGACTGCTGCACATCCGGTTCGCAGCTCGCTACCGTCCGTCGCTACTCCATTCACCACGTCGTAGTACACCATCCGGCATTCTGCACGCTCCGTATAACCCCCCATCTTCCATCCGCCCTTCACACTTCACCCACAACCAATCCTATCTCACTTCACTTTCTGTTGCGTCTCACGGAACCATGCTATGACAAAGACGCTGAAGTCCCTTGAAGCAGCACCATGATAACCGACGAGCACTACGAGCTCTGCCTCCCCATTCTCCTCGACAAGAAGCTCGCCGATGATGAGAAATCCGACAAGCTCGAAGAGCTCCTCCGTTCGCAATTCCAGATCTCCGGCAAAGCCCTCGAAGATGCCGTTCTCGACGCGTTGTGGCGCTTCACCAGCGCCAGCAACGGTGCCTCGTCGCCGCCTCCATCCCGACATACGGTGATCCGACGACCCTCCCCAGCACCATGGCAAGCTGCCCGAGCTCCCACTCCCCTCTCCTCATCCCCACGATTGATCGGGCCCCCACCGGGCTTTGCGCGCGCGAAGTCCTCCACCGCCTCACCCTTCACCTCCCCACGACCGTCGCCGCGAATGGGACTTGCGACGCCCCACATCCCGCACAGCCCGAGTCTGAACGCGTATGAGTTCTCGGACTCGAGCCCGGCGCCGGACATCTATGGCGACTACGGGAGCGATACCGTAGACTGGCTGGTCAATGAGGACGGGACGAGCCCACCGTCGTCGTACGCCGGGGAGGCGGGCGGCAGTCCGTTCGTGTCGGACTGGATGGGGGGGCAGATGATGGAGATGAGCCCGTACGATATGATACGGTCAATCTTGCGCGACGAGCGGACCGACGAAGATATCGAAAGAGCTTTGGAGGGGAACAACTACGACTTGAGTGCCACTATCATGGCGTTGATGGGACCGCAGGTGTTTGAGCAGCCCGCGATACTGGCAGATGATAAGACGTTTCTTGTGGGCAAGTCCATGAGTCCTTCAGTCCGCCCTTCGACCCCTGCCGGGCAACAAAAGTCCAGTATCATTTGCAAGTACTGGCTCCAAACCGGCCATTGTGCACGAGCCGACTGCCGGTTCTCCCATGACCCTTCGAAGACCGTTTGCAAGTAAGTCTAGCATTACGACCTTCGTCCAGCTCGGTACTGATACAAGCAGGTACTGGATGTCCGGTAATTGTTTAGCTGCCGACTCGTGCTTGTTCAGCCATGACCCAAGTACGCTGGTGGCTCGGATGACGCTCGAGGGAATCGACGGCACGCCTCCGACGCACGTCATTCCGCCCAACTTCCACGTCCAAGACTACGAAACCTTCCCAACCCTTCAAACCGGCACCCCCGAAGCGTTTCCTATCTTCCAACCGTCCATGCAAACCTTCGAGCACATCTACCAATCCGCCCACTCCAGCTCCTCCCCGATCCCCACATTCAACCCGTTCGCCAACTTCGTCCCGTCGTCGAGCCGTCCGCAGTCACGCCCGGGGAGCCGCCACGCGTCTCGCGTGCCCACCCCATCCATCCCCGCCGTGGACGACAACGAAGCGTTCCCGACTCTGGGCTCCATCGGCGCCAAAGCGGGGAAGAAACATCACGGCAAACGCGGCCACGGTCACCATGGCCACAAGGAGAACGGCGGACCGAGCTCGCTCGCCGACCTGGTCAAGATGTCGCCCAGCCCGGGTCCCGCGCAGCTGCGCAAGGGTGCGCGCAATTTGAGTGCGCGGAACCTGAGCGGCATGAGCAATGCGGGTAAGGAGAGTAGCGCGGCGGCGATGGCCATTCCCCCGCCGGAGCATATTCCATGGTTGGAGACGGGCGATGCGGTCAACAAGGCGTATATGAAAGCCCGAACCGAGGCGTTCAAGCATGGAGGTCTGCGCAACAAGTTTCTGCAAAGGTGAGTACTCGTCAAACACCCAACGGGCGTTTGATTTGTCGAGCCCACTACTTTCAACACCGGATTCTGACTTGATACAGTGCTTCACAGGCATGGGCTCGCTCCGATTCCCGCGCCGCCAAAGCCCTCAGCCTCCGCGGCCAAAACGAGAACAACCTCATGCGCGAGGCCCATAAACACGCCGCCCGCATCCTCTACGAGGAGCGCAACAAGAACTCCCGCTCCTCCACCCGGGAGATCTACGTCGACCTGCACGGTAAGTGATCTCCGCCATTCCAATCGTCGGCGACCACGACGAACGGCGCACTAACAGGGAACCAGGCCTCCATCCCGATGAAGCGATTTCTTATCTTTCCCGCTGCCTCCGCGACCACGACAATCCCCTCGCCAACTCCGGCACCCCCCGCCCCCTCTACGCCATCACCGGCACCGGCCACCACTCGAAAGGCGGCAAGGACAAGGTCGGCAAGGCGGTCCGCGCGTTCCTCACCGAGTGGCGGTTCGCGTGGCGCGATTTCGACGTCCCCGGGGACCACCGCGGCATGGGCGGCGTATTGGGCGTCGATCCTACGAGTTGGGATCGCGGGTTGGGGGAGTGGGATGGGGGAGTGTTGAAGCGGAAGGATGGAGGGGGAGAAGGGAGGAGGCCAGAGAGTAGTGGGGGGAAGGTGAGGATACTGAAGGCCGAGGATGCGGAGAAGCGGTAGACTCGCGACCAAGCCCGTCCGTGAAATGGAACTTGATCAGATGCGTTGATTGAGATAGGAACCTGTTCTTCTCTAGGAGGACAGTCGACGGCATATCCGTCAGGAATGAAACCAGAATTTCAAAACTCGAGGATTTCTCCGCTTGAGAAATACGATTGATCTAAAATCTTTGAGCAGCATCGCTCCCCGTCCTATAAGGACTCCTATTACCTAAACCCGAGCACCCAACCATACCCCAAGAACTCCTCCCAAACAAGCAAGCCGCCAAGTTCAAGATCACTTCGAGACAGGCTTCGTTTCAGTGCCACATTGCTCTACCCGTGGTCGCTTTGGACAAGGTGGAATAACCGGCGGCTTGATCAGAGATCAGTACAAATTCCCCTTTAATCATGATTGATTTGTAGTAATGGAACGGATCGAACTCACTTTAATAGGTCGTCTCGGCACCTGTGCATTTAACTGGCCCTCGGGCTGTCGCCATCGCTCGCTGGAAGGGAAGTAGTATGGACTCTGAGTGCGGAGATTGAAATATTCCATTTTGTAGGTTATAATGGTTGTCGTGAGGTCAATTTGGCTTGGGTTGGTCGTTTCAAAATATATCAATGTACATTTCTAGGGGATTTATATACCGTCTTTCAGCTTACGTAGAAGGGGAACTAAGTGATGCGCCGTTCAGCCCTGCTGACGTATGTCTGCAAGACTAAGAGGCCGCGCTGGCCGCTGGGCTGCTTATCTACTCTATTTTCGGTTGGGATGCGAGGGTGCCATTGGATGGCCTCCGGAGCGAGTCTGGAGCCTTACCGCGCCCGAGGAGGTGTAAAGGACATGTTCTGAAGGACGGGAATTTCACGTTGGCAGAAATGGTCGGTGAGACATAGGTTCGGTAGGGAGACGAGTTCAACATACATGTGGTTGATGGTGGTTATTTCAGCTGAACCAGCGTGTATATAAGGAGAAAGCAATGCGATAGGCGGTCATGCAAGGGACGTATATGCATGCATCAGGTCATCCTCGATCATGCCGTCGTCACTCGTGCGTTCATATCGTTAGGTCATAACAATTTCACCGTCGCTACAACCCTCCCGGCCACCGAAAGAGGGTATAATCCCCCAACGCACTCGGAACCCGCCCCCCCTGACCTCCGCTCCCATCCCCTACCGCCCCCGCCCGCTCCATCCCCGCGGCCCAAACCGTCCGATATCGATCAATTACCTCCCCTCCATACTCACTCCCACTCTCGCTCCCCGCATCGCCATCCATCCCCGCAGGATCCCGCGCTGATGGTATCCCCGACACCGCGTCCGTCGATCCACGCCCGCTGTGAAACGGCGGAACCCGCCGCAGCTCCGGCGTCCGCTTGAGGATCCGGTGGTTGTTCGTCGCCGGTCCCGCGGGCACGCCCCGCAGCGCGAGAGGCTGGATGGAGGGCATTGGGAGGGAGTGGATGGGGCTGCGGGGGTGGATACGCTGGGCGATGGAGGTGCTGGGGCGGGGGGGAGGCCGGATGGTGGAGGGGAGATGGGGGACGGAGGAGGAGGCGCGGTGGGTGGCGAGGTGGACAAATTCGGGAAGAGGGGGGATGGGGGGGTGAGGATCGCTGCGGGAGGAGTTGCGGGCGGATGGGGGATTTCGGTGCGTATCCAATGCCGGCGGCACGGTCCGTTTTCGCAGCTCGAGGTCTGTCGTGGATGCGCTTGGCCTCATCGGCACCTCGGACGGCAGGGGCAAAGGCCGAAGAGCTGATGCAATTCGTGGCGGCGCTTCAGGGGATGCAGGTTCGCTGTCTCCGCCGGGCAACCGCGCCTTTTCCATCGTGGCCGGTGAGATCGGCGGAGTGGGCGGTGGTGGAGACCTCGACTTTCGCGGCGGAGGAGGGGATCTCGAGCGGCGCGTCTGAGAGTTTGACCGGTTCATCGGTCGCGATCGGGTTCGAGGCGGGATGGTAATCATCGGTCGCGATCGAGACTGTCGTGGTGGACGAGGAGTCGTTAATGGAGGAGGGGGAGTCGGGACGCGGGCGGGTTTGAGTTTCGCAGCGCAAGACTTGGCGCGCATAGGATCTTTTTCAAACGGTCCTCGTGAAAAGGGCTGGTAACCATCTTCTAAGCTTTGATCGGCTTTACCATGATTCCTTGCTGTTCCACGGTCCATTTGTGTCGGCAGCTTCTGCTCGGCGAGTCTCGGGGGTGAGTGTGGGTCTACCGCCGTGATAGCTGAAACGGCCGAAATGCTGGAGTTTAGAGAAGGTGAAAAAGATAGTGGAGGGAGAGACGGGGCAAATGGTGACGGTGAGGTGTGGAGAACATCTTGTGATGCTGCAAGGGGGCTCGGTTCTGGTGTAACCCTTGACATGCTTGACGGTGAGGATCCTAAGGAAACCAGCTGTCGCCGCGAATGCGGCCGTGACATATCCAGGGAAGTCTCGCATGAAGCTCCAGCCGAATCTGCGTGCGATGACTCCTGAACATTGCGGATCGTAGTACTTCTAGGTGCCGTCGTATCGAACTTTGGCATCGCCGTATCCCCTTCCAACTCTTGAGGGCCGTCCGTCTGGATTTCCCTGACGGGGATCGCAAGTGCGTCACCGAGTTCGACCCGTATGCCATCCGTTCTCAGTTCCGACACGCTGTATTGACTGTCTTTGCGGCGCTTCTCTATCCCTTCTGAGTCGTGCGATCTAAACTCCTCATTATGATCCTCGCTCTTGCGCCTCTTATTCTTCCTTGCTCGCCATATATAATATGCGATACCCATCACGAGTGCGACTACCACGAGTCCACCAATGGAAATCCCAGTAATTGCGCGAGTGCTCAAAGGCGTGCCTTGTTCGGGATCGTAACAGCAAGACGAACAGATATCCTTTATACAGATCCAGTCGTGATCACAGTCGTTCTCATGCGAGCAGGTGTCCCCCAAACAATGACCTGGCCATGTACACACAGGAACTCCATTTTCAACGGAACTCGGTTCACCAGAGGAAGTCGGAGATAGAAAAGGATCCGTACTCGACCCTGCCTGTCGCGGTAGCATGTTTACCATCGGCGCGTCCGGTAGGCGTCTGACGGTCCCGATGTCCCGACATATCCACCGCGGCTAGAGCAGTTAGTTTGATCAACGGCGGTTCATTGCTCGTTATTTGGTTCAGCAAAGTGCATTTTAACTCCCATCCATCATCTTGGGTCACCTAAACCCAGGGTTCACGTCTCGACCAGCGAGTGAGAGACCGAATCTGCGACCGTGACGACCCGCCACAGGACACAGAGCCCGGTTTGCATGCCGGTTGGCAGCAGGTGTCTCGGGAAAGACATGCTCAAAAACCTGACGAGTGGGTGTGAATAATTCTTGAACATGAAGGGTGCTAAGTCGAAGGGAGAACGAATGTGGGTGACAATGGTGACGGCCGGACCAATCAATAGCCAAAGCAGACCTACAGGAGAGACACGCTAGATGCAGCTGAACCCTAAGTGACCTTCAGTCGCAGCCTTTCTTCACCGATACTATTGGACTTGAAAGAAATTGTTCTCTAGACGATTATGCGTTAAAGCAGGTGGCGAACCCCTAACAGATACAATAACTGAAGACAGAATGCGCTGACGAGAGGGCTGCAGTATGCCCTTTGACGAGGACGGGCTTTGGGCCTGTGGCGGTCAGCAAGACGGTTTTCCAGAGGCTTCCGTTCAACTTTATTCAACTTTGTCGGTCAAGCCGAGACTCATAGCTAGATGCTTTCGAGAGCCGATGGGGAATTCTAGCGGGGAGGCAGTACCTCCTGTCTGACAGCTTATATACGACCTGCGGCCTGAAAAGTTCTCCCAAATCATCTCCATGCGGAGCCATTTCCGTTCAGATGAATAGAATAGTCCAGGCCATCAAAGACTGGCTTTGTGGAGTCTTGGGGAATTCTTTCGACAAGCGGGTCGAGATTCGGAATCCAGAATCAGTCCTTCTCACATGAAAGTCTTGTTTCGTCAGGAAAGGGGATTTTCAAGACAATTGGAGAAATATGAACTTTGCCTGACCATATGTTCCTTCTCATTCATGCTATCATTGAGTACATTGTGCACAGTACGGGTAGGAATTATAGAACGAACACGCTGTTGTGAATAGGTACTAACTTTACTACTGAAAACCCAACGAACGGTGTTCCCTAGAAATGCTTTACGTCATACGGTAATACAGTATAAAGACGCCAACTCTACGTTAATGAACCCCTGGACAACCAAACTGCATAGTACAATATCTATACTTAGTCCACTAGAGTCAGTTGATCACATTATCAATTCAATAGTAACCACGAAGCATACCCCATAAATCATAAATGCAATGGGAAAAATTGTCAAGATGCCGAGCTTGAACGGTAAGAGCTCACCATTACCACACCGACACCTCTCCAACGGAGATCCCCCATCGAATGCTAACACACTCCAGTCCTCCGTCAACCTCTCCGCATCCATTCCACCCAACCCACAACAGGCTTCCTCCGCAGCGGCTACTGCGAAGTCCCCTACTCCGACGTCGGGAACCACTCCATCGCAGGTACGTCCACGTCCTACCCCGTCTCACGGGCTCCTCCCTACCCCTTCCATCACCTACCTTTGACTATCAGAATGTCAGTCCGCGGCTGACGTCTCCCAGCGATCGTCACCGACTCCTTTCTCGACTTCTCCGCTGTCCGCGGCAACGACCTCCGCCGCGCCGGGCTGACGCAGGGCTGTAAATGGTGTCTCTGCGCCGCGCGGTGGAAGGAGGCGTTGTGGGCGTATCGGGAGGGGAGGGGGAGAGGGGAGGATGTGCCGGAGGATATGGTGCCGAAGTAAGTAATGCTAATATCTGTGGCGATGCGATGTGCAGGGGATTCCGCTCAGCGGGTCGCTCGTCTGGGGTACATGCTGATGGGTTGACAGGGTGGATTTGGATGCCACGAATGTGAGGGCTCTGGATGTGGTAGATGTGGAGGATCTGAGGAGCCATGGGTTGCCAAGGCCAGAGCAGAATGGACTAAATGGGGTAAACGGTGCGACCGGGGTGAACGGGATCAATGGTGTCAATGGAGTACACTGATGGCTTCTTTAATGAATTATGACTGTAATTGGTGACTACATGATATCATATGACGAATACTAGATACAAGCTTAAAATGAGGGTATCTCGGGTCAATCTTAGCGGTCATCAATCCCCATCAGGCGTCCTGACGTGGCCGGGCTCTTTCGAGCGGAGGGGTCGTAGATGCCTTTCCTCGCGGTAAAAGGCGTCTGGTTTGATCGTGGATCCCTCAAAACGCCAAACGCCATCCTGGTATGCCTGTGTTGTACAAACGGGCGAAAACAAAAACCCTCTCCTATCAAGAATACACAAATATCAACATCGTACTATCTGACAGAATGGTAGGCGCGATCTGGTGGTAGATGACTTAGATAAAGAGGACCAGGTAGACGCCGGCCAAGCCCATCAGGTAAACGAGACCAAGCTTGTTCATGTATTGCGGAACGGCCGCGCTGCTAGAACCGCTGCTAGAACCGCTGCTAGAACCGCTGCCAGAACCGCTGCCACCGGATGCAGTGGTGCCGTTCGGCAAGGTACCATTGATGATAATCGTGCTCGTGCCGTTGACATCCGCCACATTGACCAGCGTCTTGTTGAGCGCCGCGTACGATCCGTTGCCAATGACCGAGACAATATAGTTCGGATCGTCGTTCTCTTCGCACCCGCAGACGGAATACTCCTGGCACAAGCAGATGACCGGCTTCGTCTGGTTGGATGTCGCTGGCTGCGCCGATTCGTTGCGGAATCGCCAGGGGCGGTCGTAGTGGTACGGATAGACGGACCAGAGCCACAGGCCGGGCAGCAGAGCGAGCGCCGCGACAGGGAGGAGGAGAAGCCCCGGGGAGAGGCCGCGGCCGGTTCGCCCACCAGACGCATAAGGGGCGGCGGCGCCACCGCCATAGTATCCTCCGCCATACGCGGGTCGCACACCGGAGCCCGCGGCGCTCCGGCCGCCAGCGTTTGAGCTGCTGGAAGTTCCGCCACGGGAGGACGAGGAACCGCTAGATCCACTACTGCTGGACCCACCTGGAGATAGCATTGTTAGATGGAACAGCAAACGCCAATCGTGAAAGGAGGAGGGGCTTCTAGGGGGATGTGTAGATGTCATGTCGTATGGGAAGGAACGAAGCAGGTGCATCGTATGCCATCCCTAACACCAGGACACGCATCACCCTGGGAAAATATGCCGATGAAAGGACTGTGATTCTTGACTTACCGCTTGATGAACCCGATCCACTTCTGCCGCCCGAGGAGCCGCTGCTACTACTACCCGAGGAGCTGCTGCCTAAATGCGTATTTGATGAGCCATGTCCCGACCAAGGATAATAATATGAAGGATAATAATACGGATAAGAATATGAATAATAAGGGAGGTATGAAGATAATGAAAACTTGGAGGAAGGAGATGAAAAAGAATACATACTTCCGCCGCCGCCGCCGCGTCCGCCGCCACCGCGTCGCTTCTCCAGCGCATTCGTCTCGGCATCCCGCTCGTCGAACGATGCGACCGCTACTATGGCGCCATGCTCCGGTGACCGGTGCTCCAACTCGCTCGGGATGATGAGCGCATTGCTGACGGCCGTGGCAACCAGAGCCGTCGTGAGAGTGTGGAAGACTTTCATGGCGAAAGCGCGGGAGAGAGAGCGGGGTGTGTATGGGATAGATGCGACTGGAGTCGAATAGTCTTGTGCGCAGTGCGACTGGAGGTCGAGGTGTTGGTAAACGAAGTCTTGGAAGGTGCCGAACACGGCGCATTTAAAGGGAACGAAGCATACCTAATGTGATTCTCGCGATGGGTTTGTTTGGTTCTTTGGGGGTTTGCAACCGAATTTGAGGAGTCACGAGCCGGAATGTGGTGGATGAAGTAGGAACTCAACCGTGAATCGAGAATTTGGCGGAGATAGAAAACAGGACACCGCTGGAACCAATGGTATAATATATAGAAAAGTGAACCGGAGATGTAATTGGGGGGGCGAGGACGGGCCGTATCATTTATTATCAAATCCTGCTGGATGAGGCTGTGACGTTCATATCACGCAGGGATGGCATCCTTGTCGTGGAGCCGTGCCGTCCATCCCATACGAAATGAACAGCGATCCTCTCCCACCGAGGCCCCCAAGCAGCCCAATTATGCATCGCACATCATGCCAGGCTAGGAACGAATGGGCAGCAATACGAGCGCGGTGCCGGAGATCACGCATCGCCGCCCGTGTACTGGAGCACAGCCCCCAGCTCGCCAACAGGACAAAGGGTCTTCCACCACAAGTGACAAGGCTGAGTCCCCTGTAACTCTTTGATCATTATTACTTCGCAATGCCATCACAATTTCTAGGTTCGAGGGTGTCTTTGGAAATGGGCCAATGGGCAAATGGAGGATCGTCACATCGCCATCGTCGTGGGCCATCGTTGGCGGGGGTATGCCTCGCTGCTGCGGCGTCAGGGTGGCCCGTTGCAGAATGAAACACCGCCCAATAACTCTACCCGGACCGTGGTCTCTCGATGGTCACCTTGGCGGCCCCAGTCGCGGTTCAAAGTGAGGAATGGTTTGCCACGTTAATACGGTCATCCTGCATCAGGAGGGGAACAAAAAATGCGCGGAAAATCAGTCTGCCTTGCATCTCCCCGAATTCCAAATTGGGCTGACTTCCCCCCAACTTAATTAATGGTACCTTAGTCACCTTCCCCGGTTGATTCATCATCCCTCGTGAGTCGTGACGAGCATTCCAGGCAATCTTCGAGGAATTTGGGTTGCCGTCAAAGAGCTCCCGCTGGTCGGGTTCTCGGTCCTCACTCGCTCCCCCAGGGACTCCTTTACCTTGGTAGCAGTGGTACGTACAGTGGGATTCGGGAGCTAGACAGATCATGTGGGGGCTAGTTAGCGTAGATGTAGAACTACAGTATCAACTTTTCAACATCACACTGCATTCGCACACTAATTCCAACAATTCCAAGACCGAATGGTCGGAGCCAAACCATGGGCGTATGGATCTCGCCACTCAGGGGGTACGTACCGACATTTACCATCCAGTCAGACCTCAGATAAGAGGTTGGGAATCCGCCACCTGGCGTTCTTGACTCGGCGGGACTCATTTAGAAACTTAAAGAGGCGATACCGCCCTGTGCACGGCAGATTGCTTGGTTTTAGATTTGCTTGATGTCCCTATACCGTGGTGGATGCGTTCAAGTACCCAGGCACGCCAGGTCCGCCTTGACACACTCGACCGAAGTTGAAGGTGTGAAGTTGCCTACCGTGATGTATGCGTTTGAGTGCCAAGGTACTCCTCGACACTCAACCGAAGTTAAAGCTGTGAAGTTATGGCCATCCCTGAAGTCTGTCTACTGCGTTGGATACGATCCACAATATCGATCCGACTCATCAACAATCCCATCGCACCATGATGCACGTGCAAGTATTATTCGCCATGTGACCCGATAGTACGCCGATGATAGATATGTCCATGGCACGATACACGCATTTGGAGCACGTAGGCATACGATTCACCAGCAATAAATCAGATCAACCACTCCGAACGAGACAACCAATTCAAGTGATGATTTACGCTAAAGAAGAGGGCAGACATCCGGGACGACTACCGCATGACTATCCATCTAAACCGGAACCCCCTGCCACCCGAACAATCAATGACATCCTAAGCGTCGCGTCGTCGCAAAGGAGACGGGAGATAACTTTTGGCCCACAATGGTCCCATTCATCACTGCGTCCAGGAGCATCCTCGGATGCTATCGCAGTGTCCACAGCCCAACCTACTGGTCTAATTCCACATAGTTCGCGGGGAAGAGGCCCTTGTGGCCTCCGAACTCTCCGATCCACCAGTCGTCATCCGGGAATTCCTGGAGTCATTAGTAAATACCGTTGAACATAGGGCGTCGATACTTACCACATTAGTGATCTTCGCACCGTCGGGGAAGCTCAGCTCGTTTTCTTCGGCGGCTTCGTAGTCATACATTGCCGTAGCAGTAGGCCCGGATTCCGTCGCAGGAGGCGCCGCAGCCGGTGGAGCCGGTGGAGCCGATGGAGCGGCGCCGGGTGCATCGTCTTCGACCAGTTCAACGTAGTTGCTCGGGAACAACCCCGTCTCCCCTTGCTCATTCTGCCCGATCCACCAATCTTCATCGACCATGTCGATGTTGCTGATCGTCGCGCCTTCGCGAAGCTCAATCTCGTTGTCTTCCGCCTTCTCGTAATCGTACTGCGCAATGGCCGTTTTGCCGCCTTGGGCCTGCGACTGCGTCGTGGGCGCATCCTGGCCAAAGGTTGACGCTGCGATGGCGTGGCTCGCGCCTCGCGCTGGATCGTCATCCTGAGCGGTGGGTTCGGCGGGAACTTCACGGGCAGCCACCGCAGCTTGAGCGACGGGCTGCACGGGAATACGCGGAGGCTCTTCTTCCTCCTCTTCCGGCTCCGGCACCGCCCCACGTCCGACGGGCATGGCGACGCGGATCGGAGAGCTAGGTCGACGGGCCATGGGCTCTTCCTCTTCCTCGGGCGACGGGGATCGTGGTTGCGGCGGGGGAATTGGCACGTTGACCCTTTGAGTGGCCGGGATCTCTTCTGCCGCCGGCTTGGTCGATAGTTCCATCGGCGGGGGGACGGGGCGAGAAGTGGCAGGAACTCCCATGGGGGGTGCCTCTTTGAAGCGGTCACGGATCGATCCGATACCACCACTGGGCTGTTCATCCTCCGGCGCTTCCGCTCGGGAATCGGGCTGGCTAGTGTTGCTGACGGCCGACTGCCCGGTGCGGGTAGTCTGGACCGCTCCCCATTTTTTCCCCGCGTATCCGCTCTCCCATCCACCGTCGCCGCTTTTCTGGTTGGCAATGGACGGAGCCGCGCCGGGGAAGCCGGCAGAAGGAGTAGGGACAGCATCACCCCGTCCAAGAGCCTTCTTCTCGGCCCATAGCTGGGCGGGGGTCTTGCCACCCTGGTCGGCAAAGGTTCGACTGGCGATTCCCACTGGCGCCGCAGTAGGGGCTGTCTTCGGCTGGAAGCCTCCGGGCGCGGGCGCTTTGGTTCCGGCGAAGTTAGGAGCTGCTCCGAATTTGTTTGCAACTTTCGGCTTCGGCAGGCTGGTCAGCCTTTCCGATTGACTGAAGGCTGATGACCGCTCGGACAAGGATTTCGGTTGCTGATCGGCGTCACCTCCTGTTGCAGCAGGGCTCATAGCTGGAGAGGTCGACGCAGAGCCAGGACCTTGTGCTCGTGCTCGGATGGCGGCGATGTCGACTTTGCCGACCGGTTCGTACGAGCCTTTGACAACAGTAGGTCTATCGTCCCGCACGTTCCCAGATTCCTTAGCTTGTCGACGTAGCTCGGCAATATCGACTTTGCCGACTGGTTGGTATGCACCTTTGACAACGTCGCTCCGAGCTCCACTCGTATCTTCCTGTTGTCGGAAGGGCAGTTTCGTCGACTCATCTCGGCCGGAGGAGAGCGAGGCCATGTCCACCTTTGTAGGCTTGTATGCCGGCGCCACTTTCTCAAGTTGAGACCTCGTAACCGGAGGGGCATCTTCCCCCCATCCGTCACCATCAGTCGGCCCAGAGGGTTGGGCTACCCTCGTCCGCGATCCAAGGGGGTTGAATCCACTTGAGCTTCCACCGATCTGGGTAGGAGTGAAAACTGGCTTAGAGGCAGCAGGTGGAGGAGGGGCATTCGAGGATTTGGTGGCAGGGCCACCGGAGTACTTCGAGCCCGACGCATCCGAAACCTTTTGGATGATTGCCTCGGGGCTCAAATCCCGATCCGATCGAGCGGTGACCTGGACATGGTAGCCGTGCAATAGCTTCGATACCGCAGCCAAATGACTCGTGAAATATCCCTTCGTCCGTTCCGGGACGCCCTCGCCGCACCAGGCGATGAGGACACTCTTTGGCAAGGTGGTATTCGGGTCCTTGACCTTAACGAATGCAAATTGGATCCGGCCATCGGAAAACTCCTCCAAAAGGTCCACCAACTCTCCTTCTCCAGTAGTTTGCACCTTCAGGACGCTCTCTTTACCGGCGTCCTGCTGGAAGGCGCTAACAAGCGGTGCAGCAACCGAGAAAAGAGCCCACTGGCCGTAGGTGGGGGAGGCCGCGGGGCCGGCGGATGTGAGGGTTGCGTTGACGACGTTCTGGTAGCTTTTTGTGATGGATGGCCCGTTAGCCGAGAGGTTGAGAGTTGCCATGATGCTAAAATGTCTGACTTGGAGAGACGGATCAGCTTCGGTAATCGATATCAGTAGTTGCTTCAAGCCGGATTCAGGGAAAGCCAAACATGAGCGGTCTGACGTACCTGTACCACAGCAAGCAGCAGCGATCCGGAAGAGATTGGCAGACTTGGGTATGTAAGAACTTCTCGAAGGTGATGGAGAGAGTATGAATTGTAGTCACACAATGGGAAGGGAGAAAAGAGTGAGGTGGCTTCGATACGTACGTACAAGGTAAAATTGAGGAGAGCAGCAATGCATGGTGACGCTGGAGACATCCGCATTCACAATCCGCTCCGAGAGGCGGAAAGCTTCGAAGTTGGGGGGGCGACAGGGGGAGAGGAGGGGGCGCAGTGTATGGTAATGTTTACTGTAAATTTATGTAATCGGTATTTCTGGTGTACTAACATAAGTTACACGCTGACATCAACAATAGCGTCACCCCCCCGATTTCCAGGGCCCGCGATGTGCTCTTGACCTGATTGGCTGCCCTACTTTATCCATTCGTGATATCCTCTCTCCACCTGCGACATGGACACTTATCATGGACACTTCTCATGAACAACGAGGCGATGAATGCTTTTATAGCCTGGGTTCCTGACCTGTTCAGCGTCATCTCCGTTCAAAGCGGGTTCTACCATATATGGATGACTTCTCCGTGTTTGCGTAGCCACGTATTCCTAGTGAGAGGCAGCAGCCATTTTGCCCCTTGACCATCAAACCCGTCCACATGAGCATGCAGCATTTATCCCTGGGTTAACTCCACCTCATCATGATGCCATATATATTCTCGACTCCCCTTAGAAGCCCTGGGTCAATATTTGACCCTTAGGCTAGGGCCATGGAACAACTCGTGGATGGTCAGGAAACGAATCCAAATACGTTCTACGCTGCCCATCCATCCTCTGGTACTCACCGCGAATCTATGACCCCGGCCTTCGATGGCTCGAATAAACGAAAGGCTATACCGGCTAGCGAAGCTTCTAACAAGAGACTGAGAAAGTCTCCCGGTCTACATGGTGGCCTACAATGGTGCGGTGGATTGCCAGGGGAGATATGGCAGCGTGTCTTCCTACAGCTTCTGCCATTCGATCTCGGTCGCTTGTTACGCGTTAATGGAGCATTCAATTATTGGCTCACCAATGTTGAAGCGGAATCAAAACACACCGATTCTCCTCAGCTTCCGCGCCTTGCGTCGAGCACAATATGGGCACAATCCAGGGCAAAGCAGTCTTCAAGGATGCCCAAGCCCATTCAGCCAGCGTCGGAACAGCGAATGTGGCAGTTAATATGCGGTACAGCCTGCCAATTCTGTGGACGACGGGATTCACGAGCCCGTTCGTCGGGGAGTCATGCTGGAGATGGAAAGGCGACAAGTGGGACACATATCGTCTGGCCATTCTTGTTGCGGTCCTGCTTAGATTGCTTGGAGGCGAGATGTGAAACTGTACGATACAAACGTCGAAGTTGTACCGTCTGCTAATTGCAATTAGGAGGACGATTTGTTCTTTTCAGAACAGTCCCATCTCCGAGCCGCTCTACCATATCTTCCCGTGGACGACGACCGCAACATATTACTATTCCGCAATATCCATGCGCAGTTGAACGCCAGCCGACCAGGAACTGTCACAAAGTGGTTCTACAAACGCGACGTCAAGAATTTGGAGGGTGAACTCGCCGAGAAGCTCAATAGCGTGGGCAAGGCTGCTACGCGGGATTGGTTTGAAGGGCTGAAACAAACTGCCCGGGAACGAATTCGCGAGTACATCGCATGGGAGACCTGGTTTCATTTCGAAGGCAATAATCTTGCAAAACAGAAGAAGCCATCGTCTCATACCTTGGAAGACGAGTTTGTCCCTCTCTCCGGCCGCTCCGTTTCCAATCCGCCAACAGATGATGCAAATCGGCCGTCGACCTTTGCGTACCCCCCTGCACATGCAACACATCCATTAGCAGACAAACCCTCCAATGGAAGAAACGATATGACCGCCAAAGAAATGCAAGAGTTGGAATGGAAACGACTGCAGGAGCCAGTGAGAGCCGAACTAGGGACCATCGCGGACAACTTTATAAGAATGAATTGGTCCAACGGCTCCCTGGTGAGCAAAGAAAACTGCTCAAAATTTGCTGCTGAAGTTCTTCTGGGCGTGCGCCGCAACTACTACCAAAATTCATCCAGCGGTGGTGGACGAGTAGGGGCAGAAATGCTGCCCGGCAAGCAAAAGTTAGTGTTGGAGAACATGAAGTGGGTGTTCGACAACAAGATCCGCCAGCATACGGATCCGCTCCGGAAGGAACTGTTCTTCTGCAGCAGTGAAGGGTGTCGGGGGACGTTCAAACAGTATGCTTTCGAAGGTGTTATCCAGCACTTTGGGGCGAGGCATACTCCCAACTTCCGTGTCGGTGGGACGACGTTGAACTGGCAAGCCGCAGAATGGCCCGAGGACCCTCCCTTCCATCCAGACCCCAACTCCTTGAAGTCAAATCCTGCGTTTTCCGGATTCTTCCCTCAGCCGCCCGGTTCGGCGTTTGGCTACGGTGGGTATTCTCGGGCCGCTTCCATCACGCCTCATCGAGGCCAGGTTCCATTCCTTCCCCCGCAGATGAGTCCGGCCGCAGTTCCACCGGCGCAACTTTCTGGATCTCCTCAGACTGGTTATAGACTCCCAGGTGCTCCCGCCGGACAATATGGTGGATTTTCTCCGGCTCCTCCGCTCGGACAGGTGCCCCTTGGATATCCCGGACATGTATCCGGATTGCCTGGATCCGATGGCGTAGATGCGTTTACCGCAAACAATAACTCTCAGTTTCCTCTTGTTAGCGGTCCGCCAAATACTAACCCGATGCCAGGTGCAGTGCCATGGAATTCCGGGCCCAGTACATCTCAATCCATTCCTGTGTCTATTCTCGGTCCAGAACACGCCCATGACCAAATGGAGCGCGACGCAGAACATCCCTTTGTCCACCCAGAACCAGTGAGATCAGCCCAGGATTCAAGCGCAGCATATCCTCTTCTAAGGACCGAGAATCCACCGAGTACTACTCGAGATGTTTCTGGTCATATATCCGAAAAGGCGCGCTACGCATGGGATATCATGGACAGCCCCGCTATCCCTTTGTCTGTCCGGATGTTTGTCGCTATTTATCATGCATTGTCAAGTTTGCTTACTGATGCGGCCGTTTTGGAAGTCTTGTATGATGTTGTGAACAAGCATGGGCTGATGCATCCCTTAAAGCTGGCTGGACCTCTTTCCTGCCGAAGCTGCGTGACTGTCGGGGACCGTTCTGGTCGGCCCGCAAGTGGCCCTCATGCCGAACGTCAATTTTCCACCTTTTCTGCTCTGTTGTCGCACTTTAGGGACGAACATACCCGCCCCGGATCATATGCGAACTTCCCGGCGTGGCTGATTGATATGATTGCATTGCCGGAAGCCGCCGTGCTGGTCTATATTCACGACCATCCAAGCATGACGGTGAGGGCTCGCAAACTCCTCCGCGAGGCTTTCCCGACGGTCTTCAAGCAACATGCTCCGGAGACACGATCACCTAGCACTACCAGTGGACTCTCCACCCTGGAACGTAAGGCACCGGTTCCTGGGCAGCGTGATAGGACCCTGCAGCATCTTCGGGCGGAGAGTCCTCATTCGGACTCCATGCCGAAGATTAAGAGCGAAGGCTCGGCCAGTTATGCTGCGACACCATATGACACTCCGGCATCGATCCCCGCTCGAGTTCTTCCTAGAAGGAGATCGCCCATGGACATTGAACATGGATTGCACCACGGAACGACACCTAGATCGTACCAAATTCTTCCTGAGGGACAGGGCGAATGGATCCAGGACGATGGGCGCCCAGCAGACCGTTACGAGGAACCGTTATCTTCCACAGTCGATCATTATCGTGCGCGACCGGATGCATATGAAAGGGTGCATTATGAACAAGCAGGAGCAAGGGTATTTTACCGTGATGGCGTAAGGTATGAACGAGTTCCACGGTACGAAGGAGCCAGAGTGGAAGACGACTACGACATCTTCCTTGATGATTACCCTTCCGGTCGTCCTATTGGCGCGAGATCATCCTATCGTGACAGTTATCCAGCCTCTGCCCAAGAAGGATATTTTGAACCAGGGCTGCGCGAGGTTAATGCACCAGGACACTCGGAACCAGTCTACATTACCGATCCATATGGACCAGAATTTCGTCCCAGACAACGACTCAGCACCGGCGTGGAACCAGTGGAACCAGTGGACGACCCTTATGATCGAGATACCAGATATGCTCGTTACCGCTCTAGCCGCGAGGCCGGACGAGCGCGCCATGCCTATCATACAGGCCAAGGACGGCGCCCACCACACATCACCGGTGGCCGACCGATACCTGCGAGACAGAAATACGTGCGATACGCTGCGCAGAGGGAGCTTTTGACCAAGGAGCCATCTCTTCCCCCTCCTGGATACCGAGCCGAGCCCCCGAGGCCGGGGGATTACCGAGAGTCGAGTACCGGCCCACCGCGACATGCACCGGGACCTAGATATCTGCCCCACGAAGACCGACGGTCGATCGAGCCCGACCACGAGCAAGATGCGCACCCCGCCCGGCAACACATGTATCGAGACGAGCTTCATCCCGACGAAGTGGATGCCGAGTTCGTCCGATATCGAGAACTACCCCGAGGGCCGGATACGGAGTATTACGATGACCCGCCGAGCGCTAACCGTGCGGGAGAACGCGCCCTACCGCGATATTACGATGTCGTGGAAGCGCCATACGAAGGCCCTCGGCGGAGTTCGCAGCTGGGCTCGGAACGGGAAGCCCGGCAGCAGGACGCCGTGGCGGGGCCTCAGGAGGAGCTTTTGCCGCCAGCAAGAGCTCCGGGATACGTTGAGCCGCCGAGTTGAAGCTGTGGAGATCACTGGTAGTGGAGGATGTGGAATAGACTCTATTGTATCTCCTAGATCAGACGCTGGTGATATCTAAGCTCTGTTGAACGCTATATAAAATGCCAGTTCTTCCATAACAGTCGAAAGTATGATGCTGATGATAGCCCTGTCGCTCTCCCTCACTCGATAACCCCTTCTTTACGCGCAACGTCGAAAATGGCCCTGGTCACCACCTCCACGTCCAGAGTCTTGATCGGGATTCTGTGATCGCCGTTCCACTCAATCAACGTCGTCGTCCCCGGTGCGCAGTACTTCTGCAGCAGTCTCCTATGGAGCGCGATCCCCGCGTCAGCCACCCCATGCACATGGATCGTCGGCATCTTCAACACATGCGCATCACCCTTGAGCTCCACGTCCTTCCCATCGTCGTGCTTCCCGGCCGATTGCAGTCCCTCGATCCCCCTCGTGGCCTTCGTGAGCCGCACGATCGGCCCCCGCCCTGCCATGATCACGGCGAACTTCCAATCTCCGCCGTACGGGTCTGGGATCCCCTTCGCCTTGCCCACCTGCCGGTCGAACAGCAGGCTCGCCGCGATCTTCGCGCCTTGGCTGAATCCGAGGATGCCCACCCACGGCCCCGTGCCGCCGAGGCGGTCATCCTCCTCAATCGCCGTCTTGAGGGTGTACTCTATTTCATCCTCGGCGCTCTCGTCGTCGACGGTGGGGTGCGAGTCGAGCCAGCCGAGCCACCGGCGGAATTGGGGGCCGAAGGAGGTGTACACGGGGTGGATCCCCGGGCCCGCGCCGCAGATGAAGGGTCCGTCTGCGAAGACGAGTCGGAAATGCTGGTTGAGCGGAGGGATTAAGCAGCGGCATTGGGCGCGGAATATCTCGGCCGTGGTGCCGCCGCCGTGCAAGCAGAGAATCCGGGGGAACGACTTGGTGGATTCTGGGTTGACCCGCGGGTCTATATACGTGGTTCCGTTTTGCGCCATGGCCAGGGGAAGTGAAGAGTACACTTGTAGATTTGAAAAATCTAATCGGAAACTTTTCTTGAGATCGAAAAACTGATTCTATGAAGCTCAGCTTTGGTGTCCTTGAACAGCAGTCAGCGGTGCTGAAGGCTAAAAATAGTGGTGATGGTCTATCCCGATATTCTGATAGAGTCCGAGAAGTGATAGACTCAGCTTACCGACTGATGAACACAGAGACTAGGTCGCAAGAATTCTAGACACAAGGAGATGGGTTTTAAAGTGAGGAATGAGTATAAGATGGGGTGATTTCCTAGGCCAAAGATTGGAGATATTGATAAATCCGAGCCCGTCCTTCAAAGGTTGAGTGATTGAGTGGTGCAGCGGTAGTAAGCTTTCGGACTGCGACTCTTATTCTCAAAGCCCCATCCCTGAGGCTGCTAGCGACAATATATTTCTCAGGCAAGTAATGGTTGGAAACTTAGGTACTTACATTTCTCAAATATGTTAAGGCAAAACGGAATATATGGGTTCATATCTGATTGCATTCACGAGCACCATCTAATAACACCACAAATGAAGCCTTCGCTATGGAGCACTGCACACTTCCGCCGGTCCCATCATTGCTCACCAGAAGGGAGGCTTGCCGGTATCTTTCGTCAAATTTCGGCAGGCAACTCAACGTCAACCAGATTACTTCACATTACATAGTTCATGATCTGCCGGGTCCAGAAAGCCAGGGGGTCAAAGAATCACAGCATCATACGGCGCTGTGATGACTCTCGCTCATCTCCACCTGGTCCTTGACTTCTCCGACCTCCGCTCCACCCGGATGGACCACTCCACGCCTCGTCGCCATCTTCCCAGCCATCCCCCACTTTTCCTCCGTGACCACCAGTCGCACCCAGATCACCAACCACACCAGCCCATATACCACGACCGTCCCGACCAAGATCCCCACACAATACCCTGCCACGCCCCCGCGACCGACCTCCCCGTCATCCAAAAAGCTATAGACGTAAAACCCTTCGGTGGCGTACGTGATGTACGCGAGCCCGAGATACAGCGCGAGGAGGACGACTAGCGCGGCTACGTAGACTACCGGGGGCCGCTCGGTGCGGGGGATGAGGATTTCGAGGACGGCGAAGAGGAGGTTCAGCGCGTGCTGGGTGACGTTGGACCAGGTGTCGAACGGGGTGGAGAAGGTATCGAATAGGACGGCCCAGAAGACGACTGCGATGGGCGTCAGAGGCTTGACGGGGGGAGGACACAGGGACACGTACTCGTTACGACGAATGGGAAGGTCGTGATAGTTGTATAGAATATGGCATGAAGATACTGTAGAGCCGTTGGCCAGCGGGCGAGCAACGGCTTTCCGGCAAACCAGAAGCTCCCCGTATGGAAGGCCGCGAACGCGTAGTAGAACGCGATGCCCCAGAACGTTAGGCTCGTGAAGTAGCTAAAGGACCGACGCGCCGCCTCGTCCATGCCGTGGGTGCTGCGCCATCCTAGTAGAAAGAATATGGTAACGAAGCAATACAGCGCAATCAGAGCTCGTAGAAGGAAGAAGTGGAGGGGTGAGAGGAGCCAGGAGGTGTGGAAGCGGTGGGTAGGGTCAAAAGGTGGCTCGGGGAGCCATGGCCAGCGACGCATGGTTGCCCATCGTCTGAGGGAGAACGAGGAGTGGGGAAAAGAAAGAAATCAAGACTCTTGAGTGATAAATCGCAAGAAAGGAACGCTTCAGACTTAAAGCTGTATGCAAGAGAGGGAGCTCAGCTGCCCAAGCCATGGCCGGGCTGAAGCGCAGGAGATGGCGTCGAACAATATGATATTGAATGGGTCAGGGAGACGCCACGATTCTTCCGGCAGATCTCCAATTGCATTCCATTAGCTTTCATAGAAGCAAGCTGGAGACATCGTCGCTCCATGATGAGAGATGCCTAATTTCCCCTGGGGCTATCGCTTCGACACATCAGTAATCATTACATTTATGAATAGTGGAGGAGAGAAGGTTTGGGGAGCGGGAGTTATGGTATCTAAATACCTGCGGTACGGTCTCTTAGACTGGAAGGGGTATCCATATAGTGGGTCAGGTATCCGACATGCAATATATCATGAACACACTCTTAAATCTTAATGTTGCCGATGCTGATCTTGTCTCTACTGGGAACAATGTTAACCAAAGAAGTGTATCGAACATTGACCATATCACCATTAAGCCTATCATGGCAATCATATCGTAAATCAGGTACACATACAGCTACAAACCCCTATAGCTCATCCTTCTTCCGAGCCTGTCCCGCCTGTCCCGCCTGCTCCTGGCCCTCCTGCTGCCCCTGCTTCTCCGCCTGCCCCTCTGGCGGCTCCTCCATCACCCTCTTCTTCGGATTCCGCGGCTCGTCCGAGTCCTGCAACACCGTCCCGTCCGCCCTCCGAACGGGTTCCGCCTGCACTTGCGCTCCCGCCTGCCCCCCTTGCTGCTGACGAGATTTCTCCGCCATCTGCCCAACTCGCTGCGACATGGACCCGCGGACGCTCGGATCTTCTGGATCCTTTGCTCCGTATCCGCCGGCGCCGGCACGCATGAACGGCTGGGGGTCTTGATCCCGACGAAGGTGGGGTAAGCCTTCGGTGGCGCTGGGTTTGACGATGAGGGACGAGGAAGGGGAGGAGACCGCGATTGAGCTGCTCTGAGCGGAGCCGAGGATTCCGGATGCGGAGAGGAGGTAGGATGAGAGGCGGAGGAGGAGGAAGAGGGGTTGGAGACACAGCCAGTAGATGGGGCTCCAGAGGAGACGGCGGAAGACGAGCCAGAGGACCGTTCCGAGGAGGAGGTAGAACGTCGTCTGTAGATACCAGCTATCCGTCTTCGAGGTCCGTAACAGCGACTTGAGCAGCGTCGACGACGACGACAGCAGGCTGTCCAGGTCCGTATAGTTCTCCGCTAGCCCCCGCAGGTCCCGGCTCGACTGTTCAAACACTTCCTGTGATGCGCGAGATCTCTCCACCTCCGATTGCATCAACTCCAGCGTCCGTTGCAGGGCGTCGGTGACTTCGCTTTGGGCGGTCACGCGCGCGTCTTCGTGCGGTTGGCGCTCGTGTCCGCGTCGTGGTCGGTTTGACGTAGGGACGTCCGGTGTGATGGCGAACCGTTGCTCCCGCTCCTTCTTGCGGGCGATCTCGTCGTTCCGGAGCGCTTGTAGTTGCGCGCGTCGGAACTGGCTGCGCGTGCTGGGAGGGGTTTAGTCCGCTATATGAGAAGAAGATGGGGTGGTGCGGAGCGTACCTCTTCAGATCTTCCCGTGACCGGGCGACCAATGACTCTAATCGCGCCTTCTCCCTACTGACGGGCGTCTCCCGACTATGCGGTCCTTCTCTTACTGCACCGGGCAAGTCTTCGACGTCTTGGCCGACTAAGTCGAGGTGTTCCTCGTTGCGCTTCAGACGATCGACGATGTCAGGACGTAGGGCGGTGCGGGGCTGCGGACCTAGTTTGTTCAGGCGATGGACGAGGTGGAGGGTCTCTTTGTTGCTGTCGATCAAGGTCTGGAGGCGGGCGTCGAGGTTGGTGCAGATGGCTTGCCAGGTGGAGAGCATGGTGGGTGGAGTGGACGGAGTGGCTTGATATAAAGAGTGATGACGATGACGAGCTCTTAATCCCTGGCCTCCGGACGGGATTCCAGCCGATTGAGAGGAAGCTTCGGTCTGCAAAAGGGAATGGAGATCAGATCATTCTTGAATATTTCAACAGTCGATCAGCTTCTACTCAAAAAAAAACCAAAACTGTGTGAGGACACCTTTGCGACTTTCGTCAGAGCAGCAGAATAACCTGTAATTAGACAATTGTCCTGTTCGTAGCCAGAGCTTCATCGGTGGAACTTCGGAAGTGAAGAATTAGAGAATCACCACAGGACCATTTCTATGTCAAGAGTCTCTCCATATACATTCGTAACCACAGTTCCCACCGTTCAATTCATTTCTAATATTTGCCTAAGACGAGAGACGGTACAATTGGTGCATCGGTATGGGAAGATAGTGCAGTTCGACACCTCAACCATCACCTAGTCCGCATCTCTACAGACTATAGCGAACAAGCAACCACTAACCACGCAACAGATACCGACATCCTCACATCCTCCGCTCCCCCCACCCCCAACCCTCCATCATGATCACCAGATTCCTCACCGACGTCTCCGCGTCCTTCAACCCCTTCTCCCCCCGCGCCAAGACCGTCCGCAGCTTCCTCGCCCTCCTCCCGGCGAACGCGCGCCAGACTATGAAGGTGAATGTGAAGGTGCTGCCGCGGACCAGCGCCGAGGACGGGTCGTTGTCGTTACAATTTAGTGCGTGGATTCCTTACGATGACCTCAATAGACATGGCTGACTGACGATGTGTGCAGAGGATGGGAAGCAGCTAGAGGTGGACCTGCAGCGGTTGAAGATCAAGGAGGTCATGGAGGAGGTGGATCGACATTCACGGAAACTGGGACGGCAGGCGGAATTATCGGATGGGTAGACGGAGGAGGCGGGTGGTATGATATATGTATTTGGGGAGGGTTCTAGCGTCCCAGCGCACCACGGTGGTACAAACTGTAATCTATACTTTTGGTCATTCGGTCCAGACCGTTATATATCCCCTCATCCCTCCAAAATTCAATATCCACGGTTCATCCTACCTTATGCGATGAGGCATATGGGGCTGGTTTCGACGCCGTAGCCCATCTCTAACCAGACGGGGCGCCGGAGATGAAGAACCACTTGTCGATCGATCCATCGATCGGTGCCGGCTGCAGGCTCTGGGACTGCGTAAGGCCGAGAGTGTTGGGATCGATGCGCTCGGCGGATCCGGGGACGGTAACCGTACCACTGGAGGGGGTTAGCAGAGTCAATGGATGGATGGATGCGAAAATCTTACATGCTGATGCCATGGCGGTCGGCCTTGCCGTGCACCAGGCGCTCCCAAGCCTCGTTGCATTCGCGGACGATGTCGGTGGCGTACCTGCTCCTTGTTAGCCGCGATCTTCGCCATAATCGAACACAATCCCTACTTCTGATTCTTGCACTCGCCCGAGAAAGCGAACTGGTTCTCCGGTTTTCCATCCGGGATTTTATAGATGCGGAACCACTCGTTGGTGGCGCGCAGCAGGCCGGGGAGGTGGCGCTCGACGTCCTCGATGTCGTGCAGCTTGGAGGCCAGCGGGTCGTTGACGTCAATGACGATGACCTTCCAGTCGGTCTCCTCCTCGTCTAGCAGCGCCATGACGCCGAGCACCTTGACCTGCTTGATGTCGCCGGGCTTGGCGACGAGTTCGCCGATCTCGCACACGTCGAGGGGGTCGTTGTCGCCCTTGGCTTTGGTCTCGGGGTGGACAACGTTGGGGTCCTCCCAGGTCTACAATGGTCGTTAGACTTTAGTTGTGTCTAGCTGTGGAGGATGGGAGTGCGGGGAATCGCCAGCTCGCGGGGCAGGCACACACCTGAGGGAAAGCACCGTAGTTCCAGAGATACCCCTTGTGAGGGAAGCAGTTCCGCACGAAGCGAAGCTTCCCCTTCTTGATATCCTGCTTGATGGGATTGAGGGGATCCTCTTTGGAGATCTGGAAATTTGACGTTAGTGGGGGTCGCCATCCACTCCATCGGTAATCTACGTACCTCCATCTTCGCATTGGTCCAGCGCGGGATCTCGACGATCATGTTGAGGACGGTCCCTTGCTCGTTGGCATACAATGGGATGTCGTGGAAGGGCGAGACGGGCACGCCATCCTTCTCGACGTACACGCGGTGCTCGAGGGTGTTGGGCGCGCCGACTTTGCGGGCGGTATAGGTGGATTTGGAAGCCATGGTCGATGAGCGTCGTGATCCACTGGGTGCAGTGGAATGAGGAGGGGACGAGAAGTGGGAGTGATGGTAGTGGTGAGGGGGAGAAAGATGGGCGGCGAGCTGGGAGGTGCGCAGGTGAATTTTGTCGGCGGAAGCTCGTGAGCGGTGTGTGAAAAATGGAGAGGAGCTGTTGTTGGTGGTGCTTGTAGTGTTGGTGGTGGTGTAGCTGCTCAGGCTGTTGGGGGGGTTGGTTGGTGGGGGGGGACGGTCGGAAGACGACATGTATCGCCGCTGTGAATGAGTAGCGCCAACTCTGCACGACGCCGCCGGCTGCAAATGAGGCAAATGAGGCAAATGCTGCAAATGATGCAATGTCGCAAATCGTCGAATCGAGCCGGTATTCTTGATGGGAGCGCGACGATGGAGCAGCAACAGCCGGGCGTAGCTGGAGAGGATGGATTGATGCCGTTCTGAGCGCATTCCGTACGTGATCATGGTCCTCCGTTCCAATCGCTTAGGAATTCGCAATACCTCGGGATAATGGAGGACCAAAGGAGGGCAGTCAGGGCAGGTCTCCAATCTCCATGCGCTGGCCGCTGTAGTCTCGATCCGCCTCCACCCCGATGCCGGTTGATAAAATTATTCGGATGTGACGACCGAAGCTGGTGTTTCCCGCGTCCTCTCTCCCAAGTAATTTAAGTCCCCGTGGTCTCCCGGCACGACGCCTCGCTTCGTGTTCCCTCCTTAGTCCTTACTGTTCAGCAACGGTTCTAGGCACCGCGGGGGTCCAATTCAACCCTCCAGACCTTCGATTGATCAGATGCTGAGGGTGGGGGTGCTGCTCAGCCAAATCACCATTTTCAAAATTAATCCTCCGTTTATTGAATTCATTCTAGTTCCTCAACAATCAATTGAAGGCTATATCCTAGATCAGGCACTCATGGCGGGTAGCCCTCTTAAGTCGGCTCAATCATACCATTGATTATACATGTTGCATCAACGTTATATCCATTGATGATCCTTTCAGTACAGCCGATTCGGTCTCCAAAACCCAGCAAGGTCGGATTCCTCCATGATTCCATCACCTTGGAATTCTGGGTCTGGGACTAGAGCGTCGTCCAATTGCACGAAATCCGAACCTGACGCCCCGTGATCAAAGTCAGGATACCAACTTCCATGCGGCTCCCCTTCTGTCTGTAGTAGATTGTCTTCGTCGTCGATATCCAGCGGTTCCGCCTCAGCCCTGTCATGCATCGGATCCTCACGCAAGCCTTGCGGTGCGTCATAGAGGTCGATCGGATTGCTCCATATATAGCCTCCCGCGTGCGAGGCGACTGAGCGGGTCCGAACGAAGTCCGGGAAGGCCTGCGGAATGGGTTGCGCTCGGTCATCAGCAACATGTGTATTCTCCAGTTGAAATCCTTCAGTAAACTGCTCTAGGCCAATGCCCTCCTCGGGCAAATGCTGATCGATGACCGTTGCCTCCCTCTCGTGGAGATTCCGAGAAACGGCAGCATCGCAATGTGCGAGGATGTAATTCAGAGATCCAGCAGACCCTAGCCCAAGTCCATCTCCGGCATATCTTAGGTTGTTCAGTCCTAGATGGTCAAACTGATTGGTTGGACTTGAAGTCGACTCCGGGACAAATACCCGATAATTGGCAGGAGACTGGTGAGCCGGCACCGGGCTGAAAGGGGGGTTTTCCAGAATATGACTGGGGTGAGTAGATGCACAGGTCTTCAGAGCTCGAATCCTATGAGGATGATGTTGAGGAGCTATTTCGTAGGCCGTAGACTCAGCTCTTGAGGGAGCTCCTTCGTCGACTCCTTGAGGGGTTACTCGAGTAACTCGATCGCGTACGCAAGTTTGCGTTGGCCTCTGGAGGTCTTCTGCATGAGGATATAAAGTTGATCCTGATTGACAACGCTGCGCAGTGGAATCTCCATGCACTGGACTAGGCGAGAATTCCCTCGCATCGTGACCTGTAGCTTCGAAGCGTTGCAATGGCGAGCTTGGCCACGTGTACGCCTTTGCAGTCGGAGTTCTCTCATCCCCCGCCGTCTGAATGTATACCAACGGAGAATGCTCGACCAATGGAGTCCCCGAGCCGATACCTGACGTCGAAGGGCCACTTCTATGAGTCTTTCCCTTCAATCCGCCATTCCTATTCCTTTCGGGGGTTCGTTGAGAGTTGGCGTCAATCTCCCCAGGTGGTTTCCGACGAGTATCGAAATAAGCTGATATCGTCTGCTCATGTTTGTTGTGCTTCGTCTTCAAAGACTTTTTAGCTGACTTATGCGCTGGTTCACTGCCGCTCTTGGATCGGAGGAAAGACATATCCGCAAAGGCAAGGTCAGGGACTGCATGTCGGTCAGATGTGCAAGATGAAGAAATGTGGTGGATTCGTACGTGCTTGCCCTCGCCCACCACTTGCTGCCTGGCCTTTGTTGAGGATGCCTAGGCTTTCATGTGGCTTCAGCTTGGAGGTATTAGCAGATGCCGGCAGGAAAAGTATATAAGAATATGATACAATTGTCCCTTACGGTCAAACGCTCCGAAGCAACATTCTCGGCTTGGAATGCGCGTAAATTTGCCAGATCCCTGTTGCGCTTTGCCTTTGACTTGTCGTTCGGTCCGCTCCTCCTTTCCTTCCTGTGGTCCTTCTTCCTCTTTTTCCGGGTACCGCACTGTGGCGAGTAGAGATCGGCGCGAGGTTTATGTCTTGGTCTACGCTCATACTGTACTTCAGGAGACACGACTTCGGCTTTCGTGTAACGGCCGTCAACTCCACCGGAAGCCGTCCCATGAACTGAAGAATGGTTCGGACCGGGCCGGTTGCCGCGGGTGTGTTTACGCGGAGGATAGTTAGAGTCCAATATGGAGCTGTCAGATCGGATGCCTTTGCGTTGGACCAATTTTGCATGCTCTACAGGCACTGGTGGGGACTCGGACAGACAGGACGAGTTATTGAGCGCGGGAGCAGAGCCGGGAGAAGGCCTGGGGACACGGATAGAAGCCGATGCATCTTGTAGCCATTCCTTGATGTCCATCATGGGACCGGACAGGTGGTCACAAACAATTATGTCGAAGCGCCCCTAGCGACTGGGACGCCAGTTGGAAACCCTGATGCTCTGGCTGAAGACAAATGCCGTGTTACCGCAAACGCGGACTGTGGCTTGACGTCGGCAGTTCAACGACGCAATGGCCAGACTTCAAGCCAACTTATGGAACATGGCAAGCAAAGAAGGACGCCGCCACTATGTGAGAATGGCGCGGTTAGATGATGGTTCGGTGATCCACGCGCAGGTTGTATCACGGCGGCCGTTCCTTGTATGCGGCGACTCCAGTAATCGGACCGAAGCATCCAATTGACGAGTGAAACACAGTAGAGCAACGTGTAGGAGATGAGAGAAAAGAGCTGAATGCTAGCATGCAGACTCAAGGGTTTGATACAGTGGGGGAGATGCGGATGGCGGCAGTGAGTAAGGAGGACTGGATCCGTGCGACGATGACGAGATAGCCGAAAAGAGTAATTACAGGTATTTGTAGTAAGCAGAGCACAGCAGGCCATAGTACAACAGGCAGTCGCACAGTCAGGCAGTCACAATGTCAGATGGGAAAGAACGACCAGGACGATGATTGCTCCCGGCCTCATTTGTCGACCACCTACGAAGTGTTGACATCCCGATCCCGATCTGTGTGGGGGATTCGCATTACCATGGATGACAGGATGACCTAGACACCTTGTTGAGACGTCGACCTCTCCATCCAAGCCAGAGGACAGCCAGAGCATCCTAGTCCTGTAATAACCGCATGAAATTAATCGCGACTTCGGTCGTTGAATGTGGAATATATGATGAGAAACGATGGCATTGCGCCCACGCCTGCTGGTCGCTGACGAACGGTGAGGGAAAAGAACCGCAGCGGTCTGGTGGGATTGATATGCACGTGAGCGAGACCAGCTTTTCATCTTTCGCGGTTCCCGTCAATGCCCTAGATACGTGAGCTCGGTGGTCGAGGAATTTTGGATGGGGAGCTTCATGCAGGCGGGTCTTGACTAATGCACTGCATCCTGTGCTTCGCTGGTGGTTGACTTCGCTTGCAGCTCGACGGGAGTCTCCATGCCACCTAGCATAGGGTATAGGTAGCTGTATACTTGATGCAATCTCCATTTGCATCCAATTCAGGGTAAATGGGGGCCCACCTGCTCCGAATGTCAGCGGTTTTTCCATCGATTTGACCAAAGGGTCGATGGAGTGAACTCCAGAAATGGCCAGATTGGCCAGTCAGTGGATACGTCCCAGTACGAGTGATGTTATTCAATCCGGTCCATCTGACGGATCTGACCTCACAGCCTACCACTGCCCGGAGATGCCCCTCCATTTCCGCTACCAAGTCTTTGGGCATCATCTTCGACTGGGATATGGACGGCTTTATGTTGGTGCATTGGGCTCACGGCCTGCAGGCCGCAGGTCAAGGTCAAGGTCCAGGTCAACAAGACAACAGGTCAGTGGTCAAGGTGCCAAACCGACCAGGTCAAGGCTGCGGAGAGAGTCGGAGCCTCTCCGCGCACCGTCCACAGTGCAGAACATTCCAAGTCCATTCAGGTGCCACACTGCCACTTACTATGTACTGCTGCAGCGTGCATCAGCATGGAGGGGCAAATCGCAAACTGTCAAGACACATCGCATACTGCAGGCATAGTTTTCAGGAGCGTTTCCCTGGCCTGGACCAAAATACCGTAGCGATGCCAGTCCCCACCCCTAATTGGCGCTGTATAAGGCGGACACCGTGAAGGGTGCTATTGCTTGCACCCCGTCCGCATGATCTACGAGACACGGGAACAGGAGGGCAATCGCCTCTTTAGGACGGACGACGCTCGACTGAAAGTCCAGTCCGACTGCGCAAAAGGGAGCTCACCAATCGTGGGCCGACGCGTTCAGAAATGGCCGTAGCCAGATAGAATAAAGAAGGCCTCTGACTGGGCCATGCTGCCCATCCTGCAGCACCGCGCAGTGCAATATCCTCATGCCGGACCAACCGTATCCCAGAGATATCACACAAAACCGTCCGTCATGAAGCGCTAGAGCGAACCCTCCGACGAGCACTTTGGGGCGTTGAAATGTCACTGATCTGTTCATCCTGCTGCCGTCGCTCCATGTCGATTTTCCTACCTGCAAGTGACCAGACGGCCCGTGTTCCAGTGTTCAGCGTTCCAGCGTTCCAGCGCTCATGGCTGATGCCCACGACTCCATAAACCCCCAGCTTATCCCATTCCATTTCCATCCCACTACTACCGCCTGTTCTCCCATTAACGACCATCTCCCGCAGTTTGGAATCCCGATTCTGGCCTAGTCCATCCGCTTGCAAGCGTCTTGGATCTTTGGAGGGGTTTGACTGGTGCGGTTCTTTGCTCAGTTCGCTGCTCCGTTCGCATTTCTGCCCCGCGCTGATGAGATCGGGTGGTTGCACATCCACACGCGCTCTCTCCAATCTTGACTCTTGAGGTTCTTGATTTTTCCCGACCGACTAAGTGCGGATCGAACTGCTTTTCGGCTTCTGTTTGGTAGCGTTTCAGTGCTGGGACGGATCTGGACACGGGTGCTATCCTTGCAAGGCGATATCCGGTTGGCGATTGATACCGCTTAACACAAGCTTGTGTTGTTGCATGATTCTCGCTCGCGAGGCTTGCCATCGTTCACTCGAGCGCCGCTGAAAGCTGTGCTGAAAGCTTTCGGATTCACTTCTCCCCAACAGTCCATTTTCCTGGCACTTCCACACACGACTTCTTTCGAAAAACTTCATCACTTTTCGCACCAAGTGACTTCATCGTGGGGTTTCTGCAATTGCGCATCATCCGACCGGCGTGGACTCTTCCGTAAGAATGTCCAAGTTATTTATTGGGTGAGATAATGAACCACTTCGTGGCCTGGAAATCAGGATGAGATCTGACGCGAGCGACTGCAGTGGCCTTGCGTGGCACACCGACGACACCACCCTGCGAGCCAAGTTCGAGGAGTTTGGCCATGTTGAAGAAGCCGTGAGTGCGATCCCGATGCAAAGTATTCCGTTGACCCGCATCGTCTGACTTGCGCGCTGGACAGATCGTCGTGAAAGATCGCGACACGGGACGAAGCCGTGGGTTTGGGTTCGTCCGTTTCGCCGCCGAACCGGAGGCGGAGGCGGCGATCCAAGCGATGAACAATGTCGAGTGAGTTGTCCAGTGCGATTCAGACTCTCCCGAACATCCGTACTCGATAGATAGGTTTGCGATCATCTCCGGTTGGCGCCCATCGCGCTTCTCCGTGTGTTTTCTTTGGTTTTCGCTTCATGGTCTTCCCGTGTGCCTGCAAACTGGCGGTTGAGTTAATGGAACGATTTAGATTCGATGGACGGATGATTCGAGTCGACAAGGCGTCCGACAAGTCTTCGAACCGGTCGGGAGGCGGTGGATATGGAGGTCGCGGTGGGTATCAGGCCGGTGGAATGGGAGATGGCAACTACGGCATGAATCAGGCTTATGGAGGTGCGTTCGACCTTTCTGCGATTTTCCGCGACATTTTCTTTGATCTTTCATTGCTCTTCGTCACTCTCACTAACTCCCACCCTCCCAGGCGGCATGGGAATGGGGTATATGGGCCAGAATCCCGGTTAGTCACGCGTAGCGAGTTCCTCTTCTGTGTATATCTGGAATCGCACTTACCCTTTGGTACAGGATACGGTCGTGGTGGAGGTCAGTGGGTCCAAGCTCCACATGGCCAACCACCGGCGCCTGCCATGAATCCCTACAACGCGGCTCCCTACTCGCAACCTCAAGCGCCGCAACAACAGCCATATCCTCCGCAACAGCACCCCTCGCAATCGGCCCAGCAGTATGATCCGAACCAGGGCACCGGGAATCCGCAGCCCCAGTGGTAGATGGCTTGACGGCTTGATGTCTTGATAGCTTGGTTGGGCTTCGAGGATTTCAGTTGGCAGAGCGCCAGACGATGCGGCACTCCGCTTGCACCAGACGGACATCTCTCCTTCGGCGGTCATTCATCAGGCATGTCTGAACCGACTTCGACTTCACTATCGCATTCACGCGAGAAACGGCCGCATTTCTTATATTCGCTTCAACGGAACCTGTTCCCCTTATTTTCACTTCCCCCAGCATTTTTTAATCCCCCGCTTTCCCTCCAATCCCCCCGATCGGATTTTGTTGCCCGTTCTTCGTCATGCCTGCTCGGCTCGCACTCCTCATCAGGGATAGATACCATCAGGACTCGGCGTCGGATTCAGTCTGCAAGCCTCACTGTGATGTAGCGTATTCGATGGGACAAAACCATGGGCATTTGCTTTTTTCATCAGTGTCGCAACAATGAAGTTTCAGTTCCCCTCCACTCTCAACCGTGCTATGAAAGTTTTGTATTTCACCTTTGCATGGCCGGCTCTACTTTAGTCAACCAGCTGATCCCATTATATCGCTTCCATGCACCAACCGCTCTTCTCGAATGGCGAATCAAACGGGACGCTGACGTGGCTTGCTGTGACGTGTACCTGCAAGTCGACGGCACTTGATGTCAGTCAATGGATGTCGCTCTGGACACTGAAATCCCGCCCATCCCACACTACATAGTAGGTATTGGATATGATGGCGGACTACTACGTGGTTGGCTATTGTTGGCGAACCGTGCCACCGAGGAACGCCCATGTCTGTGCACCAGAGCATCGAGCCAGATATCAAGTTTTTAATACTCTATTGATTCAGTGATAGACATGGTGCCTATCTGCGAATCTCGAATTGACAAACGCCGGAGATATCTTTTGAAGGGTTTCTTAACGTGCATGCCTTTGGTATTCCCCCTGTCGGCTCGCACAACCTCTGGATTAAGCTGCGGTTGCCAATATATGATGTGGATTTGATTGCCCGGATATCTTTATCCTCCACTCCAGTGTCGAAGCCATGACTCGTTCCCTACGTCTTAAGACATCATAAGATATTGCTATTTGTTTTGTATACCTACCTAGCACTACCAATTTCAGTACTTGTCCCCAGATGAGGCCAGTGGACGTACCACCCAATTCGACGGTCACTACTTGACTTCATTTACGAAACATTACCCGGATTTCATTGTTGACAGTTGAAATATCGTATGCCTGGCCCATGATGGTGGAAGGTTTATGGGAATGATTTGAAATTGTATGATACCAAGACGTATATTCGTATCCAGCACCAGCCTTTTATTTGAAGGACCATTCACACACCGAGACCCACTGAATATGTTTGTTAGAATTGATAATAACTACCTATAGGACGCCGAGCCACTAGCAGTGTGGGCCGCGTCTTAAATCAATTACGAGTAACGTTCTCTATAATCTGAACAAAGGGGACGATTTCATTTGTAATAGCAGGTGGGAAGACTCGCAAGTGCGGTAAACACTGAGATATGAGGAGTGGCCGAGCCTGTAACTCGAAGCGTGGACTCGCGCTTTAGATGGATAACAGCGACATCATAAAAACTGGATGGGAGATGGAGAAGAAGATCCATAGTGATATAGGATTGTATCTGCTTAAGCAGTGCCAAAAACCCCATTCTCACCTACAGTACTATATACACATTGCAACAGAAACCGATGAAAGTCATGGATGGGTATCACAAACAGAACAACATGCAGCCCCTCAAAGGTCCCTCTCCCTGAAAACCGAAACTGCACGCTAGTGATGACCAAAGGGAATCAAGTCAACGCGATGACCTAAACCGTCACAATGGAATCACATGGTGAACGATATCCATGAATCCTCCATACTAAAACAGGGACGCTGCTAATTTCATTCTTGTTCCTCCACGAAAAGTCTCCGAGTCGGAGCGTCACAGGCAGATCCCCGCCAACTCCCTCATTCGAATGACGTCCTTTGACCTTTCGGAATCCCACGTGGGGATGAGGTGAAGGATAGTGTCGTCGACGCAACGGCTCGTGCACCCAGTCCTCTCGTACTCGAAGACGCCGCCATACCGTCGATCGGCGTTCGCGAGATATATTTTATCTCCGCCCTCGGAGAAATCGAACCCGGCGATCGCCCCGAACATGTCCTGCACGTGCACGTGTTCGGAATCGTAGGTCGACGCGTCCACGAGCTGGAGGACGTCATCTTGCTCCGCGATCGCGAGGATGCGGGAACCGCCGCCTAGGGGTGAAAAGCGCAGGGAGCGCGGGTAGGTGAGTTTGGAGTCCACCACACCCACCGTCTGCGTCCACATTCGGACATCGCGGATGACGACGCGGAGGTCGTCGCCTCCGGTTGCTACGTGGAGGCCATCAGGTGACCAAGCACATGCGAAGGCAAATGCATTGGAGTGGACGCCAGTGACTCGGGTGATCGGTGCTCCAGAGACTGCTTCTGTAAACACTATCTCGTTAAAATCGCCTACAACTGCTCGCATGCGGCCATCAGGGGACGTGGCAGAGCAGTTGACCGGCCCATTATACGTGCTCTTGTGCGTGAATATATTTCGTTCGCAATCGAGGATTCGGATATACTGATCGTTCGACGAGAAAACGGCAATTGGGTTTCCGGAAATTCGGTCCTTGCTAACCTCGACGTGGTTTATACTACCGGATTCTCGGGGCGATGTAACTGTCCCCCTAATTGGATTACTGCCGAGCGATGAATGAAGATACTTCATGGCGTAACCGCCCTGCAATTCGCCGGCAACCACAAGGCCTTGGTTCGCAGCCAGGGAGACTATACTGTGCTGATGTCTGGTGGACGGCTCGCTGTGTGTGTTGAGGACCGTTCGAACGGATCCATCCGAAGGATTAAAGCGTTGAACAAGATGGTCACTGGCGAAATAAACGTTGCCCAAGGAAGTGGTCGCTAATAAATTCCGTAATTGGAAATGCAATACTTTTGGTCGCGTGGATTCTTCCGATATTGGCTGAAATGATCGGAATCCAAAAGGGGCGTGATCTTGCTTGAAGTGATCGCGGTTCTGCTGGGCGGTTAGCTCTGTTTAATTGGCGATCAGTATTGATGCCCAGGCTGACATACTGTTGATACACAACCCATTGGAGTTATGTGACGGTAAAAAATGGAGCGGGCACCTCTCGCAGCGTCCCTGGTTGTCATTGCGTCCTGCCAAGTGATCCCTTGCTGGTCCGATATGACTGAGGATTTAACTGAGTTGTACACCCTTTTCGAGCCAACTGAGGTATTAATTGGTGAGCCATCGTGCGGGAGGCTAACGTATGGCCATCCTCTTGCTCCGCGTCCTGATTCGCCTTGCCAGACGCCGAGGAAATCGTGGAAGTCCCCGATCGCATCGGGATCGGCGACGGTGATGTCTGACGCGGTAGGAGCAAGGAAGCTGTCCGCCATGGGATGATGAATCAGAGGGACCACCATTGAGGAAGTGGTTTGTTGTGGTTCAGAATGATTGGAAGGCGGTCGTCCAGCATCGGGGGACGATAGTGTAGGAGAATTCGGTGATGTCAGTGATTCCACTGACGAAGGATGTGCCTGGTGAAAACTAGGTGTGGGATTGTACGGAGAAGGAGGGGGAGAGTGTAGGATTGAATGAGGATGGGAATTAGGAAAATTCGTAGGCGGAATAGCAGAAGAAGGACAGTATGAGGTATCTTGATGGTGATGAATCTTGATGTGTCCGTGGTGTTCAAGGGCGGTACTCCTCCGACGGATCCTTTTCCGAGATGCAGACAGCTGAGCGGGAGGAAGTGAGCGGGAGGAATTGGAGGAATAGGAGAACCGAGAGGATGGAGAACGCTCAGAAGATCGAGAAGGTTCAGAGTGTGGAGAGTAATATCGTAAATCCGTGACTCCTCGTTCTTCAGTTCTGAGGCGGAGTAGATAGGAGGCGGATCGAGATCGTCGAGACATCTGGAATGATGACCCTTCTCCTTCATTATCCCTCGCTGTGAACAACTCCTCCTCATTTTCTGTTTGCTCTCCGGATTGCTTGCTGGCCTGCTCTTCATTGATGTAAGAGGAGCTCATGGCGTTCTCCCAATGTTTCTCCCAAGTCCTCTCCCATGTGAGCGCCATATGCGTGGTTGCCCCGTGCCACGTTTTCGTATCAGAACAAGTTCGTCCATCGGGATCCGTACACTCCATACAACCACTCCCCATACAGGTACTGTTAACGTCCATACCTGTATCCATCCCTCCATCCTCAGTCAATTCATCCACTGGAAAAGTGCTTGCTCTTGCTGGAGACCATGAAACCTCAGAGACGGCGTCGTCCACCTCAGCTATACCATCACTGTCCGCATCTCCATGAAACTGAAGCTCGTTCTGAGAAGAACTCAACCATGGCCTCTGGCGCATATTATGGGGGAGAGCCACGAATCCGGCCATCTCAGTCCCTAGAACCATCGCTCCACGGTACGACGGCCGACTTGACCCCACGTCCGGAAAATGGTCGGTATAGTTACTCATGCCTGGAAGTTCGTCGAGGATGCCTCTCCGCTCGAGGGTAAGTCAACGGCACGCCTAGCAGCGTGGAACGGTCGACGGACATTGAGCGAAAAAGAGGTAAGGCGATGACAAAGACCAAACAATTTCAGTCCGACGAACGGGCGGACGTGTTGAAATAAGAAGAGAGCACAGGAAACCGAAACGGTACGGCCGATGCTGGACCCCGACCTTCCGCTGGCCCAGGATGCGATGCGGAATTGCAAGGTCGGGTACCAGCGCGTTGGAATGCCTCCCGAGCAGGATCCCAAATGTTCTCTTGTTGCGGGTTCTTCTGGATCCAGGGCCCTTCCCTCACCTTGGGATTACGGACGAGCACAACGACCAAGGAAAAAGCAAGCGGAAACAGAGGCAGGGGAAATGGGAGGACGAACGAGAACAGAGGCGGCGAACAACCGTCGATTAACGACGGAACCGTGCTCCCTTGTGTGACAATTCCTCACGGAAACGTGGAAGCCGGTCCAAGCGGAGGGGAATTGTGTAGCAGCGGCACGATGCCGCAACGGCATCGCCAGAGGAAGTAAAATAGGCGATGGAAACCCAGCGCAAGCGACGACAACCCACCCACTTCAACCGTTCAACGCCAGCACGCACGACGAAAACGGACACACTCCCCGGACTCTCAAGGAGATTTCAACCGAGTTGCAAGGGGGGAAGGCGCAAAATAGGGCCACGACCAGTGAGTGATGGAAAGAATTGGTTCAGTGGCCAACGCCGGACGAGGGGTCGATGCAGGATGCAGTGTCAAACCGCATGACAGGCAGGGAATTCGCTCCCCCAAGTATCGAAGGCACAAACTTTAGAACTCGGCGCACTTCCCTCGACGACACGCCGCTGCGAGTGCCCTAAGATATGCCAGGTTTCTGAGGATACAATGCCGCAGGGAGAATATGCCAGCGGCATTCCATGGTGGAGAGCGAGGACGAAGAAAAATGAGCGGACGGACGAAGGGAGCGAGCATCTTCACGGGAGGTCCTTGATTTGGACAAGCGCCATTCCAGGTAGAGATTGGATATAAATGCGACAATCGATTGGCGGCCGGGCCTTGTCAATATTCAATGTGGACAAATGAGCGGCGATATTAACTATACGATCCTCTTCACAAGGTGAGAAAGCGGTCCGAGGAATCCACGACGTTGACGTCCGAAAGATTCGAGCCTCGCCGAGACTTTGAAATCATTAAAAGTCCGAATCCGTCGCATGTTCTATATCATCGTATTGCCATAATCGTTATTGTTATTATCTTCACAATTGTCACGGCAACAAACAACTTCGTCCCTGATTGACTCACCAAGGTGTTTTGAGACCTGAGACATACATGCCGTGCACATTCACTGCACACAGTCAACGCAGCGACTGGGGACACGAGAGACCATGGCAGACAGGGACTCCAGTCGCTCACCCGCAGCATCTCCAACTGACCTTGAAATGCCACCAGGACCTTGTGTGATACCGTCGTGTGTTTTGTGAGGATGGTTATCGACTTGTGAACGTTCTCTCAACAGAAGCCGTGGGCGTCAAGGACGAAGAGCCACAAATGGGATGTATGTATGAGCGGGCCTGTCATGGCGAAGCTGAGAGGGACGAGGATGTTGGACCGTCGTCCCCCACCAACGCCGAGAATTCCCCCTCTCAGCCCGTCACCACAAACAACAAACCGAGATGCATCGCTCTCAATCCTACCTGCTACCTAACAGCCGGTTCTCGTTTGGCATGATAATGGCATGACCCCTCGCGGTGTCGTGTAACGACGACAACTCACACAATTCGCCACGGACTGCCTGCGCGGCGCGGCGCAGGCGGTGGTGCATGCAACTTGTCTCCTTCGGGCGACGAGATACGACCGAAGCTGGTGACGATATCGCACGACCGATGCACGATGTGGACTGCGACGACGGATCAAGACGGGAATGGCAGGTAACGGATGCCGGTTTTAAACACTACGTAGGTACATGGAGGCGAGGTATCTATTTACGGGGACCCCGGCGTCGGGGGCCCGTCGAGGATTGGTGGCTGTACTACAGATGAAGAAAAGGTGGTGCAAAAAACCCACGTGGTTGGAAAACAGCGCGCCGGCCCCCTCCAAATCGAGACGAAAAAGCAGGCGGAATGGAACGAAAGGGAAGATGAGGAAAATCCGCGCTGAACGCCACTCATGCAACACAAACAGGAAGTACCGGTGGTAGCACAACAATGAACGCGAATGAAGCAGCCCCGCTTTCTCCTATTATTCTCTTTTCCCCAATCGAGGGCCGTCCCCTGGTGAAGCGAAAAGAGGCCACGCGAGACGGGGGCTCCAACCAACCATGCAACCTTAATCGTAATATTCATATGCGCCTTGATGTTGCTGCTGATGGTGCTGTTGCTGCATCGGCCACGTTCCAGCGCCGGTGGTCGTGGCGGATTGCTGCGACCACGCCGACGCCTGGCCTTTGAGCCGGCGTTCCTGCTCAAAGTCGCCCCATCGCTTCATTGTGATCTTGCTGCTGTCGAACTCGCCCTCGTATTCGATGCCGGCCTTCTTGGTCTTCTCGCCGGCCGTCTTCCGCGTCTCGCCCCAGCTGAAGTCGTCGAATTTCCAGTAGGCGTACGTTGGGAGCACGAAGTTCCAGATAGGGAGGGAGATCAGGTAAGCAAGCATGTAGAGGACGTACGAAACGCGGCTCGCGGTCAACACGATCAAAAAGCCCGGAAGACCCAGGATGAGCGCGAGTAGGATGAGGGGGATTAAGGGGGCTTCGGTGTGGGTAATGCCGGCCTTGATCGTGATTGCAACTAGTCGCTTCGTCAGCAGCGTTCGGTCAAACATCATTGGATTACCGAACAGGGGACTTACTTAGATAGATGGTGAAGGAGATGGCGGCGGGTAGCACCAAGGTCCCGACCAATTCGATGAACACGACGAACTGCATGCTGAAACAGAAGGTTCCACAAAGATCCCGCACCAAAACCAGCTCCATCAAGTTGTGCACCGTGCTGTTGATCCATCGTCGACGTTGCGAGAGCAGCACCTTGAACTGCTCGGGGACCGTGGTCTTGCAGACCGCCTGAGGGATGAATACCTGCTTTCGCTTGGGGAACGTCTTCAGCATCAGGGTCGAGAGGTATCGGTCCTCGCCGAGCAGCAACAGATTCTTCTTGTGGAGGGTGTCGACGACGTTTTCGGAGTAGTGCTCGACGACGTCCGGGTTGGCTAGGATGGGCACCCAGTAGTTCTGACCGCCTTTCGGGGCTTTGATTCGATACATGCAGAAGCAGCCGGGAAGACAGGTGACGCCGCCGAACACGGACTCGAACGACTTGGACAAGTGATGGGAGATGAAGTACCTAGATCACCGATTAGCGCGAAGGCATCATGCGTGGATAATTGGAACTTACTCGAAGACCTGGATGATGGTCACCCATGTATCTCGCTTGTTGGCAATCTTCGTCTCGCCGCAAAGGCCCATAATATGAGGATCCTTCACCATGGCGGAGATCATGTGCGTCAGACTGTCCGGGAACACGGTGGTATCGGCGTCGACCATGAGCACCACTTCATAGAAGTCCGGGGAAATGCCCGTGATCTTCCAGATGCCGTTAAAGATCTCGAACTCCAGCTCCGTCATCCGCTCGTCGAACATGACCTTCTGCAGGAAGCTCATCAGGATGATCTGGCTGTCGCGCTTGCCTCGGTTGCCCGGTTTGGAATTCGTGGCCTCGTCTTCGGTGCCGGTTTTTACGACCACCAGCATGGGAACGCGTTGTTGCTTCTCCGTCGGGACGCGAGAGTCTTGGCCGTAGTTATAGAAGCCGGAGTAGATTTTGGCCATGCTGTGGCGCTTGGTGCCGCTAGCAACAGCCACATACGAATAGGGGAGCACTTCTTCCCGGGGAATGGTGTTATCCTTCATCATGTCCAGGATGATGTCAGGGGTGGTCTGGGACTCTCCATGACCCTTGATCAGACCGTCGCAGACCACGAAGATCAATTTGTGACTATTCGGATAGTCCGTGGTGGCGACGGAGTCGAGAGTCGTCCGAATGCTATCAGCTCCCTCGGAGTAGGCAGTGACCAGGCAGATCGCGTGAGCAAGAGGATATCCGAACGGTTGCCATTCCGCGGGGGGTTGAGGAACTACGGCTTCGTGAATAAAACCGGCCGGGCCAGGGCCTTCGGACTCGCCAATGATGCTGTTGTATTTGCCGTCGCCCGTGCCCGACCAAAGAAGGCTCGCCCGGCTCTCCTGGGACATAGGCTTGGACTGAGAGTCGTAATACGCCGTCGGCAGCGTCCCTTGACTTTGGTTGCCCTGTCTGTACATGCTCCCTCTTGCGCCGGAGCCTTGTGTTTGACTGGTCATAGTGGTTGGAGGGGCTTTGGTTTTGGCAAGGGAACGCTCGATGGCATAGGGGCTCGTGAAACGCGACGTCGTGGGGAATAAGGTGCTGCCGCGCTTGCTGGTTCGGTCGAGAGCCGCCTCAGGGCGGGGGGGAGCACGATATATATCCTCGCTCCAGTCCTCGATCTGCTGCTTACGCTTCTTGGAATCCGACCCCAGAGACGTCTTCTTTGCGCTATACTTGTGGCATATGAACCATTGGAAGGCCATCGCAAGCACGAACTTCGCACCCACGATAGAAAGGATGAAGACAAGCAAAACATAGAGCACGACTTTGGAAGCAATGCACCCGACGGTCTCCGAAGCGACTGTCCCTACCTTGACGATTTGCGTCAAGCATCGAGCGACGTGCTTGTCGCGCTTGGTCATGAACGCTCGAGTGACATCGACGCCACGAACGCTGGGGTTCGTTCGAAGCGCATCGAACTCTGGGGGGATATTGACCGCGGTTCGGTTGAACCAGTTAATAAGGTTCAAGTCCAAGACATCTCCGCTCCACACCATCAGATTCCGGCTGCTGTTCTTGATATCGGACCACTCGAAGTAGACGTCTCCAAAGGCATTCAGGGAGTAGAAGGCATCCCGTGCCGCATTTGAAGTATGGCACGAGTAGCCGTTGTAGTATGGAACGGTGATGTTCGGCTCGCTCGAACCATCTTGATTGAAGGTCCGACAAGGGAAATACCAGCCCATATTTTGTCCGTCTGTAGGGACTCCGGAGTTTGGTTTCGGGGTGATGAGACCCTTGCATGCGCCATTGACGTTCTGAAAGAGAAAACTGCCGTCCTTCCCGCCGTGCTTCTCGGGGAGATCGAAGAGAACGTTGGCATTATCCGGGACACCTCTAGCTAGCTGATGGTGAGACCGGGATAGGTCGTACGCTTGACCATGTAGGATCATGAAGCCCGCGTCGACTTTGTTGATTTTCATCCGATTACTGGCAGTTGGCGGGCACACCGTCTGTGTGAAGCCGAAGGTGAGGAAACCCACTGCAGCGCAGATGCTAAGGATGATGCTGATCAGTCCGATCTTCTCGCGCCACGCTCTCTGCTGGGCCCGCGCCGGCATCCCGAAACATTTCAGCACCGCATCTGGAGCCCAGAATGTGATGATCCCGCAGTAGATGTTCCACAAACTCGGAGGACGAAGGATCTCCTTCTGGCGATCTTTCTCCGCGCGCGACTCTTTCTTCGTCATCTTTCGCTTGAGTCGCTTCGAGCCCTGTTGTCGTCCGTCGAGGGGAACACTATCGTACTTCTCGTTCATGTCATTCTCGCCATAGCCCGGGCGTCCCGTGGTCCCAGGTTCCGGTCGGTTGAGGCTTTTCATATCGGTACTGTCGGAGCTGACCGTTCCCGCCTCCACGTGATCTTCGAAGATCGGATCATTGCCCGTCGTCGAAGGATAAATGGCCATATTCTGGGCATGTTTACGGTAATGGTAGTTGGGATGGTCACGGTCGATGCGGTTCCGTTCGGGTCGGATCAGGCTCCGTTTCCGCGAGAAGTCTTGCCCGCGATTCTGGGCCGTCATCATGGGATCTTGATCGCCTAATGGCGTCCCCGGCGATGGGTAAGGTTGCGAGTATTGAGGATAGTTAGCGCCGCGGGTGGGTGAAGTGGGTGTGTCTGCGTTGGCGGGATTGCGCGATTCCAAATCCGAAGGTCGGCGACGGCGTGATGGAGACTCTCGATAGGTGTTTTCCCGGCCAGCAGAGGCCGCGTGGTGATGAGGAGTCGCCATTGTGAACTGCGCGGGTGGAAATGTTGGGTTAGTTACATGCCAGATCTCATGATAAATTTGCATAAATCCACCGCGGTCGCACTTACTGGACACCACTTTCAAAGAAAGCTATATGTCTGCGCTCAACGAGGATGTCGTATTCACCGCGACATGGAAGCGTCCAATGCCAGGATGAATGTCCGGTTGTCGACTTTGGTAGTTATGAGGTTCCAGTACCAAAGGGAGAGTTCCAGCGCCGAGGACACTGCCGCAATCACTCCCGCCCCAAAGGTGCAATGAACCAGGCCTCTGGGAAGATGGTAGGATGGAAGATGAGATCAAACGATAGTGTTTCACACTTGATGGAGATTCCACGCGCGACACCGTATGCACCAGGGGTAGTCGGACAGTATGATTGTTGATGACGAGCGGACACCTGCAGGAAGTTGAGTGGTGGAAAGGGGCCAACGAATGAATCGAGCCGTGAAACAATAGGGCAGCGAGTGGATGAAGAGGTGAATGGGCAAACGATGAAAACACCAGAGTTCGAGCGAGAGTGGGATCGTTGCCAAGGGAGCCGTGAGGACGTTACAAGTAGGAAGTTGGGGTTGGAGATGGATGGTGGATGGTTGCTGGCAACCAGCAGAGGACGACAATTTACACGAGGAGAGGAGGTCGTGGACTCAGTTGACTTGAGGACCACAAACAAAGCGGGAGAAAATAGAAAGCCACAGAGCGCACGCCGACTACAGAGAGGGACTCAGGGACAGGGAGGTGGTTCGTCAAAACTCTGGGTGGGCGATCCGTGCAGAACTGCTGCGAGTGCAGAGAGCACACTTGGGGTTTTACTCCATCGTCCATCGTCCACGGTCCAAGTTAGCAACTATCGGGGGGGCGATCTCCCAAAATATCTCCAAAAAAGACTTTATCCCTAATCCAGGGGTGAATTAACACGCCATTGTTCATTATTACGGCATAGGTTGCCTGGGGGAGAATTAAGTAACCGAGTACTATACAGGCCAGGAATGGACATTACCATACCGGTGTGTAGGTAAATACCCGAAGCTCCTGGAGGGATAGTCCCAAAGGCCACCGTCCGGATTTAGTACAGAGAATACGGGGCAATGCCTCTGCTAAATCCAGGTACTGGGAATATTAATCAATAAATACGAAAAAGACCTGGCCACCCTTGCTGTAGTCTCCCTGCCGATGTCTAGATCACTGTAGCGCTTGTTCCCGCTGCGTTGCCGAAGGAACCACCCGATCCCAACTTTTTTCTCAGCGGACTCTTCGCCAATGTTCCAGCAGAGCCGCAAATGCGAGAACCTACCCAGCCAGGAACAAGACAGAAGTGGTAATTAGATATTAATACCAGTGTGGAGCCTGGACCTTTGCCACAGGCCGCGAGTCCGATGGAGATCATCAAATACTGCACGGCATCCTTTCGCTGGCATCGCGACCGTCGAACATGCCATATTGCTGTGCCTTGTTCCACCGTTCACGAAATCCCCGGCGTGTGTGGGCACCCAAAGTTAATGGTACACGCTCGTCGCTCTCTAGACTATTAACCAATCTGTCCTTCCCACTCGAACCTTTGGTTGAGGACAGTGGATAGCTGACAGACGAACCGTCAGATGCCGACACCACCGTCGAAACCACGAATTCTGCGCTGACTGCGCCTCCTCGGACTGCATTTGCGGCCCAATCGCGCACAACCAGGAGGATCAGAGGATGGGCATACGTAAACCGGTACACAGCAGTACGGATTACGGCACATAGAATTCCAGAAAGTATACATGGAGTGGCAATAAGTCCGGGAGACGGGAACTGATCCTGGCGCCAAATATATCCCCAATGGCTCTCCTCTTCCGGTCAATCCTCAGACCCCAGTACAGGTATGGTAAGCCTCGTTGGCATTTGTAGACGGTTCTTCTGGAATTTTTCCGAATCCGTTCATCAGTTGGGCAGTCGGAATGCCTAAGTAAGCGTTATCCATTATTTTCGTCATCGGATTTGTGCACCGTGCCCGCAGCTTGATCATAGGTAAGACAGGATGACAGGACTCCATATCTGATATCGGAGTCAATAGTTACACCTCCCCGACTGAGGAGCGAAGTGAATCCGCAGTCAGCAAGTCTTTGGTTCGGTTGAGTACAGCGCCTTGTGCGTCGGCGCCACCTTCACTGCTCTCTTAATCCTTGTCAGCTCCTCCGCCGAGTGTACGTATTCCGTTCATAGTTCATACATTCCTCAGCTCTGCTTATCCTAATACGCAAATTGCGAGGCCACCCAGAAAATCCCAGGGCCATTTGTCGTGGAACTCGAGACTCGAGGTTTGATGCCGATCTGCCTTGTTCGTAAAGTAGTAAATGATGGTAGGCTGCATATGCATTTCCAATTTATATTCCTGTATCCAGCTAAATATGGCGATCGAAACTTGGCTTGACTAGCCGACTTCGAGGGAGGCCCGATATTTCAGACTGCTCTCCTGCTGGCTTCGACATAATTGATAATGCCGGCATAGACCTGACGTAATACCACCGGACGATCAAACCACGGGTCGACGGTAAAATACCCGATTCATCACAAAGGTAACGTCCCGATCGGTTTCAAGACTCGTTTGCTCCACCACTTGTGGGCGATCGCAAGCCCAAAGTTACCACTTCTGGTACCCCGATGCTTGGCGAGCCCCTGAGATTTCAGACAGCGATTCGATTCAATAACTCGGTGGTCACTGGCCAGGGCTCGGCGGCTCCATCCAGATTCGAAACGTCGGACGAGGCGACAGTTCAGGGCCCAGGGGGAGGAAGAATTACGATTATTATTAAATATATTACGGAAGGGATCCCTCTGTATGAAGGTAGTTCTGCGCTTCTGGAGTTCTGGAGATCTACTCAACCGCTCCGCCAAAGCGACCCATAGCCCCATTGAATATTCCGTCGTGAATCGAGTGATGGTCTCGGAATGCCCAGCTTCGCTGGGAGATTTGCATCGACAGCATGATGTGATGTGATCAACTGATCAGCGACAGCCGACAATGCCTTGGAATGCGGAGTTGCGAGACCATGTCGTGCTCAGTTAGGACTCAGTTATCCAAAGAATCGGAGTATTAAAGGTACCCAGGATTCAGGAGGCATTATTAATAAATGTTGAGCATTTACCCCTTTTCAGGACTTCGGCGGGAATTCAACAAAGGCGAGTCTTTCGCCTTCGAGGTGTACCTGACTTGAATCTGTCCGTATGCTGAATGGGTTCGCGGTCCGATAGATGGCCGGGAAGTGAGCGCCACATGCACACACCCTTTTAAGGAACTCCTGTTAGTACTAATTACTACCAAGAGGTGAAGATGAATACAGAAGGAAAATTGAACCAAGTCTCGAATCTGTCAATGGCTTCCGGTCGTCCAGCTACCAGGGTGCTTCGCATGAACTCGCTATTAGCCGGCTTCACAAGAACAATACTAACCTGCCGATACCATGCACTACATGCAGCAGTTCCGGTGAGCCCTTTTAATAATCCCACTCTCTAATGTTCCTTCAGAGTATAATGATGTGATGACCTACCAGTATTGTCGCATTGACGTGCTCTCTTAACCAGTACGGCTGTATGGTGCGAGAGGAGGGGGGCAAAAACCGGGGAGGGGTAGCCTCTAGTGCACCGAGGAGCAAGCGAGGGCCTACTGTAGCTAGGGACTTAGGGAGTAGGGCTGGTCCGGGGTGCCCCGTATAGGCGGTCTACGACGGCCTGGACGACCTGCGCCCTGCCTGAGCAGCGAGCACCCCCAAGGCCCCAACTGAACCAATCCAGCAAATTCTCTCCACCTTGTCCCGCTCCGCTACGTTTTATTACTCCGCGGCTTGCGCTCACAATAACGGAATGATACAGGTTACAAATTAGCAGACCTTCCAGTTCCACCATCGTGAACAATACCTCCCGGTCATTAATAATACCTGTGCCTCCCGTACCAACCACGGAATCACGCGCAAAATACCCACCACTGTAAGGCGCCTTCCTCTCCTTGGACACCACTGCAGTTCCTCTGAATCTCTCTGCCTCCCCCCTCCACTTCACTCCAGCACTTCACTCCAGCACTTCACTCCAGCACTTCCAATATCTCTGCCTATCCTATATCGATACATTATCTCATAACCTGCTGAATCTATACGGTATGTAAGGATGCTCCCGTGCCCATTATCAATGTTGTTGCCTGGTCTACTCATCCAACTGCTTCGTACTGTGCTTAATATCAATGATCTGCATGTCCGGCTGACTTTACCGCGACAAAGATCCTTGACCTTGCATTGAAACTGCAAACTGTGCCTTGGATGTTCCATCCCTTTACAACTTTACACAGATTCGAGAGCGGAGAGGAACGGCCGCCGCAATTGTTCGAATTCGAGTCCAGCCCTGCTGTCGGATCGATCCCGTTGGTTTTGACGGCCCACCACGAAGGACTGCCTCACCGTTCCATCCACTATCAAAGCGCGCCCCTTTGCCTCTAATATACTCGTTCGCTAGCCGGATGTTGGTGTAACCCAGCGCGAAACCCCTTCACGGACACGCACAGACGGCGGGTCATACCGTCGACGCAATTCTGCCATCATGGACGGCGTGCAAACCATGGCACCCGCCACGGATAAACCCTCGTCACCGAACGGGCGGCCGCAATCATGGCGATCGGATGGCTCAAGGGGGTCGTCAAGCGAACATGCCGCTGGACTCCTCCCTAGGCGCGTCCCTTCGAGGAAACCGGTCCCTCCTCCAAAAGACCCCGAGTTTCCCTCTCCGACGTCGAATTCGGTCGAACGTCCCCCTCGATATGCGAGCCTCCCCCAGTATAACGATCCCGTCGCTTCCTCGGTCGAGCGGCCGCCAATTCCCACGGCGGCCGCTCCGGTAATACCGACGCTGGACCCTCCACATGAGGAGCAAACCTTTGTACACTCGAGAGGCGATTCTACGTTAGAAGCAGCTTCGGGAGGGGAATCGGGGCGCACAACCCCCGTGACGCAGAACTTGGCGATTGGAAAAGGCGTGGTCCGACACGTTCCAAATAACGTGGTTGCTGCTCAACAGGCCGTGCTCTCAGTAGAAGTCCGTCCGAACTCGTTCGCGGAGCCTGCGTTCGGGGAACCTTCGTTCGCGGAGCCTTCGTTCCCTGAACCTTCGTTCGCCTTGAACGGCGATATTCGCGATGTTCACGAGGGACAACTTGAGGATGACATGGAACGCCTACGGCTCGAACAACGGTCCGAATCGTATCCGCAGCTACAATACCATCACCATGCTCTTGACGGTCCGCCAAACCGAGCCGATCCGTATACCATGCAATCCACACGGTCTGCATCGCCTGCCTCCACCTCAAACAGCGGCGGTCGGTCCTCTTTCACGGAGTTACAAGTTCCGCGAACAACCCTCGCTCGCCCTAACTCCGCCCATACACTTGGTGCGGATCTCGATCCTCGAGGTCGCAAACACTCTTCTCATCTGTCCGTTGGCGGGTCTCCATCGCCACGAGGTTTCGCTCGAAACGCCTCGGCCACACGCCTCTCAACCGATGCTCGACCGGTTTCGTATATCGATCAGCTCAGCTACATGCCACCGGCTCCGAATCTAGACAACTCGTTCCTAAGAGCGGCTGTCGGATCCAATGCGTCGCTCCTCGACTCCAAACGGACCCTCGAGATGTACCGCGCGAATGTCAAGAAGACCAACGATCCGAAGGTCCAGCATGAATTCGCCAAGATGCTGGTGCAGATGGCAAAAGACCAGCTTCGACATATCCCGCCGACGGATGCCGAACGTCGTGCTAGACAAGACCTGTTGAAGGAAGCCAAGGAGATCCTGACTCGGGCTGCCAGTCGAGGACACGATGAATCGCAATACTACCTCGGGGATGGATTTTTTACTGGTCTCTTCAACAAGGACAAAGAGGATTGGACCAAGGCGTACGAGCTCTTCCAGTCGGCTACAAAACAGGGCCACAAGGAAGCCGCCTTTCGCGCGGCGCTTTGCACTGAGTTCGGATGGGGCACGTCGATCGACTATGCCAAGGCTCGCGAGTTCTTCCGGGCATCTGCCTCATGGGGCCATCCTGGCGCCGCCACCCGCTTCGGCAAGGCCTGCATTACGGGCGATCTCGGTCTGATCGGGCGGCAGTTCCAGCGCGAAGGGATTCGGTGGCTCGGTATCGCCGCGCGGAAGGCAGACGAGCAGTACAACGCCGGACCGTATGAGCTCGGCCTGCTCCACGAGGTCGGGTACGGAGACGCGTTCTACGACGAGGAGTACGCCGCACAACTCTACACGGAGTCGGCGAAGTTCGGGCACCCGGAGGCGAACCTTCGCATGGGGAGGGCGTATGAGCTGGGCCAACTCAATTGCCCGAAGGACGCGGCGTTGAGTATCCATTACTACAACGGCGCGGCGCAAGCCGGCAACGCGGAGGGTATGATGGGGCTGGTTGCTTGGTATCTGGTTGGCGCTCCGCCGACGCTAGAGGCGAACGACATGGAGGCGTACGAGTGGGCCAAGAGGGCTGCGGAGCGAGGTGAGTGCTGGGTTCCGACCCCATCGGTCGGAGATCCCGGGTTGTTGACATGCGCGTAGGATTCGCCAAAGCGCAGTACCTCGTCGGCTACTTCCTTGAACGCGGCATCGGGTGCCGCAGCGACCCCCTCGAAGCCAACGTGTGGTACGTCAAGGCGGCAGACCAGGGTCAGGAGCAGGCCATTGAGCGGCTGAAGTTGATTCGCGAGGCGGCGGCCGGCGGCGCCCACGGGCTGCCGGAGACGGAGAAAAAGAAGGGTTTGTTGAGGAAATTGGGGATCAATTGAGCCGAAAGAGAGGGAATCTTTGTGATGTGATGTATCATGCTAACGGTTGGATGCGAGATAGGTTTGGGAGAGTACCTGCGTTCCTTCAGTGCCGAGGACGCAGACAAAAGGGGCGCGGCGAGCGGCGGCGATTGGAGCGATGCAATTTTCCTTGGATCGCATGACGGGTGCTAATGGTTGTTTGAAATAGCTGGAGAGTTGAAGGTTTTTATGATCTGCGTCGCATTAGGGTTGGAGTACAACGGGCATATCGAGACGAGGTCGTGTCTCTCACCGGCCAGCGTTTTGCGGTTTGAGCACTTCGGCTGCTACAGGGGCGGTTGCTACGCTTTGGTTCTTTCTCTTTCTAGCACATCCGTTGGCAATATAATGAGTTTTAGAGTTGCGAGGGTGCGAGAGTTGGGAATCTCACGTCGCCATCAAAATCGAGTCCTTGTTGAAGCCCCTGCTGCGTTGTCGTCTGTTCTCCGTTTATTCGTCAACGTTGCTCAGCAAATGGTACATCGCAACTTCGGCCAACACGGCATGTTCATGCATACTTATAAGGAGAGTCTGTTCCTGGTCTTCGCGTGATTTCATTGCTAGGCGGTCAAGGCACCATGGACTTCCACATCCCCACAGCTCCGTCCCCGTTTCCATCCCGTAACCGTACACTGATTTGTCCACCTTGCCGTCCACCTGTTGCATCTTCATTTTGCTCCCAATCACCTTCGGGATTTTTCCAGTCCACCATCACGCTTTGCAGACCCCTTCGGGTACTCCAAATCCCTTTTCCCCGCATCAGCCGTGGCACAAACGGCATCGACTAACCGGCCCGGCCTCGTCTTTTTGATGAACGCGGCCACCATGTGCAGGCCATTCGTGATTCTGCCCACCCCTTCGATGTTAGTAATCAGACATTCTTCGCGCAGTCAGGGAGAGCATAGAATGTATAGGTATTCTCACCACTTGTCCAGATATCTTCGTCCTCCGCCCAGCGAGTCTCAACCCAGTTTGCGTCCGGGTGCACTCCTCAACTCTAGCAGCATGCCCCCTTGGTCGCGTCACAGCCCCACCGGCCACGATACCATTATGCGCCGCAACAAGACGCCAGGGCATACAGTCGTGCCTTGAGCCTTCGTACGGCCCTGCACGAACTTCTTGACGGCATCAGTCGGCACGTCTCTGGGTCCGGCCCAGGAACCGGGGGGATATCCAGCTTTCCCGGTCCGCATTCTTCTGAGGTGAGGCGAGGCGTGACGCCAAGTGCTGCACCGGCGGCCAATTCGCTCGGCCCGTAGGACTCGAAGATGTACAGGAACTGCACGGTAGGCCTACGATCGATGATCAGCTGGGGAGGCTGACGATGATGAGATAACGAAGCAAGCCGAAGAGCTATAGGGGAAAGCGTCGAGGGATTGAGCGGTCCCGGAGCGCAGGACGCCGACGCGAAGCGAGCTTCCCGTTTTTGCCATTATCAACGCTCTTGGTTGAATTGAATTGAATTGATAATGGTGGCTTGATTTACGATTTCTGCTATTCGATAGCCAATGTTCGTCATTCAATATGTCCCTTTTATAGGCAAGAGAAATTATCAGAGGTCCCAATTCTTCGGCCTGCGAATCCATCAGCATCTCTATTATTAATAATTTGGGTTGAAGCTTAGCATTCTCCGTTGCGGTATTATATTCATCACAATCTACCGGTATGCATATTCCGGTCTATTTCATTCTATTGGAAGACGATATAATGTGCTCGTCATTCAGCTCACTACGAATTGAGTTTTCCAGCACGCTTTTCTACGGCCTCCCGTAAGACATTAATTACCCCTGCCATGTCATCCGTTCCGAAGATCGCACTTCCAGCGACGATGACATTGGCACCCGCGTCGGCCGCTTGATCGATCGTCGTCGGACCCAGTCCGCCATCGACTTCAATCCACAGATCCGGATACTTTTCTCGCAGCGCCGTCACCTTGGGCAATTGCTCCGCCATAAACTTCTGTCCGCCGAAACCGGGTTCTACGGTCATGACGAGGACCATCTTGTGCGATATTAGCATTTCGACATGAAGAAGGGGGCTGTAATGCACTAGTTAGGACGAGATGACACTCACGTCTGGTCTGTCGCTCGGATCTTCGGCCTGGAGAATTTCCCAAAGGACGTCAACGCTTGTCCCGGGCTTTATAGCAATTCCAGCCAGCATTCCTTCACCGTGAATTGTGCGGATCATGTCCAGCGGGTTTGTCTTCTCATTGCTGTCCCCGTGTGGGGTGGTTGCAGCCGTGCTGCCAACTGCGGCTTCGTAGTGGAAGCAATATAGATCACAGCCGGACTGGCGAAAGGTTGATATCCAGCGTTTAGGCTAATATGGTGTTAACCATGCATCGAACAAAACACGTGGGACGAGAACTGGACTGAGGAATAACTATGTGACTTTGACCGTTATGGGCTGAAAGGAACGAGCGACTCTGAAACGACTTTCCACTGGGGTGTGGTATCCACCAATTTGAGAGGCCGTGATGTGAACACGCCTATCCCCATGGCTTGTATGCTGACGTAGAATGGATTCGAAGTCCAGGCGAACTCACCTCAGCGATCATCATATGGCAATCAAAGACGCCACGCCCCTTCCGATCACTCGTCTTCGGCTTCTCCTCGCACTCCACGCTCTTACGGATCGCGGCGACGACCGGTGGCCCAAATGTGATATTGGGGACGAAGTGGCCATCCATGATATCAACGTGCAGCCAGTCAGCGCCGGCGGCTATGACACGCTGGCAATCATGGCCGAGTTTGGAGAAGTCGGCGGAGAGGATGGACGGTGCGATGATGGCGGGCGGCGCCATGGTCAGGAGATGGCTTGGGGTGAGAATATCTCCAGGGTATTAACAATGCCTCATATACCTTGTGTAAGGCTGTAAGCACGAGAGAAGACGAGACCTGCGAAGGCGTTCTTGGTGCACCTCACAACCCAGGACTCGTTGCGGTGATGGAGGTTGAGAGTGGTTCGACGCTTGTCCGAATTCGGTGCTGGTGATCCCAATTAACAAAGTACAAGGCAATTGAGCGCTAATATCTGGCCGATTATCGTTTTCTGGACGTATTACGGTACCTGTAGATACTAGATATGAGGTGTGATAGTCCAACACGTCCTGCACATCTCACGGACCGCGGACATTGTGGAAGTTCGTCCAAGTGGCCACAATATCGACCGGCTAATGGAGCTACGTCATTGGCGAGTCGTACCACAGTACCACTGCCCTGCTCATGCACCAGCCACACTTAGTCAACACCGTGCCACAGTTGGAGCGCTCCCTCTCGAACCGGAAAGGAAGGCAGCAGCAGAGCCCTCACAAGTCACACAAGTCACAACTCACAATGGAACACGCTCCTCCCAACTCTCACTCACTTGTTATTACAATTTATAGTGCCTTCTTAGACTCTCTTAGACTCGCACACTTCTCGCAATTCTCGTCTCTACTAGCGCTCCTTACAGAACGTAGTGTTCTACCCGGGGGCAAAGAAAACCCGATTTCTAGCCGCCAAAGAAGACGAGAAGAAGACACTGCTGTACACCATGGGGTACTTGTCTCAGATACAATGAGCGCTGTTGTAGGCGCATACAGGGCAAGATCACCTTTATTGACGTTACCGGCATCCGCAGGGAAGGTGGCACAGGTTGTACGCGCCCAATATCAATTCGGACTCAATCCGGTCCCACCAGCTAGGCATTTCCCATCCGGTAGACCCACAATCAGTCCGAGTCCATGTTGATTGTATTGCGATTCGGATTGGCGATCTCCTGTCAGAAACGTCATCGTCGGTCAAAGTCGACCTCGCATCGCCAGTCTTGAGCGTCCTGTCGGGCCCATGTGGGAGGGCGCTGGAACAATGGAACATACGTCAAACAGGGAACCAGGCTATTATAAGCCCTATGCGAACTCGCAAACGATCGAGAAACATTCATCACGTCACCTCATTGCTCCTTGAAGAGGAATTGGTGGTTTTTATGGTCGCATTCGAGGCTCAAACACGAGCAGTTGGACGATGCGCGTCGACGTAGTGGAAGGGGTCCTCTAGATGGTTCAAACCGAAGATCCAGATTCCAATAGTGAGCCTCAACCTTCAACTTCGAGGACGCATGAATACCCGGGAATAATACTGGGATTCTCGTGCAGCCAACATCTTGGAGTTGCGCATTCGAGTAATGAGGTTGGTAAGGAAAAGTTTGTTGTTGGTTTATTGGCTGGTCTCCAACAGCGTTAAGCGCTTGGGTCAGCGGCTACTTGCTGGAGCTGCTGGGCTCGATCCAATCGCTTTCAACCTCCCTCCTCCGTTTCCCGCATTTCCAACCTCCTTGAGTCCTTGCTATCCAATCCTTTCTTGTTCTCTTACATTTCCTTTCCAAACTTCTAATATGGCGCAATGTGTGCCCTGCCGTTGGAGTATGTTGCTCCCACATAGCCAATCGTATCGCTGTCCCATGAGAACCCCACACTTCCATTCCTCGTGATGGATGCTGTGCACCCAGATCAACCACAGAGGTCCATTATGGTCTTTCGCCCTGTACACAGGTCCCCAGTTCGGGCCAACTCGACTTGCTCCTTCTGCAAACCTATTCGTTGGCCCTCTTCGCGACCAGCGTCTACTCGATGCAGTTGAGGATCTCTGCCTGAGTCGGGGCCGACGCGCTGTGCCCTGCTAGTCAACTCAGCCTGGTTCGATTCGATATGCTCCCGGTGGCGCATTGAGGCGATGGTGAATCTTCGTGGGCGCCTATAGTTGCTTCTCGCCAGATTGTGGCCATGGCCGGCAGTTTGGCCGGTTATATGCTGCCTGTGCCCCAATCCGCAAGGCGAGAGTTGTAGGTTTTCCATTTCTGGTCCGTTACTGGGAGGCGTATTCGTCCCTTACTATTTCCTGCCCTTTCGTTTTGCTCAGGCTTCGTTGATCGAAAGTCCGTTCTACATTCACTTAGACCAAAAAGTCTTACAATCCGTTGATCGGTATTTGCACACATATTGTAATCATTGTTTATTGAAACCACGCATTGACTGCGAACATTCCCATTATTTATACGCCCTCAGGAGGGTATGTTTTATATACCCTGAAAGAGTGACGCTTTGGATATCCATCGGTATGGCGCAAGCATTAGGACGACATTTCCACGATCCGACCTCTCCGCGGGCTCGGAGAGAGACACGTAATACCATAATAGAAGACGAACCTCAGATAATGGAGGGCATGGCTGGACTGAGGTCACCGACACGAACAACAACTCTCACCACGAACATTAATCACTTCTCCGACGACCAAATAACACCACGGGCGAATGCCCACACCATTTCCTCCAGCGGTACTCCGAATCAGATGATGCAGACATCCTACTGCGGCGTACCGGGCTTTTCGGTCAAGTATCGGTCGCATGGACTGACCCTATCACCGCTCGCCGAAGGACCACAACCAACTCCTCCACCAAAGAACGCTCTGCGTCCGGCCGGTTTTACACGGAAGAATAGTCGAGGGCAAGAGTACGATGCACTGTACGATTCTAGTGACTCCGAATTCGAAGATGTTCCGCTGGCTTGCTCAAGGAGTGTAAAAGCATCTCGCCAAGGGCACCAGGCGAACGGGTCTACAAGCACAACGTCGACGGACGCCTCGGGACGCAAAGTGCGTAACTATCCTTCTTTGGTCATCCCGTCACCATCAATGTGGCCGACTATCGAAAAGCTCCGCTCCGCCACCTCACCAAACTCGAAGTCTCGAATCGTCCCACCCAGTCCCAGTCATATTCTGTCTCCGACCGCCCGAGCCTTGAACATGATCGCTGCAAAGAACGCCCTTGTACCCAATGGTTCCGCTGCTCCATCGTTAGACGGATCGCTCACATCAGAAGAACTTTCGGGTATCAGCTGTCCATCCACTCCGGATGTCGGGAACGATGCCAAACCCGACGATGCCGAATGGGCAGGGACCGTGCAACTCGGGCCGGAAGCAATGGAGACGCTTCAAAGGTTCCGACTCGGCAGTTTCAACGAGCACAGTGAGGACGACGAAGACCAAGTGATCGAGATTCGTGGAGAGATGCGAGAGTCTCATTTGGAAAATGGCGGCATGGCGACTTCGATCAACCTCATCGTGACTCCTGTGGATAGCGAACCCGAAGATTTTTTCCCCACCTTGAGCAACCCCGGCTCCGACCTCGATCCGCTTTCCGCTCTCAGTGTGCCGTCTCCTGGAGGCTTCTTTGGCTCGCTGAACGGGAACGCTCGAAATACATGGGGTCAGGGTGCAGGCGACGCAGTGCCGAACACCAGCACCGCCATCTCCTTCTACGGGGTGCCGTGGAAGAAGTCTCGAGAAAACTCGCCGGAGCGGACAGTGGAGCGAGTGATTGAGGTTGATATCGATGGGTCGAGCGATAACGACACAACCGGTCCACCAACTGCGAGAAGACTTCCAGGGACAGACGGCATGACCTTGGGTGGTGAAGCCGAAACAGGAAACCGTGCGCATCAAGAGCCTGTGATTGAGATATCGACATGGACGTCCTCAAATAATGCGGCTCCAAATGAACATGGAGAAGGGGATAGTGTCGGCCATCACCATGACTTCAGGTTCAATCTGGATGTCGATGATACCACGCCGGATATGTGGGAGGACGACTCTCCGCGACTGCGCATGCTGGGAACGCCAGAACTCCGTCTCATCACTGATTTCTCTGGCGAATTCGAATACAATCCAGCCTATGCCGCCGAACAGCACAAGGAGAACAGCAGTCACATTGACCGAACCAATCTGTGGTTGTACAGCCAAGAGCACTATTTGGCCGGCTTGCGCGGAGACATACCCACGATGACCAACGGTGATGACTCGCCAATCGTCGGGCACCTGGCGACGGGCACCGATGAGCCTCGAAAAAGCAGTCTCGGCAATGCTTCCACAACGCTGAGCCCGAGTAAATCGGTTCGCTTTGCGGATGATCCCGAAATCACGGCTGGCATCGACGGTGCTCTGGCACGATTGAACGGGGAATCGCCGCCACGAGTCAGGAGACCGATACCCTCGGTCAAGCTCCGAAACATTGATGGAGTCACCCCAGTGGGCTCCCGGTCAATGTCAACTCGATCTTCGAGCATGCCAGAGGCGAGCTCCACCCTAAATGGCACATCGCTTGGCACCGTGCTATCACCCCCGGGATCGACGATTGTCCCACCCCCGCTTCCCCCAATCCCAGAGACGGTGGAGCCGGTATCTGCTTCAGAGGACAAGGATCCTGTCTTCTTGGAAGGTTTTAAGCACATCTATGCGCTCCAAAACAGAGGATCTCCTCGGTCCTCAAGAACTACCAAATCCGGTCCGCGACCATTGTCACCCAAGTCACCGCCAGCAGCAGCGTTTTCTCATCGAAAGGCTCGCAACGAAGCTTTGAGACTTGGCCGTACCTGTCTGCCACAGAAGCATCGCGACATAGTAGCCGGTGTATTCAGCCTCGAAGAACGCGAACACATTGACCCCAAACGACCGATCAGTGCCTGGCATGGCGCTAACTCCGGTGGCAAATTGGGAGAAGAAGAGGATAATCCGGAAGACAAAGATGCGCAAGCCAGGAAAGCCGTCGCTAAGGAGCTCAAGGAGCGCCACGCTCTCGATCAAATCAAGCCGATCAGCTGGAACCTCGAGGCCACTAAAATGCTGAACGGTGGAAGCTTGCTTACCAGCCCGGCTGCACGCGAGTTTACCTCCTTGAGTGCCTCGGTGGGCAGTATTTCCCCGGCCAGTCCCAATGACCAGGTCAAGCGCAGCAAAAGGATCGATCCGTTCGGTCGCACCCTTTCAGAAGACAAGCATGCGAGGAAAGTGCTCGACCTCGGCGGAAAGGCTACGGCGGACTGGGCTTGGCAAGTTGCCATCGAGTATCCTCGCGTTGGCGTGTGGACTGCATGTGTCAACGAGTCTCCGTTGAATAAGAAGGTGTTTGGACCGCTTCCACCTCTTCCAAGCACACAGTCAAAACCTAAGTCGGACTCCATGGCACATAATGGCAAAGACAAAAAGGATGCTGCCTCCACGAAGGATGAGACCAAGCAGAACGACGCGTCATTGCTGAAGGGCCCACCCAACCATCATGAGATCAAAATCCCCAATCTCTGGACTCTGCCATTCCCCGACAACTCTTTCGACGTGGTCTCGGCTCGGTCGCTGTACTCGATCCTCAAGACGACAATTCCTCCCCAAGGATCGAAACTGCAGGATTCATCCTCGACCACGGCACCTAACGATTCCTCCACGACTATGACCGCCAATGGCCAGGGCATGAAGCGTACACCCGGTACGCCTCCCGCGAGGCCATTGGATGAGTATGATCGCGCATTGCTCGAAGTGCACCGCGTCTTGAAGCCCGGCGGGTATGTCGAGTTCGCACTCCTGGATGCCGACATCATCGGCGGTGGCCCCATCACCCAGAAACTCAGCGTCGAATTCGCTTTTAACCTTCGCACGCGTGGATACGATCCCGCGGCCACGCAAGGCTTCCTCTCCCGCGTCCGCCGGTCCGGCTTCAAAAGGCTGCGACGCGCCTGGATCATCCTGCCCATGAGCGGCGTCGGCGCACCGGAGTGCGGGCCGTGGGTTGATCGCGGGTTGGCGTGGGAGCAAGAAGGGAAGCGCGGTCTTGGGATCGAGACCGAGGCGCGGAGCACGGCCGAGAAGCTACGCCAGATGGAGCGCGAGAAAGAAAGAGAGCATGTGGTCGTGCCAAACCGGCTGCGAAAGTACAGCGATGCTGCAAGCTCGGTGCGCACGAACACCTCGACGCGCTATAGCTATATATCTCCCATCTATCAGACTGGCGGAACACGCATGACTCGCTCGTCGACTGCACAGTCGAGCAACTCGTCCATGACGGCTGTGTCGTCCGCCATGTCACCCACGCAACGATCTGCACACACATCCGCCACCTCGTTGACGCTCCACTCACAGGGCGTTGTCGACGCGAAAACGGCGGCCAAGGACGCGAAGGAAGACATCGGCACCACGGTCGACGCATCGTACATCACTGGCCTGGTGGGTGCGTGGGCATGGGAGCAGTGGATGTTGAAGCTACATACGGAAATGGGCCGCGAGGGGGAGCAGTTGCTTGAGGGGGTCGCGGCAGCGTTGGAGGAGGGGGCGAGGATGGGTGGCTCGTGGAGGTATCTGAGCGGGTGGGCGAGGAAGGATTTGTGAGGTGATATGACTAGATGCGATGAAATCGATAGGGGCATGACACGGGATGATGCATTGCGGTTTAGGAGTTGGTTATTAGGTAGACATGGGTCATTCTCTTCACATTTCTTCACATTTCTTTATTATCTGTGTACAGGGGAATCGGGATGGCATATCCCTGATGTTGATCTGGATCTGATCATGTGGAGGCGAACAATGGTTATGGTGGGGACATCGGTTCGCCCTGTCATAGGCTCTATAGCAGCAATTCAACGTCTCCTGAAATATGTGTAAGAGCCCATTTGGTCCAGCGTCTCTAAAACTTTCAATACCGTAAATATGTACCGTGTTTTACCTTCTCTTCCTATCTAAGGGGTACAGAAACGCCGTTTTGATCCTTTCCCTAGGCTGGAGGGGTCTATCGAGAGTGCAACGCCATCAATGTTAGCCCTGGATTGACCTTAAATCTTGGTATTTCTCATAAAAATTCATATCTAGCAGCGAAGAATGCAGTGCCTAGAGTGTGAGCCGCTCGTCCCACACAAACTCGACATCCCCAGACTCGTCCCCTTTCCACACTCGCACCGGATTGTTTCTTGCTGCAACCGCGTCTTTCATATCCCTCCCGAGCCCCACCGGCCCCGACGCCACGACCATGGTTCGTCCTGTCGCTACTCGATTGAGGAACCCATTGACCAGCTCCTGGGACAGGGGATGACGATGGTCCAATGCTCCCGCCTCGAACCCTTCCGTATTACGGAACATGGCCAGCGTCTTATCCGCGGCAAACTCCTCCACGGCCTTGGTCACTTCGCTATCACTGCTGCTGCTCGCCCTCTCGATCTCCTTTTCCACGATATTATTTTCCACGGCCGTTATAGTCACCTCGTCCTTAAGTACTTCACTCGTCGTTTTCTCCCGCGTTGCAATTACCCTCACCCGTAAGCTCACTCCACTCGCAGCCGCAGCCCTCTCGGCGAGTTCACGCAGCTCCGGCGCCACCCACGCGATATCTTCTTTGCGGCGGACCATCCAGACGAGCTCGACCATGGCGCATTTCTGATGGGCGACAGCATCGAGGACGATGGGTAGGCAGAAAGAGATACCAGTGCCGCCCGCCACGGCCAGGAGGTTGGTCGGACGATCAGAAGAAGGAGGGGATGCAAGGGAAGGGCCGAGCGGAGCGTGGCCGTAGGGCCCGCAGAGGAGGACGGGGGTCATTACGGTAGGGGTTTCGGTTGTGGCATCGATCTTGATATCGGAGGGACCATGGTCCATGTCAACGGACAAGACGAGAGGGCTGGCGAGGGCTGCAAGGCGGGCGGTTTCCCCTTTGCAGGCGCGAATGATGTAGGTGTGTTTGATACCCCGTCCATCTCCAAGAACCGGGAGGGAAGACGTGGTCAATGGATGGGCTTGCCAGATAGAGAGCGCCGGAAAGGTTAAATAGAAATGTTCTCCCGGACTCCAGGGCTGCTGCGGCTGATGGAAATCGAGTCTCACGACCGCATCGGTCGGGTCATATGCGCTGGCAAATAACCGTACCGAGGCCTGCGCGGGTTTGAATGAAAGTTTGGCGAGTGGGTCCCTTCCTCCACGATGGATCAATGCTACTCTGATGAGGCGGATAGCGCGATCCAGGGCCATGAGAGCAAGAGATGGCACCATCCAACAGTAAAGCTGTGCCCAGTGGCCCCAGCACATCCCAATGTACAGAGCCGCGACAATGTAGTGGGTTTTCCGGAAGAACTCATACCCAGTCAAGCGGATCGCCCAGCTGCAACTGAATATAAAGAGGAAGGTAATGAGTAGCATGGCGAAACAGCCGAATATCATGTACGGCTGCTTGATCCATTCCTGGAAAACTGTCGGTTGCGGCCTATACAGTTTCCCCTCGATCTGCGGGATCAAAACTCAGTACATAAAGCCGTGTTCGTTCTTGGGGTTTAACTTACGACGGTCCAGATGAGGGTATGCACGAAAGACTGAATAAAGATAACCCTTCCGGTCCACCGATGTAGGAAGGTGAAACTCTGATACGGAACGCCAGTCAAGAGTGATAAAACACTCTCCCGAGTACTCAAAATTACCACTAAGGGTGTGAGTCCGTACGCAATAACTCCAATCCTATCCGAGAATGCTCCCATTGTCACACGTGTGTTCTTCTCGGTCGAGTTCTTGATTGGGGTGACCCAGGTCTTGTAGACCAGGCCAGCGAACCTGGTTGAATACAGTTAGCTGAATACCCCGGGGATGCGACTCCACGCTTGCTTACGAGAAGATTAGGAGGTAGGTAAGGATCACGCCGAGGATCACTAGTTGCAGTCGTGATACGTGCCCAAAGAAGCTCACGAAGCTCTCCGGTAGGAGCCACTTTCTCCCAAATGCGCCAATCGTTCTTTTCGCTCGATATAACCCGCTTTGAGCCAGTCGACCAGAGTTAGCCTCGCTGTTTTCGGAACCCTTCTTTCGATGTGGCTGGAGGATTCTGAGAACGACCCAAATGAGAGCGATGGCTCCAATGACCCCCCACATGATGAAGGAGTAGAGCATAGAGAGATCATGGGCATGGTAGATCGCATCGAGGTATTCACAAGATCCAGGATCGTTGGTACATGGAACGACTCGGTCGGCATACCCCCAATGCTTCTCCAAGTTACTCTCGTCGACGCCCATCATATCCTGAATATGACGGGCTTGAAGCCCAAGGGAAGGAGACATGATGATATGTCAATAGGATTGACTTGTCGGTAGTGGCAATAACTACTGAAGAGTAGATTCGAAACAGTGTGCGAAGTGATAAAGTGGTGCTGGATGTTGAGCGTGCAGAAGTACCGCCTCCCGGTAGGTACAAGCAGGGGGGAGACTTGAAAGAAACAGCGCGGTCGACTCAGGATAATATAGCAAGAATAAAATAACGACATCAGAATCCTACCAGTCAAACTGACTAACATTTAGTTTATTGGGAAACCCCATAGGGTGATATTCCCTTCATTTGCTTCAAGTGTGCAACGCAGGGATAAATTGCTCAATCGTGCTCAGAATCCCGGATGCGATTACCCACCGATACAGAACATCCTGTAAAGTGTAAAGTACATGTCGGGTATGTTTAGTTTCGTGTCGTATCTGCTGATTTGATGAGACTCCCCAGGCCGATTATAATAGTTCTGTCTCTTTCCAATGCATTTAAACCCCGGTGACATTAACTCCAATCCATCACGAGGCCAGAAATCACTCCAGTCACTTACTCGTCGTGCTTCGGCCGCCCGTCTTGATTCCACCATCCCCACGCCCACTTGGCATAAAAGATCGTCTCCATCGTTCCGAGAATGGAAAGGACCGCGACGATAGACCATTTCGCCCATCCCGTGATGCCCAGGGCCTCGAAAGTGAACCTTTGACCCCCCGAAAGCGACGGGACGCCGTTTGCGTCCTCCTCGGATTTATCCGCCTGCGATCTCCGCAACCTGTTGGATAGGTGGATGGAACGCTGAGGACGAATTCGAGGTAAATAGCCGCTGCTGAGGATCGCATGGGATCGAGGGAAAGTCGAACCAAGAAGGCGCAAAGACGATGACATGTTTCAATCTTATGCCAGTCTATGGCAGACCAGAACCGTGGGTATTCCGTAGGTAGCCTGTAGTGTCCCGTATACAATGAAGGGATGGAAGTGGAAATGGAAATGGAAATGCACACTGTGCTCATGTGAGTTGTTGATTTTCCTATATCTGATACGATGGTACAATGTATTCGATATTGCCCTCCCCTTAGTCTGTTTTGTAGAGTCGCAGAGTTGCAGCAGAGGAGTGATGTTCATCGATATAACCATATTGGGTTTAGCGCTAGTTGCTCTCTTCAGCACCACAATAATCTCGCAACTCCAGTCGACATCAGAAGAAATTACCTTACTCTTCACACATGCTGACAATTTGCTTGGCTAGACCCCTCATCTACGGTACGGTATACAGTACCTACTACCGGAATAGTACTGATTGTATCAAGTGCTCTAGAAATTAGAATGCCAACATGAAGCAACTGCTTTGGGGTTCCAGCTCGAGACACCGACCTTCTCCGTCGACATGACCAGTATCGCACTGTTCGCCGAATACTTGCTTCGCATCCGCACCCTGAGCCTCTACATTTCCCTCGCGACGTCGCACACGGAGGAGACGAAGGCAACATTGTCCGCCGACCGAGAGCATGTCACCGTCACGCACGAAGGCGAGAGCGCCACCATCCGACTACCCACCAGGATCCGCGGGGGTGGTGAAGCTGCTCTAACCCTACCCGATGTGAGGGAGCAGGGACTCGGGAGCAAAGAACTAACCCTAAGGCTTGCACTGGAAGAGAGAGAAGGCGAGGAAGGACAGCTTATACCTCGAGGGGATGGGGACGCAGAGAACGTGGTGCCGTGGGATGCACAGTCCCTGGCAAATGTGAAGGCGATCGCGTGCAAGGGCTGCGGGAACCCCTTGCTTCAAGGAACTTCCATAACGTCCCCGTCTTCAAAAGATGGCCTGAATGACTGGAACGATCTGCCGAGTGAAAACTGGGCGGAGATGATGGACTTCTGGCACTGTCACAAACCCGACCCCGATCATGGAGTCGGCAATGCCGGATCGACGAAAGGCTACGCTGCTGCGAACAAGGTCAGAGCCCAGAAAAGCGTAGGTCTGGTAGGCCTTGGACATTTGCTATTTCATGGACCGGATTGTCGAGGGGTAAGGGTAGGTCTTTCTCTTCCTTTCTTTCTTCTTCTCTCTCTTTTCTCTTCGGCTTTCTTCGAACGTTCGATCGCATATCGATGTTTAATTCGGGTGGCAAAGAAGGAGGCTGTGTCCTTCTCAGTGACTTGATCTTCGATACAACCACCCAAGATCGATAGTAGCACCGTCATTCCTTGTTAACCCTTGCGGTTGCCTCGGACCAACGACTACGTCTCCTACTCAGACGGCGTTTTCAAGAGAGTCATTGGGACGTCCGCGTACACTGCGAGATACATTTAGGCTTACGGACACTGTAGATAGATGAACAAGGAAACAATCAACACTTGCTCTGCGAATCGTGTAGGAGCCCCCTTGGAGTCGTTGATGAAATGGCCGAAGGCTTCAAGATATTCAAATGGGCAGTCTCAGTTTCGTCCCCAAATTTAACCGCACCGTTCTTTAAGACTCAGAAATGGGCGGCAGCCACACTGCTTCATGAGGTTGAAACAACGGGCGTGCGAAAGTACATAGTCAAGGAAGAGGATTCCAGTGCCGGGCAAGAAAGACTTCTGGTGAGCCCAGCAATGCCGATGCAATGCTATGTGGAAGCTAATCCCGCTTTAGGTTTGGATATTCACCCCCGACCTCTACTTCTCCAGCAGCGTTTCCAGCACGCACCGGTCTGACCCAACTCGCGCCATGAAGGTTTTGTGGCAACCACTTCGCAGGGACGCATACCATGCCCCGGAATATAAATCCACCGAGGAAATGGAGTTACCGACGTCCCTGTACACGACGCTGGAGAGGACTTTGAAGGGGAGCGTCCAGTTGCTTCCGCGGTCCGCACGCGACTCCGCACCAGCTGGATGGAGCCTGGGGATGGTGGAACGGTTCAAACATAGCGACATATCGTGAACGGCATGCTGTCCGCTCGCCATTCGAAGAAGGTACTCGGGACAGGAACATTCACAATTCGTGCGGGAGCTAGATCATATATCCACAGGCACTACTCCCGCCAATATAGCATGGAACCATCCGAATGAACTTCGCACCGCAAATGGGAGCTCGGGAGTGAGATAGGTGTGCGAAGAAGCGAAAGTCAGCAACATGAAGCAGTCGGCGGTCACGCTGGCTGGCGATATCGATCCGGGTTCGGCTACATGACCCAACGGAGACAGAAAAGGGTCCCGCATTGTTTTTCATCGGATGTAAGATTCCTGTCAGCAGGCCAGCCCATCATCGAAGCGGAATTGCCCTCCATCCGGGCCATATTTAAGCATTTAAAAATTGAAATTGAACATGAATACCTCCACATTTCACACCGTAGTCACTAGAAGTATTCAAAGTTTCCAACCAACCCGAAGGATCCAATCCGAGTCACCCTCGGTCTTGGCACCAATGCTTCGGTTTCTTCTTGATCAAACTCTCTCGAAGTGATGACGCGGCCCGGCTCAGAGCCTAGGGTTACTGTAGAGATAGTGGATCCGGGGCCAACGGATTGCCTGTTGTGGCGCATGTGAGGGCCGAGTAGACATACCACAGTAGTACGCAGCACTGGACCTGTAGGAATAATATGGAGTTCGGATTTGCGGAATACCTGCCAATTTTACCTGACATGTAGATCTGCCATGGACGGAGTTTCATTATAGACATTCGCAAGGCTGTGGCTGAGCCACTTTGAAGTCCGAACCACTCCAATCGCCCATCTAAGATCGTCACAGATGTCACACACTGACACACATCTGATGAAGAAGCGCTTCTAAGCCATCTCTGCCAGCTCATGTTGTTCGTGCTGAACTCTTGTAGTAATCGTGTGTGCTACTGTGAATGATGAGTGTGGTGCTGACCCCACTTCTATTCTTAATACGTCCATTTTGGCGCCAGTAGCTCCCAAGTCCCAGTTCGTCCAAGTCCACTATGAACGTCTTCATCTCCATAACCCCATGATCCATTGCTTCCGCGACCCGTTATTAACTTCGCCGCTCGCCTTTCCTCTCCTCTCCTCTCCTTCCCTTTCTTTTCCTTCCTTCACTACCATTGAATTCCTTTGAATCGGTACTCTGACGTACCAAATCTCGATCGGACCTCATACGCATCTCAAGCAGCCTCCGCCACGATAACTGATCAATTCCCACATACCAATCCGGAGGCAGGGATCACATCTATCAACCTCAGAAAGCTCTCCATACGGTAGCTTAGCCTACATCACAATATGTCTTCACAAAATTACTATGGCGGCCAACAACCGCAGTATCCTCAACAGAGGTCCGTTTTCACCACCCGGCGTTCCTGGGAGACAAGGAGAAAGCTAATCAAATCCCCACAGTTACGGCCCACCACCCCAAGGATATGGTCCTCCTCAAGGTCCCTATCAACAAGCTCCTCCTGTGAGTAGATGATAAGCCGATTTGCTTAGGCGCCTGGAGTTGGAGTCTCGACGAAAGGAAAGCGACTGACGCCTTTTTATAGATGCAATATCAACAAGGACCCCCTCCGCCACAGGAGAGAGGGAAGAAAGATCGTGGATGCTTAGGCAACCTGTAAGCGCCGCCTTGGATTTCCCCTGTCCCTAGCTTTTGCACGATGTCGCGTTTTCCGGGTCCCCTTCCTAACACACTGCGCAGACTTGCCTGTCTCTGTTGTCTTTGGATCTGCGAAGAGTGCTGCGATTGCTGTTGTTGCTGCTGCTGATCGACCTCGAACATTGGGCGCTTGATGTTTCTCTGGGACATGCCGCACGTTCGACTATCCATACATCATGACAAGTGTGCCCAGAAGGACGGATTCCGTTCTGCCCAACCTTGGATTTCGGACGTGTTCCTCATTGCGATCCGGTCCAATACCCTTCGACGGTCGACGGCTGATCTTGGGTTCCATATTCTTTTCGGGACGTGTTTGTTTCGAAGGCGACATCTGAATCTTTAGCACGTTGCACCGTGTAAGGCGCAGGGAGCAATCAATCGTTAAATCTAGCTGTGGTATCTTGCCAATCAATGAATCAATACTCTGGGATTTCTATTTAAGCGTACCAGCATCAGCCCACCTGGGAACGGGTTCACCAGCAATCTGATGCGGGACGAACCGAGCCTATTTCTAGCTTTAACCCCCCGTCCGGAATTTGAGGAATCAGCTGTTGGGCGGTTGAGCAAACCCGCAAAGGCCGTCACAACTCACAAGTCACAAATGGTGCATTATTGCAGTTGATACAGAGAATTCCCTACAATGATGATGGTGATCGAGTCAGGGCAATTGGGTTTTCCTAGGCGAAGTAAATACTAATATTTCTATAATTACATATTATTGGGCCTGGTGTTTGCAAAGCGGCGTACTTTCGTAACTCGGTAAGAAATACGGGTCTGAAACAGACGAGGCTAATACAGGTAAACTTCAGGGAGGCACGCAACAATTATGACCCTAACCATTTAACCATTAAGGGAAACCGCTATTCACCAAACAAACGGCAGACCATTCGGAGTTGATGGTGGTAAACGCGACAGTGCTGTTCATATGAGCTCTTCAGCGTCGTTTGTTGCGTTTTGTTGCGTTTTGTTGCGTTTTGTTGCGTTTTGCTGCGGATTCTCATTGGTAAGTGTGTCCTTCGACGTGAACGGGGAAAACTGCTGCGGAACTTAGCCACCAGCTGACGATTGCGATGCTTCACAGCCTGACCAACGACAAACCCCAGGAAGGCCTCTTCTTTCAGCTTCTCGGGTGCGTATAATATTCTAGCAACATCCACACTTGACCGGTTCGGCGACCAGCACATCCATATTCTCGTGAAGATGGAGCAGCAATCACTCCCTCACCGACCGAAAGAGCAATCGGCTCCGATCCAGAGCCAAGTTCCAGACACAAATCAAGGAGGTGGAGGCATTCTGGAGGCAGCCAAGGATCGTGTCGAACGATTCAATCCCATATTGCTGGGATACCTGAAGAAAGCATACGAGGAGCTGGGAGAGAGGAAGCTATGGGAAGTTCAACATGAGTCTGCTGTCCCGGCCGCTGGGTTCGACAAAGCTCTGGAGTATTTCTCCTCCCCCAAAGCCGATGCTATCAGGGCCCCGAAGAGTGTTGACCTGGGCTACTCCATGGCGAACTACTTCATATCGTCAAGCCATAATACATACTTGACTGGGGACCAACTTTTCAGCGACTCGAGCACCGACGGGTACAAGAACGTAAGGACCTTGTCTGGTGCCTGTGTTGCTGTGTTTCATTCGCTCATCCTCCCTCTAGGTCCTTCTGCGCGGTTGCCGCTGCGTAGAGATTGATGTGTGGGATGGTGAGGAGGACAGCTCATCCGATTCAAGCTCAGACAACGAGCCGCCTCTAAAGCCAGTCGCTCATGTGAAGACAGGCCTTCGTGAGAGGCTCAAGTCCAAAATCAAAGAGACAGCCGAAAAGAAATCCCCGGCGAAACCCCCGTCGAAATCTCCACCAGGTGAGACGGCCTCGAGCGCAGGGCAGACGCCCTCCCGTTGCCGCTCGAATTCCTCTCGCGTGGAGCCACGGGTGTTGCACGGCTATACCGCCACCAAGGAAATCCCATTCCGTGCAGCGTGCGAAGCGATTCGAGACTATTCGTTCGTGGCCAGCGACCTTCCTGTGATCATTTCCTTGGAAGTGCACACCTCGCATGAACAACAGGAGATCATGGTCGAGATCATGGAAAGCACGTGGAAGGGCATGCTCGTCGACCTGCCCGACGATGTCGGGGATAACACCTCTCTTCCCGTCCCGAACGACCTGCGGAACAAGATCCTAATCAAGGTGAAGTATACCCCCACGGAAGCTCAGAAGCCAGGCGCGGGCAGTGGAAAAGCGGGAGAGGCGCAGCACGAAGGATCACCCGAGGGCACTGAGGAGCCTGCAAAGAAAAGCAAGATCATTGCAGCGCTCTCTAAGCTCGGTGTCTACACAAGAAGTTATCACTTCAAAGATTTCCTGCAGCCAGGTATGCCTCGTCTATCGCACCTTACCGTGGGCAGACGTCGCTAACTGCCGAAATAGAGGCTGCTATTCCAACCCACATCTTCTCACTTTCTGAGGGTGCTCTGATGGAAGTGCATGAGAAAGATCCTAAGGGGTTGTTCGGTCACAACCGCCAGTTCATGATGAGGGCCTACCCAAAGGGTACTCGTGTGTCATCTTCTAACTTGGATCCGATTCTCTTCTGGAGACGAGGGGTCCAAGTCGGTGAGTAGATGTCATACCCCGAATTATTATCACGCTGATCTCGCCAGTTGCCCTGAACTGGCAACGATGGGACAAGGGCACCATGTTGAACGAGGCCATGTTTGCAGGGTATGGCGGCTGGGTGCTGAAACCAGCGCCCTTCAGGAGTCATATATCCAGCGATAAAGGGGCAGCGCTTCAGAAGACTCCTTCCGTTCCAACGACCGCCTTCTCGGCCATCGACTTATCGATTACCTTCTACGCGGGACAGGACATTCCCTTACCCAAGGACGAAAAGGAGAAGAGCTTCGATCCATACGTGAAATGTGAATTGCATGTCGAGTCGGAGCCTTTGCCGGGCGGTGAAGGAACAAAGGCCAAGGACGGCGAGCTCAAGAAGAAGACCAAGACGGCGAGCGCGGGCACAAATCCCGATTTCAAGGGCGAAACCCTTGCCTGGAGCAATATTTCTGGGGTCCTGCCAGAAATGGCTTTCGTCAGGTATGTGGGATTTCCCATCATCAACAAAGCTTGGGTTTTCCAGTCTTTCATCCTGGCAGTCTACTCTGCGAGAACCATCAATACGCTTTTTCCATCTCTTCCCTACCCTGTAGCTTTGTGTCCAAGAGTAGAAGCACGCAGCGAGAGTCTCAAGGATATGACTTCATCTATTGCATCCTGTCCGGGTCCACGTGTGACTGTGTAACCTTGCACTAAATTATCGTTTATTGCTTCAAGATGTACTTCCGAACTCTGCCTAGGGTCAAGAACCGCTAACAGAATTTGCAGGTTCAAAGTCATGGACAACGATAAGATTGGACGGGATGACTTCGCAGCCTGGGCATGCGTGCGACTGGATCGTCTGCAACCCGGTTTCCGGATCGTTCACCTCTTTGGTCCCAATGGTGCCAAGACGAAGGGGATCCTCCTGATCAAAGTCGACAAAAGGTTCAGAGTCAGTTGAAAAGCCACTTGTGTCCCACACTCTGTGAAGTATATCTGCAGTGTTCGGAGTGTTGCAGACACGTTCATTTGAACGAGATAAGTTCTGCTCTTATTAATGTGACCATGAAACATGTGCGTTCCACCTCTGGCAGGCACCTGGAAATGGGAAATGTCAGTGGTATCACGAGTATTAAACCCAAGGGCATTTGGCTGGCCTGAAGCTTGTCTAGATGACTCTCGTTGCACGAAGGTTGTCAGCCCAAAGATCTGGCGCCGTGGAACGCTCGCAGAGAGATCGTTCTGTCATATCGCACCGAGAGAACGTAATCACATAGAATTACACGGGCAATATAATCCAATATCCGTGCGATATGACACTAAGCTGTCACACGCCAACTCCATCCAATTCAGGCGAGGTCACTCAAAGGCGCTGTGCTTCGACAAGTGTAGCTCATGATGTGAGCACCTTTCTACTACATCATCCAGATTCCCATCTGGGGCATGATCAGCTCTGGCCACGTTGATCTTGAACGTGCTGCAGCAATCCGCTCCTACAGCGTTCGTCCCACTCTATCTCACCGGTCCGGATAACAAAAGCTGTCCTGCTTTTCTTGAATCTTTCAACTCCCTGGATCGGCACAGGGAAGGTCACCTACCTCATACCTGAGTTGCTTTCAGCGCGCTAACCGGTCTGGAAGACGATGAACGGGCTGACCATTGCTCTCTAACTTTAGAGGCCACTGGATTGAAGATTTCGTCCGAAGAGCTACGAAACACGAGGCCACCGGCTTGCTATTGAGTAAACAGGGATGTCTGATGAGTTTCAGGTACATCCCAAATGGTCCTATTAAACTGGAGTGAATCCACTGGTATGTAAGGCTGGATGGATTATGCGTGCTGATCGGAACGACATGCCATATTCTCAGCGGCAAGCTCGCCTGGAAGTGCATGAGGTGCTTCAGAAAATACCGATCCGAGCCGCAATCATGATTATTCCCCGTCCGATGGGGTGATGGGCTAGTAGTACATATTGTACCACCCCATCCTTATGGGACTATAATCATATTCGACCAACAGCAAGATGCGTACCAGATCGATAGGGATAAGCGAAATTTTGAGACACGCCAGTCCTAGACTGCAGGTAGTTGACTAAGGCTGACTTTGACAGGCCAAACGTCCGCTAACACATGGGCATCGCGTTACATCGTAAGTGGTGTTGATCTGGACCTAGTGCTGCAGCTAACCCGACGAATAGGAGTATACAAAGTCCTTCTCGAAGGGCACTACCACAATCCATCCAAGTCCCCGGGGGAAAGACGGTGAAACTGATTGATGTGTCCTATATTCGGCGCCAGGAGAATCCAATCGAATAGCACCACCAGTCTTCTTGATATTGCATACCCAGGATTCGGCTTAGCGAGCGGGGACTAGCAACCGGTCTGGAGATATCGTGATACCTTCGGACCCATCAATGTCGACTGCCAACGCGATCAGTGAATGTCGCCCCTTACATTGTAAGCTCAGATCAATCGCATAGGCAGCATACCGTAGTCTGTTCCATAGTAGGCCTCGTGGTGCAAGGGTCGTCGAAATATGTCTGCTTCGATCGTCCATGATACCAGACGAATCCTCCATGACTCACCGCGGCAGAAAGTTCTAAAAAGACATATATTTCCACCAATCTATGTCAATTCATAGCCTTCAATCAAGGTCAAGGACTCACTCTAGGGACTCAGGTTATTCTCGTACATTTGGCTATTGTGGATACATCCCACAGCGGTTCCGTTTGACCGTTTCGTGTATCGTTACCTCTAGGTCAGTGCATCTCGTGGCATTTTGCAATTAGGGTCTATCACCAGGAAGCCGCTCGCTACTCTCAGCCATTCAAAGACGCGTATTTGAGGCGGGTTGATAGAAGCTAAAAACTTCGAGAAAGGTGCGATTACACACTACGGTAGTCTGTACCCCGCTAATACGCTCTCTCAGTGTGCGATCAGAGAGTTCGGACTGGAGTGGGATGCGAATGTTCTCACCCTTGTAGGGCAGAAATGTGATAGATCATATTGCGATGCATCATGCCGATGGATCCAGCTACCTGGGCAGCTGGGATACCTACTAACGAACCACTTCCATCCTGCATTGCCGACAGATCGGCTGACCAGGGTATGGTGCATATCATGCCCCTGACCCTGAGACTCGTTTACGTCCTGGAGGCTGGAAGGGAGATACCTTGAGAGCCGCAATATCGGAGTAATATCAATGTGAATGATCGAATTCGAAAGACTGAGGATTTACATCAGCTTCTCCTCACTATAAATAAATGGCGTTGGCGCAGATGGATTAGCAGTTTGGTAAGGAGTTGCCAGTAAGCCAAACATATCATACACAAGACTGCTCGAGTATCAGGACGCATATCTCGACCAACCTAATGGATGTGATAGTGAAACCCCTGTCAAGTTACGGTCACTGTGTGGACTACTTACATGTCCGCCATGTATGAACCTTGCCTGCTTGTGTCTCCATCTTTGGAAATGCTGTCCAGGTGGTCGGGACAATCTGGTGGATCAGTACACATCCAACGCTAGGTAATATGACACAACGTTTTTTACAACGATTACACATATTAGTCGAGCCTGCCGCGCTATCCACTACCGTTCGCATTCCGCCAGAATGCGTGAGGTATCACAACTAGACGATCGAAGCAAACGCAGCATGAAGCGAAGTCGAACCGGTGTAGAAAATATTTTGCGCCTTTCATGATATAGCAACATGCGAGCTATAAATGTAGCTTGACTTCCCAAGTCCAACAGATGTCTCGACAACCACCAATTCAACCTTTGTCTTTGAGTCTTGTCTTTGTGCTAATAACCCATTCATGCGATCGGCCTTTCAATTGCAAAAGCAATAATCCAATCCCTTCCCCCTTCCGCAGTACCCCTGAGTTTCCTTCAGCTTAATTCGCAATGGCCCAGAATTTGCGTCACCTTCAGATGCTCGAACAGCTGGGCATCCAGCAATTGCTGGAGTTGACCGTCGGTGGTGGGGTCGAGGGCGACGATTCAAGCGAAGGGGCTGAAGACGGCGTCGTTCAGGTCATGACGGTATATATCTTGCCCCGAGTATGATAGAACACTGAGAAACTGATCATGTCCGCAGATACCCGGCCGAAAATGCCCGACGTGTGGAGCTAAGGGCACAACCGTTTGGGTCATCCCGGGAAAAGCCTGCCCGGCTTGCGGAACAGTTGTGACCTGATAAGTCCAGGTAGGACAGTCGAGCCTTTAGTTTCAGGGGAAAGCTAACAAGTATGAAAGCGGAAAACTCCAAGTTGAGAACTCCTCGAGAATAGGCGAGGGATTGACCAAGGCCACGGACGTGAATGGAGAGGAACTTTTGCATCAGTCTGGTCCTATATGGCCATACGATATTTTCTGTATGATGCATCATTAGGATTGTAATTCAATTTCAGAAGCTACACTTACCTGGCCTTGTTTCATGTCGCTTCACATTGAATCTCGTCACTGGTGTGCTCGTAGTGCAAAAATCCCCCCGAATATGCCCTCCAGAAGTCGAATCCTATCCAAACCCAGCCGAAAGATGGTCTGAGAAAGTCCAAGGAATGGAGTTTCCGTAGATGTGCATGTCCGTCTGCGTGGGACGCCTATGATCTTTCTCTTGCTCGGCGTGATGAAACCAGGACATGTCATTATCGTAAGTGTAGGTTTGGTTTTCGATCCGACCAATCAATTGTAGGGACGCGTCTAAACTCAATAGGTTCAGACGCTGCGCATGAGCCTAAAGAATCCTCATCAGGGTCTAGCCAGCTTTGAGGGTAGATATTATTGGTATTGTGAACAAACATGGAATGATTCGGGGGCTATAGCCCCCACCAAATGGTCACCGCCGGTACCTAATCCTGGAATAGATCCACGATGAGCTTCTAGGCATATTGGTAACGGGATAACATCTTCGAGATCCGGATTCAGGGCCGGGTCCAGGTCACTCCTGGGGTGCTGCTCTGGAGCTGCGAATGTCGGAAAGTCATGGATATCCGCGTCGCCCTGAACTCCTGAAGGATAGGAGACCTGCTTTTGAGATTTTTCGGTTCGATTATCATGTTGAAATGTTTCGCTATTCATGTTGAGATGAGACGCGATTTCCACAGTGGGAGAATCTTGTCGTTCAACTTGCCGTCCCGGGCGGGATTCATGCAGCTTCTCAGATATACTATGTTGGTCTCGGTTCTGGGGTATAGATTGGTCCACGGAAGCGGTCCTTACTCGTCTTCTTGACCCTCTGGGATGGATATCCCAGGCTGTAGTCAACTGATCCGGGGTATCCTTCCTGTTGATGTATTCTCTTGTCTCAAGGGTATTGGGATGAGACGACATGTCGAATGAACTGATACAATTTGGAAAGACGTGTGGATTTGCTATAGTTCGCATAGAGATGCATAAAATGAAGCGATGATTGATGGCGATTACTCCAGTCGACATCGAGGTGCATGGTATATATGCGCAGACTCCAATCAGTATTGAGACAGACGGCACTGAGCTCTAGAAACATAAAAAAGTGAGGCGATAGTGAACAGCACAAGGGTTAATTAAATTTTGGGGGGACTTTGAGAACGTCGGAACAGATCATCCTCTTTCACAATACATACCACAACACGCTTGGACTCTTGCCTGTGGGATGCCTGTCGTTCGATTCAAGTCTACTCTCACGCCGAGAAGAGCTGGTAGACCATTGACACAATCGGTGGATCTGGAACTCACCTACATTGACTTTGTTGTCCATCAAAACGATTGGCAACATTGCTATTGTCAAATGGATCGGTGGTGTTAGGGTAGCACCTCCAATCTGACTGCTGCAGTGGCATCTTAGGAAGGCTAGGGCATTGCTATTCACAGCTGAGATCGAACGAGTTGGTTATGAAAGTGAGGCAAGAGATGGCAAGCTCTCGGCCTCTCGCAGGATATTGCAACGTACAGAGATTGCGCCTTGGCAACGTCTACATCCATCAGACAAAGGTTAACCTGGGAAGGAGACCACCTTGCACTAGTATCGAGGCGCGAATTCTGACACTGATGGCGGAAAGGAAAAGACTTTGATAGATATACGAATGGCATACAGATAAACTATTAGTTCCATTTAGACGGGTGAATACTGAATAGATTCGGGGTTCTCAGTGGTCCCGTAGTCCTCGATATCGTGGTCTCGAGGGAGTGTCGAAAGGCCACCGAGTCCGAGTTTCTGGGTTGGAGATTTGCCGATCAAGGAAAGTACATGCGAAATTGAAATGACTACGGGGAGATTTGCAAGGAAAACACCGACTCTGATTGTGAAGAGCATATGAATGTGGTCGAAGCTATTCCTTCATTGGCTTGAGGAACTAAAACAGCGGTGTCAACCTTGGAAAGTGAGGCGGGAGGGCTTCAACAAGACCAGGGGAAAATCGTCGAAACATGAGAGGATCGGATTTAATGAACGGGGATGGAAGTGAATTCGTCTATCTAATCAGCCAGCCACAAACCTCGATCTCGTCGGTACCAAATGTTCCTCGATCGTTGTTGTACACCTATTGAACGGAATGATTTGAGTTGAATGTTGGACAAGAATTACGATCAGGAATTCATATCCATATCACGTGGGACGTGTCTCGTCATCATTATTAATCATGTTGACTCCAAGCCTCCAACTCTCCAAGCAAGCCTCTTAAAGTCGAATCAGACCACTTCAAAACGTCTCATAGAAACATTATTAGGGTTCGTTTGGCTTACACTAACATTAACAGAAAGGGAATCTGATCTAATTCCGCGGCAAGAATTCTCGGACCAAAATGCACCGCTGAAAATATGCCTTCGGCCGAGATCTGCTCTCTATGTCCGTAGGGGCCATTTAGTTCGATGACCGTTTTTGATGGCGTCCTTGAGGCTTATCTCAGCTTGGGCTCAGACACTACCCAAGCCATGACCCCTAGCTAAGCTAAACCGTAACCAGATTAACCCCATGTTTAGCGTAGAATCTAGTCACGTGAGTACAACTGTCTTGTGTAACGTCTGAGAAATTACCTCAGCAAGCTCAGGCTATTTGTGGTCGTGCCAAGGCACCGGAGCGGACTATACCTAATCGGTAAGTCACATGTGCTCCTCGAACAAATAGCCTGAGGATTCTGTCCACCTATTTCGGCGTGTGCCGTGAACTTTCATGCCAAATAGAAGACCATCTTTAACTCCATTTTTATCCACAACCACATGGTGCATCATCAATTGAATACATCCATTCGATTCCTCTGGGCTTTTTCCATAATTGATTGAATTTTGGGCCATGTCGGCCCAAAACCAGCGTCGTCAGAGTGCGCGGTTGAACCCGCCCATCTTGCCTCCCGCTCCAAGTCCTCGGCATATTGCTGCTTCAAACACATCTAATGCACCTCGTCAGAAAGTAAGAAGGTCTCAAAGACGCAGTAAAGCGCAGAGAGTAAACGAGATATGCCAATTCATGCGGAAAAAAAAAATTACATTACGAGAATTTATCCATGTCTACGCGACGACTCAAGGGTCTGGTGGTTATGGAGAGCGCCCTGCCACGCGTGCCAAACGGCTCGCCGAGGCCGTCTACGGTCAACCAGAGGTCTTAGACGCGCTGCAAGAACACCCCGCGTCTGGTGCGACAGGAATTGTCACTATAAAGGGTCTGAGGAAGGAAATGAAGGCACTGGAAGAAGCCGGAGGTATGTTTAGTGCCTACCAAGTCGACCGTGTCCAAGAGAGAACTTCACCTGCCGGCATGGGAAGGGAGAAAGAGCCAGAGGGACAGAAAGTCGAGGACTACGAGCGTATACTGGGCGATATGCAGTTTGGGCAGATGTACGAGCAAGTTAACACTCATGCTCCTCTTCTATGTGGATTGCTTAATGGCATCATGGCGCCCAAGAGAGAGAGAAAAGATCGATCACTACGGGACCCTGTCAAATTCAACCACAGGATTGCGATAATCACGTCGATTCTCTGCTATTCTCGGGCGTCGGAAGGGAGCAACAAGTTTCCCCGCGTATTTGGTGCCTTTCTGCACTCAAATGGCGTGAAACGGCGTATCCTCGATCTTCTTCACCAGTTTGGGGTTTGTGAAGGCTACAAGGGAGTCCACAGACATCTCGAAACCGTGGCAGAACAAGCAAAGGCATCTTCACCGCCTCTCAGCATAGACGTCGACTGATTGCAACTAGGGAACGGTCCGTCGATATGGTCAGCAACTAGATGCCTGTGTTGTGTATGACAATTTCGACTATCGAGAAGGTATTAAGCACCAGCTCATTTCAAATCACGCAGAAATGCGCTCTGTGACAACGGGAAAGGTTTTCAGAGGCGCCGATATCCCCTCTGGTGGTTTAAAGCAGTCAATGCTGCACCGCGAGGTTCCACTTACAATAGAGGATCTTCTATACTCTCCTGGTGCAGCAGTATATGACGAGACCGCCGCCAAGATTGATACCTACTTTATAGCGGAGGCAATTCGATCGGTATATCCACTCGCGATCAAATCTATCTTCTCTACGTCCGGTATACCTTACCCCGCTATGCCAACAGTCGAGTTACTCGAGCTTCGAAAGACAGACAGCAAGACGCTCGGTCCGATTCTCTTCAACGAAGGTACTCTAGATGGCTCCTACGAGGTTATAGAGAGCATCTACAAGCACCAATTCCAACTAGATAATAAAGAATTCGACAACCGTCTGTTCTTGGCGTTTGGCGATCAAAAAACCTCTTCACTTATCCGATCTATGCAGGCTGAGCAAGTCGACGCGTCTATGGCGTATGATAGAAAAGACTGGCTGATAGGAGTCGCTGCTCTCTTTCACCTGCGTATGAATTTTCTATGGCTCATGCAAAAGACACATTACGGAAACATGGAGCAACAGGACGCTTCAACTCTCTATCACAACATCAACTTCTGGGGACGAAAGAATATTCCAGCGGACCGTGCAGCTTTTCAGGTTCTAGAAGAGCTAGTGCTTCACAGTTTCGACGCTCGAGTTGTTGGACTACTTTATACTCGCCTCGAGCAGTACGGCATCGATATCTCCGATCAAGAGGGGGTTGACAAGGCAATTCGGAACATGGATACTAGAGGGTTCATGGAACTGGTGGAGGATGTTCGCAGATCCGCATTTGAGCCGGAAGCCTGGCGACCATCGAAGGAGAAGCATACCAACAATACAGTCGATGAGGAGTTCCTTAGTCATGCTCGATACCTTCAACAAATGGTTGTGTACAAGACCTTGAAGTACGGCATCAAAAACGGAGATATAGGACTCATCGACCGAGTCATTGGTGTCTGTTGCTTTTACTTCGAGGGGACTGGACAATCAAACTACGCATTCGAAATGCTCTATCTAAAGCGGCTCACTAGCACCAAAGCTTGTGACAAGGAGCTTCGGCGCGCAATACTCTCGAATAGCCTCGTTAACCCGCATGGCTGTCGGGACACCTGGCAAGAAGTCGATCGTAGCCTTGAATATCTGAACCTGGAGCTGAAAAGAGAGCTTTGGGCCCGTCGAACGTCGACTTTCGGATTGGATGCTCTGTTCAAGACTACCTCATTAACGGCAGAATATACTGTTTGTCTACGCAGGGCAGTAGAGGACGCATTCGCCCGGAAGGGCAACTCCACACATTCTGTGCCCTCCGCGATGGATGATATTCATACATTAGCCTTTGAGCTGGCATGCGACTCGATTAAATTTTATGACGGCGGCAGGGAGGCAAGACATCAAGCACCAGACATACATACGATCGGGCTCGGAAGAGTAGCAACTCAAAAATTGGAGGTGTTTAATGCAAAGGTCATAAGAGATGAAGATCGAATAGTCGTACCACCTTATGAGAGGAGAGGAGCCACGGCTGATTTAGATCCTAATAGCGACACGATGGCGATATTGGTATGCGCATGCTCATGGAGTTTCTAGTCTCGTGCTAACAGACGTCGCCAGCCCTTGGCAGACAGAGATGTAGCCCATGAATGGGGTTTACCTTCGGACGTCGAGTCAGAGTAACCTATCTATAATGTCCACTCGCTGTGGTTGTAGCGGCTATTATTCCCTTTCTTGTTGCGAGGGCTTCACCTTGCGTTAGAGTCTAGAACGCCGAGGACGACCCGTTTCGTTTCTACTTCCCCCCCCCGGGTTAATATGGGACGTTTCAAGGCCCGATTACCATCAATTACACCTGATACCTCATTCTCGCCGTCTTCGAGAACACCTGACCTAGCAGAAGAATAATCTACGTTTGTAGATGTCATCAACCTACCCATAGATGTAAATGACGAGTTCGCTGATACTATGGTCATTGGTAGGGTAGGTAGATGGGAAGAGCACGAGGCTGACACCTCCCTTGCCTGAGCAATGATCCGCTCTAGCGAGGAAACGTACTCTTCTCGCTCACGCGCGAGTAATACTCTTCGTTCCTGATCAGGAGTTATCAGAGTCTCTGCTTCTATAGACAATCTTCTCTTCCGACCTCTGTGTTGAGATACTTGCTGTTCGACTGTGGGATGAGCGTGTTCGAATGGCGCCCTTCGTATTAGAACTTGAGCTGCCGCTGCGGTTCCTGGTGTATAGCGTCCGGGCCAGTTCCTCACTACATAGGACTTGATTTTATTGAACTCTTCGAACAGCTCATGGGAATGGTCTTTCATCCAAGCCGATTTCGTAAACTTCTCCAACTCAGCAGCCGAGCGGATGTTCGTATACTCTCTCGATATTGATATCCACTCTTCCTTCGGCGCGAATAACCGTGCTGAGAGTTCTGGCTTCATCATCCGATGTGCCGAATTCACAACGTTATCTCCCCAGAGGGTCAGGCGGTCATAAAATGCGCCGGATGCCGTTCCAGTCTGGGGCTTACGAAGACCAGTTGTGGTATCCCATGGGAAAGGTACCGCCCGCGCCAGATCTGGGTTACAGACATTACAGCACTCCTGCGGTTCAGGAGCCGGTAACCTAGATGCTGGATCCGATAGACTCTCTTGTAGCCAATCCATTAGGATTCGGCGTAGGCATGCGGATCGATTAACAAGATTGAATAGCGCCGGACAGTCATCGTGTAGGTCTGTTCGGCGTTCTCTCTCCGTTTTGCGTCGGTGCTGCTCTCCTGGTATATCATATTTAATGGCGTCTACGGCAATATCCGATTCATCATCTAGGATGTCACCGCCCACTCCTGGATCAGCAGAGTACGACTGAGCTAACCGGCTCGTGTTGGAAGGCCGTCTTAAACACGACGGCGTCTGAGTTCTGGATAGAAGCGCCGGTCTTGTCGATAAGATCCTGTCACCTATCGCCCAACTTTCCACCAAGAAGATGGCCTCTCCTTTAATGCCAGCCATCCTAGCTGCACGGCCAAATCGTTGGATAAGGACGCATAAGAGTCGTTCCAGAGGGAAGCCGTATTGGACAACTCGTGTGACATCCGAGAGATCTACCCCCGTTCCTAATGATTCTGTGGCCACCATAATTCGGATCTTAGAGTCCGCTTTGGAAAACTGGTCGTATATAGCATTCTTGTCGTTTGGAGTAGTGTGTGAATGGTAGACCTGGATAATCTGCTTGCAGTCGTGGGCCCCGACGGCCCCAGCTGAGAGTTTCTGTAGCCAGCCTCGCAGACATTCCGCACATTTTTGGATATCACGTCGGGAGTCTATAAAGATTATAGTCTTCGGAATTCGTTCCGGCGTTGGCGAGCCGTTT